CATAAAGATGTTATGAAATTATTTTCAGGTAAAACGCAGTTGCGTCACGATGAAGTCCGGTTCCCAGTGAACCTCAGCACCTAAACCAGCCAACCTGTCCCATTATGCAATGGTGTGTTTGAAAAGTTGAAGCTTTTTTTTTTTTTAATGTACCATTTTTTTTTTTCAAATTTGCTGTTTTTCTGTCAAATAACCATTTTTGCAGAATTCTGCCGAAAATCGGCTAAAACGGTCACCTTGAGCGCCACCATGTGGCATACTTAAGACAGTACGAAGGCAACGCATTGCCCGGTCCCAACATACAACCTCCTCTACGGTTGCGAGTCCTGGACCCTGACCAAACAGATCTCTGCATCCATTGATGGCACCTACACACGGATGTTGCGGGCTGCTCAGAACGTTTCTTGGCAACAACATCTCCCTAACTCTGTTCTGTATGGTGCCCTTCCCCCTATCTCCACCACCATCAGACAGCGTCGCCTTCGGCTAGCCGGTCACGTTTATCGACTTAATGAGCCAGCTAGTCAAGTTCTCCTCTGGAATCCTGAAGCCCCTCGACGAAAAGGTCGTCCCAACATGACCCTGCATGAAACATCAATACGTCCACGATTGACCGAAAGTCCACAATTGAAATTCGTGTACAAAACCTTTGAGAGTTGTTTCTAAAATGTTCAAAACAAAGGAATGGGGATTAAGGACAATAGGTGGTCCACGATTGCCGATGTTTACAAAAATGTATGTATATGTGTTGGTGTGGGGTTCTTATCAAATTGATTGCAACGAAAAATGAATAGAAGTGGACAAGGGGTTGCAGAGATATACCTGTTCTTATTTTTATGATGGGTACCAAAGGAAAGAAAATTCAAAGTTTTGAGAATAATGGTTGCCATATGGAACTTCAAATAAGCCAATAGTGTCCAATTTTTCAATGCACAATGTGGAATGTACAAAAGTCTTAGATTATTGTCTTTAAGTTTTAATTGAAAAAATATTAAATCATTACAACAATTTTTTAAAGCCCCCCCCCTCAAAAAAAGGGGGAAATGAATACTGAGAAGGGCATCATTTTCAACCATGTCTCGTACTAAACAAACAAATTTACTATTTTGTTTTGAATTTTTTTAGACATTAATCCAAAACACTAGCTTTTAAATCGTAAGGAAATAATGACATGTTCCCCTTTACTATCTTTAGTAGGTCACATGGTGGCGCTATTTTCAAGACGGCCGTGGAATGTAAATGAGGCTAGAGCGCCACCTATTGTCCGATAGTGTCCAACCCCCACCCCCTCCCCCTCCCCACCACCACCTCCCACCCAACTTCAAGCAAAGATGGTCTGTCAGAAAGTTTGCAAATTTATTGTCAACACCCCCCCCCCCCCCGCCCTCCTCTTCAAATCAATCTCGCGACGCCCCTGCACGTACAAACACAATCCGTGATGCGCACGCGTCTAACGAGAATGAAAGTGCTAACTTTGGGCAACCATGCAGTAACCAGCCATGGGAAGCTTAAAAAAACAGCATTTGCAGTTAAATAGAACCATATGTGCACGATGACTGCAATTTTGCCTAGATCTTGAAATCTAACTTTTCACAAGCAAGCTGGCCCTTTTATTTTCTAACAAAATGTCAGCCTATCGGGCTAAGACGTCAAGATCTTCACTATCACTGGCACGACCAGCATACAGGTCAAGAGCACACAGCCAGCTCCCACACCACAGAGTCCACGTTTACTCGACAAGCATTTCTTGACACGTCCACCACCCTGTTGCGTCTGTGCCTATCAGAGTTACAAAAGAAGACGAATTAAAAACAGTGTTGAAAGGATTCAACAATTGCCGAAAGAACGACTCTGCACGAAATATGGAGCTATGCTTCGGTAAATGCATGATTCTATGTAGGACGTGGGACCTAAGGCTTAATTAAGGAAGGTTTGGAAAAGCCATTGGATCACGATCGAAATTTCGCTTAAAGTTTAGAATAAGCGCGCGCATTTGAAAAAAAAATGCTTAAGTTCAAAACATTTCGTTCATTTTATGTAGATGCCATAAGCAGCATGAAAACATGGCACATTGGCAGGTTTTGCTTTATTAATAATGATGCATTCACTGAAATCTAAGCTAGACATCAAAATATTTTTGGAGAGAAGGCATAATAGAAATATCCTTTGTCCTATTTGCATCTTGCTTTGAATCATCAGAAATGTTCTGATCTTCCTGTGAGTAAGTGAGGTTGTTAGTTTATTTGTTTACTATTTGGGCACCTACCACCGGATTCCGAGGTCCACCCATCGGTCCGTCATCCACAGTTTCCCTCTCACGAGATCTCACGAGATCAGGCGACAGGTCACTGAACGCATCCCCAGATAGTAAGACGGCAAGATGGACGACGTAAGAGTGCGGGGTAAGAGGAGGATCTGGCTGATGGGCGATTGATGGATGGGTACAAGGCTGTGATGGCTGAGCGATTTCGTGACTTTTAATCTCTGTGTGATGGGAATTGTCAATGTTTAGATCTCCGGAAACATCGACGGTACTGATCATCATGTTCTCCATCGCAAACCTAGAATCATTGTGGGAAAAGAAAACAATGCAGTCTACACTTGTAAATTTGTCCAGACTTCGGTGTCAAATTTTTAGAGGATATATAAATGAGGACTTAAACAATTTTCAGCCAAAAACAACTCCCACCCGAGTCTACAGAATATTGGACCGGAAATGTTAAACTTTAAAAAGCCCAATCAATTTAGTTATTTTAAAGGGAAAATACAACATTTGCAAACATCAAAAAATAAAACTACCAAATCATTTTGAAATACCTTGCTGGACTGTTAGTGAATGACAGTGTAAAGCATCCTGTAAAATCATGGCACCTGGTATACTGTCATTTTCAAGAAAAGTGGTATTTTTGTATCAATTTCCAACGCTGATCGGCCGATCAGCGTTGGAAAAAACTGGCTTTTTTTCAAATACTGGCCCCAGTTGACCATCGCACTTGTTTGCAATCGATTACACACCTATGAACGGGTACAAGCCAGCTAGACGGGTTCCCTGACCTTACAATTTCCCAATGTATGTACACTGCTCTGTTTCTTCTTATATGGATATCAGGGAACCAGACTACAGGAAAATATTGTTTTTATTGGTTTTTATAGCATTTTCGAACCCAAAACCTCAAAAAAGTAAGTGTAACTATATTTGCTATATATTTTCCAACCCCCCAATTCCATCCATTTCTGAAAATTACAGCAAAAGCAAATGATGTATATTCCCTTTAATGTAATTTGTGTCTCATTTTTAAAGCGTTTTTTGATTTTTGTTCTGCCATTTTTAAAAGTATTTTGGTGCCATTTGGGTTTTTTTTATGACAGTGTCAATTTCCATATTCATGAGCAAAAGTGTGATGTCATTACAGGCAGAAACCTCAATGATTATTTCAGCACGAAAATTTGAAAGAATTTTTTATATTTCGCTGTCGGGAATTTTCTATATTCTTTGGTGATTCGTTTTGTCAGTACATGGTAAGTAAGCCAATGAGCAAACTTTTCTCACAAATATCTTCAGTAAAAGCAAATATGTTGGTTCACAATTTGAACAGAAAACCCCTAAACCGAACAGCGTCTTTCTGAAATGACATCACAGCAACAGTGCCCTCAATCCCTCAATATTGTCCGGAAAAGCATGGATTTTTTTTAATGTTTAAAGAAGTGGACGTTTCAATCAAATTATCACAAAAACGGATGACAAAGAGGATTTTACACATTTTAAAAGCACAAAAATATGTTCCTAAGTAAATTCACCCAAGAACACTAGTTGCAGGTAAGGCCTATGTACATACTTATTTTTTCACTTAAGAGTAAGCCTACTTCTCATAGTAATTAAAAACAAATCTTTTCATTAAACCTCGATCCCTAATTTACAAAATCATTTAGAATGACACCTACCTTGCACTTTTTTCCCCAGCCGAGTTTGACGTCGTCTCCGCTGTGTTTTGATTCATTCATTCTTATAACTTAATCGGAGAGTGCAAAAACTCTCTCGGTCTTGCACTTTTTGCATGCACTTTGTCCTGTGTAGTGGTCACGCTGTGATGAATAATTTATAATTTTACTGGTATATAAAACAGTAATTTCTTGTCAGGAATAATACACTTTATCACATAATCACAAAGACGACACGATCATTGCGAGGTGTTTGTTAAGGGTTTGTATACTGATTAATTGACAGGGTTTGTAAAATGACGTATTGTGCCATTATAATTTGTTTAATAAGTGAAGGAGTTACCTGCAGATCTCTAAATTTTCCAAAGGGGTTGGGTGGGGGGGGGTATCCTATTTTAATTTGCGGCGTCAGACCCGAGATCATGTTGAGCGCATTTTAAGTTGGAGAACTTTATTGTAATGAAAAAGGGCGTCGCGATCGTCGTCTATGTCGTTTTTTTTGCGCTCGGGAGGGGTGCAGGGGGGTTGACGCTCGGGGGTGTTTCAAGAAGAACCAAAATCTCCTCCCGCCAACCCCAAGTTCGGCGTTGGAAGGAGTTATGGGAAGAGACGAGATCCTTAGTCCAGGAGCACCACACGTCGGTGTGAAATAGGGGAACCAACAGGGGCGTAAATCCCGGAGGGGTGCATGGGCGTTGGTATAACTATGTTCCCCATTTTTTGACCAAGGTGATGGGCTATTAAATCGTCCCCCACACTTTTTTGTGATGAGAAAACAAAAATTCGGATTACGAAATATTTAGTTCTAGAACATCCCAACAACGAAAATGTGAGTGGAGAAACAAATTAAGTACAAAAACTTAAAGCGCGAGTGTACACATATTGATATACAGGTATATCCCCTCCCCCCCCCCTTTCAAAATTTCCACGGCAATTTTGGGATTGTGGTCATATCCCCCCCCCCCCCCCCCCCCCCCCCCCCCCCCCCCCCCCCCCACGCACTCGCCGTCGTAGATTTACAGACAGTAGGCCTGAGCAGTCTCTGCCAATTGAGGGCGCTTTACTTCCGGCGATACGGCGCGAAATTTTCTATCGCGAAGCAGACGTCCGCGGCGCGGTTGGTTGGAAACGTACTGGCGGAAGTGGAAGGAATTTGACGTTATGCTGGTTCAGATTGCAAGGTGAGTTTACAACCGATTTACCCGTTTCAATTTTAGATTCTATTTTAGACGGCTATTCTAAGTGTACTTTTCTGTTACAGAATATTTTTAAGTGTAATATTTTGATAACGTAACAGGCATGACATTGACAGGGCCGGTGAACCAACAGTCAGTGCTGTTGCTGCATTTGCAATGCCAATGTATAGTCGGACTCCCTATTATCGCGGCATCCAGTGTCAAAACTCCTTCAAGTGGCGATTTTTATCCAGTTCACCAGTCATCAAGGATTTTCTACCGAGTTGTATAAAAAGGACGATTAAAAAATGTTGTGTCTTTCGGGACTTTAAACAATTTTAATAAATATTAACGTTTTCCAAAACTTGCAAAATTTTCCCTCACCGTGTCTGCTAAAAGGTACCGTTTATATTTTAACATAAATCTTTAATTGCGCTCTGTCCATGCAAGTTCCATTGTCTGGGTCCCATTCTTCAGCTGCAAATGTAAAATGAAGTCGAACGACGATATTTGCAGCGCGAAATCGTAACAACTTTTACGGGATCAAAATAAGCACCGCGCGTTAGCGAAAATAAAACGGCACACCGTGTAAAGTGAATGGCGCCCTCAATCGCCGATCAGTAGACTTGCCTCAGGGATTTGTGTTCTCCTTTCGGGGGAAGGGCAGGGTCTTAAGAAATCATCCTGCAGACATTTTGTCTTTAATCAACTTGAACGTTACAGGGAAAATATCAGACTTTATTCAGGGGGTGTTTTGGTCAAACATAAACTATGAACAAAAAAGTTTGGATCATTATAAAAACCACTTCCCGCATACCGCGATAATAGGGAGTCCACCTCCGTTCGCACACGCCGCGCATGTCTATTTTCACAGGCATCGTACACGGAATAAACCACACCGCCTGTCAGATTTTTTTATATTAATTTAAAAAGGAAGAGTTATACTACACATAAGACAGGACAATTCTGGAAAGTTAGTGGGCAATCTTTATTCCTAACGAGAAATGTGATAAGTATCGCGATAATACGGCGTTCCATCCTCTGTCAACAACATCTTGTCGTGCTTGTTGTTGTTGCAAATGTTGAATGATGTAACTTAGTCATGGTACAATTGGTCAGTTGGTAGTGCTGGGACTAGTGTTGTTAGTGCTTGTGACTGGTTCTGGTGGTAACTGCGCAAACACCTCCTAAGTCACTTAGTAAGTGGTTATCTTGCACAGGTCTGTGAGTGTTCAAGATATTTATTGAACACGTTTTAACATTATGTATCTACAAATTGTTTTATAGGATTAGGCTAGGCCTATATAAACATAGGCCTAATAAATAAATGCCAAAATAAAATGCACAGCAAGATAAGATTAATTTTCTAGACAAAGACAGACTCAAATAAACACGTGATAAAGATCTAAACTAGTCCATCTCAGATTTTATGATGTGGTATTCAATTCCTGTTTTGATTGATCATCTTCCTTGTCTTCAAATTGTTGATGATGTGTGCACATGGATGATTGGAACATGTACGATCGTGTAGTGTTTAGTTTCAATCAAATTGAAGTCAAGGGTGATTTTATCATTCAAATATGATGTTTTTAATCTAAAGCAGACTTCTCTCATTTCCAGTGACACTTTTTTGTCAATAATATTGCACAATTCCTTGGGGTAGAATTTAAGATTTTTGTACACGGTTTACGCAAATTATGGTTGGTGCCGTGCGATTTAATTAAGATTTTGGTACACGGTTTACGCAAATTACGGTTGGTGCCGTGCGATTCATCAATCATGTGTGCTTCACATCGCCGTGATCGCCATCTGTATTTTCGTGTTGCGTTTGTCGTTGTCATCGTCATTTTACCCCCAAATTTCCCTCAAAAATTCAAAACCCTGCCATCTATCTATGACATACCTGCATGTCGATCTTAACATCGCCAACTACTTTGGTTAGTCATAAATGAAAAGTAGATTTTGTTCTCTTATACTAGGAACCGGGTCCTACAATACGATCGCCACATGTACACTGTGATGGGTTTTACTTTTTTTTTGTATGCAAAGCTAATTTCAAGCAGGATGCAGTCAGATTTTGAGTCTTCACTGAGGGAAAATGGCTTCCGAAGTCCGAGACCGCTGCCTAAGTTTCTTCAGGAGCAAGTGACATTTTCTCAGAAGAAGGTGAGTTAAAATAAGATAAGTGGTTTGCAGTGGGATCTAGCCGATGTTCCCTAATACCTATGTTCCCTAATACTGATGTTCCCCGAAATCCTTAGGATTTGGGTTAGGGCTAGGGTTTGGGTAAGGATTTCGGGGAACATCGGTATTGGAGAACATAGGTATTGGGAAACATAGGTATTGGGGAACATAGGTTGTATGCACCCGTTTGCAATAGCACCATGTGGGAAAATGTATTGTGTGAGTATGTGTGGTTCTGACAAGAACCGGAGGGTACTCTCTACATTGAAAGGAGAAGGTGAGTTGATGAAAAATAAGAAATAACTGTAAGGCCAAATAAAAACAAAATAGTCTCTTGAATGAGCTTTTTGGAAAAGGGAAGAAGGCGGCCCTCCCCTGCCCCCCAAGATTGCAGATGAATTTGTTCATTTTCTGAACTCTTTTGCTGATACTTTTGTGTCCAAATAAGCCGTCCTAGATTTGTAACTTGCATACATATATAGCTATAATTTTGTGGGAAACAAATAAAAAGAGAAAATATATTTTAAAAAAGGGGAAAAAATATTGCAACCTGACGCCATGTTTTCCTTCATATATCATCTCAATGAAGGTCATTCATTGCAAAAATGATGATAAGACATGAATTTGGGACCGAGAAACATTTCCAATTTTGTTAGGAAATACTTACAACATTTTCTTTTTACACAATCGCGGAAGTGGCGTCAGGTGGGAAAAAGGAAGCAGTGGGGATGGGAGACTGTTTGTTTTTCTCACGTGGCCTAAAAATAAAATTATGCACCTTCTATACCTGTTAATGAAAATACATGTCGAAGAAGTCTGACTCCCTGAAAAAGATATGTTCACAATAAGTGGCCTAAATTATGCAATCAGTTTTTGAACTTACTAAGACATTTCTATATATTTTTTTTTTCAAAGCATCGAGGCACAACACCACGTCGGACGGGGCCGCCCAGACCACCACTGAAAAGTGTCCCTCCGGTCAGCCGTCTGTTTCCAAACAAGACCAGGGAGGAAGAGTCTCGACCCAGAGCGGTTTCTTTCCGGCAATCAGAACCCTGTATCCTTTGTAAAGTCAAGTCTGTCACGAGCCAATATGACCCATCAGGCCGGCGTTTCAGTTTCCTTGTCATGTAAAAACAGAGAATATTTCTATTCCCCCTGGATGGGATACCAGTCCATTGCAGGTTACTCCCCAGCTAATGCTGGTACCTATTTATACTCCTGGGTGGAGAGAGGCAAGTAAGGGTGAAGTGGCTTGCCAAAGGACACAACATATGACCAGCATCTGGATTAGACTTCTGTACTCCATATGACCCATCAGGCCGGCGTTTGTCTCCAGTTTCCTTGTCAAGTAGAAACTGAGAATATTTCTATTCCCCTGGATGGGATACCAGTCCTAGGCAAGTTACTCCCAAGCTAATGCCAGCACCCATTTATACTTCTGGGTGGAGAGAGAGGCAAGTGGGGGTGAAGTGGCTTGCCCAAGGACACAACATGTGACCTGCATCTGGATTTGAACCCCCGACCCTCTGATCATGAGTCGCAAATCCTAACCGCTAGGCCACACTCCCCAATGTATCATTGACTCGTCCTCTGTTCTGTTGATATCACAGATATTTTCAAAAAGCTGTTTGTGATTATTAAAAGCCGTAACCTTTGACAGAGTTTAATGGAGACTTTCGAGAGAAAGTACTCATTTGGGCTTGAAAACGCATTGACCACAAAATGATAATAGTCAAGAAGGTCTTCAAAAGTAGAATACGAACATTCACACAGTTTGATGTAACAGTTTCATTGACCTTTCACCTTTGCTCCTTGACCTTGAGCTGATCAGCTGTCTTACAGAGTCCCCATTACAATGAGAAGAGCACGGAGTCCTTTTTCAATCAGTGCTTTGAGGTCGTGCAGAAACTGGGCGAAGGCTCATTTGGTGAGGTAAATGAAAGAAATCTGAATCCAAGGGTCATTTTATTTCTGATAGTGTCAAGGTCTGCAGAGGGAAGATCAGGGTTGTTCATTTTCTAATAATTTGGTATTCGATTATTCGAACTTGGACTCTCCTGAAGACGGTCAGAGCATACTGACCGGAACGTCGAGTTGATACCTCTGGTTCTTTTCAGAACCATTCTCTTAGTTGAGAAATTATTCGCACATGGTGTTTCCGCAAACCTTTCATTATTTAACTTGGACTTGATCGAATATTTGAATATTCTAAGGGCTGATTATTAACTCTTTCGCTACGGAATTTAATTTACCTTTTTCGTCCCAACTGGACATAATTAAAAGCTGAAAATTCCGCCGAGCGTCGATGTGGGCGCCGCCATCTTTGAATGTATCTCCGTAAACAAACTGCTGACAATAACCAAAAGCGCAGCCCGGCCAGACGGAAAACCGCTGGCAGCGGCTCAAACTAGGGTCAGAGGTTATACGATATAAATTATGTAGATATGGCCCACGTCATGGGGACATCCTGTTTATTCATAGCGATGCAACCGAGCAGCTGCCAGCGGCTCTCCGTACGACCTGTACAATTGGTATGAGCCGCTGTCAGCGGCTCGCCGTAGCGAAAGAGTTAAGAGATGTGCATGAGCATGAGCTTTGAATTGTGATTGAGTTGAATTTATTTATTTTGAATTGAATTTTTACTTAGGTGTACAAGGTCAAGTGTAAGGAAGACGGCAAACTCTATGCTGTGAAGCGATCCAGGGAACGATTCAAGGGTGAAGCTGACAAGTAAGTGGTAAACAATAGTTTTATATTGACTGCCTCGAGGGGTATAGTAAGACTATTCCCCCGAGGTGATCCACTGATGAGCATGCTGGAGCGAGGGAGGCCAGTTTCACTATGCCAAGAGTTGAAGCAGTCCGTATTTAACATCTCTCCCACCAATTTTTGTTTTGTTTTTATATATATCTGTTTATTATCTCAGTAGAAGGTAACATTTTCTGATTATAAATGAAGTGGTCGTTCATTGATGTACAGGAAACGAAAGCTTGAAGAAGTTCACCAACATGAAACATTGAGCAGACATCCTAACTGTGTGGAGTTCCTCAAAGCGTGGGCGGAGAAGGGCCACTTGTACATACAGACGGAGCTCTGCCAAATGAGGTATTAAAAGAAGAAGTTTGCGAGAATGTGCCCAATCGGCTCCAAAATGTGTTTACCACAAAATGGTATGAGTTGGAATCATGGTAATAGTTGTGTGAGTTCTCACACTACTATACCTTGAAAATTTGCTGTTATCTTGTCATTATTCTTCAAAGAAATTTCGGGGTACAAAATTTTGGTCCTTGAAAATCAAGTGTACCTTTTACCTGAAAAAGTCAAAGTGTGATTTCTGAGTTTCCTTCGATAAAGATTTGTACACTTTTCTCATCTTTTTTTTTTCAAAGGTAACATAACAATAATAAGTTATTCATAAACCACTTTTTAAAATATTAATCAACAGAAATGCTACTACAAAGTAAAACCTTGCATTTTTCTTCACTTTTCAGAACTTCCAATCTTACTTGTTAGTTTTTAAAAAGACGGAAGGTAAAATAACACAGCGGTTATAATAAAAACAGTGCTGCATGCTTCATGAAGGTGTGTCATTGTTTATACACATCCATTTTGTACAAATGTGACTTGGACTCGGACTTAAATGCAATTACTTGTGACTTAGACCTGACAAAGTGATTCTAGACTTGGACTCAGAAATGACTCAGGTGACTCCAGACTTGGACTCGACTCAAGTAACTCGACTACAACACTGACAGGGGATGGATAAACTTCAAAGGAATATTTCTTAACTTGTTATAATTCACGAAATCTCATCATGCTTTGATTTTTGTGTGCGTGATATGTATGACTCAATAGTTTGGAGGAATACAGCGAGAGCCACCATGACATCTCTGAAAGCACAGTCTGGAGTTTCCTTCTGGACTTAATGAAGGTAAATTTGAAGACCTCTGGAGTACATGATTACATTTCTTGATCTGGGCCTTTTTGTTGCTTAAACCCCCGAATCTCTCCAAATGTAATTGCATTAAAAAAAATTACATTGCATAGGCCTTTTACAGATTTGTTCAGGTAGATTTGGCATTACTCACAATAATGTCATTTGTTCCCATCGCTTCTTCCATAGGGTGTGAAGCATCTTCATGATCACGACTTGCTTCATTTAGACATCAAACCAGAGAACATCTTTGTCTCCATGTACGGAGCTTGCAAGCTGGGTGACTTTGGCCTCACAGTGCAACTCGGAAAGGTACGTTTTAGTAATTGGTTGTTGACCCTGTTGTCCATAGCATAGGTCTCTCTCAATGACGGCCATCTCTGTAGGAGAACTGCAACTGTGTATTTTACGCAATCAAGCACACATTGTGCAGAGTTGAAAATGATCTAAACACGTGCGCTTGTTCGAAATGTGTTCAAAATATAACGCAGCCGTTAGGCGTTATGCAAGTTGACGCTCAAAATGGCAATGTATATGGCTGGTCTGTTGGAAATGACGTCATTTTGAGAGAGCCCTATTGATAGATAGAGGAAATTTTGTTAAAGTTTAACAAAAAAATAGAAACAGAAATGTCCCCTCCCCCCAAAAAAAATGTGCTTTGCTAAAAACTTTTATTGATACAGTCTACAGAAAAAAGACTTTAATTTATCTGAGTGGTTTTCTGCCTTGTTAATTTGTTTTGTGGCAGAATGATTTGACGGACGCTCAAGAGGGAGACCCACGATACCTAGCCCCGGAGTTACTTCAAGGCAAGTTTGGCAAACATGCTGATGTCTTCAGGTAAGATGAGCTTCACAAAGTTCCTTTTAAAGTTGCGCTGTCTCTTTTACTGTGAGAGAGAGAATTATTATTTATTTGTTTAGCCATTTGCCAGTTAAAGAGACAACTTCTTTAGTAATTATGAGTTTAGGTTGTGTTCAACCTTAGGGACCACTAAACTGCACTATGGCCGTCCATCTCTGTAATCCGAGGTTAAGGGTCACAGCTTTTATGCTAGACCATCTGTTTCAATTTTTGAGTCAACTTGTACTCTTTCGAAATTGACCCTTTGCACGATGCATTAATGTTGTGACCAGGGTTTACCAGGCCAAACTGACCCGAAACATAGATATAAACCGAATCCGAACGGAAAGCGATCTGATCTCCACAATTCCGACCTCACCTGACAAAAATTCAGGGAAAAACCGAACCGAACCGAAATCACCCCACAAAATAGGCCATCATCCTGGGGGTTTGGTCAGTATCAAATCAGGACATAAATGGTTATAGTGCGCATGCGCAAGGTTTATCCTCCCCCCCCCCCCCCCCCCCCCCCCCCCCAGAGTGGTAACAAGCATTTTGATGAACATTTTGGAAAAACGGGTGATAACACCCAAAAAGCTGCCACTGCTGCAATGCTGTCACATATTTTCCAACTCTGGAGGTGTATACCTTGCCAAAAATCGCTATGACGATTATTCCCCTCATTTGATACCAGTGGCCAAATTTTTTGACCGAGGCTGATGACCTAAAAAGACAAAAAGCTTTGGCAAATCGTCCTTTATATCTCACAAACACTGTGTCTGCTTTCTGTGCCTGAAGTTACCCGTGTCACATGAATTTCTGTTTTGGAAATTGTCATCTCTCAGTAAAGAATCATACCTTATTATGGTATGGTGCACACTCCTATTTTAGTTGACCTACCAGTGGGTACACGTAATAGACTCCAAACCACATGCACAATCGTGCGGTTGACGCGGTAGTATGTGTTCAGTACTGGGCAGTGACTCTGCAATAATATTGCACCACGTGAATTTGTTTGGTTTATTTTGGGTTTCTCACAAGATGGCTTTAATAACCGACCCAACTCGACCCGAAAATCGCTAACAAAAAAATGAAACCGACCCAACCTGACTAAAGTGATGGATAAACCAACCCACTGAGGGCAGTATTTCTTTTCTAAATTTGGTAACAATGGATGTACACAGTGTCTACTTGTGCGAATTACAGAGGATCAAAGACCTATCTTCAGATGTGACGTCAGATGCAAGGGGCTTATAAAACAATCCAATAAGCCCTGCACCCTGATACTTTGTGTAAAGTAAACTCTTAATTCTCACTATTTTTGAATATTCTTGCATTATTAATTTGATGTGATATCCATGAATTCAAAACCCACCTCATTTGTTTGTGCATATTACCAGCATTGGAATCACCATTCTGGAGTTAGCATGTGACCTAGATTTACCTCAGAACGGTCAGTTGTGGCATCAGCTTCGTAACGGCGACATCCCATGGGATATTACAAAAGGTAACAAGCGTTTTGCATTATGAACTTCTCGCACAAGTACCCCCTCAACGGTCATTGAGGGAAAGAGTTGGGGAAGACCAAATTTGGACATTTGTACTCATTGCTGACGACGCTTGGCGCTCACATGAAGACGCTATGGATTTGTAAATAAACACATGAATTTGGGGGCTAATTATCCTAACAGCAAAGCTGAATTGAAGGATGCAGCTATGACATGGCGAGCCAAAGGCTATTTTACCAACTAATCACGATCGTCGTTGAGCCTGTCATTGCACAACTAATCAAGATTGATACAAGAAATTTACAGCTTTGTTTTTGAAGTAACTAACCTACCCCTGACAGAATGTGCAGACTTGCTGCACGTTTCCAAAGACAGTTCGACAAAACTATTTTCATGAAAAAGAGTGACTATTTTCACAATGGTGGGCGGTTTCAACAACTGTTTGGTGACCAAACGGAAATCATACATAAACAGCTGTCGTAAATGCTGGAATTACATAAAATGTTCAGAGCTACGATACGTTTTGTGAAATTGATCATGGGTTTATTGCGCAGCTGCGCAACAAATTTGTCACGTAAATCCTACGCATGGCATAAGTTACGCACTGTTTCTTTAAATCAGCTGCTGGTAATAATGCATGAAGTTGCCTGTCATTGTCATTAAAGGCATAAAGCATCATTTGCATTTATCCCAAAAGTTATCTGGGAAATTATTATCTAACAGCATACTTGGATTACAGATCGTACCAGTACTAAGCACCCTGTAAATTATTCCATCTGGCTTGCTGTCATTTAGAAGAAATCAAGAAATGTAGGCGATTTCCAACGATCAGTCAATTGACTGATTATTACAAATAAAGAGTGCTGTTGACGAAATTGTGTTCATGATCAAAAGGTTGTCATGGTTTTTCACTGTTTTCTCGAAAAGGCCAAATATCCACTGAGCTGAAACTTCAACAGGTTAGGTTTTAGCATTCTTCTTTGGATTGTGAGTGGTGTTAATATTGGAAACAAACAAAACGCATGAAAAGCAAATGATCCTCTTTTGCCTTTTATCCATTGTTCTTAATACAGGTATTTCCAGGAGCTTGAAGGACATCATCATATCCATGATGGATCCTGACTACCAGCGTAGGCCGTCTCTTGAAGACTTGCTCCATCTTCCCGTCATGAGGTCGGTGGACAGGAGAAATCGCGTCATGTTGACCTTCAGAAAAGTTGTGAGTATAGCTTCTGTTGAGAAATGATGCTGAGCCATCAGCTTTCAAAGTCATTCTTAGAACAAGAACAAAAATGTCCCCAAGGTTGTGTTTTAGAACTTTCACAAGTTTAAAATAACAGTTTCTGTTAATTTTGAGAATGCATGTGTCAGATTTTAACTTTTAAAATAAAGAGTAGCATTTTTGTATTCTTATTTATCAAAATAATCATCTTTTCTAACTTCCGAATTTCTGTTTTGTAAGATTTCATTAACAAATATCTATCTGGAAAGTCTCCTAAAGTGCTTTCTTTTGTCCTTACTTTCATTTTTTTTAATGGCCAAAAAAAATATTTCTGCTTCCAATTACTTGGCATTTGAAAATAGGATAGGTAGGGAATTTTTTTTGTTTTTTTGGCAATATTTTTTGTGTTCGATCATATGGAGGTGTCTGCGTGTAGTCAAGGGTAAAAGGTGGTAATTGATGTTTTTTTTGTTTTTGTTTTACTTTTTTTCCACAAATTGAATTAGGGTAGGCGTGTATACTTTTTTTTAAACCTTGAATGTCAAAATCCATTTACATCCCATTTTTTTTTTTCAGTGGGTATCCATCTTAGCGTTTCTGAGCATGCTCATTGGGATCCTCGCGATGTTTGTACAGATAGTGACACACACCCTGAGGTTACCGGTGATGCATATGGTGAAGTCACCCACGACGATACCCAAAGCACAGAGACCCTCTCACTGGGATCTCAGCTACTCTGAGGGTACGAAAAATAGAAATTACAGCTGTTTTACTTTAGGGTCCTTCCATAAATTTGGGATCCAAAAAGTTTGACCTTTTTGGTGTCCCTGCGACACCTGACATGTGTAATTTGCCATGCAAGTATTTTTAAAATTGACTTCAAACTATTTACTTGTTTGTTTGGCAGGCACTTTGCCTTACATAATCACTCTTGGAGATAGAAGGCATTAAAGAATGTGTCCTGAATTTACAAAAGCTTATATCAGATGTACCAGGGAAACGAACATAAATTGGACCCGAAATTCATGTTATAATCCTTAATTATTTGGCGTCAGAGGCCATGTTAATACACACTGGCTGTTTTTATACACAGGCACGGCTGATTGGTTAAAACGTCAAGCGTGCCTACACTTGCTCCGGGTGACGGCTAAACACACTAATCCCTCGTGTCTTTTGTACACACACACAAAGTCTGTGAAGGCGGAGTGTGTGTTGATTTTGAATTGGCCATTGTGCATGGCCTGTTGTTCTACAATTTACGCTCTGTGCACACCCCGGAGTGTTGAAAAATATGAGGTTTTGGCAAGAAATATGGTACAAATACTTTTCTTACCTTTGTATTTTAAAATATTGTATATTTCTATATTTGCTTGTCATTTTTTGTTTGTAATTTCATGCTGATTTTAAACTGATTTTTACATTTTTCTTGTTAATTCTAATAATTACTTTGAGTTTAAAGGGATTTTCTATGTGTTACTCTGTAAGCGCCCTGGAGCATTGTTTTTTCGATGGACTGGGCGCTATATAAATCTTTGCTTATTATTATTATTATTACAAATATACTGTTAAAATGACTCTTGCGAATCAGTAGTTTGTCAAAAATCAAAATTTTTGGCAAAAATAATCCCGGCGCAAACTGGTTAACAAAGAAACAACAATGTCTCTAATCCTATGTGTATACAGTACCAAAAGAATCTAACACACAATTCATCGGATTGAAAGTCATTTGTAGACAAAGTTGGTTGTTATTTTCTGATACAAGTTCTATTTTTTTATCAGCAGATGAGTGTTTTGATACAGATGTATCCCATGGTTCATATGGGCAACCGCTTTCCAATCTCTCGTTTTCGAGCGACGAAGAAAAGAGCAAAGTATTCACAGAACCTGCAAGGTAAATTCTTATCTTGAAGAGAAAAAAAACACATTTTCGTTTTGGTTTTTTTGTCCCAAAAATGTTTAAGTTTCCCTACCTAACAGATTCAATTTTTTTTTTCTCCTAACAAAATTTCGATATGTTTGTTTTATTTATATGGAAAAAACTACTTTTTTTCTATTTTATACGTTTTCAACTCCACTGAAAAACAAATTTGTTCGGGGTTGCTTTTGTGCCCTTATCGTACACAAAAATTCGCCAGAATTTTTGTCGGGCCTCAGATAATTCAAATTTGTACAGAAAAGATTCCATTACTAAACATGGGAGGTTTTTCTGTTTGATGTTTCATTCAAAACTGAAATACTTTTGCATTGCTAGAAAAAAAAATTCAATTACAAAAAAAAATTATTTTGTGTGAGACTGGAGAAAAGCACAGGTCAGAGCAACTGTGCTTTTTTATAAACAGAGTGTGCAAATTGTTTTCAAACAGTTGTCGCAAAAGCTGGAATTCAAACCGCTACCTTTATAAAACTGGATGTTGTCAGTTATCTATGTTTATTGGACTGACGCACAATTCTGTCAAATTTGATGCTTGACGTACTTCTTGTGTGTGGCACATGTTTTCTTGTTTGTGTAGCTACCCTGTTATATCCACCTCGGGAACACCGCTACTGAACAGAAGTTGTCGTCGGACACCCCTCCATCAGCCCAGAAGCTCCTCCCCTATCTGTCACGGCAGACTCAACAACAGCTTTGACAGGTAGTGCACTGTACAATCCTAACTGACTTGCTTTTAATCTTTGTGTCATATATAGGGTTCTCTCGCTGACTCATGTGACCTGGCCTACGTCCAGGGTACTGCAAAGTCAGCGAGGCCATTGTAGTAGACAAAGATCGTTTAGTACCGTACCCAGTAGGTAGTAAGCAAGCCTTCAAAGCTGCGAAGGATGGTAAAAACTGTGATAAAAATGCTGAGCCAACACCCAGTGCAGGGTCAGAACGGTCATGACAACCGTACACCGTTCTGCCATTCAATAAAGAATTTGCGATTATTTTACGTGAAAATAAGCCCTACTGTCTAGTTTACAATGCATGACGTGGTTGCTAACCAAATGCTTGCCTACTGCAATGCTGACCGATCACGGGGAAACTGGACGGTCACATGGTACTTTGACGTCCTACGATCGAGACCTATACCCAATACCATTTACCTATTCCTGTTCATTCGAGAGCCCATCATGTGGGTGTTTAACCAAGGCTGAGAAGTCTTTAAAACTGGTCTTGATACCCAGCACTTGCACCACATGCGCACATCGGCTAAACCCTCATACCTTAGTACGTGTTCATGATTTTTAATATAATCATATATCATCTGATTTGATTTGATTTGATTTGCCCCAGATGGACACCCAACGGCAGTCCCAACATCAGCGCAGTACACGACGATCCAGCAACTCCGCTCAATCTGAGTTTTGATGAGCCGAAGGCACTCAACAAATCAGCACTTGAACCTAAAAATCTCATGCAGGTAAGTTGATTTTGAAGTAGAAGTAATTCCAGTTATCATCAAAAAGTGTTTAAAAAATTCCCAAAACTACAACTTTTACTAACAGTTGCCAAATTTTTGTGAAATAGAAACAGTGGTTATAGATGTATTCAATTAACTGTGTCTTAACATACACATATGTGCAATTTGAGGAGACAGTTACTTACAGTCCCTCATTTTATCAATATACTGCCAAACCGGGGGTTGAGTTTTTGGGGTCCCTCATGTCAGTCGAAGCAATAATCTAAACTTGTTTCCTGTTTTTGTTTTTGCAGATCTTTGAAGATACGGATGATAACTAGACACCAACAGACAAGTAGACGATCAGATATGACATACATGTATATACAGATTTGTTTATTATAGAGATATTATATAATGATGTTTTTGTTTGTATAATTTTCAGCATTGTCTTCAGAGAAAGCTGTACATAAATGTTGTAAAGATTTCCAGAGCTTAATGGAGACATAGCTTGGTTAAGATTTTGTCATTTCAAAATTTCAGAAGTTTACAGACTTGCTTGGTAATTAACCGTTAACCATGGAGTCAACTTATATTCAAAGGGAAAATACAACATTTGCAAACATCAAAAAATGACTGAGAATATTTCTATTCTCTCTGGACATGCTGGATGGGATGCTTGTCCATCGCAGGTTACTCCCCAGCTAATGCCAGTACCCATTTATACTCCTGGGTGGAGAGAGGTAAGTGGGGGTGAAGTGGTTTGCCCATGGATGCAATACATGACCAGCAGCTGGATTTGAACCCCTGACCCTCTGATCACGAGTCACGAACCCTAACCACTTGGCCACACCCCCAGACTCTCATGTGCTCAGGCATACATACATACATGTGCTTAATTACTGCATCTTGCATACAATTAAACCTGGGCGACTAAGGAGTTATGTGAGCCTTTCCCAAATTATTGTTTTCAAACAATTTTGCTGTTATCAAGCCAATCAGATACGAATATCTTCGAAAGAGTTTAGGAGAGACAAAATAGGCAAGATACTTCACTTAATGTTACTATTTCAAGATTTTGGTGGGTTTTTTTTTCCATTTGTGAGCTAATATAATGCTTTACCTGAAAAATATTTTACTTTCCAGTTATTATTCACCCAGGGCTATTGTGAATTACCACCTCTGAATAATCTACAAGCTCAAGTCAATTAATTCAAAATGTGCCCTCAAACTTACCTAAAAAGGTCATATAGGTAGATCAACTTTGTCATGTAAATATTAAAGCGGGTATAAAATAATGAACAAATGAACCAAAGAATTAAGTACAAGTTGTTACTGAATTTTTCAGACGAGAATTTTTTTTATTTCAATCTTTTGTTTTGTAAATAATGTAAATGAGCTCAAGTTGTAATTACTTTTGGCAAACAATGGCAATGTCAAATAACAGGTGCTTCCCTTGAAAACTATACGATTGTCCATCTCTTTTGTTTGTTTGAATAACACTGTTTTATCAATTGTACTTTAAAAAATATATGGAGTTTTTCCTTTAGAATAAACTTTATTTTTTGGAAAACAGACTTTCACTCGGGAGGTAACACACAGAGTATACAGTGCTAATACGTCGGTGAAGGGCAAAACCTAATATTGATTTACATCACCCCGATGCAAATTCTATCTTATGAATGGTTTCATTGCGGTGCCCGTTGCTACATGTACATCAGATTCAAACCAGCCAACCGATCCTGTCAAGCTCGGTGGTCGAGTGGTAAGACGTCTGCACTAGAAAGCAGGAGGTCGTGGGTTCGAGTCCCACCCAAGAGGTGTTTTTCCTACTTTCACTCGGGAGGTAACACACTGAGTGTACAGTGTGTATACATCAGTGAAGGGCAAAATCTATCACTGAAAACAGACTTTCTTGAACAAAAAATAATATTGATTTGAAGTTCATGATGTGAAAAGGAAACAAAATCAGAAATCAACTAATTACTTTTCGGGTTATTCATTTGGATCTGATACACCTGTACAAATCCAATAAATCATATTTAGAAGTAAAGTTACAGTCTGAATTTTTTTAGCAGGTTTCTGAAAATATTTATTTTATTCACATATTTTCAGAAGACTGAAAACCAAAACAAATATTGGCTCTTAAATAGATTCCGGTTACAAAATTCTGGTTTTGACAACAAATCACATAAATTTTGACAGAAACTACATAAATTTTGACATAAATCAAATTAACAAATAGTTAAATATCCAATGGCTAATGATGGGTTACAATTGGTACAAATATCTTATTTAGTTTTCCTCAAAATATAAAAATCTCTGATGAACTATTTCACACTTTTATTTCTAAAACATGTAAAACGTACCAAAAACACAGGATTTCTCTTTCATTTTGTTGAACAAAAAAACAGACATTTATGAAAACCTACAGAAATAGAAAACTGCACAATTTTGTTTGTGTGCTTGGTTTTCGTGATTTGTGCGAATTATTCTTTTCTCAAGTTAATATAATATACATTAAAGCAAATCAAGTATTTACAAGTACATGTATGCATGCAAATATAATTTATACAACACCTGAATAAATCCCCGTCATCTGATTGGTGAATTGTAGATCACGTGACATATTATTATTCGGTATAATGCACGGTGCGACCATGCGTTATACCCATGCGTTATACCGTTTCACTTTGCGCTTGTTCCATGACGCGGTATTTGCGTGCAAATTGTTCCAAAGAGCCAGCCTTACAGCGTTGGGTTCAAACATTTTCGTGAAGGGGTAGTTCAACATCTTTAAAATCAAAATAAATTGTAGTTTATAATTTACCAATCAAATGACGAGAATTTATTCAGGTGTTGTATAAAACAAATAAGGAATGTTTTACGTTAGTGCGATGGAAAGAATAATTTCATTCGGTGACAGATTGAATGTTCGCCTCGTGGAATAGAACATTCAATCTGTCACCTCATGAAATTATTCTTACCATCGCACTCACAAACATTCGTTATTTGTATAATATCAAATGATTTTGTGCGTGCAACATTTGTGCAGATGACATTTTCTTGAACGGCCCCATGACTGGTTCATACTCGGCTACAGAGTGACTGCAAAGTTGCAGGATTTAAAAAAAGACTCTGTGCTGAAAATTTGCACCAGTTGGACTCGGATTGATTTCACTATGAACATTTTGTATTCTCAAATTTATTTTACAATGGTATGGACCACAGAGCTATACTAAGCGACTGGAGCGCTAACTCCTCACTCTTACGCGCGGAGATAATTTGAAGCCGTGAACACACGCATTTTGAATTCATGTGTGAGTTTGTAGACCATAATGAAATTAGATGGGCTGCAGTTCAAATAATGTACTCTAAACGCAAGGCGCAAGTCAAACGCATGCATTTGCGTTGCGTTGTTTGCGCAGATCAAAATGAAATGCTCATATGAATTGATGTTAAATCTTGTAGCATGGAGTCATTTGCTTCAAATAGACAACATAAAAAAATGTAGTCAACATTTCAGACCTGCTCTAACAAAACCCAGACAAAGTTGCTGAACGTTGTTTTTTTCGCACAAAGGGCAAGCGAAGTCGTTTTGGGATGGAACTGACCATTTTTAGGTTTTGAGATTTTCTGAATCAGTAATTTTAAATCTATGACCTCCTAAAATATGAATATTCATGTATTCCATCAAGCAGAAGTGTGGAGGGTTTTTTGGTCAATCTAGTGAAAAAAGTTATTATAGAAATTGATACAAAAAGCATTTCAAAACGCACGCTTATCTCATAATTGGGTTTTCGGGTTTTCATCAAGGGATGATAGGGTCACAGTACCTATGGAGATCAATGGGGGAAGTTGAATCAGGGGAGTCAGATTGACATAGCAGTACTTTCCTCGCCTTCCACCGCTGTGACCCGGGTTTGAATCCCGCCTTGGCCAATATGTGGATTGGGTTTTCAGTCCCTGCCTGATTCCGTTGGTTTTCCTCCGTCTGAAACTGTAATTTTTTCACATTGTCATGATTGGCGTCTATTTACTGGGTCCCAAGCGAGACCAGTGGATTCCATTGAATGGGCTGCCCAGTTAAAATAAGAAATAAATCGTACATCATTTTGAAGCTGAAACTTCAGGAATTTGAAATGCCTAAAACTTAGAAAAAACCATCAACTTTGTCCAGGTTTTGTGGGAGCTGGTCACATGTGAGGTGTATTTTTGATCCTAGGTATCGGGCTCACCATACACAGACAGTTAACCCTTATCGGGTAGCCAGAGGCCGTCCTGTCCCATCCTGAAGTAGCGACTTTCTCCGCCAGGGAAGACCAACTCGGAGGAAGGATGACTCAAGAAGAAAGCAATGGCAGCTTTGACTTGCTGAGCAAAATGTTGGGGTTCCACATCCGGGGAGGTGGACAAGTACTGGGGGACACGACACAAAACAAGGAAAACAAAAAGTTTGCAATTGATTACTCTTTCAATCAGTCCATAACATGGAATTTTGTGTCGGGGTGATGTAAATCAATATTAGGTTTTGCCCTTCAACGATGTATAAACACTGTATACTCAGTGTGTTACCTCCCGAGTGAAAGTTGGAAATCAGGACAATCAGTTCAAGAGTTACAATGTTCAAATACTGGTGTAGTTTAAATTTTTGACTATGATATACAGATTTTGTTGCATGCGTTTAGCAAACATAATTGAGACAGTGGCAGGTCACATGTGAGGGTTGAGTCCATGTAGTGTAAAAGAGATCAGATTTCATAGGAGTCCAAATTTCATAAGACACCAGCACAGAGGAACTGTTTTTGGAATTTTGTCTCTCAATGAATTGGAGGTTTGCGGTAACACAATTTGAATGATATCACTTTGTGAGTTGTGTGGTTCTGAGAAAGCACCAGTTGTCTCTGATAATGCACGATTTCTGTCCATTCTGTGTCTGTTCCGTATTTGTATCTATTCCACACTACAAGCCTTACTCTGTAACAGACACAAAACAAACTGAAGAAAGTTTGAACAGGTATTCAGCTTTGAACAGGTATGAACCCAACCAGGTCTGTGTCCATGAGCATGACAGTTTACGGCAATTGCAACAAAACTGTTTAAAATCTAATGAAAACTGCACGACAACTATTAATAGGTACTCTTCTTTTGTTGTCTTGTAAACTAGCTTCCGATTAACTAGTTTGGCTGGTTGGGGATTGTTAGGGTTAAAGGATAAGTAATCCTCACAGTATTTAACAAATTTTTTAAAAGTGTGGCAGCAGGCACACTTTTTTACTACCAACTTAGGGTATTTGGCACTTGCCCTTCAGTTTGAGCTAACTTTTTCTCATTAACCAATTCAATAGCACTTGTACTACATTGTATTACATTGTGTGTAATCACTGAAGAATCAATAACACCATAGACTGCTTGGGGGGTTTCGGGGGCTACAGTGAGTATTAGGCAGTGTGGTTTGGGGGGCTACCGTGACAAAAGGGATAAAGCAGAAGTTCGTTTTGAGGTAATTATCGATGTTCCTTCGTGCTTTCAACACAGACATTACAGTGGACGGACAGAGAAAGATTAATTTTTCCATTTCAGCCCAAAAACAATAATCGGACCTACCTGCCTGATGGTCTGGTCGCTCTGTTGCAGAAAGAACGCAGCATGAGGGAAGTCAGTGTGTCTGTAGCTATATGGACTGATTCTTAGCCGATGATCAGTGTGATTGTAGATGTTTATAACCTAAAATCAGAGCATACAATCAAATGAACAAAACCTTATTCATGTTAATAAAACCTTATTCAATCCAATAAGAGTGTAGGCAAGTTTTTAAATTGGACAAACAAATTATTAAGTCAAAGTTCTTTTTTTGTTTAAAATCAAACGCAAAGGGAAACTGACAAAGTGCATTATTATACCAATTATAAAGTGGAAGAAAGAAATCGACCGGAGCACGGTTTGAGCCTGCAACCTTGGGGTAACTGTTCTGGGGCAATGAAATCCAGTAGCGAGACCCCTCAAAAATTGTGCTAATTCTTAAAAATAATGGAGAATTCAGGCCGTGCACAACACCAGCACAACACTAGACACGACGGGAACCTGGCCAACACTGCCCATATATTGCACGGTTAAGCGGGCGTGAAAAGTGGTACAACCTAAAAATAATTTCAAATTTAAAAAAAGAAATTTCTATAAGTTAATCCACGAGTACTTGAAGTGACACAGTGCAGACAAGAGAGATTAAATTCTGTGAATTAACTTGCAGAAATCTCCTTTGCAAAAATGTCCTTGTTTTTTTAACTTGCCGATAAAAATGTTAGGGTCATTGCTGTAAAAATAGGGTAGGTCGAGGAACCGGAAGCAGAACTATGTTATGTTTTGGCCTTAGCCACAGACTAAGTGACTGAGCTGAAACTTGGCATGCACCCTTTGTAAGAAATTGAGTAAGTTTGTTGCTTCAAAAACAAAAATGCACAAAACCAAACAATCCTACAACCCAAGTATCATTTGTTCAATGTCATGAACAGTCCTTAGTGAAAGGCCTGATGGTTAAAATGAATGAAAACATTCTAAAGGATAGCTAGATTGAAACTCACTTTCTCATCACCAATAAAATGCCGGAGACCGCGGACTTGCTTGTCTGGTCCTTTGTAGGCAAACGTTGCAGGGAAAATTTCCCCCGTCTTGACTGATACACCTGTATGAACACAGACACAAAAAGTAAACTGACAATACATCAATCTGTTCATAGACCAATTCCCCCCCCCCCCTTTAGGGATAAGGCTCCGCCCAACAAATTTAACCACAAATGGGATTAATGTCCAACAAAAGTGTGACATGTGTGGTTTGAATAATTATGCAGATTGGCACATATGAAGAGGGCGTGGCCTTAATGGATCGGTCTTCTGTGACTGGGCCAACCTTTCAGCAAATGAGGACATGCTGAGAGGAAGTTCTTTGAAAATCTTCCGGTCTACTGAGGCCTTGTTGTAATGCTTCTATCTAATTGCCTTGAAAAATGTCAAACACAATATAGACAACATTACCTTTGAAAAAAAAAGGCTTTCCAACTTACCTACACCATAAAGAATGGGATGGTTCACTCCATTCTTGACAATGTTGTTCAAACCTGAAAAAAGGGCAACAGTTAAAAATTTCAATAACAATAATATATTAACGGATGGATTTTGGTGACCTCACACTTTCAGACCAATCTGAGGACGCCGTCACTCTGCACTCACACAACCCGTCGTCAATGGCTGAAGCATTGTGCCAGCACAGACAGTCTGGACGGTTGCTATGTGTTACCATTCATCTCTCTGATAGTGGTGTCCCCCAACTTTCCCTTTATTAAACATTGAGGGGGTACTTGTGCATGGCGTCTATATTATTCATCCACCACTGAGCAGCTACTCAATTTGAGGCTATCAAGATGTATTGATCATGACATCATAAAAATTCTGTCAATAAAATTAGGCGTCAGTTACTTTTTACGCTCCCAAACCAGTGTCTACTGGAAAATAGAAATAACTCCAATTCAAGTTTGAATGAATTATTACCAGAGATGCAGGCTGTCAATAAGTACACATCCACCGGTAGTTTATGAAATTCACCTACAAAGGGAAGAATAAATTGAAGAAAATGTAACACATGGGACAGAAATATGACTCCAATAAGGGTGGTTTATAATTTATACGACAGCAAATAGGAGCAAATAGAAGTAATGAATTCGCCAAGGTTGAAATGTATTCTTCTTTTTTCAAATTCACAGCACAAAACAACTGTGGTAATATGAATGTACATCTGCGGCTAAGAAATGGTACAGATGAATTGATAGCATAGCATGAATGTACATGTTTGCCTCCTACAATATACATTGTTCTAGTTGTTGATCAGTGTAAAAGTGATCTAAGAGGAGTTAAGAGTTTCTAAACTCACTCAGTAATTTTCTGGAGAGTTCCTCTGATGACCCATCATCGTCTTTGAAGCCGCCAACGATGTGAAGCTCCAAGCTGGAAAAAAATTACATTAATGTCTTAATAGCTACTTGCTCATCAAAACAAATTTAATCATCCTGATGCATATATTCCATCAAAGCTGTCTTACCTGAGCAAATATAGGTAACTATACAACAACAAAAAAGAGATTACTTTGACAACTTGACCCTCATGCCTTGACTCAATATTTGTGATTCAGAGCCAGGTGCAAAGTTAGACTCCAACACCAGTCTGCATACTCACCGTCCGTCGACATCTTGGCTGAGTGCACTCACTCTGTCCACCAGATCTCCCACTCCTTGGCTTGTACCACAACTATCAAAGTGACATAAGCCTGTGGCACCACTACCTGCCAATCCAACCACACAAATTCAAAATATTAAGAGTTCAGTTCCTTTCAATGCAAGTTGACCAAGATCATACAAGATGCAATGTCAAAAATGCCTGAACTTAAGATCCAAGGCGTATCTGGTCCAGTATGGTTAACGTGTTCGAAGCCTAGCTAGGAACATGATGCTTGTGTCCTTATGCAAGACACTTTACTACTATTGCCCCTCAAAACCACTGTTTTTGAAAATTTCAAAATAATCATGATAAGCAGTATCAACATCAAATCCTAGAAGCAAAATGGATCGAGTGGAAAACTCTCAATCGCCTGATGACAAAAACTGGTAGATTCAAAGCTACATTAGCCCGATGGGGTTACAAGACCGGCCCTATCATCTGTGAGTGCAGAGAAGCAGACCACACCATGGATCACTGCCTCAAATGCTCACTACTACCCCACCCATGCAGCTCCACAGACCTTGCGAACTACACCACTAACGCAAGACACTGTGTCGACAAATGGGCAACGATCGCTTGATGCTCTGAAGATATGAAGTGAAAAAGAACATAAACTCCTTAGAAAAAAATTGCAACCTGACGCAACTTCCGCCATTGTGTACACAGTCTATGGAGAGTCAAGAAAATTGTCTAAGTATTTCCTAACACAATTGGAAATGTTTCTCAGTCCCAGATTCATGTCTTATCATTTTTTGCAATGAATGACCTTCATTGAGATGAAATATGAAGAAACGAGTGGCGTCAAGTTGCAACATTCTTTCCAACTCGTTGACAAAATACCTCCCCCCCCCCTTTATGGGCACAATGGAGGATGATTTGCATATCCATACCTGAATGCCTCAAGACAGCAATATGGCAGGTTGTTGCATCGTCAGAACCGAGAGTGTCAATTACATCTGAAAAAAAAAACAGAACAAATGTAAACAACTAGTCTTGGTTCAAGACTGAATCGGCGTGTTATTTTCCTAATTCAGTCGGTCCAGCAGTGGAGTTTGATATCAACAGGATGGAACATTTCCTGTCTTTGGAACCTCGGCAGCGCTGGCCACAAAATTCCGAGCATACCTCACACATGATGTATTCGAGCTAAGGCACTCTTGGATCAATGACCAAGACCAACAAGAATGTTAAAACACCGAGTACAGGTGTTTCACTGTCTTGACAAAATTAAGACTACAAATTTGTTATAAATCTATTTGACTTTTTCAAATCAACCAATTGAGAAATCAAGCAATACGCACATTGCACAAAATGTATTTCACCGCAAGGGAACAAGCCCATTACTGACAGTGCTTGACAATAAGATTTCAAAGTTTGGACAATCTTGGATGAAAGTGACTCTATTGAGCATTCATGGCAAGAGGACCACTGCAATGAGCAAAGTGTTCTGCACCGTCTGTGAAGACAGTAATTTGTCAATGAATTTTTGGTCGTAAAATATCACTGTCTTCACAGAGTGATGATCTCCTGTTGGTGAAATTTTTGCTCAGTACGGTGTTGGATATTTGCCAATGAGGGTTTTTTTTGGGGTGGGGGGGGGGGAAATGGGGTGTTCGGGGGGGGGGGGGGGGGGGGAATTGGGGATGTTCGGGGAGGGGGGGGGGAGGTTGGGGGGTTGAGGTCAGGAAAATTAGTTCCAAAAACAAAAATCGCGGATGGAATCCAATTCCATTCCAAAAACAAACAAAAAATGGTTCGCTCAACCAAATAAAAATCTATTTGTTTTCAAATCAATTAAATAAAAAATATGTTAGAGTTTGAGAGTTATTTAACTAGCCTGACCGTCAGCCACTGTCGTCACTGCAAACTCTCTCTGGTCCACATACAGCAAACCTGGCAGAGGACAGCAACGCAACGGCTGACTCTGAAGCCACTTACTGGAATCCTATGGATCACATACAAGAAAAAATCAAACACGTTAGACAAATGTTAGAGTTTAAAGCCCAAGTCCATCATTTGCAGCTATCCAAAAAAGTAACCGGCGTAATTATTGTTGAAAAACATACTGGTTGAAAGATAGTAAGGGGACTAAGCTCCCTGTGAAATTATCCTTTCTGGCAAGCTCTCATTTTGAAGAAATCAACGAAAGAAGGCATTTCCAACGGTGCTTCCCGTAGGAAAATTTAAATTAGTTGTTCGTTTTGTTATTCGGCGCAGCGCGCACAAGCATTGGAACGACGCACAGGGGCGCGCGGTTGCTATAATTCGTTGGATCAGTGCGCAATATTGCGTAAAGCTGCAATTCAAAACAATTCGAAACATGATTTAGCAACTTTTGATTTTAAATGGAGATCCTAGAATGCTGTTTTTCTCGGAATATGAAGCTGAAGCTGAGCTGAAACTTTATCAAGTTAGTTGTTCAGTATCCTTCATTAGATTTTGAACACTTTTGTTGCTTCAAACGAACAAAATGATGGACTATAGCTTTAAGACTGATGTGTTGTTTGATATACCCCCAGACTGGGACCTTGAGTGCTGAGAAACATGCAAAACTAAATCAGGCCGAATTTACTCACTCTTCAGCCAGCAAAATTCTCCAAAATTGTCTTTGGCCGATGAAAAGATCCTCAATGTTTCACCAACCAATTTTGAAGTCTCATTTCACTTTTTAAAGGAGAAATTTCTTCAATATTTTGTACATGATGAGAGAGAAGGCAGGTGATTTCAAAATGAGGCTAAAGACTAGACTGGTACATGTACATGTCGAACCATGGTCCAACTGTCATGACCTCTTCATTCATTGTCATTAGTCTGGTGGCTGACTATGGAGAAATGTGTAGAAATAGAGACTAGTATCTTACATCCTAGATTTTACTTTTGGAACAGTTGATTGATGCAGTACTGAAGGGTTGTTGAACTGGTTGTTTTCTTGTAATGCCTGTTTTCAATACTTTAAGTTTTGGGACTCTCATACACAGTATTGAGAGTCCCAAATTTTTATATGAATACACCCTGTGCGTACATTGAGTTTACCATCTAACTTTGGACAGCCCTACTGCCTCTGTCATTAATAGGGTGATCGTGTAATGTAGGGCCCCTGTTTAGTTTCAATCAAATTAGAGTCAAGGGTGTTTTTATTAACCCCTTAAGGACGGGGTGTAATGGGGACATTCCTCCACACATAGAGCAAGTGGCCTGCATGACTGCACAGCCTTTGTTCAGTGGGGAAGTTATTAATTTGAAATAGGCCTTTCATTTCATGTAATTGATAGTTTTTTTAATTGGGTTGTTTTTTTTTCGAATTTCTGTTTAACTTTTTATACTTTTTTGATTAACTTTTTTCCCCCGTGGAACATCATAGTCGAACATACAGGATAATCTTCCCAGAGCTCCAATACTCATTTTTGATGATTGACATTTCATCTTTTTGTAGGGTATTTAATAATTTATTTTTTTTTAGTTCACATGCTGGCTTTGAATTTTGTGGTTTTTTTATAATCTGTGTAACTTTTTTGTTCAATATGGAACCTTCATTTTTCTTGCAGTGTATGCAATGGTGTTTATGTTGTTTATGTGGGGTTTTTTTTAAATACATGTTCATGTAGCCCTGGTGGACTCCCTTTCCTCCCTACGTTACGGAGGGATTTGCAATGAAGACTTCGTCCAACCTGGGCTACATGTACATGTAGAGATTAGAATAGACTTCGTTTTTATACCTTATTTATTTTATTTAATGACTTATAATGTTAAATATTTATTGAATTAATAATGTCATGTTTGAAAGTGTTTATGTTTCAATGTCATACCGGGTACTTTCCAATTTTATTTTTCTATGAAGATCTGTTCTGAATTTATGTGGTTTGAATTAAAATTGAAATAAATTGCTGTTAAATTGAACAAGATGGCGTGAACGATGTCAAACATGAAAATGAATAATTGGTTAAACTTTAATTTTAATTACTTTTGGTTAAAGCGCAATATGTTTCAATGCATGGAAACAAATATTAAAAATAAATAATTAATTACACTTTTAAAGCGCATTTCAAAATAGCATTTCAATGCGCTTTAGTACAATGACAAACTGCTGAAATACAGATATTTTACCTGACAACTACAATGAAAATTAACAGCATCACTGTATTAACAGATGATAAGTGGACAAACTTTATGAAATCGTCGAATGATTGAAAACGCTGTCGAATGATTGTAAACGATGGGTCCGAGTTGGTCATGCATGGGTCCGAGTTGGTAGTGGGTTAGCCCCACTAGTGTGGCCGTCGGTATGCTGCGCTGAACCTCTAGCATACCGACGGCCACACTAGTGGGGCTAGTAGTGGGTCCGAGTTGGTTGTGGGTCCGAGTTGGAGTTGGAATTTCAAAATGCGACCAAATAAATCATTAAATAATTACTCACCCCAAACCTCAAGTAGATGACCTTCTCTAAATCCTCAACTTTGCTCTTCTTGGTACAAACGCACGAACCATCTTTATATTTTAGGGGCATTTTGTCTAGGCTAGTTGAACATTTACACAACTTAACCGGCCGGCCCCGTTGCCGGATTTTGTTTTGTAAATTGCGCCCTCATTGGTTTTGGGATTATTGGGGGCGCTGTTTCCATTAAACGAAAACGGCCTTCCGTTTCAAAGGTGCTCAGGCGTATCTCGTGCAAAATGTGCTTGTTTGCGGATTCAATTTTTTTTTTACAATAGGGTGAATACATGGGCGTCGCGAGGGGGAGGTGCAAGAGGGAGCTTCTCCCCCGGAAAAGAAACCCACCCCTCCCCCAAAAAAAGGAACCAAAAAAAAAGAGAAAAAAGAAAAGAAAAAGAGGCGCGGAGTCATATTGGTGTCCGGTCAATGTAATGGGTCGGGAGGGGTGCAAAATGTCCATGCCCCCCGCGAAAACTAATAAATAAAGAATATGTTGAGAAATACAGGATTTGTTTTGGAAAAAGTATGTTTTGCCCCAAAAACAAAATCTCAGTTGTAGCCTAGCTAGTACAATTGGATTTTCGAGTTCTCAGGATAGCGGATTCAATGATTCCGAACTCGATGTTGATCTTTTGCTCAAAAAGATTGGTTAAAGAGGTCAGATATTGCCTGAGTTGCAGCACAGAACATCTAGAATCCAAAATTTCCCGGGGCCCTTAAAATGGACCCCGGACCCCACGCCATTATGGCTTCGCACCATGGGCCCGCATTACTTTTCATCACTCCCCCCCCCCTCCCCCTTTGGCCTTCAGCGTATGTAGGCGCCCCAACCTGCCGTCACCATTCAAGTTGTTGCTTTGTTACATTTCACGCCCCCTCCCCTGTGGAGAATCCTTGTTTTGCCCCTGGTTGGGGTTTTAGGCCGGTTGGACTTTTCCCCCTGCTCAATTCCTGGCTACCTGCCGGCGTATATCGAGATACCCCTAGGTTTTGTTCCAGATGTGACCCAGCAGATGTGAAAAGGCAAAGGGCGTAACAACAGACACACCTTATTTGCCTTGTAGGCACTGAGTGGTAAAAGGGTGTATACTGAGAAACTATCCAAATGTACTATTATTGCATTTCCATGATGCGTAGTATTATTATATACTACGCATCATAGAAATGCAATAATAGTACATTTGGATAGTTTCTCAACATACACCCTTTTACCAAAATATTCCTTTTAATCATGTTAAAAATGGTGTAACTGTTTTCAAATGCCTCTATCCAAAACACAGCAAAGACAAGGAGCTGACATTTCCAGAAAAAAAAACACCTGAAATTTAAGACAGATTTTCTCGAAATGCGGCTTTTTTGTTCAAGATACACCATTTTGCCATGAGAGGGCCTCGCTGTTTTAATGGAGCTGCAACCTCGTTTCCATGGTTACGATCTTGCTGCGCCATGTTGATTCCCATCATGACTAAAAGGGCAAAATTCTTGCAACTTTTAAAACTTATCTTTACTGTGTATGGCAAACATAGGGTAACCAATGCAGAAGTTATGTTTTACCAGCAAAAGTGATGATTTTCCCTCGTTTGAACGAAGCTGCTCTAACGTGCGGCCTCCTTTACATATTTAGGCCGCGCCCACAAAAGGGTAAAAATAACGAGTATTAGAATATTAGAATTTTTTTATCATTTATCATGCCTATGTTTATTTCAAAAGCACGAAGAAGGAAAATGAATGTTAAATACACTTTTTCTGAGTGTTTATTTGTCAGTGCACTCCCATTTTTCGATCAAGCTCCGCCCCCAAAATGCGCAAGATCCAAGATGGGTCCACCTCGTAAAATGATAGCCCATTTCAACTAAACATGCCAATATTAAAGATTTTACCACCAAACTAAACGATATATATTCTTCATATTTGAACCAAACTGCTAATATACCGCCTCTGTTACACGTTTAGGCCACACCCACAAAATGGGTGAAAATCAACAGGTGTTTAAAAGCTAGAATGCCTTATTTTATGTTTATTTTTTTTTTTCAAAATGTACAAAAAAAACAAGGAAAATGGATTATGATAAAATGATCAAATGATAACCACTGTTAAATACAGTGGTTATGAGTTTTTATTGTTTACACCCCTCTGCCTCAAGAGCATCAAGTGGTATGATGCCAAAGTCTCGCATCTGTTTGATTATTACTATAGAGACTGACAAACAGAGGACAAAGATGAATATGAAGCTGAAAACAGAGCCCTTGTTTGCCGAACGTCCATTACTTTCAAAGATCCCAACCAAAATAGGCCGAGTTAAAAAAAAATGCAGTGAAGTCATATTAATTTACAAGAAAACACATGTACAGAATAAAGTGTCCCATTACGTATAAAACACGTCAGTGAGCACAGTGATTATATTGTAGTTTTTTAGAGAAAATATCCCTGTATATTTTTTATGGATCGCTATCGCTTTTGAATTTATTAGTACAATGGCCATTAATTATTATTAGCATACCACTCAACAGTTGTATGAGGGCGCCCCTTCTCTTCATTTAATCCTGTGTTGTTCTTTTACAAAACTATAATTGCAGCTATACGCCGAAGTAAGTTGTGACAAATTGCAAGAGGCAACATTGCCATTATGTAAATCCTGTTCGCTAAATTTTGAATAAAAGTTGCCGAGGAAAACACCACAACCGATTCTATAGAAGACAATAAAGGTCCAATAAAATTATGGAGAAATTTTGACTCCAATTTTGGCTCAGTCACCAAAATTTGTTTTTTAATTTCCATTTTCATGAAACTTGCTTTTTCTGCAATTGTTATTTGACCCTTACTACGTATGTTCCTCTTTTTTATTACTATTTCGTAACCACAAATAATAAACAGTTGTCACACCATCATAAATGTTCACTTTACGAGGTATACTTTGCCAGAATATATGAGAAGTACAAACCCTCAACCCAAATAAGACCATAACACTTAAACAAACCGAAACCACATAAAAATTTCAGCAGGTGATATAAGCAACATACTTTGATGCTCTTTAATTAAACAGGCCTACTCATACAAAAAGTATATGATTATATTGCTACAGTAATCTACGCATTCTGTTAGAACGTTATAAACGTGAAAAACAACCATCAGCCGTAAAGTTATTCCAGTGAATGCATATCAATAACAACTTCTGGATTTATGACACGTGTGAAGTTAATTCCTTCATATTATATAAGTGTTCTTAAAGGGAAAATACAACATTTGCAAACATCAAAACATAAAACTACCAAGTTGTTACGAAAGAATGTTGGTAAATGACAGTCTAAAGCATCCTGTCAAATTATTAGGGCACCTGGAGTGAAGTCATTTTCAAGAAAAATGGTACTTTTGTATACATTTCCAACGGTGGTCGGCCGACCACCTTTGGAAAACTGTTTTCAACTACTGATCCAAATTTACCGGGGTTTTTTTCAGTCCAAATTTTGTTTGCTATTGGTTCCATGTTCATGAACGGGTGCAGGCCAGCTAGACCATTTTTGATCCAAGTTCATCTTAAGTGGAGTCGGGGAACCAGACTACTTGAACATTTTTGTTTTTCTTGGTTTTCCCAGCATTTTCGAGCACAAAACTTCAAACATGTCATTGTAACAACATTTGATCTATTAAACTAACCCCCCAAATAGTTCATTTCTGAAAATTACAGTAAAAGCCAATAATGTACATTCCCTTTAATCTTCGACCTTTAAAAAGTCAAATGTATATCATTATTGACTCCCGGTTGTGTACAGATGTTTCCATTTTAACCGCAGGAATCATTCAAAGCTCAACTCTCAACAGTTCAGTGTTTCACATGCCCCCGACAGTGTGTTGTGATGATTATCGAAATAAACGCCTTTAAACTTTAACACTTTACGCCTTTAACACTTTACGCGCCTGTTATACCTTCATTAAATACTGTCCATGTAAACTGTATTCCAGTATTTTCCTATTAGGTGCACAATTTATACTTTCTTTCAAGTTTCATTAATTTCTTAGCATTAGGTTGTAAATAAAAGCATGGCCGATTCAAATTTCCAATACAAAACTTTTCTCTGCACGTCTTGTGTGCGATATATACAAAGGACAATCACGGCAAATATGGTTCTACGACAACAGCTTACGAAAAGTCGAAACATAATTCTTAAACTGGAAACATCAGAACATGTGTGCTTACAGATTTTAAAACATGACTGATCAATCTTAATCTCGAAAACGCGAATGTATATCAAATGAAATCCAAATTAAACATAATTATGCAAGACACTTTCCATGGTTATGACAATTTCGTTGAGATAATTATAATCCAATTAACGCATACAATAAAGTCGAACTAACAGCGAAATTATTGGCTTTCAACAAACAACTGAACTACGATCTTTTTTTTATACATTAAATTTCCAAACATTTTGAAGTGTTACTGCTCAGCGATATTTTTTTTTAAAGCTGCACACTAAGCCACGAATATCATATAAAGTTGTAGTATAACAAATGTGGAAAAGCGTATAGGCCCCTAATGATTCAAAACGACGCGTCTGTCATTTTGACATAAATAACATAAAAACATGAGCATCAAAAACACCGCCAAAAAAGACGAAGAAAAAAATTGCAACTTTTCAAACTGCATCATTTTTCATAAACCGTTGTCAATCGTGGACGATTTACAGTCTATGTAGCAAACGGGGTATCAAAATGTTAGCTAACAACATTCCCCAAAAGTCTATTTAAATGACGTTATCATAAGACGATCAATATCAAAACAATGACCTCTCCAATGAGTGTGGACTTGCGTTGTTTGTGCTTATGTTTAATATTGCTAAAATATTTTAACACAAAAATATCGTAACACTCAGCGATCACTCGACTAAAGATACTAAAAATAAACTCTGTTCTTTATCTGTATCTGTAGCGTACTGCAAGCAAACTCCACTATGGGATAAACGGTTTAGTGTCTAAACTATACTGTCAAAAATTGTTCACAAATTGTATCAAATTCACAAATTGTTCTCTCAAAGGCGCGGAATCGATCCTAACAAAACAAAGTTCTGTACATGCGAACAGCGTATGAATTACATGTAGAAACTCGTACAAGTATGTTATGACCATGCATGATGTTTTACTTATTTGACATCTTTTACTTTTACAGACAATACTTAACTTCAACGCGTTTAAATGCCTACATAAAATGATACAACTACCAAACAAATATAAATCTTGATTATTTTTTTTTAATATAGAGTATAGTATTTCTTACCGACAACTTTATCCTGCCTCTACACTATCTACAGTTAACAAGCTCGCGACTATCAGGCCGTGTCCGAAACAGGCTTCTAGAGGTACGGCTACGTCTATTGTCAGCGCGTCCCCGCGTATTTTCAATGGGCGCGGACCTAGACCTAGCTCTAGACAGTTGATTCGGATGCAGCCTTACTTTGAACAATTCAACTACTATTTGATACGAACAAGTAAACGACAGGTTCAGGCATTGGGATCTTCAAAAAGCTTTTGACAGTGTCAACATGTTATTCAAAGCAGCATCAGCTCCCTACTTAATAATTGCTAACATATTATCTCCGTGCGTATTATAATAGATAGGAAAATAAATTTGCGTTTTCTTCGTCAGTACATCAAAAGCTGCAGTGCCTCCTGGCTCGGGTGTCTCTGACTAAGACTTATATCAATCGAAGGTATACGCGTACATACTTTGTCAGATGAAAGACAGATGAGTACAAACAATTCAACTACGAAAAATGAAGTGAACAAAAAACGCACGAATTAACAGTTAGGTCATTTTGCTCTTCGAGCAACTTGTTTATTTATAGTCAAAAGAGAATGAAGCTTCTTGCTTCGGCTTCGTCTCATGTTGTCTAAAAGAACCTGATACCGATTATGTCTTGGACAAGGTTCAGCAGTTCTCCACACTTCTCCAAAACGTCCGCTGTGCTGAAATCACTGTATTCCTGCCCACTTGTCTTTGAGTTCCTCTGCGGGTAGCGAGGTTTAGTGAAGTCGCAGTCCAAACGAACTAGGTCACGGGTTACTTCAAATACTTGGTCAGACGTTACGTCCCTGTGTTGGCAAACTGCTCTTGCTAGAGATATAAGATCGTTACAGTTGATATCTGGACGTCCATCCAGACTGTACTGGGCTGCTTTAAGAGCAGTTTCTGCTGCCTGATGTACCTGGAATGCTATCCACTGAGTCGGAACTGCTTCATGTTGGCTCGTCCGATCTGCAACCTTGAGGTGTTCCTTTGCCTGACGGAACCATAGCCGTGCTTTTCGTGGATCTGGAGCCTCTCTTGTAAAGGACGGTGGTACAAAGTTAAATCTCGATCTGTTTGATCTGGCGCTGGAATGGCTTTGGTAATACCTCTCTTGATATCTTCTGGCTTCCTCCCTGTTCCTATTGACCTCTGATTCCCAGTTAGAATACCGATCAGAGCACCGTTCGTCTGACTCACAACTCTTTTCATGCCTTTCTATTTCTTGTTTTAGGAATTGGAAGGCCCTATTAGCACGTTCCTGCTGGCCTGGATTCTTATCGGGATGCCACTTGCGATAGAGACGATACAAAACCCTTTTGCGTTCCTCCGGCGGTAGTCCAAATGCCTCATCAACCTCCTTCTTAATTTGCTCTTCGTCTTTCTGCATGTCTTCTGGAAGAGCTTGGTCAAAATGCGCCGCAGGTGGAACATCAGATGTAGGTTCCCCGGTGAAAGGAGCGACTGTCACGTCTGGTTGTTTCTTTGGTCGCAGGAATTTATAAAGTCTGGTCACTTTAACAATGATGGGATCCTTTCCTCCAACGTCAATTTTGTATCGTCTCGATAAGTTGACTGTCTCATCACTCTTGTCAATCTGCTCAAGGATTTTTGCATAGATTTTCTCAGTAGCGCCATCCGCCAGTGTTTCTGACGGTATCCAATCACCAGTGTCTAAGGCAAGGTTGTCACTATCGGCAAACTGAAACTGGTCTCCGTCTTCAATGTCTCTTTCATAACCTACTATCTCATTTACAAGGAAACGGTTGTATGGATCTTGATCCAGAAGGTGATGAATATCTCTTGGTATTATAGTTCCTGGTCTGTAGTCGTTCAGTTGGGTAGCTCTTGTGATATCGTACTCAGGGATGCCAGACATGGAGATAATGGAATTCATCTCATCCAGGCTCTGACAGTCCAAGACACCTATAAAGATACTTAAATGATCAGAATCCAACAGGTGGGTCAGGAGAGCATTGCAACTGTTTCCTATTTGTCTGGAAGTGAAAGCGTTCTGCTGAAACGGCGAGGAGTGCTCCAGATATATCGTATTTGACGATTTGTCGAAGTATGCTTTCCGAGAGTAATTTTGTTCTGCAATCTTTTGTCCATTCTTGTCGTATAACCCAAGTTTCAACTCAGCTTTGCAGACGAAATTGTCAAATTGCTGGAGTTGTGTTATGCGCTTTTTGATGTCAGCACTCAGTTGTTTGTTTTCGAGCTGGTGCTGCCTAAGTCTGAGCAACACACGAGTCATCTCCTCTGATTTCACCTTTCGCTTGACGCCTTCCAGATACGCACAATGCTGCCCAGCGGGGCAGTCTTCATTGGTGTCTAACGGCTTCTCATTCATCTCATCCCCAAGATTCTTAGGTCGGAGAGACTCTGGAAGAAGTTGAATGAGACGTTTTTCATCCTCGATCTCAAATCCGCACTGCCTTAAGGGAAAGATGAATTCTCTGTCTGTGGATGCAAGATTAAAATGCCCCATTTGAATAGGGTCAGCATAATACAAATCAGTTGACCTCCTCAAGTAGTATCCCGTATTAGGTAAATACAGCTCGGATACAGAAAACGAGGATTGACCGCTTGCATTGTGCAACAGAAGGAGCATTGCTCTAACAGTACCCACGGCTGTCTTCTTTTCATTTGGACCTAGCCGTTCATCACCGCATTCCACTTTCATTGACGCCAATACTCCAGCCAGCTGGTCAAAGGAACATGAATCCTGGGCTCCAAGCAGTCTGAGGACAGTATCAAACTTTGCCAATTCTCGTGGTGCTTTGTACAAGTATGGACGCAAAGACGGCTCAAGATCTTTGTCCATTTCAAATACCAACTGATCTGCTCTCACCAATACACGTCCTTCTTCCACAAGACACAATGGAGTACACTTCAAACGACGTTTAATGTCCTCATCAAGCTTAACCATGTCTAGACCTTTCAAGTAGCCCAAAATCTTGTCCATGACGTCTTTAAACGTCTCTCTCTGTTCTTTTGGCAGTATGTCTTCCTTGTGAATCGCATTCTTTTTCTCCATCAGTCCACAAATGTTCTGCGTGTGCGAAACAACTTTATCAACAACCACATTTTCAATTCCAAGGCAACCATGAACAGTAAAACCCTGTATTTGCTCGTTTCTTGGTATGGCCCAACACGGTAGTATCATACAAACTGACCATACAAGCTCCAAATGTTTGTCCGGCACTGATCCTTGGTATGCAATGAACGCGGGCGTTTGGTTGTCGTCACTGCTCGTCAAAGAGTATGCAGGGTGGATGTGAAGCAGTTTTGTCCTAATTGGGACAGACTGAACGAACTTAATCGTTTTGATTTTCTTTAGAAAGTTGGGATTGCGTAGCTCTTCGTTGAAATTCAGTTCATTTGTCAGAAGACGAGAGATGCCACATAGTGCCTTCCCTTTTTTCTGGTCTTTTACTTTACCCGCCCTTTTTTCTACATCCAGTGCAAACTGAAGGAAGTCGGCTTGGGTAACTGTTGAATGGAAACCAATCTCTTCAAAGAAACACTTCAGGTTCCCCATGGAAGTAGGCAGTAACTTGACTGGGTCAATCAAAGCTTCGAAGACAGGATTATCACCATCGTAGAAAAAGCTTGCTTGTCGGAGTATACCCGTTCTATCTGGAATGAACGCAATATGGGAAAGACGCTCAAGAATTTCTTTCCCCTGCTGTTCTGAAGCATGGCCAAGAACTCTGTCTCTGATGAATTTGACGTGCTGAAATCGACACTCTTGACTGAGAAATAGGAAGCTTGGAAGTATGTATTTTAGATACATGTCAGCTTGTGTGATAGGAGTTATTCCAAGCTGTTGGTATATCTGACACAAGTTACGATTGGGCTCCAGAATAACACAGTGCATGTTGTTCATCCAGGTCTTAGCTTCAACCATCAACATTCCGTAACCATTTGCGGTGTGGTAGTGATCGAAGTGGTGAAGATCGGTGGTGTTGTCTTCTCCTAGAATTTTGAAAACTGAAAGCTTTTTGATAGTTTTCATGCTGTCCTCCGACAGATTGGCGTCCTCCTGAAAATAATGAAGGAGGGTGTTGCTCTCTGCGAGTGTCAGATCACCAACAATCCCACCTGTTTCGAACACACGCTTGATAACACTTGTGACAGCCTGCCGTGAATTCGGCAAAGCCAAGTGCTTTTCTAGGAGTTTGTCTAGTCCCATCGGTGGGTGTGGCACTAGTACTTTCTTACCAGCACTATATTTCGGCTTGAGCTCGCACATAGCTAGTGTTGTGATTTCTGGGAGACCGAGTTTACGGAATACATTGACTGTCTGCATCCCAAATCCAACTCCACTGTTTTGCAGGAGTAGTACCGTTTTGGATAAAGAAGGGGGTACCAGTTTGCCCGATGTAGTTGGAAATACTGGCCAGTGCTTGATGCAATCTAGGGAGCCCTCCTCTAATTTATCACTGCAGATGAATGCCCATAAGTGTCCTAGCCACGACTCGGAGGGATGGCCATTTCTGTCTGGCGTCCACTTTACGTGCTGATTGCAGCCTTGCCAGCTCTCGGGGAGATGCTTCCAAATGTGTTGGGCCAGGTCCACCATGGTGAACTGTTTGAACACTCCACTTCTATAAGCTGCCTCGGAATTCTTTTCCTTCTTGAACCAAGCTATGCAAGATGGAACCAACTGGTTGTGAAGGAATATACCTTTCAGACAGGGTAGCACCCTAGAGTGGCTAGTCACATATGAAGCATCACATGTTGAAAACTTACGCAGCATGCCATCATTCGTCACACGCATGGGTAAGCCATTCAACTCAGCTGGATTTTTGATACCTTCAAGGCAGTACTCGAACACAGTACGTAAAGTCTGGATGTTCTTGAATTTTGTTTTCCCCAAGAGAGCGGGGAGAACATGGGTCACTTGATGAGATCCAGATGAAAGATGTTTAACTACTGACTGTGGATTAACAAACTTTGCTTCAACACCACAAGCTTGAAACGCCAAACATACGTCCCGGGAGCTGGCCAGCAGGTTAAAGTTGACCCTCAGCAAAAAGGAGCGTATTATCTCCCGTGCTGTGTCATCTCTCACACCTGCTTCGGACACTGCGGGATCAAAGTTATCCGTGAAAGCTAGACTGTCATCACTGTTTGGATGATGCCAGGTGGTTGTGATAACATCTTTGGTTTGACGTACAACGGGTAAAACCTTCAAGTTTTCCTTACCGATGTACCGGAGCGTAGTTTTTGCTAGGAGTTCCCACTCTCCATGATAGCTCTTCAAATGCTTTGGGAAAAGGTCGTCATACCACCCAAGGTGCCGTTTCAAAGACTTGACGTCAGCTTCCCCAAGTATTATTCGTCCTGCACTCTCAATTAATTTGGCATATGCTGGGGCAAGTACATGTTGCACTAGCGTTCGATTCCATCTATGGATGAGTCTACTATCGTCAGAAGTATCAGATTTTGCATATTCGTCGCCTTTTGCAAGATTCTTTCTTGCCGAATCCAACTCAAACGTCCCATTCACGTGCACTGGTAATCCGGTGTGAACCGGCAGTGGGAGAAAGCAGTAAGCCTTGTACAGCTGACTTGCTGCCATCTCCGTTCTGCTATCCTGGAGGAGAGCCGCTACTCCACCACGTGGAAGAGGCCTCTTTAAGCTAAAAGATCTTGACACCGACTGGCATTCAAGGGGAGAACCTTCAAAACCCAGCCTTTGAGAAATAAGCCATGTTTGTTCAGCGCCATGTGAGTCACTTGTCACGAGGATGTACACATGGGTCATGGGCTCAACTGTCTCACATGGGTTATCTGTGAAAAGCTTGAGGTGCTCCGTGAACCTTGCACGTCGTTCTTCGGCTTTTTCTGATAACGTTGCATTGATGCAGTAGTCTGTTGTTAGTTTGTTGGAGTGTTCATCAATACACGAAACTATGATCGATTTGATATTGTTAAGGAAAAGAAGAGCTTCCTGTGCCACTTTCTTAAAGTCTTCAAACAACTCCTTTACTCTCCCTAGATGGTAAGTCTCGCTGGAAAGCCCCGATGGCCGCTTTCTGAGTGGGAATCGAAAAACTGTTCCCCCCTTTCCTTTAAAGGCAGGTAGATCTTCCAGATATCCTCTCAACATGTCAGGGAATTTCCCCCGGAATCCATCGTGTGTCATTAATTGTATCCCGGGTGACGTATTCCGCGTCACTGGAGAGAACATCAAAAGCGGATCAAACACACAAAGGGTGTCACTGTTGCTTAGGAAACTCGGGCAATCAGTAAGGTGGTAAACTGCATTGAAACCGATTCCAAACTTCCCAGTTGTTGTAATGTCGTCTCTCTTTCCCCCAACTCCTACCTTTTGAATGCCTTTGATGTCTGCTTCAGTAAATGGCTTGTCATTATAGACACATAGCGATGGAAGGTCTCCTATGGCAGCCCAGGAATCACATACGACCTTCTTTGCTTCGTGATGGCGTGGATCATAAACAAAGTGTATTTCTGTTGATCCTGCATCGTCGGCATTTTGAAGAAGCTCTTTGAATACATCGGAGACATTTGGATAGGCCCCAAGTATGTTTTTCAGACGATCCGTTAATTCTTCACTCTGGCCGAAATCTATTGCAAACCCATGCAACGGTGAGCAGCTACTGATGTACTTCTGCCTTTGTGTGATGATACCCAAAACCTTAGCATCGCGGGATGTTATATCTGGATGTGTGTACTTCTCTTCGTCACGAGTTCCCTCCCATTCAATATCGTTATATGTCAGCTCTTCGGGTAACCGCAAGACCCCACAGTTATCTGGGACATGAATTAAGCCTGTTTGTAAGCTGCTTTCTCGGCTACCTTCGGTGTATTTTCCATGTTGTTTTGCTAACATGGAGACAACCTCTGACAACATCGACGTCGAGGTTTTCAGGTCTGACTGATTTAGAGGTTTCTCGCCATAGGTCGTCTTCAGACGCTGAAGAGTTTGAAGGAAGTCCTCCAGCTGAAAACGATCTCTTACACCGCAAATCCGCAACAGGTTGCTGAATTGAATGAGCTCATGGGAAACATTGTACAGATATGGTCCATTTTTGCCTTCGTAGAAAAAAGCAAGCTGCCTACACTCTCTGAATTGACCATCACAGAAGACGAATCTCATCGAAGAAAGCTGGTCAACTGCAGCATGGTGCTCTTCCTTGATAGTAACATTACCGTTTGGAGACACTGCACAGATTGTGCTCTGGAGGTATGGATATATGCTGCAAACCATAGCAGATGTTCGATGGCCCTTCTTGGGTGCTCGATCAATTAGAATTACAAGCTGTGCAATGACATCACTGATTGCAACCTGTTTTTCTGTAAAGCCGAGAAAGGCCTTGACCTTGTCACTCATTGCCTCAGACCCTAATCTCTTCTCGTCCAAAAGTGGTCGAACGGACCCAAGAAGGTTCTTGTGTTGTGGTGTATGAAGCATGTCTGCTGGCATAAACTCATCTTCACAGTTACACCAATCCAAAGGATAGAGTGGAGGCTTTCTTAGGACTGGAAGGAAAGCTGCTTGTCGGATTCGTTTCCTTTGATCGGATGTTGGCTCGTCAGACCTTCTGAGCTTTTCATCTATCAGCTTTAGGAGAGTTATGCACCTCTGGTCAACATTCTCACCCTCTGACAATGATTGTGCTCTCTCACATATATCTTCCCAAGGTAGGTCAGATGAAGCCATCCCTAGCTGTGATAAAGACAGAAGACGCGCTTGTTTACGGTACAACTCCCCATGTGGAAACCGACAGTCAGTCTCAATATACAGTGATCCAACTGATGATTCGGGATTCACCAAATCCTGAGGTCTTGACAAGTATTCACCATTTGGGAAAATAGGTATACACTCTGTAGCCTTCAGCAATTCATCATAGTCTTCCAGTTTTCTTTCTCCAAGACGAAGGTCCAACATGTGAAGAACAATCCTGTTTCTGTGAGTAGACTTGATGTCTTGAGGGCTATTCTTCAACATCGGGAAGAATACCTCAGACAAAAATCGCTGCATGTTGAAGGTGTTGCAATTGAAAACCTCTTGAGCGCCTGCTTGTTTGATGCTGTCCACTACATCTCTTTCCAGTTCCACACATCGTTTTGGGACCTGGTGCTTATTTAGTACGGTTTGTATGCTTCCGCTCAGTTCGTCAAGATCAGTGAAGAAGCATTGATGCACTGATACCCACTTTCTTTGGTTAAAGATTACATCTGGGGCATCGACTCTACTTCCTATCTTCTTGTAGTAGGCTTTAACGAAAGGATGAAAGTCACTTTCGGACTCACTCCATCTTGGCCACAAACACTGGAAGTTGCGATTATCAACAACACCTTGTTCTTGCAACATTTGAAGATCTTCGAGCAGATTCATAAAAGCACGCAACAAGACCGATTCCATGAAGCAGATATTCCAACGGGTTTCAAAATCTCCCGTGTCAGAGGAGGGTTTGCTCCACAGCTGGCGGCGGTTAGGTTGTAGTAAGAAGTTGCCATTGACATGAAAGCGTAGCCCGGTTGAGACGTCAAGAGGGAGATAACTAAAGGCCTTGCCGTGGGTGGTTTCAGGGGTCAACCCTCTTTCACCCGACACTAATTGTGCAGCAACTCCACCACATGGCATAACTCCAGCTTTGATGCCCTCTTTGGTGAGGGCAAGATCTAGAGGCCTTCCTGTTGCCATGCATGAGCTAATGATGAAGTTACATGTTTTTTTCTTTGGTTTCTTTTTGGCAGCTGCGCCCAATATGCACGTTTCCTGATTCATCTTTACAATCATAGTTGTCTGTGGAATTGGCAAGCCATGGCCTGGGACTTTCATACGTTGTGCTGTTGCATTCAGGATACCACGTTGAGTTTTCAAGTCACCCGTTGATTCTGTAATTGACCGTGGCAGCTGTCTGACCCGTGAAACAGTTACAGACATCACTGGTTTCAGATTATTGATGTTTTCAGATTCAAGCTGTTCCACAGTAACTTTAACCACGTTCTGGGTAAACAGAAGCAGAGTAGACGCCGATTCCTGCAAAGCCTTTAACAATGGATATGTACTCTTCTTGGAATCAAAGACAGAATCCGAAATTTGATTTGGCTGTTGGCCATCAGCCTCCGGTTTCGTCCGCAGTGGTAACCTGAAGAGTGTGTGGTCGAAGTGTGCAGCCTCTGGCAGCTTACAACCAAAGATGCCATTGTATGGTTGGAACTGGTTTGGGTAACTCTCAAGCGTCCGTCTGTGGTTTTCGTTTGTCAGATCAAGTTTGATGCCTGGCTGTGACGGCTTGACACGAGATCCAAGATGGGTCGTTCTGGGATCACAAATAAGCACATAGGGTCCACTGACGACACTTGGAACATCTGTCAAGTGATAAACTGACGTGAATCCCAATCCGAACCTCCCAACTTTGTCAAGCTGATCTTTCTTGCTCTGGGCAGCTATATTGCAGATATTTGTGATGTCATCATTTGAGAAAATGCCATCATTGTAAGCCCAGAGAGCAGGTCCATGACACGATTTCATTCCTTCGCCCAGAAGGTTGTGGGTTGTTTGCTTGTTGTTGCGCCAGTCTAGAAGGAATTTGACTTCAGTAGCTCCAGCGTCGTCAGCGTTTTGAATCAATTCGTTAAAGATGCCAGGCCCTTTCTTGTACATATCAAGATTTCGCTTAATTGCATTCACTGTCGTCTCGTGTGGGCCGGCAACCTCGTATCCGTACTCTACTGCTTCAACCGGAGCAATCACGTGACTCAGTGGTTGCAATCCTAATTTCTGAGCAACCAAGTTCGGTATTAACTCATGAATTATTGGTCTGGTGAAGTCTTGGGAACCATCTTCGAATATTTGTCTTGCAAGTCTCTCCTCATCAACATACAGGCACTGAGTTGAACATGCCATATGTAGCTTTCTTTCTCCTCCTCTCTGCATTCTACATGGAACAAGGATCCCCGGCATCTTGTTGTCAAATCTTTCTTGGTTAACCATGTGCCTTAAGATGTTGCAGACAAGATGTAAGTCTTTCTTGTAATCCTCTTGACTGGAAAAGGATTTAGCTTCATGCTTTTGACTGACAATTCGAAGCGCTTCGCATAGAGCGCTGTCTTGGAAGGTCTCCTGGACACCCATGTTGTTCAGGAAACTTTTGTACTGGAGATAATCCTCAGGAACAAGGCGTAGATAAGGGGTCAACGTAACGCCAAGTGTACCGTTGTTCAGGGCCATTTTGTCAGGAGTAGTGAAACCAGAACCATGCCACACCCATGGTTGTGAAGCACTCATGTGCTCATGAAAAAGGTGTCTCAACTGTACATTCGCTACCGTGGTTAAAGGGAATATACATCATTTGCTTTTGCTGTAATTTTCAGAAATGGGTGAAATTGGGGGGTCGGAAATATAAAGCAAATATAGTTACACTAACTTTTTGGAGGTTTTGGGTTCGAAAATGCTATAAAAACCAAGAAAAACGATCATTTTCCTGTAGTCTGGTTCCCTGACTCCATATAAGAAGAAACAGAGCAGTTTACATACATTGGGGGAATTGTAAGGTCAGGGAACCAGTCTAGCTGGCTCGTACCCGTTTATAGGTTTGTAATCGATTGCAAACAAGTGCAATGGTCAATTGGGGCCAGTATTTGATAAAAAGCCAGTTGTTTCCAACGCTGATCGGCCGATCAGCGTTGGAAATTGATACAAAAATACCACTTTTCTTGAAAATGACAGTATACCAGGTGCCATAATTTTACAGGATGCTTTAGACTGTCATTTACCAACATCCTGTTAAGGTATTTCGCAAAAACTTGATAGTTTTATTTTTCGTTGTTTGCAAATGTTGTATATTCCCTTTAAGAAGGAGTATATCTTGGACACCGTAAGAGAAACAAAATACACATTATCATGAATGTTCTGGTATTTGTTTGCAACATTCTTGAGATGAAGAACTACCCGTTCGACGTGTTGGTAGTTGCTGGAATCAAGACTCTTTTGCCATCCAAAGACACTCAGTACTTGATCTTTGAGGTCATGTAACCCGACAAGAGGGAGCACAGAGCCTTGAAGCAGAGCAGAATCAATAAGCCCTATGTGTCTGGGTGAGTAGAGTGTATGGGAGTTTCCAATCCAATCAGCCTTGCTGGGGTAGTTAGCAGGCGGTGAAGCTTCACATGGAACCCAAGACAGATCTTCAAGAAACTTATATAGTGCTTTGCATATCCTGTTGCTTGTGACATGATCACGTAAGATACCTGGATAGCGGTTGATATGTTGTAAAAGGACTGATCCCCTTTCAACATTAGCCTGGCCTGTGGTTTGGGAAACCTCCACTGCACACCTCAAAACGTCATCTGGTGTCACAAGTGCCTCTGTTTTGAGTCCGACCCGTTTTAAGTTGTTTAGCAGTCTGCCTTCAGAATACTTTCCCGCTGGAAACCTTTTGCTGCCTTTAAACATCACTTTAAGTGTTCTAGAGGGCTCGAACAGCTCCTTTGGACTTGCTCTGCATCCAGAAATTGGAATAAACTTAAGGTCCGTCACCAAACGATCAAATCTAGGTTGCTCCAAGACCCACCTCATGATCTTCAGTGAATCGTCTTCACTGTAGAACCCTGCCTGTACTGCAGGGAGCATGTTTCTTTGTAGAAGCTCATCCACAGATTGCTTTCGGACCCCCAATCGCAGCAGTAGGTTGTCCGACTCGTCAGATCTTAAAATAAGACATCGCCGACTTAAAGCTCTCACAGGTAACCCAAAATAGTCATTAGGAATTGCTGTTGCACATGTCTTCACTGAGACATATTTCCCATCACTTCCCAGAAAGAAAGGCAGCGACTTCAAAATATCACTTTGTCGTGTTGTTAAGTGCTGGGGTTTTGCAAGGAGAGCTCGTAGTTCGTCTTTTGTGCTTGCAGCCAGTCTTTGAACCTGGGCATCAAGGTTGTTGTGGCTGCATGCCTCTAAAATGGTCATTACTCCTTCAGGTGTCGGAGCACTAACAAATCTGTTGACATGAGGGTGATCACTTACATACGACGGGAGATCCCGTATAACAACGGCTCCGATAGACTCAAGAAATGAGCAGACATTGTCTGACAAGCGTGCAAGAGAACGCCCATAAGAGCCCCCCACCTGTATCTGGCAAATTAGCCTACACTGCTGCAGCCTGGCAATGCGGTCCAGTGCTACCGGTATGAGGGGAATACCTTTGAATTTCTCAAGGTCTGTTTTCAACAACCATTGCCAAAACTCCGCAAACCACTCCTTTGTTGGTTGTTGATGCTGTCCTGGGGTCCAATGCACGGTTTCATTTGTTCCTTCTCTCCACGTGCTTGGAAGCATCTCTCTCAAAAGAGGTGCAACATCATTAATGCCAAGACGTTTTAGCTGGGTGTGCGCCTCTATTGTCGGTTCTGTCAGCAGTGCAGATGGTAGTACACTCACAGCAAATCTTGATGCCCCATTTGGTATCAGAGAACTTGGATTCTCTGTGGTCGCAATGTATACTTTTGGGGCATTGTTACAAAACGTTACAAAATTGCCACTCTGCAGGGGAAGCAGACGCAGGTTCTTCAGATCAAAAACTGTGTCACTAGTCACATATTTAAGAAGCATACACTTCTCGTCACGTGAAAGGAACTCCAGTGGATCCCACCTGATCCGGTTTCTCACGAGTGCAGGTGTAACCGTGTTGTAACTCACACCAGCCCAATTAAGAGACTCAAGAACGTGGTTGGGAGGCTGTGCAACTTGACAACCTTTAATTCTCAGCACTTTTGAAACCAAGGCGCTTCCCTCGCGGTCCACATATATGTCCTGTGGCTTCATCCAGGAGCCGCCATTATGTTCTGTGTAGAAGATGGGCTCGTTCGCAACCAGCTGCAGGAAGTTCTTGACCCCAGCTGTCCAATTTGCCTTTATATCCCTGATGAAAGGCCAGGCTCTATACACATCTAACGGCTCTGTTGGATCAGAGGGATCTCTACTCCTCTTCATAGCATCCAGGATAACCTTTGCATAAACTTCAGGAAAGACTTCCTGTGTGAGGAGCTCATTCCAGAGTGCCTTATTGTCATGCTGGGACTCTTGATCTGGCCACTTGATACTACGACGGTTGTCTCCAAGACCGAAGTAGCCGTGTACGTGGACTGGCAATCCAGTCTTCTCACTCTCTGGCAATGGTAGGAAGCAAAACACACGACCGGTTTGCTGTTCGTCATCTAAGCCCGCTGTTGAGCAAATTCGGAAGGACATCCCCATCCATGGCAGCAGCTTCAGTTCATCATCTCTGATCAGTTCCTGGAGACGTGTGGATGTACTCCTGGTCTTTAAGCTGTTTACGGTGATGTATCTGCTTGTCGTTTGAGCTCTGTGTCGTCCAGTTTGTTTTTCGATTCGTACACAGCTCATGGTTTGAATGTCTTGCTTCGAGATAATCTGGCTCAGAAATGTTGTTCTGTTCATACGAAGCTGATGACGATCTTCTTGGTGGATCTGTACCTTACAGATAAGTATAGGATTCCTATTATGATCTCTTTTGTAAACGGTTATGGATTCTACGTGCTTGAGAAACAATAGAGAGATCTCTGCATCTCTCTGGAATGACGAAAAGAGGTCATGCACACGCTTATGATTACTGAAAACCGACTTACTGATCCGCGATTCGCTGGTTCGCAATGGAAAGCGAAAAATAGTACCCTCTAATTTACCATTGTCAAAGTTTTTGTGATTACAGTGAAACAAGTCAATCAGGTAAGGTGAAAACTGGTCTGGAAATTTAGCCAGAAGATCAGCTGTCATCTTCCACTTCTTACCACGTCTGCCTTTGTATTTTGTGTTGGTGTGAGGGTCATGGATGAAGTGCTTCTCTAGTGGGTCCAAGAAACCGATTTTATTTCCACTGATGATGCAGGGCATGTCTGTGAAAAAAGTGTCAAAACCTAGATAATCACTTCTGCAATAATAGGTAGACTGTTAAATAAAGAGTATATGTTGATGATAGAGTTACCATCAGGTATATGCATGTTACCTGTAAGATGGTAGACAGATATGAAGCCCAGGCCAAACCTCCCAACCTTGGAAAGGTCTTCCAGCTTCCCACTCTGCTCAGGGTGCTGGATGTTGTACCAGTCTTGCTTCTGAAATGTTGCGTCATTGTAGGCATACAGAGCTGGTCCTTGGAAGTCCTTCAATGTCTCAGACCACAATCGACGGCTCGGATGTTGTGACTTGTCGTAAAGGAAAATCACATTCTTTGCTTCCGCATCATCGGCATTCTGCACAAGCTCCTGAAATACATATTCAACAGGCCTTTAACTCTTGCATACCGTTTGTTTTTTTATTTACAAACATAAAAATACTTTGTAAACACTTCTGACAATAGTCATTTTGCACCGTGTAGAAACCAGATATTCATACCTTCAAGATCTGCCCACCCTCCGGGTACTTGTCCAGAACCCGCTTAAGGTAGATGTGTAGAGGTGGTAGCTTCTGCCCAAAATCGCCATCCTCTGTAAAATTTAAAATAAGACCTGAGGAAATTAACATATAAACTACACGGAAGTTGTCCATTTGTGATAATTTATCAAGGGGATTTATTTTTTATTTCTTCTAGGACCCATACTCGTCATCAAAATCACTCGTGTGGGTCATGAGCGTGGTCAGGATGCAGTTTTTTTTTCAATACCAAAGATACTAGAAACCTTATAAAATAAAACAGTGAAGCAACTGTGGTTCATGTTCACGTTGAACTTATACGAGAATATCTCATTAATGATGGAGTCTTGAATATAAAAAAAACAGGCCATTGAATCAAACCTTTTACCATCAGCACTTACCATCACTGGAATCTGACATTGTGCTTCAATTCTGCACTAGATGAGCTCGTAGCAAACGTAGTCGGTTTATTTCCTCTCTCTTCAGGCGAAGTCTGTAAAGTGACGTTTGTTTCGAAAAAAATCATTAAACAGACCACAAATATATACTAAATCATGCAAAGAATAGTGTGCTCACAGCTGCAAAACCATCCCCTCACATCCTCTCTCATGAGTTAAAACCGCTGTACGATATTCTGTGTAAAACGAACGCATAAGAGTTTTGCCTACTTCGATAATGTTGATCAATCTAACATTTCAGTGAAACCTGTCAACAGAGAACCAAGATAAAACTGAACATTCGCATCATCAAATAAACAACAAAGCTACAAACAAACTTATTTAAAGTTGGTATATATGTGCTTTTTCAAAATTTGTAATTTCTTTTCCGAACGAAATGTGAAGGAATAATGCCCAGTAACAAATACATTTGCTTGTTTGAATGTGCAGGCCTTAATACAGTTTTAAAAGTGGTTGTAAACTGAAGCGCGCTCCGGCTAAGAAAGTTTTGAGCGAAACGCTTTAAAAATTCAAATCTTGTGACGTAGCATGCAGCATGTATGTTAATTTTTGAATAACGCGTTTTGTATTATCAGGGCACCATGGATTGATTGTAGCTACGGGATGATCGCGTACGGTCGGTAGTCCGACCGAGACATGCTCTGCGATGATGAGCTACGTGCATTTTGTCCTCACAGAGAATTGTAAAACCCGTAGTTTTCCAAGTCTAGTTTTACGTGGTCGCAGAGCAGCTGGGTATGCATACGTGGACGAACAATGCATAAGAAAAAACGGGAACAGTATATCGTCCGCGATTCCCAGCATACTTCCGCGATTGGGGTCGTGTACAAAACATATGGGAGTCTTCCTAGTACAAACAAAAGTGGGACAATAGGACGTCCACATTGATGGTGTGAATACGGCTGCGTGTACGTGTAGTGTGTGTGTTGTTTCATTTCATTATTCAAAAACTGCACTGTCGCAAAAGCGCATGCGTTACTATCCCGCTGTGAATTACAAGCGGGACGCTCCTAATTTAAAAGTTGAACCTAATTAATTGGTTATTTCGTCGGTTGATTTTTTTTCGTGCAATATCTCATTGGAAAGCTCATAAATAATGCAATCAAGTAAATCAAGTATCTGTGACTTGTGGCTTCCAACTCAGGCATTTCGTTCACAAAAATTCTCAACTTGTGCCTATTTCGCATACAGGCGGGGTCTACACTGACAAATTGCCTGGGTTAATTTTACAAAAGCAAGCTTAGGTGAAGGCTGCATCTACCCAAAATTGGGTTGTCCTTTACCCAACTTCGTCCCCAGGGTGTCGAGCAATACGCGCCCACCTGCTCTCTCACCCTGGTATTGGATCATTTGCATGTGCAAGATTGTTGAACACGTATGCAAATGAGGAGAAGTCTGGTGCCTGCATGTCTGTTTCATTAGCGTTTGTTTTTGTATGCGGTGTCTTGGGTGAAAACAGCATCAATTTGTCGCACGATTTTTTTTAAGCTAAAATGTTACAGTCTGGCCCGCCAATATGCAGTATCAATTTCATATTAATATGAGCAAACTGGAAAGGAAAGGAGTATTTTTGAGAAGGCGTGGACGTCATAACTACAGTGATCTTGAAAACACGTAATGCACGTTGCAACTAACCACACCAACTACACGATACAAATTGATTACTAGCAAATTATGGTACCGAATCGGGACACAGGAAGAAAGTTTCCTATCCAGGGCTTACTATTGGAAACGAGGTTGAAAATAAAGTAAGCACTGGGGACGAGGTTGTCCTTTACCTTATTGTTCGGGTTAGAATTGCTGTTAAATTCAACCAAAACCTGTGGTCATACTTTTACGAGACCAAATTACAGTATGACCACAGGTTTTGGTTAAATTTAATAGAAATTCCAATCCAAACAATTGGGTAAAGGATCACCCCATTTTGGGTTGCTGCAGTTTTCACCCTTGATTGGGTAAAATTAACATAGGCAAGTTGTCAGCTGTATGATTTCGACCTGGGCCAAGAGATCAGCAATCATTTTAGCTGGTTTTGGGAGGGGAATATAAAAACAAATGACGCGGCAAACCTCTAATTAAATTGTATTGTTTTCTATGAGCGCGTATTTAGTGTAGTGAAACCGTATCCATCTTTAAACTGAGAATTTTTCAGAAAATGGATTAAAAACCTACGCAGACTATCATATTTCCAACTGATAAAATTTCTTTTGTTTTGGGCTAAACGGTATTTGTTCGTTTTCTTTGCGTGCTTCTGCACTCGATGTTTCATTATATACTTGAAACAGCAACAAACCTAGTTTGGATACCCTCGAGATTTTTTCACTGCGTTTTATTCAAAAATGGATAAGAATTGAACGGCTTTCGAAACAACGGAAATACTAATTTCATGCTCAGGGACTGTATCTATAAACGCGTAATGATGGGGAACAAAGGTCAACCGAGTAAACCGAAAGCGATCATTATGTACAGTCAAAACACTATTGCGTGCTATGGGTTTTCCCCTTGGCACGCAATACCGTTCGACGACGTCAAGCCCGAGTACGTGCACCACCAACCTCGTCCCCAGTGCTCACTTTATTTCCAACCTAGTTTCCAATAGTAAGCCCTGGATAGGAAACTTTCTTCCTGAATCCTGATTCGTTACCGCAATATGGCTAGTAATGGATTTTTATCGTGTACTTGGTGCTATTTTTCACAACGTGCAGTACGTGTTTTCGCGATCATTCGTCCTCGCCTTCTCGAAAATACTAATTTCCTTTCCAAATTGCTCATATCAATATGAAATGTGATACTGCATGTTGTCTCGATATAAGATCGTAACTGTTTAATTTAAAAAATCGTGTTTTCGTAACTTACGCCGTGCTCGCGCTGCGACGAATTGACTCTGTTTTTTACCCCAGAAACCGCATACAAAAACAAACGCTAATGTAACGCATATCCAGGCACCAGACTGTTCCTCATTTGCATACGTGTTCAAAAATCTTGCACATGCAAATGATCCAATACCAGGGTGAGAGAGCGGGTAGTGATGGGCGCGTACTGTTCGACACCCGGGGGACGAGGTTGGTGCACCACACGTTTGGCTTGGAACTCCAACTGCGCATGTGCACATCGAGATAAAAGCACGAGATATAATGTACACAGTGTATGGGGACATATGCGATTAATGGTGACAGAATAGTGACATCTGCGTATTCTTTTTTATGCATCGGAAAGAGGGTGAAAACACATTGAAAATAAACTGTAAAACGGGCTATACATACAACTGTCTTGAATGTACATAATGCTGTAAGAATATCGACCGAAGTCGTGTTGAAGTTTTGCATGCAATCATTTGAAAAAAAATAAAGATTGACTAATCATCATTCAAAACTTCTTCGAATAGTATGTAATTCGAAAGTAAACCGAAGCATGAATACATTCAAGATCAAGGTTATGGAGGGATTTTAAGTAACCCGAAACAGCCTACAATGATAAGCGGCTAGTGTTTTCCCTTTTGCCTAGAACTCTGAGCGGCATTTCATCTCCTGATGAGAGCGGCCGATTGTGTTTTTTATAAGGATTGTGCATGCAGCGGAACATTAAAGCTTTCTCCTTTGATATGTGCGCCTTCCTAAAAGTGAAAAGTGCCTGAACAGTCAATTCGCGGTTCAGAGGGCTCGTTGAGAAAAAAAAATAAAAACAGAAAAATAATGCATCGGGGCGGTCGACCATAAACCTAAGTTAATTTCACGGCATCCTATAACGTCACGTGGTTGAGGATAGAGGGATAATAAGGAAGTTAATTTCCGACTTCAACATGACGGTTAGAACAGCTTGAGATTGAAACGTAACAACATCAAGTGCGAAATGACAGGACGGGAAACACGGAAATAAAGTAGAGAAATCAATACATAATGTATCAGACGATTGAGGGGCGTGGCACTTCATTCTGTTTCCAGACATTGTGAAACGTGGTATATAATAATCAAGCTAACAATTGCATAAACAATTCAACCTAATCCAGGCCACAAGATGAGGCAAGTCTCTGCTCGTACCCGTAATGTGTGTTTTTGCAAAGTAATAATAGCGGAAACAACCGACTATGACTCACCGACGTTCATGCCAACATTAATGTCGACCATGCACTGTGAGGAACACGACTTGGCTCTTACATCTCACATATGGGCCTGAAGTTTTTCATGCTCCGATGAATTTGAAAATGCAAAAGCGTGTCCACTGTCCACTGTTCCAAGAAGAAATGATGGCAAGAAAATTAGGAAGAGTCGAATTTAACCATATGACTCGCCTGCACACCCACGCAGTGATCACTTCGGTCTATTGCTCATTCGGGGATTATAACAACCTCGTCCCCAGGGTGTCGAACTGTACGCACCCACCACTACCTGCTCACCCTGGCATTGCATCATTTGCATGTGCAATATTTTTGAACACGTATGCAAAAGAGAAATAGTCTGGTGCTTGCCTGTGCGTTACATTTTCGTTTGTTTTTATATGCGGTGTCTGGGGTAAAAACAAAATCAATTCGTAAAAAGCGAGAGCATGGCGTGAGTTACGAAAACACGATTTTATTTTAATTAAACTGTTACGATCTTAACGAGACAATATGCAGTATCACATATTGGAAATTGGAAAGGAAAGGAATGTTTTTGAGAAGGCGTGGACGTGAACTTAGGTTCTCGTTCTATTTTCCCCTTAATTTAAAATTATCTCAGTGATAAATTTGGAGAAAAAAATAGCTGATGAAAATGAGCAGCGACGATGAGCAGCTAGTTGAGTAACTAACAACAATGCTGTTGATGTCATTGTCGGTTCTCATGGATAAACATGAATTATTCATGACATTGCCCATAACCCTCCTAGGAATAAAAAAAATTACGCCGCCCGCGTCGGGTTCGACGAACGAGCATTATCACTGCGAACGCGGCGACTATACAGTCGTGTGGTTGCGAAGGGGTATATAATTCTAAAGGATACGTAACACTTTATTTTGAATGAAACAACATGTACACAGACATGTTATGTTGGCGGGTGAAATCTTTGAAAATTAATTTCTCCAGTTTGGAAGACCTATCTTAATGCAACTTTCAGTATTTATTTCCCTTATAATGATCCAAGTATGTGCTAAAAATCGTTGTGATAATGTTCATTACTTTTCGTTGAAATTGGAAAAATAGGCCTGGCTCCGTGCATTTTTGAAAGTTGTAACACTGGCGTCTGCAATATCTGTCAATCTTTTCAAGCCTGACGAATATTAAAAAGGGTCCTATCCATTGTGGTGTGCAGTAAACATTTTGAGAAAAGCCCCCTTCACGAGATATTAATTGATAAATATCACCCATTTTGCCGGCTTCCATTGGTCGATGCCGAGACCCAAGCCAAAACACGCCGAGTGACGCTAATGAATATGATAATCACCCATGTTAATGTGTTGCTTGGCCGAAATCGGTCAACCGTAGCGCCTAGGGCGCTTTGCTGAACAATGCACGTGGCCGGGTTGTGTCGGCGGAAAATCCTCGTCGAAATTTTCCATGGAGATGTTCTAGTTGTAACACTTGCGTTTGCAACAACAGATGAAGCTGAAATTCGGAATATTGTTAGCTGAAGTGTTCAACTACTCGTGAAATAACAATTTGGAGAAATTCCTAGAAATTGATATAAATACATAGATATGGGGAAGTTTTCGAACGATTTCTTCCAGACTTGAAGGTCAGCTATATCAGTAACCAGTACTGACGTTTCGGCACCGATGACGGCGATTTTCTCACTGACATGTAGATTAGAATTTCTTCTTCCGTTATAATTTAACTTTTCAATCATACTGAGCATATTATTTTGAGAAACACAACGTTCAAAAGGCCATGGTTTTTGTGGTGCATGAATTTAACTGCTCTGCTATAGCGTCTGAGTATTAGGATTAGCCCTCCTGTTTGCAGGGCGAGGGGTACGAGCGAATTTCTCCCCGTTGCCGGATTTTGTTTTGTAAATTGCGCCATAAACGTTTTACGATTGGAGCGCCCTCTGTTGATCGGCAAAAAGTTAAGGTTTTCGCCTGCATGCATACATTTCTATCGCTGGCTGTAATGCATGTGCCTTCATTTTTAAATTAAAAAATAAAGAATATCTTCCGAGACACCCGCTTTTGTAAACCCCCAGATTTATGACATTGTCGTATTTCCAATGAGCATTAATGCAACTGGGGTTTCTCAAGATGGGAGTCAGTGACATTGTTTCTCAACTATATGCTACATACAGTAACCGTTTATTGGGGGGGGGGGGCGTTCTAAAAATGAAGACACTTCATAACAAAACAGCACATACATACAAACTAACTTTTGTTTTCCTATATGCAATGGAGATGACCAACTTTTATTTCACTGCGTCACAATTTTGCATTCATTTCCATACATGTTTTTGCTAAAATACAACAAATTGAGTACTGCTTTTTTCTCAAGCATTATATACACATTTTATCTACTATTGCACATAAACACACAGTACTTAATTCAATCATAATTTTTTACAGTTCTGTCTACACAAAAAGTATCCATCTTTCTAAAATAAACTGTCTCTTTGTGACACCTGCAGTTGTGACTCAGATCCAATACCCCCTCCCCGTGGTGTATTAATTGACCAGACACAGCTGCCATTGATATCCAACACGCATTCATTACAGTACAACATGTGCAAATGTGGGGCATTCTATAAATTTAGGGCCAAAAGTGCGACATTTTTCCTGTCCCTGTTACCTTGGTACTTTGTCATTTGTCATTGGAAGGCGCCCAATTGGGCTACACAACGCGTTTGAAATGAAATAATATTATTTGGAAAGAGCACTTAAAAGTAGGATATAAACGTCCACACAACCACGATTTAAAAACTGGGCGATTTTGTGTTATTCTTGCAAGAACTATGCAAGAACGAATTTCAGGGGTCACAACTTTGACTACGAAACATCGAGCTGTTGAGTGCTAGTTGTGAATCCTGCCGCACAGTGGTTTGCACTCAGCGGACGTGTTACAAACAAAATGGATGTTATTGGTGCTGTGTGTATTATGTGATGCACACAACGTGTACAGTATATTGAATAGAGACGGCTTGACATCTGTATGCGTATGCCACAAAATGTCCGCTGCGTCCAATGTAAACAACCCGGGTCTTTCGTCTTTTCTCGACAAGACATTAGGTTAGTTTCCTTTCAACCAGACTTTTGAAATAGGATAAGTAAACAATCCAAAACATGAATCTTTTGGGGATCTCGGGCTGTAGTGCCCCTTTAAGGATTGCATCAGAATTATAAAATCATAGATGTCAGAAGTAACAGGGACGGGGAAAAAAGATGGACCCCAATTTATAGAATCCCTTGTGCACACGACTCGGGCGGATGGAACACACAGTGTGACCCAGGGTCCACAATGTTCAGAACCTAATGATCAATCTACTGTGACAACAGTGACATAACACAAAGTCTTACAACGACAAAAGTACAGATACTATGAATTATACAGACAAGTTATGCTTACCAAATTGTTAAACTTTTCAAAAAAAATTTCTAGTAGTAGTTGTGATTTTTTTAGAGGCTGAATATACAACATATTTGAACAAGTTGATATCCGACATCTTAACCTGACATGATTTTGGTAAAGGAGTCATTAGGGTCGGGGAAAAAAAATATATTTGCACTTAAAAATATTTCAAAAAGAATAACATGATTTTGGGAGAATTCATTGACTGAATCCCACTTTTCTGTGTTCAACCAAGCCAGATTACTTGAGAATCTTGAGAATTTCTCTGGTTGCTGCATTTTTTGTGACTATGCAACATTCCTAAACGAACCCTCATCTAAACCTAAAATAGTTATTAACAAATCTCTGTTTTCATTCATGAAATGAAATATGTCCAATAACAAATACAAAGTTATACAGCCTCTAAGTAATACATAAAACTACAGTATCGTATAGTACTGCTGATGTGTTTAACAAGATCAACTTTGGAATGGTATATTGCAAATATTTTAAAGTTATTTGAAGATAAAACGAAAATGGTTAGCTGCAACTGCAAAATGTGATTAAATGTGACCTAAATATTATATTTTCAAGACTTGATACACTTTGAGGTACAAAAAATGCCCTCAGGTTTTTTTTTTTTTTTAATAAGTTTGCACATGAAAATGCGCTGCGCAGGAAGTAAATTTGGAACATTTGGCAATTTCACATTACATTTTTGCGACACTGGCAAGCCACATAATTGTCCACCCCTATTTCACAAAGTGGTTCGATCCTCATAACAATCTGTTGAGTGGGAGAGCCTGCAGGATGGAATCTACCATGTTGACATGGAAGGTGCATGAAAATGCAATGCACAAAAAAAACGTTTGGAAAATTTGGCAATTTCACTATAAAATTTGAAACAATGGCAAGCCGCAGAGTTGTCCAGCGAGACCTCCCCTATTTCACAGATTGGTTTTGACCCTCACAACAATCTGATGAGTTGGAGAGCCTGCAGGATGGAATCTACCATGTCCATCCAGAGGGAACATGAAAATGCACTGCCAAGAAAAATGTTTGAACAAATTTAGCAATTTCACTATAAATTTTGCAACATTTTGGCAAGCCAGAGTTGTACACCGAGACCTCCCCTATTTCACAGAGTGGTTCGACCCTCATAACAATCTGTTGAGTGGGAGAGCTGGCAGGATGGAATCTACCATGTTGACCCAGAGGTTGGCGCAGGTGGCGTGGTACTGCCTGCCGCCGTAGACCAGCTTGTGGCTGTCCTTGGAGCGGTCGAACGCTTTACTGCGAGAGTCCACGTTTAGGAGACACACCCCGCAGGCACGGTCTGTGTTGGTGGGCTCTGGTCGCAGGATGGCCGTCTTGAAGACGAAAGATCCTGCTGCGGGCTGATGCATAGGATAAAAAGACAACAACTTAATGAATGTTTAGTTAATTAATAAAGCTGGACAAAGAAATTGAATGGAATCCGAAATACCATACCAGTGTTCTACTAACTGAGCTGAACAGCCCTATATTGGCTTTTCCCCAATTTATCAATGTCTTTGTTTGAGGGTGCTAGTCAGAAGCAATAAACCCCTGCACTTCCATGTAGCAAGGGATCAAGCCCCAAATCACGATGCTAGCAACATCAGCGATGGGCCTTTTTCACGAGTCGGCCATATTGGATTAAGAGTGAGGTAAAATCTTCACTTCTGGAACTTGTGTAGAGAAATGAAAGCAATGACGTTACAAATTAATACCAGTCTGCTCTGAAAGTGAAGCAATAGTGAATAAATAGTCTGGCACCATCCCCTTCAACAGTTCACAATTTATGAAATACATTCAGGGAACATGACAAAAATGGCCAACTTGTGCATAAGGCCCATGCTGCAATCTTGGGATATAGCAAACGGGGATCAAGTGAAGAGGATACAACTTTTTTTGTATAACAAATAATTTACAAATAAGCCACAATTAGGAAATTTCCAATGTGCATTATAATAATTTTGCAATCGAACAAACGAGTGTACAGAAACAGGGTTTGAACCTGCGACCTCTGAATGATTACAATACCAGTGCTGGTTGGGTGGGGGGGGGGGGGGGGGATTGAATACGAAGGATGGAAGGACTGTCTTAAACGAGTCATACCATGAGTGGACTTGATGCTAGGAATGCAGACAGGTTGGTCCAAACCAGCTCGATGTCCTTCTGAAGCCTCTGTAGATCAGTGGAGTCAACGCCTGTAAATGTTGGACAAGGGGAGAAATTTAATGCTTAAAGGCACGTAGGAACATCGATAGATACCCGGAAACGGACCTACCAACCTAATGAGAAAAAACTTGCTAAAAAGTGAAGACTGGACTGGTACCAAATACCCTGTGAAATTATTCCACCTAAAATGGTATCATTTTAAAGACAATGATCACTGAAGGCGGCTTAAAAAAAGTGTGTCTCCAGGCACACTTTTTAAAAAAATTTGACAATATTTGTTAAATACTGCGAAGATTACTCATCCACTGGGACATTGACATCATGTACTATGTTTTAATAACACTTTTTTTTATAAAAACCATATTGCAGTATCTCCACCACATGAACATTAGTCTGGTGCCATTTGATTCATGTATTTTCATGATAACGGTACATATGTATTGTGAAGGCAATAAGTCAAGTCTCCGTGCAAGTGGGTTTTTTTTTCAGGAGCTTTAGGTTACCACTACAGCTTATTCTACTAACATTTAAGCTTTTCTGGATCAATTGACTAGAACTTTGTGTACTCTGGGACCAGCTTTACTAGTCAAGCCTTGTCTTGTTTTATTTAACATTTTTGTGAACTTTCTTCAACCCAGAGATGAAACTGGCATATGGCAAAAAAAATCGGAAAATACGTTGAACAAAAATACGTGTCCGAAATCTGGGCCGCACTGCAGTTACACACATGAACAAACATGTACAAAACACTTCATGCCCAATTTCCGGACACCAACTCCTGCTTAATTATTTTCGATTCAAACAAAATTTTACGATGAAAAAAAAAAAAGGTCAGTGTTTTCATTGCATAAAATGCCTGAATTACGGTTAGAGTAATGGAGTCATCAACAAAGAAGTTCACTTCTTACTTTAAAAGTCGAGGAAAAACTCCGAAAGACAAGGGCACTGTTCATGGTGCTTCAATCATGTCCATGATTCAACCACACAACTCCACTACTCCACTTGCATTCGTACGTGGGGAAAAATCAGGCATTATCGTCTTTCTCTTCCAACAAATGCCAGTGAAATGTTTCGCTAATGCTCTCTTCGCTTCGTTTATGGCTGTGAAAATGGCTCAAATGAAAAACCTCAACATTCAGAGTAGAGAGAAGATTTCTTTGATTTTGTTTTTTTCAGACAGAACACAATTTTTCATCACTCACCCATCGCATTCATGGAGGTCAGTATCCGACAAGCGACACGGTAGATTTCAATCACGGCTGGAAAGTGCAGAAAAGTTGATTAGTAATGATAAAGAGCAATTTTCAGAGAAACTTTCCCAAGCTTACTTGCTGATGCTCTTAATGTTTTATTTCCATAAATACCGTAGACAGTTTACCCATTCTTATTGGTCAAGAACCTGTCACATGGGTGGTTTGAAACCGCTGATGAAACGCTGGCTGGTTTTAAACACTTATTATCTCCATAACAGGAGATTTTTAGCTCTACACGCGCAAGGCACATATAATAGACTTGATCAGAGGGGTGTTTCACAAAACATGAAATAAAATTGTTGAACAAATTCATTGAAAAATTGTGAATTTTTGACTTGTTTTGACTTTTGGACCAAAGGTACCGAAATTTGAGTATGTGCTTGGCCAGTGTTAAAAAAGTACGTTTGAAACCGGTCAGGGGCCTGGTCACTGATAATATTTATTCCCTTAATAAAGCTCATTGCCAAGTTTTGACAAACACACGCAGTTCCTGACTGGCAACGTAAATGCCGACTGGTTGGCACATGATCCACATGTATTGAATATTCGAATACACGATCAAAACCAAGGTCTAGTAATCGAATACTAAGTTATTCGAAAATGCACAGCACTATCAGCACTTTTATTTTACCCGTGAGATATTCTGCTCCTTCGGATGACTTGATGACTTCGTTGCAGATGGAGGAACTGCTGATGTCGTTGAAGATATTGTTGGCTTTCTTGACAGCTTCGTGGCATTTCTCCAGGCAACGCTGCCACTCGTTGGCATGGCGATTCTCATCCTGCAAAATACACAAAGCAAAATGTAGACATTTTATTTTCACATTATATTGTTCTCATCAAATAAATAACACTTGATTTCACTCAAATGTTTGACATTTAAAGTTTTCAAAGAGCTTTTAAACCAGTACCCGTACTTTTAAAGGTATTTGCTATTCTTTGTTCGTTTGAAGTGATAAAATTTGTCAAAATCTTAAGAAGGGTGCATAAAACTAACCTGTTGACATTTTAGCTAAGTGGATACTGTTTATTTTCAGAAAACAGAGAAAACATACACAATTTTGTTGGGCCTCGTAACTGAAATCCATTGCTTATGCACATAAAAAAGTGTGCATGCTGGCACATTTTTTGAAACCATCTTTAATTATTATTTACTTCTGAATGGTTCTGTTTTAGGTGGAATAATTTCAAAAAGTTTTTGATACCAGTCCTATCTTCACTTTTATCAAGATTTCTGTCATTTACATGTAATTGGTACATGTACATATAGGTACTTTTCCAGGTACATGTAACTGCGAGTGATCCTACATGCTTTTACCATTCAAATTGGAAAAAAAGATGAATAACATACATCAACGTTGCCGACCACTTCAGCGTATCTGTCTCCAATCAGACTTGATCCAGCGGGGACCAGAGGGACCGAGGATATGGCCTGGTAGGGTACGATAGAACCTGATGGGGTGGGGGGATCTGAAGATAAGAACAAAACATTACTGTGATAAGATTTTATCTTGCATTCATAAATACCTCGGACAGTTTACGCATTCCTATTGGTCGAGAACCCGTCACGTGGCCGGTCTTAAACGGATGATAAAGACATGGCTAGCTGGTCTTAAACGCTTTTCCAGTGTCACATGAAATTTTGACTCCTATGAAATCCGGTGCCTTTTAAAGTTTCATTGGCTGAACGTTCAAATTCCTCCCGTATGCATGCGCAATGTACTACTAGCGAATCAGTATTTCATGGTCCAAAATTCACACTTCACCAGCCCAGCTGCGTTTTGCGCGACATCGCGCAGTATGCGCGACGGGCACGCCAATGTCCCTATTAGGTAACGAGTTGTGGAGGGGCATTCCATATTATAGTCAGAGGGGTGTTACGTAAAACATGATGTAAAATTGTTGAACAAGATGGTTGGCAACGTCTAGTTTTTGACTTTTTTTTTATTTTGGACCGAAAAGGTATTTATGAATGGGAATAAATGTGTGTTCGGTCGGTATTAAACACTCTGTTTAAGACCGGTTTGACTCTGGATGGGCGATAATTACCCTCGGCTTCGCCTCGGGTAATTATCGCCCATCCAGACTCAAACCGGTCTTAAACCATGTAAACAGAGTGTTATAATACCTCCCAAACACACATTTATTCCCTTAAAAAAAAAATTTAAAAAAGCTGCGACAACAACAGAGCACAACTTAAATTTAATCAGGCTGTTCTTTGTCAAGTAGGGGTGTGCATCGGAACCGGGTACCCGAGTACTTGACCGTAGCTCTAGGTCAGAAACTGGTTGCAGATTATGGAATCGAGTACCTGCAACTTTACAAATTACTTGGTAACTTCGCAGAAAATAAACAAGAACTGTTTTGAATGCCATACGTTAAATGCAGTGTTGATTTTCACTGATTCAAGACAGTTCCTCATGGTTTAGGTTAATGAATTCAGTTTACCTTGCTGGATGGTCTGGTTGACATTCTCAACTGGACTGGTCATATCTGCTGGAGCACTGCTGAACTCACCAAAGGAATCCCCTCTACCTTTGCTGTCCATCTCTACCGACCTCCCCAAGGTCAAATCGAGGTCAAAGGTCTTCAGGTCAAGCCTGTCGATAGACTCTAGCTTGGAGAGTTTACTGTTCTGCGACGACTGGAATGCGTTGGTGTGTGCGGGGAGTTGAGGCTCCGTGGGCGTGTTCTCAATCTCATCGCTGGGTTCGTTTTCTCCAGCATCTTCTAGATTCAACATGGCAACGGAGCCGTTGTTGATTGAACCTAGAGCATCGAACTCCATGCCATACAGATCACTGGCGGAGACCGGTTTCTTCATGTTCCCACCGTTTTCATCATCTGGTTTGTTGCCAAACGGAGCAACGGAGAGCGAGTCCATGACTTGGGGAGGAGGGTTGGTCTGGAAGTTGCCAAAATCATCCTCGGGTGGTTCCCGATCGTCAGCACCTCCTAGAGCTCTGAAGATGCTGTACTTATCCTCAGAGGAGCTTGTGCTTGCCGAGTCAGCCTTGAGACTGAAGACATCAGCGCGTTGGTTGGAGGAGCTAGGGGGCAACGGCATGGCCTGTTGGAAATCGGCAAAGCCGTCAGACTCGGGTAAGCTGGAACTCAGATTGATTGTGGGGAGTGCCGGGGAGGGTTCAAAGACTGAGGTGGGAGGGGTGGGTCGTGCGGAGGGATGAGTATCCTCAAAGTTGGCCTTGAATCCTGGCATAGGCTGGGTGGCTTCTCTAAAGTCTGTCAGGGAGTCTGAGGAGGGGACTTGAGCAGCAACAGACGGTGTGTCCTTCGGGGGTTCTGCCTGCTTGAAATCATCAAAATCGTCCCCTGACACAGTTGTCTGAGTGTCTGGGATCTGTGGCATGGGGCCAGTGAGTTCCCGAAACGCTGCGTACTTGTCACCTTCAGTGGGTTGCATCCCCATCAAATCAGACTCAGATGCTGAGTGCTTGAAATGAGCAAAGTCGCCAAACTCGTCGTCTTCTTTAGCCTTCCCTGCTCCACCCATGCCGATGGGTCCCGTCTGGAAGCTCCCGAAGTCATCCGCGGTGGCCGTCTTCCTCCCAACCTTCGGGAAGACCTTCTCAAAGTCCATGTGGAAGAGGTCAATCTTCTGCTGGTCCTCGTGGGAGTGAGGAGCCGCCTTTCTTTGGCTTAGGGAGTCGAACGAGTGCATGCCAGACGATGCAAACTTGCTCTGTTTTGCCGCGGCAGAGCCAGCTGAGGACAGTGTGCTGGCGCTGGTGCCTTTCGGGGGAGCGATGGACGGGAAGGAGGGGAGGAGGTTGGGGGTCTTGGCCGGCTTAGGAGCTGACTTGAAGTCATGGAAATCATCTTCTTCATCATCATCTTCTTCTTCTTCACCCGGTGTGCGATCTGCCAAATTCAATAACACCCAGTCTATCAATTAATGCAATAAAATGAGGCTTGATCTTTCTCTAGCGAGCTGAGTATGTTTTAGATTAAAACTAGGACCGAAATTCATGGCACTGCTAAGAACAAGATTTTGCAACAAGACTGTAAGCAATAAGCGCAGCATAGAAAAACCCTTCCTTCCGATTTGCTTCAAACAGCTACAAAACAAATCTGCATGCACAGATTTTCTGTATTTTTAGTTGGCACAACTTTTCTGCAAACAGTCATGCAATGCCATGAACATTGGTCATCACAGTACCACTAGTAGTATTTTCAATTTAACCACATTTAAAACTCATATCATGCAAAAATTGAGACATATGTACACTGAAACATCAGAACCTGGCACTGATGTGCAAAAGGAATTGTACACATTAAATAGGATAATGTGAAAAAAAAAATTACCATGAACCAAACTTTCTTTGACAATAGCAGATGTGAATTACATGTAACAATGGCAAATAAAGAAAATGTGCAAATTGAGGCAACAACGAAAAATTTGGTACACAATTTTATATTTGGAGAAATAAATAACAGCAAATGACAAAGGACTGGGGTTCAGCCATGCAAAGTTCAACAAATCTTTTGACTTCAAACGATGCGTTCACATGTAAACTTAAAGGCAAGTTAGAATTGGTAATAACGGGGTATAACCTTGCTGAAAGCAAAGTGAAGATAAAGGGGCTTGTCCCAAATACCGGTACCTTGTGAAATTAATCCCCCAACAATGACTTCCACTGAAAAATTGAAAAAAAATTCCCTAAAGGTGGTTTTGAAAACAAATTTTCTTGTGGGCACACTTTTTCAGTTTAATACAAAACCCAAAATAGTGGGGTTTTTTTTGATAATGTGTACATGTACATAATGTAGTAGCTACTGATCAAACGGTTCAACATGTTAGTTCTTGTGTTCCCTGCTTAAAATTTTGGGCTATTTTGTCGCTTCAAATGAAAAACAATGCACAGGAACAAATGATCCCATGTACTGGTACCTTTAAATACGAACGCCGAGTTACATGTACACTACACTTCTGCTGCCGATTTCACGAAACAGTGCGTAACTTAAATGTACTCCATGCGTAAGATTTACGCAACAAATATATTGCGCAGCTGTGCAATAAACTTACGATCAAGTTCATGAAACTTGGCGTAGCTGTGCAACGTTTTAAAAAATCTAAACATCTCGGATAACAGCATTTATGATGTTGATGTTGATGTTGTTCGTTCATGAAACAGTCGTTGAATTACCTCGGCCCACCATTTTGAAAACAGTATTGTCCAACTCTCTTCGGAATTTTGCAGCAACTCTATAATTACTGTCACAAGTAAAATAGCAATTCATTTACTTCAAGCACAAAGCTGTGAGTGTCTTAGTATCAACCTTGGTAAGTTGTGCAATAACGGGCTCCACGACAATCACTATTTGCTAGTAAATAGGTAATTTTCGATCGCTACACCACAACTTACACCACCTAAAATGATCGCGCAAGTTACACCATAATTTGTTGTGTAAGTCGCGGACTTACGCACTGTGAAACTTTCGTGAAATTGTCATAACTGAAATGTTGCACAGCGAGAAATGTGGCTCAACTTACGCCATAAATTGTGGCGCAAGTGGACTTATATATACATGTATACGCAATTGCGTAAATTTTTGTGAAATCAGCTGCTGCACAACTGTAAACTACATGTACATAATATTTCCATAAGCTACTTTCATGCACGTCAATCTGCTCACTTTTAAAAAAGATTTCAACCGATCGCAGTACACACATACCGGTAATCATGAATAATCACCAATGTTCATGCTTAATCATGTTAATCATGAATATTAATGAAAGTCAATCATGTAAAAGTAAATAATGAATCAAGTGATAAATCACAAAAAGAAAATTCAAAAGTTAATTAAAGATGATAGTATGTGGTTCCAAAGAAGTTTGAATTGAATTTTTTTTTCAAATTTTTTGAAAAAGTTTTGCTACTCAGAAGGCAAGGCATATGCTGCAACAAACCATTGATATGTGACCTGAGTCAACAATGTCAGCTCATATATTCTATTATTAGGAAAAAAGGTGTATTTAGAAATGACAAAAATGACAAAAAAGTAATAACACCAACACCAGCAAAACAACTTCACTACAATTTTCACCAAAGACAACCAAAATGTGCAAACATGCAACTAGACACAGCCATGCAAATTTATTTCTCTTCTATTGCTTCTACTTGTACACTAACAAATATAACTACCAAAGAAAATCTCTCCCATTATTAACCCTAACCCTCCTCAATCCTTCAAAATCAACCAGGTTCTTCGGGGATCGCAGAAGATTGAGGCTGTATGCCTTTTGAGGGGCCAGTTGATTTTGGAGGATGCATTGTGTCAAGGTCTTCAGCTGTACCTTGCAATATTTATGCTCAGCCATGCATAATTGCGGTTCACATTATGCTGGATATCATCTGTACTTTTTAGCCTTCCACCGCTGTGACCTGGGTTCGAATCCGGCCTGGGCTAACATGTTGATTGGGTTTTCAGTCCCTGCCGGATTCCGTGGGTTTTCCCCAGATATTCTTCTTGGGTTTTTCCTCCCATCTCTAAAATTGAAGTTTCTTATCATTGTCTCCTCTCTACAGGTTTCATCAGGCTTGCGGGCTACACTTCCTAGGGCGCTTTTGAGGAATCCTTGGTTTCATTACCAGAAATAAGTAATAATAGTAATTATAATAAATGTCTTAATCATGTTAAAAGCGAGTTGCAGGATTTGACGGATTGAGGCAGTAGTCACCCCTCCACTGAAGAAATTAAGAAAATAACAGATGATGTTGGAGGATTGAAGCAGTCCCCAATTTTGACGTGGAGGCAGTTGGAACATTCTGCAGGATTGAGGATGCCAAAAGGGCTGAGGGGGTTAGGGTTAAAAAAGAAGCCTAGATACGGTAGATCTAGGAGCTTGAAGCCAACACCGGTGTGGAGTGGAGTGGGGTTGGGATGGGGACAAGGATCAACAAAGGGTTGGATCCAGAGCCGGCATCGTATTTCTTTTCATGGAGACAAACCTGACATGGACCCCGAGGAGACAGACTCCTGCGAGCGACATGTGAGCTTATCATAAATGGAGTTGGGGTCCCAGACCAGCGGGGAGCTCCTACCACTGGAGGAGTCCGCGGGGGAGCCCGCAAAGATATAGCAGTTCTCCTCTGCAAAAAGTGGTGGCAGCAGTGGGATCAGGCGAGGAAAAGGTTATTGTGATATAGAAAAGGTTAGTTAATAGTTTAAATATTGCATCCAGGTGAACAGAACTGATTTGGCACATGTCAGGGTTAACCCGCCTTTGTGCTCTCTATTGACTAAGATAACGTGACCTGCCATAGCATAATGAGGAATAACCCCCGCCTTTGACTTTTCCAGTCATGTCCATCATGCTTAAGTGCAAATCATTGGCTTTCCAATGATACCAAATTTATTTCTGTAGCTAAATTTATTCCAAAGATATGCCGCAGAAACTTCAACAGTGTCCTGCCTATCTTCTCCAACCTCATTTCGAGAAAAATGGCTTTGAAAAAAAAAAATATGCATTGCGCCCTTTAACGTCAGTGATAAACGTTCTGCAGTTTTTCCACTTTTTGAGGCATTTTTCCCCAACAAAAATGCATAGTGTGAATCTTGGATACATTGACTACTCAAAAATAAAAAAACAACCAGTATCAATTTTGACATGATTTTTCTACTATGTCCGACTTTATGCATCGATTACTCAAAACAAGGTTTTGGGGGACATTCCTCATTTTGCCTCAGTAGGTCAGCCTCTCTACATTTCTGCTGTTTTTGCCGGCATTATTGATGCCCAGAATTTCCGTACTATTTTAGAGTTGAAAACGCATCCAGCCCCGGCCTCTATATTTGAGTTTCTTGCCAGCATTACTTGTGCAAGGGTGGATTAGTGTGGGCGGGGGGCTACAGGGGCCATGCCTGCTCTTCCCCCCCCCCCCCCCCCAATAAAGTGCCATTTTTATGAATTCGATCAAAAGACAACCATCTTTTATATCAATGGTATTCATCCCCTTTCCTCTACAGATTTGTGAGGTATTAATACAAATGGTAATTCACGTAGCAAAAAGGTGAAAAAAGAGCAGCCCCTTCAAATGAGGTCCAGGCCCCACCCCTTGACTGCAGCTTACTATCGCCTGGTACTCCAAGCCTAGCAGCTTGCACCTAATGCGAACTGAAATTCAGATACGATATTTGACTTGTTTGCACTTTACAGTTTTGCATTAGTTATTTTTAAAAAAAATGTCTATTTCTTGGTTCATCATAACTTTGACAGCATTTCATCAGTAGCTTCTGAGCATCATTTTTACATTGATAGATATTTCAAGCTTAAGTGTAGTAAGGCTAAAAGTTCAACTTAAAACTCAACAAAAATATCAAGAAAGTCTTCTCTTTCAAAAAAAGCTTTTTCTGCCCTTTAACCCAAGTTTTAAAATATCTTGGTTCATCATAACTTTGACAGCATTTCATCGGTAGCTTCTGAGCATCATTTTTACATTGATAGATATTTCAAGCTTAAGTGTAATAAGGCTTAAAAGTTCAACTTAAAACTCAACAAAAATATCAAGAAAGTCTTCTCTTTCAAAAAAAGCTTTTTCTGCCCTTTTACCCAAGTTTTAAAATATCTATTATACATCTATTGACTGCTTCGAGTTGTGAAGCAGAACTAGCCTCCGAGGTGCTCCATGGAGCATTCTGTTTTCCTTAGGCAAAGCCGAGGGAAAATAGAACGTCGGTCGCAAACCGACTGTTTGGGCATACCCCAGTTAAGAACTGGAGTATACTGGAATAAACTGGGTGTTAGATGCTCCCTAGAAGTTAGTGCCCATCTCAATTCATATCAGGGACGAGTTCCGAACAAGTTACGGACATTGCATTGGGTACAAGTTGCAGGATTCTGAACAACTTCCCTGCAACCTCCCGTAATGAAGTTATCAGTTTTGATGAGTCAAACAGGTGCTTAAAACATTTTCCCGGAACGTGTCCGGGACAAACGCAGAGCTTTTTTTATGGACAAAGAAAATGATTCTACCCGTTATTTGTCCGGAACTCGTCCCGGATATGAAGTGAGACGGGCCCTTTCAATGTTGGGGGGTCAAGAGTTAAAGCTGGAGTCCATCATTTGCAGCTATCCAAAAAGTAATTGGCGTAATTCTTGTTGAGAAACATACTTGGTTGAAAGATAATAAGGGGACTAAACTCCCTGTGAAATTATTCTTTCTGGAAAGCTGTCATGTTGAAGAAATCAACAAAAGAAGCCGTTTCCAACAGTGCTTCTTAAGATGCACCGTAGGAAGTTTAAATTAGTAGTTCGTTTTGTTTTGCGGCGAAGCGCGCGCACGCATCGGCACGACGCACACGCGCTTGCTATAATTCGTCGGATCAGTGCGCGACATCGCGTAGCTGCAATCGGCTCATTGAGAACGTGTCTCGGACGCTGAATTTAGGCCCAATTTAAAACATGATTCCAGCAACTTTTGATTTGAAATCGAGATCCTAGAATGCTGTTTTTCTCGGAATATACAGCTGAAGCTGAGCTGAAACTTCATCAGGTTAGTTGTTAAGCACCCTTCTTTAGATCTTGAGCACGTTTGTTGCTTCAAAACGAACAAAATGCACAAATTACAAATGATGGACTATACCTTTAACACAACGTTGGTTTTGATTCCTACCTTCTTTTGGGAACTTTAGAGTTGAGTCCATGCTGAGTTCCTCTCGTCGCAAATCGTCATCAGCCAGTTTGCGTTTGTCCGAGAAGAGAGGGGAACCGAAGTCTGGTTTGCTCCGGGAATGGTCATGATCGGGCTGATGACCCGGGGCATCTGTGGAAACAACGATAAGAGATCACTGTCAGGGTTTCCAATCATTAACCCTAACTCCCTGGGCCTTTTTGCTAGGATGTAGCCTCAATCCTGCAAAATCATCCAATTGGCCTCATGGAAAAATAGCATATAGCCTCAATCCTGCAAATTCCTCCATTATTTTTTGAATATAGTCTGTGGAGGGGTCACCACTGCCTGAATCCTGCAAAATCCTGCGGCAGTGGCTTTCAATATGTTGAGGCTTGGCCTGTGACATCCTGGAGCAGTACGGAGGATTTCAAGCATAATCCAGGCCTACATTTATGTATGGCTGAGCAAAAAACAACACAAGGTCCGGCCCAAAACCTTGACAAAGTGCATCCTGCGAAATCAGTAACGAACGCACTTTTACCATGTAACCTCAATCCTCCAAATTCCTCCACTTTGGCAAAGAGGAATTTGAAGGATGCAGGGCAGTTATTTAGTTTTGTTTTAATAAAACAAAATTGCCTGAGTTTTTCCAACATATTTCCTCGGGAAATTTCCGAAGTTCCATAAGAAACATTTTCACTTTTATAACAAGGTTGCTGGGAAGTCAAGAGGTGGTTGCAGCAAAGCAACTAAGATACTGATAACACACAGGTAACTTGTTGACAAGCGAGGGCCTCCCTTCTCCCCTTACAGCCATCCTTTCCTCACCATAAAAATAATAAAGATAATAATAATGGGCAATTAAGAACGCTCTTATTAGTAAACTGAATCACAGCGCTTACAGTTTTATTATTACCTCTGATCATTGGGCCAATTAAACATTCCAAATACCATCTCAGCTCCCTGGGGAGTATACAGCTCGATGCTGCCTGTTACTTGTTAGGCGCAAGCAAGCTTATTCAATCACAATAACCATCTCTGCCCTCACAGGTACCCATTTACTCCTGGGTGGAGAGAAGCAATGAGTGACAAAGTGCCTTGCCCAAGGGCACACGCACCATAACCCCGGCTGGACACGAACCCACAACCCGCAGCTTGACCCACAGACCACGAATCCAGTGCCCTTAACCACGAGGCCACAGCACTCCACCATATGCAACAGACTGGCAGCCTGTGCTAACAATTATCTTTAATTTATTTGCATTTTCTGTCAAATTCCCTGAATTTTCCCAAATTGTTGGTGTTTTTCTCATATCCCCTGAGTTTTCCCTGACTGGAAAATGAAACTCATTTTCAAAGTTCCCTTATTTTTCGTACGTGACGTTACGTGCAAAGCACACGAGCGCATTATTGGCTCGCCCGGCGTGCAATCTTTGAAATGCACGCGCAGTACGCTGTGAATAGCCATTCAGCGTCATTTACGTCATCATCACAGCCAGGGGTTAGTGTAAGGAACGAGCACGCGCCCCTGGAGTCGAGGCTGCCGATGCGTTGAATGTCTCTTCCAGTGGTCTCCCTCAACTCTCCCTTTATGACCGTGGAGGGGGTACTTCTGCACGGAGTCCAGAACAGTGACTGACCATACGCCTCTTTTCACTGCCGATGATACACTACTCAGTTCACAAACTCAGTAGACTCGAATACAAGCCTGTAGCGGACTTACTTGATTTGCCTGGCTTGATCCGCTGTGCTTCCTGGAATGGAGCAAAGTCTTCCTCCCCGACGCCAGATGCTGGTGGTTGGTTTGACGGCTGGAGAAGAGACTGTTGGTTGGTCTGGGGCCCTGACTGTGTCTTGGGTGTTATTACAGGGACAGGTGCTTCTCTGAAGTGGTGTAGCGCCTCAATGGAGGGTTGCTGTCCATTCTTAATTGGTATAAATAGAAAAGACAAGTTGAAAAAATGCAAAGTTCCAAACAAGCAAGTGATAAAAAGTGGCATTGGTGGTTGATTCAATATAGATGCAGGTTGTGCCACGCCTACACAGTAACATTAATTCTCCTAGTCTTCTGCACTTTATAACCCTTAAAGTTTTGCAAAACCACTTTTGCCCAAAAGAGTTGGTGCCGGCAATTCAAATTCCTCTGAGATAATCTTCTGTTGAGTATGGATAACACTTCAAATTCCTGCTCAATTCTTTTGTCAGTTTGTGTGGTTAAGCTCAGGGCAAGCAGGCAGATTCAGTCACGCTTCACTGCTCTTCACAGTGCTGTTTTTTTGTGTGCAGTGACTCTCTGTGTGACAGTTACTCTGAGATAATCTTCTGTTGAGCATGGATAACACTTCAAATTCCTGCTCAATTCTTGTGTCAGTTTGTGTGGTTATTAAAGCTCAGGGCAAGCAGGCAGATTCAGTCACGCTTCACTGCTCTCCACAGTGCTGGTTTTTTTGTGTGTGCAGTAACTCTCTGTGTGACACAGTTACTTTAACACTTCATATCCCTTCACCTGAAACTGACTTGCAGGGTTTTACATACTGCTCTGAATATTAACCAGACAAGTTCTAACCACTGATAACTGGCACGTATTTGATACAGGTTTAAGTAGCTGAATCATGGTTAACTATTGTCCGTTATCGAACCTGTTATTAAAAGTCTCCTGGTTTACTCATTTTTGTTCTGTAAACAATCTTAACCACCAGCGATTTTCTCTCCAAACTTCAACTAATATTTCCTTCCTTGTCTTTTATCCAAGTATTCTTGGCTCACTGTAACAAATGTAAGGTGATTGTACTGGCTTCTAACGACTCCTACATCACTGAAATTAACAGTACACTGTACTATACCCTTGAAACTCTTCAACATTTACCTCCAGAATGCCCTATGATTATTGCACGGACGTTGGACATACGCGTGCAATGAAGTCACATTTCGAGGAACGTCAAGTGAATCCTTTGATAAGGCCAAACAAAAAAATAAGTCGGTCTCTAGTCAGCGCGCGTGTCGATTTTAATCATGCGCGTCGATCTTTTTTTTTTCCAAAATGTTCCGCGGTAGCTCCAACAGCACCCTCTATTTCCGCACCTCCTCAATTTTTTTTACCAAAGAGCACCAAGAAATGGGAAATTGCACCAAGGCAAATGATCGAAAGCACCAAGGCAAATATGGAGGACACCAATGTACATGAGGATACCCAAAAAGCAAAATAGTACCCCACCTTGTCTGTACAATCCAAGCTTGAAGAAAAAAAAAAAAAAAAAAAAAAAAAAAAAAAAAGACGCGTCAATTCCGGTAACTTTGGTCTGACCAGAGACCGAATATTTTTTTTGTTTGGCCTAAGCCCAATGAGCATCCTCCAGATGCTACACTTAGAATCTCTACTGACTGGGGTTAAGCATCTCCAATTGCACTCAATCGACAGAGCACTGCTTGACTGACCCAAAAAAATTGCACTAAAAGAGCAAGGGTAAAATTAAGTTAAAAACAGCTTTCAGAATCACCTGTACAAGAGCAATGAGGCCCAGTGCTATGTACAACTCCAGACGGGTCAGTTGTCCAGGAATGGTCTGATTGGCTAATCCCCAGATGTGTCCAAGCATCGGCTTGTCCAGTCCAGACAGCATCAGGATGGGGTAGAGCAGGTGGGTTTCTATCCTGTCGTCTCTGAGTGAAGCCTCTAGGACTTGGCGGTAGAGTAGAGGGAGGCTAGCCTCATTCGTGCACCTGTTACAAAAATCCAATCAATTAAGGAAAAGGTCAGGGATCACAGAGTGACTACGTATCACAATACTAAGGTCATGTAAACATATGCATCACAATACACATCATTCATTAATGGCAGTTGTGGGAGCTGTTTGAAATGTATACATCTGTTGTCCTTCAGCCAAAATTTGTGCACATGCTGGGTTTTATTTCTCTGTGTTTTGACAGTGAAACATGTACATGTACATACCAAGCAGGCACACCCTTCCCTTCTCCACCCTGTGCAGCCATAATGGAACTGCCCGCCTTCAACCCCTGCACATGCTCAGCCTGGCCACCTCCACTCTGTGCGGGGGTTTCCGGCATGGTGAAGAGCGACGTGACATTCTCTGCGCTGGACCAGGCTTTGCCTTTGCTGAACGTCTGTTGGCGGTGGGCTTGGGTTGCAGGCTCCGCCTCCCGTAGTTTCTTCTTCTGATGGAATGCTTTGGTTGATTTGCTCGGTGCGGTCAGGTCTGCTGAGTCTAGCATCATACTCTCCAAGGACGGAACTTGATGTGTGAATTAAACAAAATACCAGACCAAAAACAGTGAAAGGTATTCAATCATGAACAGCAGAAGGTGTAAAAACAGTCCCTAAGGCCAAAAAAAAAAAGTCTCCGGTTTCTGGTATGCGCGCGCATCGCCGTAGCCATGCGCGTCGGCAAAATGAAAAAGTTTTTTTTTTCAATGAAAGATGATGTCTCAAAACCACCAAACTCACTGGTTTTACTGGAATCCTGCTACTGCACAATTTTAACGTGTTTTTAGATGGGGTTATGATCGAGAATAAGCTTTATGTGGCCTCTCTGGACTCCCATATATTTGCACTAAGTTTAGTCGGGCACCATTTGCAGTCATAAGCCGACATTTGAAGCAAAAAAGTCAGGTAAAAAAACCAAAAAAAGCCGCGTCGCCGCACCACTTTTTGGACAAGCTCCATACCAGAAACCGGAGACTTTTTTTTTTTGGCCTAAACTATGGCCCTGTGGATTTTTTTCTTTACCTTTTTGATGGACTACTGAACCACAAAGAAATACCCTTCCAGTCAGCACTCTTAAACTGGACAAAAGGTCACATCTAACCCTTCAATAAGTACCCTTGAGTGACTTTGTACAGTCTCCTGATGATGGGCAGAGCATACTGTCCGAAACATTGACTTTCCCTCGGTTCTTTTCAGAACCTCATAAAACTCACAAAAGAGATTTGTTACACGGTGCTACTGTAATCTGTACCTTATTGACTTTGCATACTGTAGTAACAAAGTGTTCTTGAACCCTAGTTAAAGGGAATGTACATCATTGGCTTTTGCTTTAATTTTCAGAAATGAACTATTTGAGGGGTTAGTATAATAGATCAAATTATTGTTGCACTGACATGTTTGAAGTTTTGTGTTCGGAAATGCTGGAAAAGCCAAGAAAAACAAAAATGTTCAAGTAGTCTGGTTCCCTGACTCCACTGAAAATTAAATGGATCAATTTATAGATGCCGGAAAATTGTACGGTAAGGGAACCAGTCTAGCTGGCCTGCCCCCATTCATGAACATGCAACCAATAGGAAACAAAATTTGGACTGAAGAAAAAATGGTAAATTTGGAGCAGCAGTTGAAAAATAGTTTGGTTTTTCCAACGGTGGTCGGCCGACCACCGTTAGAAATGTATACAAAAATACCATTTACTTGAAAATGACTTCACACCAGGTGCCATAATTTTACAGGATGCTTTAGACTGTCATTTACCAACATCCTGTAAGGTATTTCGTAAAAACTTGGTAGTTTTATTTTTCAATGCTTGCAAATGTTGTAATTTCCCTTTAAGATAACCTTATTGTGATCACAGACGTCACTAGGGAGGTTAGGTGAATCCTCGTCAGCAAATTTGTGTGCGTGTGTTGGCAAATGCGCCACCAATTGTCCGATAGTGTCCAATATTATCCTCTTTGAACAGTGTTCCACACTCCCACTCATATTGATCAGGCGATGCCCCTGATTGTGATCAAGACCTTGTTGTATTCTATTACAACAGCAGGTCACCCAAAAAATGTCGATCTGAGTCTTAACTCGGACCAATAATTTAGAGCACCATGATCCAATGTCTGACTCACGTGCGGCAGTACATGAGTTTAAACCCTACAAACAGTGGTACACTGTTTGTGTTCCAGTGCAAGACACTTTACTACAATTGCCTCTTTCTTCCCAGGAGTACATACAGGTAACTATGCAAGTTTGGAAAAAAATTGTGCAGGTCACGAACTGCTTCACAAAAACTGGCCAGGTGGCCAATGATCACGGCTAAACTGAAGGACTTTCAGACATTTGTCTAAAACGCAATATAAGCACCATATTATGATAACAACTAATTTCAACCCATTTTTCCCCCTAATTTGCAAGTGCATCGGGCAATTAGAATACCTTTCTTGTCTTGTTTCAGCAGCTTGGGTTTAGCGATATTCCCTGTCTCCTTTCTCTCTCCTTGCTGGAATTCACTGAAGCCGTCATCCTTGGCTGGTGGTTGTGTCTGGCCTGGCAGTCCCAGGGGGCCAGCCTCAGGTGTCTGTGGGGTGTTGGCCGGGGGTGTCGGGCCTTGGAGGAAGTCTCCAAATCCATCGTCCTCCGCTGCAATCAGAGCAGGACAAGTCATTCTTAAAAATAACTTATACACTTGATGACCTGCACTTGAATAACATCATTTATCTCAAAACGATATTTATTCATGTTTTTTTTAATCGCAGATTGTGCCAGACTTAACATTGTGATTATTACGTCTCTTTCCTTATCATCTAAAACATATTTCTCACCTCACCTTTGTCTAAAGCTCTAAAACTGTTTCAGTCACCTTTTAATTTAAATGGCTTTTACACACATCTGGCCACATTTAAGAGAGAAATTTGCAGTAATGAAATTCCATAGCTTGGTCGCCGGTATTCGAGTATTTTGACATCACTCGGTGTTCGGTATCGAAATATTGTCACTATATCATAAGCACAGAATTCTGTAGTTAGCAGTGCCATGACATTTAGAGCCATAAAATACTGGGAAAAAAGTTTGTTCACGCTAAAAAGCAGCAGCAGTGCGGCATGGCCGGTTTATTCTGGTACGTGACTAAATCCTGCAAAGGACTCTTAACCACTTCGCGCCGGGATTATTTTTCCTGAAAATGTTGATTTTCGCAAAAGGCAAAAGTTTCTAGCCAACTTCTGATATACAGCCAAACGCCACAAATACTGATTCGCAAGAGTCATTTCAACAGTATTTGTACGATATTTCTTGCTGAAATCTCATAAATTTCAAGACTCTGGGGTGTGCACTGGAGCGTAAATTGTACAAATACTGAGGCCATGCACAACAGCCAATTCAAGATCAACACACGGTCCGCCTTCACAGACTTCACGGACTTTGTGTGTGTACAAAAGGCACGAGGGATTAGCGTGTTTAGACGTAACCCGGAGGCGAGTCGAGGCAATCTTGACGTCTCAACCCATCAGCCATGCCTGTGTATAAAAACAGCCATTGAGTGTTATCACGTCCTCCGACACGCACTGGTTAACACTAGCTTACAACAGATGATCACAGGTGAAAGTCCGCAGCAACTAATTTTGACCTTTCAATTTGGTGCCGAACCCAAGACGAACAATTCTTTGGATACTGAACTGAGGGATCGACTTGCAGCACTATTTGAAGCATTGCAAGTTTTGAGATGCTAACTTAGCAGTCAGCCCACTCACCTGTGTCAGTCTTCAGGGGTTGACCTCCACCTTCAACCCCGCCTCCTTGCTTGCTTCTCCCCGCCTCTTTTCCAGCCCCGCCTCCCTTCCCGCCGCCCCCTTTCCCAAACATCTCCTCCAGGTTGATGTTGAGGGAATCGACGGACGCCGCCTTGCCGCCCACTCTGCCAAACTGCTTCAGCTTCCGCTGCTGCTCCTGGAAGTAGCGCTCCTTCTTCGCTTGTTCCTCGGTCATCTGGTGTTTGCCTGCCGCTTGTGCGTGACGACTGCAAGAAATTTCAAATTTGAAGAAAGTCTTGAACCTTGGAGCGGTGTGGTTTAATGGTTAGGTTGTGTGACTCATGTGCAATGGTACATGGGTTTGAACCCTGACTGGGAACGTGGTGCTTGTGTTCTTGGGCAAGACAATTTACTACAATTGCCTCTCTCGCCACCCAACAGTAAATTGGTACCCGTGAGAGTAGAGGCCACAGAACCCTGATAAATGCAACAAAAGACAACAAAATGCAACAGTGGATTCTGTTGTAGCAGCCTTGGCACTATGAGCATTAACCCCACTATTAATGCAACAGCAATAGTGGATATTGTTGTACTAAGCATGGGCAACTTGGCACAATAGGCAAAGCAACTAGACTTAACTGCTAACTACAACAGTATGCAACAACAATTAACCACCGTTGCTTTCTGTTGTACATACACTGTAGTAGGGTTAGGGCAAACAATTACGAGGGTCTTTCAGAAACGGTTTTCGCAAGAATTTCCATGTCATGGTTGAAACCCTCAACATCCGACACACAATATGTTTTAACCATGCAACCAATAAGCTTCCTGTAAAATTGAAATGGTAAAAATAGTGAACTACATGTAAGTTCTTATGTTTATTAGTAACCCCAACCACTCCCAACCCTTCAAAATCCAATTGCATGTTTTGTTGGAATCTGTTAGGATGAGTACTGCACTAGTAAACTGATTATGCTTTACATGGGGTCAGGCATACCACCATAATCAGAGTCTTACAGTTTGGTGTTGAGTTTACCATATGGTGTTGGAGTTTGCAAGAGTGAGGAAGGTTCCTATTAAATCCCTGAAGGGGTTACTGTTAAATGGCCATGATCAACAGAGTGTTCTGCTTTTAAGACTTGTCCGCACCTTGGATGACGAGGCAACTGCTGTTGCATGTGAGATGCCATCGGTTGCGGTTGACCTGCAAACATCTGCTGCTGCTGCTGCTGCTGCTGCTGTTGCTGCTGATATGGCATTTGCTGCTGCATGTTCACACCCTGCTGCTGCTAGGAGAATATTGTGACCATGTCAAGTTAATGATTTGCAAAGTGAGCATTGAAGGAACTTTTCAACAGAAAGCACCCAATTGGGCTCAAAAATGCACAATGATAACAGATAAAAAAATCACTAAATAGTGAAACACGTACAATCATACAGCTATACCTTGGAAATTTGCTGTTTTCGTGTAATTGCCATGCAAAGAAATTTCAGGGTAACAGATTTTGGTCTTCAAAATCAAGCTGTTGGTGTACTGGTCGTCATACCATTCACACATTTCTTTTCAGGATTTTATTCAGATGTGTGTGCTAGGATCATGCGTATAATTCGGAAGCTAGTGTGGACCTGATATCCACAGTGGATTGTCACATATATACATGTACAATTTATGCAGCGGCTGTCTTTTTATTGACAGCCTTGCTCAAAATTCGATGCTTGAAATACGTCAGATGTAAACAAAATTTCCTTGTTGTTTTCAACTTTTTTTCCCATGTAAATCATTATGTGGAATTTCCCGGGACCCAGACCTTTTGAAAAAATAAAGATCAATAAAAAATCCAATGGGGATATCTTGCTGAATGTCCATTTTGCGTTGTTTGTTTAAAAAGCAAAAAACATAAATACTTCGGGAACAAACTTCATAGCTTTGCTCAACAATAAGAGACTTTGCACTTATTACAGCAAAAAGTTATACACCAACATGACCAGTGATAAGTGTATTTCATCAGTCACCAATGAATTTTGGCTTGCGAGCATGTTTCTAGAAATGTTTTGCGAAATAAATTATGTGCTTGCAAAAGTTGCAAGGTTAACAAAAATTCTTTCTGAGTGCTAGAAGCACAACATTGTGATCATATAAAGCAAAGAATCGTACGGTTAGCAGAGTGATAAAAGTGGACCAAGAGTTTTTTTAAATATTTTATTTACGACGGAAAACAAGCTTGGGAACCAGACTACCTGAGGCAGCGCCTGACTGGGGAACATCTGCGGTTGAAACCCTCCTTGCTGCGCGGCCAGGCCCTGTTGCATGATGGGATATCTCTGGGGCGTCATACCAGGGAAGGGCGCCCTCTGTTGGATGTACTGCCCGCCGCCCGGCCTGGGTTGCTGTTGCTGGCCAGGTAAACCCATATTCATGTTACCTGTGCAAAATTTCATTCAAAACAGCCATAAATTCATGATCAATTTTTACATTTTCAATCCACGACTAAAGAAATGGCTATTAAATAGTGGTGAGCATTTATGGGGCGTACAGGAACCGGGTACCCTATTGAAGTAAAACACAGATACCCGTGAAAGACGGTCTCCTCAAAACTGAAGACGACCAAAAAAAATGCAACCCGGTAAATTTGCTCTATTGTCAGGAACTCCAGTCCTTAACATTGCTAGCATCTGACAGGCTTTATAGCTTTACACTGTAAACTGCAACTTTCGTGGACATCAAAATGCACATACATTTTGTAAACGTGGAACCTGCTTTGGTTTTCCGTGTAGCCTGGTTTTCATTTTCAAAATTCCCCACAAATGGCCTTAAACCTTGCTTTCTAGTCGGAGAACAAGTACCCGATCCCATAATCTGGAACCGGTTCCTGACATCAAGCGGTCCGGTTCCATCAACTCAGTTCCGATGCACAACTCTACTATTAACAGCATATAAAAGGTGGAATAAGTAAACATAAAACAAAAGCAAAAACCTTCCCATAAATAAATATTTGCATACAATAGCATGCTACACAAGCAGTACAATTAAGATCTAAATAATGATATAGAAACATGTCATTAATTAACATATCAATATTCCCATGGAACGTAATCGCTAACAGGAAAGTCTATTGTGAAACCACAAAACAAAACCCATAGAAATTCACCTACACATGTACGTGGCATTTGGCATTGATAACGAAACGGAAAGACAATTTGAGATAAGGAAATGAAAAGCAAATCATAATTTTTAAAAATGTATGTTTGAAGAAGCAACATGAGTACAAAATATTCATAAACGAAAGAGCAGTGGTAATACATGTACATGTAATAAGAGCAACATAGACACAATTGCAATGGCTGCAACGTAAGCATTGATGTACATGTATGTAAGATACATGTGTGGCTGGATGCATATTTCATCTGCCTTGAAAGTAAAACAAAACATTAGCCTGAACCAGTGTTGTAGGACTCGAGTCCAGGACTCGGACTCGAGTCAGACTCAAGTCACATTTTTCGTGACTCGGACTCGACTAGAGTCACATTTGAAAATGACACGGACTTGGACTCGGACTCGACCCTGATGACTCGGACTTGAGCTTGGTGGGACTCGAGTCACGTATTTTCATCAAAAGAAAAACATAACGTATTTGTGCGACGACCGTAGCATTCTTTTTACTCCATAGACAAAACACTATAACTTGGTCCCCAACTGGGGCATGCGCCATGCGATCACTGTACACACACGAGACCCCCTTCACGAGTCACCTGTTCTTAGTTGTTCATGTGACACTCTTTGGTACCGGACACTTTTGGCATGACACCGGGCCTTGGTGCTCGCCATGCAGGCGCTAGGCGCCGTGAAAAATCGTATCCAGGGGCCGCGCACGCACGCCTAGCGCCTGCATGGCGAGCACCAAGGCCCGGTGTCATGCCAAAAGTGTCCGGTACCAAAGAGTGTCACATGAACAACTAAGAACAGGTGACTCGTGACTTGGGCTCGACTCGGACTGGAGGCTTGTGACTCGGGACTCGGACTTGACGTTGGTGACTCGACTACAACACTGGCCTGAAGCACATACATGATGTAGTTTAAGTATTAATTTGAGTGTAGTGGAACTTAACTTGTCTTTTTTTAAAGTTTCGACATACATGCTGTACATACAAAGGATAAATGTTAACATTTACATGTACATACATGGAGCACAGTGGTCCAATGGTTATTGTGTCCAACTCATGTAGCGTTCTAACCCAGAGTGGGAAACATGGTGTGTTCTTGGGCAAGACACTTAACTACAATTGCCTCTGTCCACCCAGGAGTATAAATGGGAACCTGTGAGGAAAAAAATCAGATTGTGCTGACCTCAAACTGATCTCATGGCCTAATGAACAGGGGTCATAACTATGGAAGCGCTTTGCGACTGATATAACGCGCTATATAAGCACAATAAATATTACTATTATCTTCAGGACAATCTATGTCTTTTGTTTCACAATTTTGTCAAATGAATAATTAGCAGGCATGAAACTGGAATGTAACAAAAAAAGAGGAAATTCCAACTTGTGCGAGACTTTATGCAGTGTTTTTCAATTTTAAAAGACTTACGTACACGTATGTAAGTGTGCAGTGAAAAATGAGGAAATCAGCTGATCCGAGAACAGTTACATGTAGGGCCTACATGTCTGTAAATATTAGAAATATCCGTTTACCATATTAAAAATAAAATCTTACTATAATGTCCGAATTGTGAGTAAACCATCAATCTCTTGGTACAATGTACATCCAAACAGCAATGGTAATCAGGGTAATATTACACGAAGGTCCTCAAATACATGTAGCAATGCAAGTTTTGAAGGGTTCTAAAGTGTTAAAGACTAATAGGGTTCATGCATTCAATTCTTCGTGCAATACATTTCAATCAGTTAATTGCAAAATATCAGATTATGAATTACTTTATGCACCTGTGTCAAAGATCCATTATTTTCCAACCATAAATGGGCATGCAATGCAGAAAATGATTTTAAAAAGGCACTCAAAGCAATATTAAACAAAATGATGCAAAATGCATGACGTTAGACAAAGCGTATCTCTCTATCAATAGATTGTTGCTACGGTTACCTGGCATATACATCTGCTGATGATATGGCAGCATCCCATAACCTACTACAAGGGAACCGGGGAAAGAAGGAGTTAACTATTAGATATGAAATGCGTTTTTAAAAGAGCGAGGGCAGGGAACCGGGCAAGCTACCATGGCTATGGTATATAGTGTGAACTACATGTATGAAGGGACTGATTGTCAAAGGTGCTTTTCAACAATCTATTCACGATATAACATATTTTAAAGTTGTTTTCTTTATATTTTTGATGTCTTCAAAGTCTGCCCAAAGGATTTGATGTAAATAAAGATTCGAGTTTACTGTGATTTTAAGGAATTACTGAATCCTTCACCTTTTCACACACATCCTGAATAGGATTGGCTTTTGGAAGATTATAGCGAACGTGGTTAGTCCAATCAGCCAGAAAAATATCCAGTTTCTGATATTGCTAACTAATGACAGAATCATACTGATGATGTTACGCTCCCACTATAGCTTGGTTCCAACTACAATCCAGGAATGTGATCACTGCACACACACAAGGCAAACATTGTGCAAGTTACATGTATTGTGCAAATGATTATCTGAACAATCAACAATGCTTTCGCTACTGAAAGGGGGTGCAAGTACATGTATGTGAAGAAAAAAAAAGAACGAAGAATAATTTTAAGAAATTCAGATGGAAAGAGTTCATAAATTCCTCCAAATTGTACACTAGAGAATAATTACTGGCTTCAGTGCTCACACTCTGAATATGTGGGAAGTTGTATGGGCATTTTTTGGTCTTCAATAAAACAATTGGAAAAGGAAAATCCAGAATATACATGTATGGGTTATGATGTGATGCATTCAGTATTGAGCCAAATCCACACATTGTATTATTTTTTTTCTTCAGGGTTTTATGCTAAATTACAAAATTAGAAAGAAGAAAGAATTCATTGGGTTAAAGTTAACAGAAAAGTCTTAATCCATGCATGAAACGTATCATTGGTCGCACCACGAAGTGACGTATCGTGTGCACAAATCCATAGACGATACGTCGCTTTGTGGTGCACCCGACGATATGGTAATAAAAATCTGAATTTATTCAAACATTAGAATGTCAGTCCTCCAAAGCTAACCATGCCAGTTTCAACATCACCATCCAAAACGGAGAAGAGGCTCTCGGAGGACTTTGTGGAATTGAGGCTGTATGCCTGTTAAATGCCGGGTGATTTTAGGGGATGCAAAAGTGCGAAGATGTATCCTGCACTGTTTATGTTCAGCCATGCATAATTGAGGTCTACATTAAACATCTCTCTCGTAGAACGCCATCTTCGTAAAAAAAATTACAACTGCGTATTCAATGCCATCAGATGCGTGAGCACGCAGTGTGCAAAATGTTCTAAACAAGTGCGCGTGTTGCGCAAAAGTTCTTTGAAATACGGCGCAGCCGATGCGCGTCATAAAAATTTGACGCCCAAATTGTTGATGCATGAGGAAATCTGAACGAAGTGACGTCATTTGAGAGAGATCTCTACTGGATATCATCCCCCAAATGCTTCTGGATATAATCCGCACTCACTGCTACAACGCGCAAAAAGTGGTTCGGAGGATTTTTGAGGAGTGAGGTACAGGGGTCACCCGTCTACTGAACAAATTCACGAAATAACCATTGATTTGGGAGGATTGAGGATGGATTCTGGCCATGGGAAAGTTTCGAAAGGATAAGGGTTAAGGTTTATTGAAAATTATCCCAATGAACCATGCAAGTTTTGGGTGATCTTACGTACCTGTGCCTGGCGGTGGACCATTTGGATTTCTAAATTAACAGAAACAAAATATACAAGAAAATTAAATGATAATTAACAGTTAGGCCTGATTAGAATTAAGAAAGAAATTAGTGATTGTTTAGAGTTGATAAATCTATGGTTGATAAAGCAAGGTTCGTAATCTACACGATTTCCCCCAAAAAGCTTTGATTCTTACAATTTTATTATTGTTTTACAACAATTTCACGACCTTTTCCTATAGATCAGGGCGGAGCGACGTCATCTGATGACAACATTTATTCATTTGCACAGCAGTTTTATCGGCTGTCCAAGGATTTCCAAGCCCACCTATTTTTGTAAACCGGTCTGTGAACTCAAAATTAACTTATCAAAGCTGTTTTTGTTGCTACAAACGTTATTTCAGCTTAAAATTGTTTTACACCAAACCTGTATGTCGTATAGCAGTCCAGTATTGAAAGAACAATTCTAGAAAAGAATCTGAATTCGCTTCGATCTATAAATCCTGCACGCGACCACGTGCTCGAATGCACTTACCGTGTAGTAGGCCTAGTACATGTAGCACCTTCAATAACGCCCCTATAATTCCAGCACAAAACGATCTATTTTGTGAAAACGCCTTTTTTAACATTTCATTTGTATTACTTGCAAAGATCGTCAAAGGTCTCATGTTTAATCCGTAAATCCATCAATCATTTCAACTTTACTTCAAATTTACTAAACTAGTGCAGGGCCAGTCGAAAATGTGCGTGTTCGGAAGGGGCAGTTGAGAACTGCAGCTCGTGCAAACAACGCACATTATTCAATGGTGTGAACGCACACTCGCAAGTTAAACTCACAAACTGTCGTCACCCTCCTGGCACTGATATTTACCCCTACTTGACAATATGGTATCGCCCTACAACTGTAGGGCGTAGTTGTAGGGCGATACCATATTGTATTAGAGTTGCTCAGTCGACCGCCTACATACAGTGCAGTGATGGTTGCTCAGTTGACTACAAAATGCATGTGCCGTGCATGCCACTCACGTATATGTACGTACGAAGACATGGTGTGCAGTGCTATAGCCCTACAATGTGCCCGTCCTTTATGCACTGTTTGCGTCATACTGAGCACGCGCGCTTTAGCTCGAACATGACGTAAACAATTGAAAAGAACCCCATGATGTGCCCGTCCTTTTTTCCATTGTTGCGTCATATTAAGCACGCGCGCTTTAGCCTTACATGACGTAAACAACTGAAAAGAACGGCAGTGCATGGTGTTATGTTCTAAGCTATATACTGCCACGCTAGGCTTCAGAAAATACTGCTTTTTTGCAGCTTTTTTGACAACCGCTGGTCCAAACCACTTCAAACTTGGCACTGCACATTCTGTTGTCCCGAGCAACACACCCGCCGATTTTCAACTTCATACGGTGCCCGGTTCTGGAGAAAATCGGCGGACAGACAGACAGACAGACAGAGATTCCTGGAATTATAGTAAGGATGGTGATGTCATTTCATTCCCAAATCAGGACTAACTGTTTGATTGGTCGGAAAGATTCCCATATCTGGCCATCACTAATGTTTCCCTTCAGTGACCTATCAGTATTAGCCATCAGAAAGTGATAATATGAACTTAAATTAATGGTCAAATTTAGCAAGGAAAATATTGAAGTACTTACTGAGAAAACATTTAGACATTTTCAGACCAGTCTCATACGGTTTGTGTGCAGGGTGAAAAGTGATTGCCAGATATATGAGAATCTTTTCGATTGGTCAATTTGAATGCAGTGACGCAGTGTTTTGTATTTGTAATACAACAATTACCAGATTACAGCTGGGCGTGCATGGTAGATCGATAAAACCTAGACAAGCTTGCACGTATTGCGTATCATAAGAGCGCGTGACCGAAGCCTTTGTTGCTGTGTCTAGGTTTCTTTTATCCAGCCATGCCTATATCATGACATGACACTGACGTTTAGTGACAACGTTGCAACGGGTGAATGACCAAAGACCTGCTGATTAGAAAGCGGCCGCTGATTGGTCAAAATCTAGATGTCAAGAGGCAGTTGTCTTGCATTATTAATTAGCGAATCTGCTCTGATACCATAGACTACCCCCCCCCCTTCCAGCAAATGAGCAACTATGCAAACAGCGCCCTCAGCAATGCACTCACATAAATATTATTTTTAGATAGTGGATATTTTGCCGGAGGTAATGACGGCAAACTAACGATTACTAAAGGTTTGCCGGCGGCAATCCATATCAACAGAGGGTGCTGTACTCTTTAAAATAGGGCTGATTTATAAGATGTATTAAATTCCCACCAAAAGTTGTGTAGCACGTTTGGTGTAGTGGTTAACATGGTTAAGCAAAGGCTCTAGTAGGCGGGATGACTCGCGTTCGATTCCGACCGCACCACATTTTTAAGTTTTTTTTTCTCATCCCCAAATAAATAAGAATATTCTTCTTTTATCATGTTTATTATTTTAACATGTCTCAAACATTTTTTGCAGCTCTGGAGGATTTTTTTTAAAAGGGAAATAAAGTCCGAAATTATAAAATGGTCTGAATCCCATCGTATTCACGAGGTAACAACGATAATTTTGGCATGGAGCCAGACTAAAACCTGTCACCGGAAAAACTGTAAGTACAAAAAAACAGTAACTGCGCATGTTCAGTGCACATCCGGCAAACTAACGTTTACTAAAGGTTTGCCGTCTCCGGCAAAATATACACTGCCTTATTTTTATATTCCGTAATTCTGGCGTAAACAGGACAACGTTTCTTCGACTCCAGTAACTTAGTCAATTGTAGGCCTTATCTTGGTAATTATCAATTCTGTCAATCCTCAATATATTTTGTTACAACATTAACTATTAGGTTTTCTTCCATCGGAACTAAATAAACATAAATTAAACGAAAATTTAATGCAATATGCTGCGACTAAACTTACCGAAATGCCATTCTTCTCGGCCGATGTTATTTCTCAAACGGCATAGGTCGAACGCTGCATCAGCAGAAAGATCCGAAGGAAAATGGGTTTCGTACCACACGAGGGCGCCGTGCGAGGTTGGTTTAGACTTGATCAAGTCATTCAGTGGCTTAGCGTTGATAATTTAGCCTGGAAGTGTTTCGTTTTAAAAAAGTTTGTTGTGTGTTTTTGTTTATTATGTACAGGCTGATTACAATTTTGGAATGTTTTACGTGTCCTTTTTGCCAAATTGATCGTGCTTTAATTTGTATTATAGTTACGTCTGAATTAAGTACATATTATCAATATTTCATGCAATTTATATGGAGGTTTTCCGGCAAAGTAGTGCTTACCAAAATAATTCTCAAGCGTTCGGACCGGGTCCTGCTTCAGTGGTTTATTGTTCCTGTATCTTTTTCATGTATTTCTGTGGAGTTTAATATAACGAATAAGTCGACCTGTGTTTGGCACTGGCCGCGGAATAAATCTGCATGAGTGCATCGACCTGTGGCCGCTTTGAGATGGTTTTTGTACAAATCGACCTGTGGCGTTGAGATGGTTTTTGTGCATGTTAAGGCTCATTGACCTAGTTTTAACGTTTGAGATGGTTCTTGTACATGTACATGTTTTTAATGCATGTACAGGCAAAATCGACCTGTGGCGTTTGATATGGTTTTTGTACATGGTTTAATGCAAGTACAGGCTAAATCGACCTGTGGCGTTTAAGATGGCTTTTGTACATGGTTTATATGCATGTATAGGCAAAATCAACCTGTGGCGTTTGAGATGTTTTGTGTACATGGTTTATATGGAAGTACAGGCAAAATCGACCTGTGGCGTTTGAGATGGTTTTTGTTCATGGTTTGTATGCATGTACAGGCTAAATCGAAGTGTGGCGTTTGAGATGGATTTTGTACGTGGTTTATATATGCATGTTGCAGGGCAATAAATAGCGCCCTCTGTTTCAGTTTGTAACATTTCCAATGGCCATTATTATGAGGGCGCTGTAACGGCGCAGTTTTGGGGCCGCAAATAGAATCACGGACTGGTGAAAAAAACAACATGTGCTTGTTCATTGCATTATTACACGTACCAACCACCCAGGGTTGAGCTGATCGCGCGAGGCGCAGGCGTGTCTATTATCAAGCTGATCCGTCGTTGCACGCATATCCATGCACGCTCAATGATTGACCCCAACATAATTGAGGCCCAAAGAACCCTCACCCGGCGTACCCACGGATCAGACTGCAGGCATGCCAGAGTTGTCAAAACTGGTCTAGCTAGCCCAAAATAAGTTACAGACTACGGAGCATTATGCATATCATAGAGATATCAACTGTATCCGATTCCCGTGTTTTTTTTGTGTGTGCGATGTCAATCATAAGTTCTTGGGGGCCCCTTCCATCACCTTATAAAAAATATATGTATACCATCCTTACCTATGTATTGACACTGACATGGAAAATAAAGTGAATTGAAGTGAAGTGAAGTTCATCATATGAGAAGTCCATCAAAAGTCCATTAAAAGTTCTCACAAAAGTCCCCACAAGTTCTCACAATTTAGTCCTCACAATTAAGTCTAGCAGTAGCACATGCCAGTCACAATTCAACTTGTCCCAATTAAGGTAGGTCAAAAGCAGTGCTGTAGTACTCATACTCATACTCGAGTACTTCTCGAGTACTTCGTTTTGAGTACTCGTACTCGAATGTTAAAGTACTCGTACTCGAAATGACGACGGGTGTGATATGAAAATTGGACTCGCATGAAAATCGGACTCTTTTCCCTTTTATTGGTTAAACCCTCTCAGGTGACCGGTCCCTCTCCTAATATCTATGCATGAGCATGCGCAATACCACCAATGAGTCCGTATTTCATAAAACCTAAATTCATGCTACACCGGCACTCGTACTCGAGCAGCAAAGTACTAGTACTCGACATGTCGAAATTGTACTCGATCATACTCGTACTCGAATAGCAGTACTCAGTCGATAAAAAGGGTATATATAGCGATGGCCTATTATTTTATCGATAATTTCAGTTGAATGGCTGGTTGCGGAGAAATTGGCAGTTTCCTCTACGCACGTCCGGACAAACACAATTAACGGCTAGCCGTGACTGGGTTTCTATCTAACTGGGTCTGGGCCGCGCCAGTTACGCCCACAATGCCATTTGCCGAACTGTGGGCACAAGAGACCTTTCTGCGCTTGGTTGGCAAAGTGCATTTTGCCAACCACGGCCTGCAAAACTATGGAAGGTCCAACACTGCAAAAATGAAGAAGAGTTATTACAGATCACCAAAATATTATTTGATACTTAAAAATACAACATTTTCAACAAAGCTACAAAATAATTCATACATATACCTCTTTACTATGTGTTGATGGCGTTATGAGAACTTTTTGTGGAAAAATATGTTGCCAACCACGGCTTCAATTTATGCGCTTACGGCAGCCCATACAAATGGCCTCAATGTTTACAAACAAAAGAAAGGCCTATTATAGCCAATGCCGAATTGTTCCTCAAAATGGTCGTACGATTGGAGCATGGAGCAAGGCTGTTTAAGTTCCGAACCCCGGTTTCGGTCCCTATCTGCCACTTTTCACGTTGCATATACCGTCACCGTTCACATTCGCTTGTCAAAAATGGACGGCCTGTGAAGAATTTGTGGCACTTTTGTGCCCAAGTTGTAAATTGTTCGTGACGAAAATCACAATATATGTCGTCTGTATCCACTGTCGTGCAGTTTAATCAGACTTCACAGCGGAAGCAAATTGATTTGAGACTGCTTTTGCAGATTAAAAGAAAAAAAATAGTTCAAATAATTAAATTGAAAAATGCTTACAAAGATGATCCCTAGTTTGTATCACAAGTGATTAACAGTACAAATAATTTTCGGCTTCAAGCACAATGCACTAGTATACTCGTACCCGTATTCGGAAATATAAGTACTCGTCGTACTCGTACTCGGAAGAAAAGTACTCGTACTCGGCAGACCTGTACTTATACTCGGATAAACTTGTACTCGTACTTGGCAAGCTAAGTACTCGGCAGTACTCGGTACTCGGAAAAAATACTCGACTACAACACTGATCAAAAGCTATTCAATGATGATTTGTGACAAAGACTCATAGGCTTATTAGTTTGTTATATTTATTTATCCCCAGTGTCGGTTTCTAACACTTGATTCAGTGTATGTGACCGGATGTTTAACATCAGTGACTGCACTACATTGGTTCAAATCATAAAACGAGTGGAGCAACGTCTACAATCAAGCTCATCTATTATACGAACGACCGTGACTGCGACAGCCACAAGTTGATCATCAAGTCGACAGTGTTGAACGTTGAGTCGTTCCTTAAAACTTCAAACAACAGGTTTTTCCAGAACCTATTTCACCAAATCTTTGCAACAGATTTGTTTGGAACATTTCTGAAAAGCTATCTTTAATATGGATAAAAAAAAACACACGCAAGGTCAAGGGAACTAGATTGGGCCTTCGAAGGGGAATTCCTTCTACTGGACGCTAGCTATTGTGAGTTCACAATAACTTTCAACAGCCTCTGTGTGTGGTTTTTTTTTTCACCTTATCCCCCGGGACTATATTGCGAAACTGGTCGTCAAATTCGATACTTCCGCATACCGCTCAATCATCCATCACAAATGAAGACAAATTCACACCAAAAAAACGGGAAAAGAAGAAAACAGTGCGTGTTTGCTCAGTACAAAAGGGGTTTATTTGCATTATGGTGCAATGCCAATAACGTAGCTGCCTGAGTTTGTTCATGATGTACTCCAAATTGTTTGACAAAGTTAAAAATTCCATACAATTTCCTTTGATTTCCGCATTCTCAAATACCTCTCACCAGTTTTCCTGTAATATGTTTATGCATCTGGTGTTCACGATGGGCCGCATGTTGCCCATTCAATATGGCACTGTGTACGGGTAATCCTATACGATAGCACTGTACGGCTTACAGTTAACAGTGATCCATGAGTCAGGGACAACAGGAGAAAGGTCGGCAGGCTGGAACCAGGATCTTGTGCGAAATACACTTTGAATTCCCACTCTATAGTTAAAATTATTTGACGAGAAAACAGTCGAAATTGCACCCTTCTGAGGTAGGCCTAGTTATATACTCAGCTGATGAATGCAAATATGACAATTTTCTTGTCAGATTTACACTGCAGATCAGACGGGGTCCTAAAAACACAGTCCGCGTCGTTACCATTTACAACCTAACCAGGGCTGAGCTGGGCCTTAAGGGAAGTTCAATATCACGTTACCATCTTGTTCTGGTTTGGAATTACTACAATAAACAAAATTGTTAGAGTTGACAAAGTGCCCTGCCAAGTCTTAATTGGCGCTTACTTTTCGCTTGAGCATGCAAACATATTATTATGGGATGGATTTTCTTTGAATGTTGGTAAATCCAGTTCCAGGGTGGCTTTTGTTCACTTGATCAAGGAACCTGCACACATATTATTGGTTGGATTTCATGTGACGTGACGTACCATTTATTTTCAACGGCCAAGTACAAGTACAAACAGCCAGGGTGCGGACTGTTTCATTTCCTGTTCGCGACGAAGACTGTCCAGACGTTTTCTTTTCGAGTAGGCGTCTGTCCGGACTGCGCACGAACCATATCTTAGATTTGGAAGTAAGAAAGTTACACTCTGATAAAAGTGCCTGACGAAAAGTCTGTGAGATTGGTCGACGTCTGGTTTAGCTTGTTCGAAATCTAGAATGGATGCCGGAAAAGGAGTGAACACATACCTGTTGATGGTGTTCGCCATTCTGTTGGTTTCGTTTGTCAAGTTTCCAGTCAAAGCTCAAACTGAAGGTAAGCATCTCCTATGTCAACCCCCCCCCCAAAAAAAACAGCCTTATGCAGACCCGTTTTACGAGGTTCTCAGTATTGATAACTTTTGATATCCATGCCACATGTATTTGATAGATATGGCTTTATCGACATTTGTGATTTTCGACGCTTAGTCTGGCGGGACAGAGAGGGATCATATATTTTACCCAGACGGTTTGAAGAACACGCACTATGTGAAAATTTCTACGGGATTTTGCTTGGTAACATGAGAGTACATAATATAGGCAACTTTTTTTCAGAAGGGATGGAAGATTTTACATCTTTTGAAAGAGTGAAATTAGGCGAAAAATATGAGCACAACATGTTTTAATTTTTGGGGTCTGGGTCGGGTACTTAAACTTCTGAAAAATGATGGGGTCATTTATCAATAAAATTGATAACCAAACGTGTTTGTACATTAGTGTTACTGTCGGTTTACATAAAGACATGTCATTGAGAAAATTTAAAGTATGTTTCCGTATAAGTGTCGCACTTTGTGCCCATTTATAATGCATCTTTCTGCATCATCAGGAAAAAAAGATGAAAGAATGCGAAAAAAGATGAACGGCATCCCTTCTGGAACGGTTCACAAAACTAGGCAAGCCTATATGTGTCTCAGACATTTGGTCTAAAAGGTACAATCGTTTGGTTCTAATTTTTTAGGCTAGGGGGCCGGGGAGGTTTCAGCAAGTCTATAATTTCCAAGTGGGAATTCGCAAGTAACAGTTTGTTTTATGTGGCGGTGAAAGGTTTATGAATACGCGACTTCGGTATTCCATCAAGATTTGCCGATATTTCTTTCGGGATAAAACATTCTTCGGATGCATGCACAAGCATAGTGGAGTACTGCAGCAAACGTGAAGAGATTATCGTGTTCTGACGTATACAATCTTGCATAAAAAAAACCTTTGGACAGCGAAAGGTTTTTGGTGTCTAGTGTGTCAAAACTTTTGTGCGAACGAAAATTCCATCTCTTTTCGATTGCACGAAAAATCCGCACAGAATGCAGATTTGGTTACCACGTTTCGTAGCCTTTGTAATGCATTTATCTGCCGCAGTTATCCCCGAAAAAATTGTCAAATCTTGATGTGCACCAGACTTTTTTGAAATACCGAACTGGCTAATTGTCATTTTAGTAGCTAAATATAAAAAGATGCAAATGTTTTTCTAAATTTATGACAAAATAGAATTAAAGGTGTACGCTTTCTATTACCCAAATGGTTGAACACTCCAACCAACCACCCAAATGGTTTGGTTTTAAAACCGGACTTTTGCAGTTGGTGTTTGACCTTTTGTGTCTCATTTTGCTTTCGTTGTCGGTCTTTGTAGGCCTAATGCATTTACATGCGGGCTTCCACCTTTATAAACGAATTTATATTGATCAAGATGGCATATTCACTAGTGAGCACTGCTTCTCTAAGCATTATTGTTGAAGCTGTGAAATCTATTCCAATTTTAGTTCAACTATGTCGCATTAGACTGTATCGTTAAAGAGACCGGGCCATCGGGGAGTGTTTAGAATTGATTTCTTGGTCAATTTTCACTACTTAACTTCGTTTCAGTCTTAGGTATAAAGTTTTTTTATTCCGTTCGTGTCATTCGTGACAATTAAACGGAAGAAGTTTGAAACTAAGCATGTATTTCGACCAATAACTATTCAGTATATCGTGGTCAAGTAAACAATATTATGCGTTACTTATTTAAGTGTGATTAATATGCTTTTGACACCCAAAAGTGCCCGGCCGCGATTTTTCCCCCAAACGACATAAGTAAATGGGGTGTACGCTATGAGGTTTTGGACTTTACTGCGCTAAACATATGAAAAAAATATATACAAAAGAAAAAAAAGTGAAATGAATTTGAACCTCATGAAATTCGGACTTTATTTCCCTTTCCAAAAAATACTCCCAAGCCGCAAATTAGAAAAGAAAAGAATGAAAAATGTGGTTTTGAACTCACACCCTCCGATCTCAAAACTATGGCATTAGGCCCAAAAAAAAGTCTGCTGTTTCTGGTATGCGCGCGCATCGCCGTAGCCATGCGCGTCGGCAAAATGAAAACGTTGTTTTTTTTTCAATGAAAGATGATGTCTCAAAACCGCCAAACTCACTGGTTAAGTGACTGTAATCCTGCTGCTGCACACTTTTAACGTGTTTTTAGATTGGGTTATGGTCGAGAATAAGCTTTATGTGGCCTCTCTGGACTCCCATTTGCACTAAGTTTAGTCGGGCACCATTTGCAGTCATCAGCCGACATTTGAAGAAAAAAAAAACGTAAAAAAAAAGCCGCGTCGCCGCACCACTTTTTCCAGAAACCGGGGACTTTTGTTGGCCTTATCCAGCTGAGCCATCGGAGAGCTCGTCAGCAAGGCGTAATTCATGGCATTATTAACCTGCGTGTACGTATAATAAAAGTAGAGTGCGCTCAATAACTATCCATAACGATGTCGTTTGGGAAACATAATTCGGCTATTAACAAGGAAACAGTCAATTCTAGACATTTCACAAGGAAATAATAACATTTGGAACGAACACTTCTGGCAAGGATCAGAATACGATAATGAATTCTACGGTAAACACAGCACAATAACAAAATGGTGTAGGCCTATTATGTACGCCCACGAAATCGATAGGTTTCCGGAAAGCGTTCGGTGACACTGAAACTGGTCACGTCCCTGGAACAGGAAATATTTTTATAAATGTTTCTGCTTGCGCGCCAGGCCAGCGCTGACGCTAACTCTGCTGACTTGCGCAACTAGCTCCAGGTGGGCCTAATTAATTCTGGGCTTTCAAGTGTGAAGCTGGGTCATTGAAATTGTTTTCGACGAAACAGTTTAGTCGGAAGGCGACATGACTGGCGACTACGAATTGGCATTTATTACTAAAATGCCCGTGCCTTCGGAGGTCTGTCATCCGATGAAAACATTTGCACACCTGATTTTTGTGTCAGCTATCATGGCAAAATATTGGATGCAATATGTCGTTTTAATGCAACGTGTTTTTCTTGAGGTTTTTTTTTACAATAACTTTCAAGTGTTTACACCGCGATTCGACCCAGAAGTCCGACGGCGCGCGGCGACGGAGCTGTGTTTATGTAGCGCGGTTGGGAAAAAATCGATCATGATGATACAAGGTCCACTGAACTAATTCAAGCCCCATTGAAAACAGTGTAAAATCAACAAAGTTCAGGGCCAAATAACATGCAAGCCAACATCACGGGGGTTTCTCAAACAAAAATTTAATTATTGTCTTGCCTTTTATCTTTTCATTTCAGTGTCAATTTTGGGTAGATTAGCCAATTACAATTTTAAATATTCACACCCAAACAAAATCACCTCCCGAAAACTTGTGATAATTCCCAAGCCTGCATGTAGCCATTTTACAAGTGGCATCCTTCCACTTTCACATGCAAATATGACCCACTTTTCAACCGTAATATTGTATCAAGCCTGCCCTCAGATGGAAGCCCCAAAACCAGGGAGTTGATCCTTGGGTATATTACACAATTCCACCGTTTTTAAAGCCAAACGGTCTCCGTTTTCAAAAGAAATTGTGGGGGGGGGGCACTTTTTATGTTAATGAGCTCGCGTAGAAATTCTTACTTGAATTTCAGTGCACCCTTAAGGGTGCGTTCGTTTAGCTCACCCGGGTCGACACGGGTAAAGGGTTAGGATTAGCCACGACGGCCGGGCTAATCGAACGCTCAACCACGGGCCATCACGATCCTCACGTGACGCCCTAAGCCGTGACGCGTGGCCGTAGCCACTGACAAAACGCCTGTTTCGGATTGGGTCTTAGTTTAAATGTACCGCTTATTGCAAATCTCAAAGTTGGGCTGAAATTATTTATAGCTGAAAGGTCGCCATGAACTTAATGATTACCTTTAGACTTCAAATAAAATCAAATATTGGAGTCCACTTGAGATTTCCGCCGTCCGACCGCCATGTTTGTCCGTTTATAGAGAATGAACAACGCATGCGTGACGTACTTTCACCAGTGACTCTACTCCACGAGCAGGGTCTGTGGCAACCTCGTCCCCAGGGTTGCCACAGGAAACGAGGTTGGAAATAAAGTAAGCACTGGGGACGAGGTTGGGTCCGTGGTGGCTGACCCGGGTGAGCCCCGAGAATGACGTCAGAGCTAATCGAACGGCACGGGCTGACCCGTGTCGACCCGGGTGAGCTAAACGAACGCACCCGTACCCAATATAAAATTTCCTTACACTAAGGCCAAAAAAAGTCTCCGGTTTCTGGTATGGAGCTTGCCAACCTCGTGCCCCGTGGGTACGATCTTGCAGCGCCATGTTGTTTCCCATCATGCCTTGCGCGATCGTAGCCCCTGGAATTGTGTAATTTAAAGATACCAAAATACGGTATATTATAATTAGGGCTGCAGTTTATCTGTTTTACGTGCCGACGCCATCTTTAAATGTTAAAAGTTGTGATTTTGAAGAATCAATCCTTTCAAACACAACGTTTGGACGTTGTGTTAATGAGCAAAGATTTGTATTAAATGTACGTAGGCCTACCCCTTTCGTGCCTTTACAACCACAGATACAGGGGTTTTTTTAGCGAAAAACGCGGCTGACATAATCCATATCGTACAGGCATCGCGACTTTTGAATCATAATTTTTTTTTCGTACGTGACGTTACGTGCAAAGCTAAGCGCGCGAGCGCATTATGGGCGCGCCCGGCGTGCAATCTTCGAAATGCCCGCGCAGTACGCTGTGAATAGCCATTCAGCGTCATTTACGTCATCATCACAGCCAGGGGTTAGTGTAACACGCGCCCCTGGAGTCGAGGCTGGGAGCTTGCCCAAAAAGTGGCGCGGCGACGCGACTTTTTTTTTTACCTGATTTTTTTGCTTCAAATGTCGGCTGTCGGATGACTGCAAATGGTGCCCGACTAAACTTAGTGCAAATATATGGGAGCTGCAGAGAGGCCACATAAAGCTTATTCTCGACCATAACCCAATCTAAAAACACGTTAAAATTGTGCAGCAGCAGGATTCCAGTCAAACCAGTGAGTTTGGCGGTTTTGAGATTTCATATCTTTCATTGAAAAAAAAACGTTTTCATTTTGCCGACGCACATGGCTACGGCGACGCGCGCGCATACCAGAAACCGGAGACTTTTTTTTGGGCCTAAACTCATTCTTTCACGGTTTCTGTCCATTTTTGAGATTCTTGTATCAAATATCATGACAAAATCATGGCACAACCCCTACCCACTTATTGTGACTATCACCAACATGAACTGACAACATTAATTTATCATTGCTCCAAGGAAAGGCGAAAAACCCAAATTTTGGAAAAAAAATTGGGAAAACTCCCTTCTGGACCCTAAATAGGCGACCAATTTTCTTTGAACCCAGGAGCAAATTATCGTGAGGCATTATGAATTCAAGTTGAAGTGAATTTGATCATAATTGAAAACACTCCCTTCAAAACAATGAACTATTGTTGAAGTAGCTGTTACTACCGAAGCTTTTGTAAACTTTCAATCTATAGTTAGTCATTTTAAATGCTATCTTACGGCAAATGTTTGGAATTTATGGAAAGGACAGTTTTCGTGACTTGTTTGCAAGCCGTGTTTTATCAACAGAGGGCGCTGTATAAACATGTCAGCCTCCATAAATCAGCACGTGAGATTATTATGGGCCAGTCATCTTGTCAAAAAAAAAACTGCCCACGTATCTGATCATGGAATAGATATTAGTCTATTCCTTCCTCCATGATCTGATCATGTTGATCTCGCCTCAGAGAAGAATGAGATACAACAAGTGGAGGTTTCTTCTCCATTCTCCAGTAATCACGATGTGTTCCAAGCTGAGGCTATTAGTATAGGCACCCTTGTGCCGAAAATATTCCCATATCTGGCATGTATTGTCTGGCCGTCACTTGACACTGCATACCTGTGCACAAATTCTCGACGTGATCATGCTCGCTCGAGACTGGTCTGAAAATGTCTAAGTGTTTCCTGTCATTATTTGCATGTGTAGGCCGAATGTTAATAATTAAGATTACAATGACAACCCCTCATCAGGTGCTAGTACTATAGTAGTACGGAGAGTGATACAGATACAGTGATACAGATACAGATTACAACATTACTCTTCCGGGGAAAAGTTCCATACTCGGATGTCAATTTATCTGCTGCCAAACATATTAATTGTCACCTCACCTTGTTCTTTGAACCAAGAGGGATCCAGGAAGCTGTGTTAAGGTGAAAAAAATTTACTAAAAATGTGTTTTTAGATCACATTTTGGATGCATACGTCGTGCAGAACTAACTTAAAGCAGCCGGTCAAAACTGATTGTAGTGGCTGAAAGACAGCTGTACGTTATACACGTGACATCAACAACCATGACGTCGCATGAGCCTGCCAATGATAGTGCAATACGTCATTATGAATATTTATTTTCTCATGAATATTTAGTTAATTTCAATGGTACTTCAAATACGTCCAAAGATTGATTATTGCAACAGCGATCGTGCGCGGCCTAGCGGTTAAGAGTCTCGTGTATCAAGCAAGCGTCAGAAGTTCGAATCCCGATGAAGCAACTGACTGATTAATAAATAGAAATTAAGGAAAGGAGAGGGTGAGAGTAGAGGAGGGAAAGTAGAGGAATAACCATAAAAGATGTAACTTTTGGCGCTAGAAAATTAATTGAAAAAAGTGACGTCCGAGTATGGAATTTTTTCCTATATCAAATATTGTTACTCTGACATGTTACTCTGAAACATTGAAGTTTCGTGTTAGAAAATGCTGGAAAAACTAAAAAAACAAAAATGTTCAAGTAGTCTGGTTCCCTGACTCCACTGAAGATGAAATGGATCCATTTTTGATAATATATGCTGGAAAATTGTATGGTAAGGGAACCAGTCTAGCTGGCCTGCACCCATTCATGAACATGTAACCAATAGCAAACAAAATTTGGACTGAAAAAATGGAAAAATTGGAGCAGTAGTTGAAAAATAGTTAGGTTTTTCCAACGGTGGTTGGCCGACCACTGTTGGAAATGTATACAAAATACAATTTTCTTGAAAATGACTTCACACTAGGTGCCATAATTTTACAGGATGCTTTAGACCAGACTGTCATTTACCAACATACTAGCCCCATAAATGTGGCCTATTTACTGGACTGCCTCCGTAAACATAGGCCACACATCCACATGTACAAAAAACGTGTCGACTTTGCCAAATTTTGATTTTCACATTTAGGCTTACTTTTTACGTTTTTTTTGCTTAAGAAGCATTCTCACCCTCTATATAGGCTAATCAGAAAGTGCTGCCTTTTTCAGATGTTTAATTTTTGTGAAATTTCATGTTGAAATTTTGATACGCAAACGTGTGCAAATGTATCTGGAAATTTCACGAAAAATGAACATCTGAAAAAGGCAGCACTTTCTGATTAGCCTATATAGAGGGTGAGAATGCTTCTTAAGCAAAAAAAACGTAAAAAGTAAGCCTAAATGTGAAAATCAAAATTTGGCAAAGTCGACACGTTTTTTGTACATGTGGATGTGTGGCCTATGTTTACGGAGGCAGTCCAGTAAATAGGCCACATTTATGGGGCTACCAACATACTAGCAAGGTTTTTCGTAAAAACTTGGTAGTTATATTTTTCAATGTTTGCAAAAGTTGTATTTTCCCTTTAACGATTGTTTTTGGTTGCCTTATATTTGCAGGTAGCTACGATCTGGTTTTTGTGACCAATGTGGAAAATCCTCCAGGGATTTTTGTCGCTCCGGCTGACACCTTCAACTTCACCCTCATTCCCAGCTTTGATGATCATGAACACGTTCTTCGCCCTGTTGCCATTGACTACGACCCTGTGGACGGCATGGTGTACTGGACGGATGTGCAGCATAGGAGCATCTCTCGTGCCTTTGTGGATGGGACTGGCTCAGTGGTTCTCTTGAGGGATTTGATTCGTAAGAATTTACTTTAATCTAGCCCCATAAACATAACAAATGTGGCTCAAATGCTGGACTTGTCCCTTATTGTGAGCAACACGCCAGTGATGATTTCAACACATGCAGAAAAGTTGTGTTTGAGGAAATCAAAATAAATCTGCCATATTTTTTTCTCAAGGTCAGAAAAACATCCAGTATTTGAGCCACATTTATGGGGCTACTTAATAAATATGAATAAAACATGTAAATATGCATTATTATTATTCACAAATTTCGTCAAGATTTTCCATACGGCAAAGATAATGCTGTAGTTTCTGATGAGTATTTTACAAGTCAAATTGAGGTCCCGGCTGAAATTTTGAAGGTAGAATTTTCCTTTAGACTTTTACAATTCATGAAGACTCTGGATGATTGAAGTATTGACAACTCAGATCTTTGGAGTTAACCCTATTTAATTGCCTGATATTTACAGAACCCGAAGGATTAACTCTGGACGTTGAGAATCGGGTGATGTACTGGACTGATGCAGGTAGTTTACTCATTGAGCGAGCTTCTCTCGACGGGCAGGATCGCTCTGTGCTTCTCAACCTGACATCTTCGTCGCTTTCCGATGAGGTGAAACCTAGACCGATTGTTGTGGATGTCACAAATGGGTAAAGGATGATACATGTACAGCGTGTGTCAATAAAAACGCAGGATTAGATACAAAAATATTAAGAATATAAACCACCCCTATTCATCAAAATGTTAACCCTCTTTTCAAAGTACCTTTCCTTCTCTTCACTATGCTTTTTATCCCATCTCATTTGGACAATCCTGTCCAGAGATAGAGTACATTGAAGAAGGGTTATAAATTCCAAGCTGGTCTGATTTGTGAAATCACACATACCTAATGAAAGGTTTGAATTTAGTACAGGTGAAAGTATTTGTGGATCACAAAGAAGGACATGTGTGGCAGGATTAGGCTTACATAATCCTTTAGTCCACAATCAATGTTATTAGTCAATAATTCATGATGCTTTGAAACAATGATAGTCCAGTTATTAAATTGAAGTGATACTTATCATCAGTTGTTTCAAAGAAAGTTTTGTTCTGGTTTATTTTGTCTTCAATGCATACCTGCATTGTACATAACTGGTCGTTGTGTTAAGGTCATTGAATCAGACCAACCCGCTTCAGGAGGGCTTCACAAAACTTGTCATAACTTTTGAACCAAAAGTCCAAATTCCACCAAACAAAAATCTTGTCAAAGACGAAATTATGGACAATCAAATCCTTATCAAATTAGGCACACCAGTAGCATAATTTTCTCAGAAAAAAAATCGCTTTGAATCCTGCGTTTTTATTGACACACGCTGGGACATACATGTAAAACCACATACAAACTATGTTTCCCTCAGAATGTGGTAAAAAAAAGCACCACTGTTTGTGAACGTAGTCCATAGGACATGACAGACTTTTACTAAGTACATGTAGTCATGCAGGTTGTTGCAAGTCAATCACTAGTCACTCAGTCCTAGAAATCAAGTGTCATAAGTTATTCAGATGAACTGCGACAAAGGCATGCCTTTGTCATTGCTGATCAACCTCTAGATTTGTTACTCGTGATCTTATTTATGAATGACTTGCGATTGACTTCGGTTTCAAATTAGGTTTTGCCCTTCACCGACATATAAACACTGTATACTCACTCGGGAGGTAAAACACTGAGTATACAGTGTTTAAACGTGGGTGAAGGGCAATAACCTAATTTGATTTACATCACCCCGACGTAAAATTCCATCTTAATGCAGTACCTGCTGCTATGTACATCAGATTCGAACCAGCCAACCGATCCTGTTAGCTCGGTGGTCGAGTGGTAAGACATTTGCACTAGAAAGCAGGAGGTCGTGGGTTCGAGTCCCACCCGAGTGATTTTTTTCCAACTTTCACTCGGGAGGTAACACACTGAGTATGCTGTGTTTATATGTCAGTGAAGGGCAAAACCTAATTTGATTTACATCACCCCGACGCAAAAAAATTTCCATCTTGTGACTTTGGTTTGCAGCCTTGTGTGAGTATACAAATACAGCATAGTTTGAGGGGAAATAGTGGGAATTACTGGTCCCGAGGTAAAGGTCAGCTTGACTACCTTCCGACGCGAGGCGGAGGGAGGTAGTCAAGCTGACCTACATCGAGGGACCAGTAATTCATACTATTTTCCAGAAATAAACCATACTACACCTCATAAATATCATCCTCATACTGCCTTTTTAATAGCCTCATCACTGCCTTGCCGATAACGGTCTTCGTAGATTTTGCATCTTTACTCAGCACAAGATATTCAAGCTATTCGTCAGTCAGTGAAATAGTCTGGTGCCAACACTCTTTAATGGGTCTTTAAATTCATGGAGTGTTGTAAAATCAACTACAACTGTGATCCCTTGTTCTTGGTAGTTTTTATGAGAAGTTAATGAACTGCATGTATTTTTTACTTCCAAAGCTATCTCTTCTGGGCGGATTGGGGTTCCTCTCCAAAGATTGAACGCGCAAATACCAATGGTGCGTCGCGGATGGTCTTGGTGGATACAGGACTACTATACCCAACTGGCCTTGCATTGGATGAGCAGGGTATTAGACTTTGTGTATACCTTTCTAAGAAATAACGGTATTAGGTGTTGGGCCTTCAGCCTTCATGAAATGTTCAAGCGCCCTCTGGCGGCAGGTTAAAAAAAATGTCAAAAATGCATGTCAAAAGATGAAACCAGAAGTGCCTTATAATTTGAAATTGGCAAAAGATGTTAACTTGCTTTCAACGATGTGAGTCTTTGCCTAGGCTGTACATTGAACTTCACAACAATATTACAGTTGACGTCATAAAATGTTGGCGCGCCCTCTAGCAGCATGTTGAAAAAGTCAAACATGCATTTTGAGTTGATGTGTGTGGCGCAGTTTGCGGTAGTCGCTTCAAACGTGATAGCCCAACACCTAGTTTATTTTGGGGTTACAATCTCTAGTCTATTTTTGGGTTTTTGCCCCCTCAGCAATACCACAGCCAGACAGCATTCTTTCCGTTGATAAAATAGCTCTCTCCATTTCTAGGTCATATTTCAAGTCTTTTTGTTCATGTGTACATGCTATCAATTGATGCACACCTTCACATGGTTAATTAAAAAAAACAAATTTGTGGTTCTCTTTTAGGGGGAAGATTGTATTGGTGTGATGCCGGACTAAACATCGTCGAATCCATCGACTTTCTTGGTCAGAATCGTATCCTCCGTGCTGACTTTTCCGGCTTTCTCCTTACTCCGCTTGGCCTCGCCCTCTATCAGGGAAATTTGTACTGGACTGATTACTATTATCAAATAGCAAATCTGACTCTTGGCTCACCACCATCAATTGCAGTCATTTCCTTCAATAACTTCTCGTACCCTTTTGGAATACACATTCACAGTGGTAAGAAACCCATTAGCACATGTATTACATAGTATTACATTGTATTACATTGTATTGCATTGTATTGCATTGTATTGCATTGTATTGCATTGTGTTACATTGTAAATACAATGAACACAATAATGAGTGAGATTTTGAGGAAGGATTTTGGTGACTTATATCTCCACCAAATAACATTTTTGTTTTTTATGATTAAGTCAGACTGGCCAGTTAGGTGGCCCCTTCTAATTTGAACTAGCCTTAGTTTACACTACAGTGGAACGCCTCTATGACGAACATCGCAGGAGCCACAGAAATTGTTCTTAATTGCAATCGTTCGGTAGAGTGATTTTAAGCAGCTGGTGCTCCGGTACTCACTCTTCAATAAATAGCGCCTTTCAGAATTTCACCCTGCACGCCCTGGTAGTTACTGAAAGACGACTTTGAACCAAGCCAACTATTGCATTATGTAATTACACAGTTTTTGAGCTTACTACCTACAGCAATGGGTGGCTTTCCTCTATATTCCTTGGGGAAATAATAGCCGCTTCCCTTATATTCCTTGGGGGAAAATAGCCACTTGTCGCTCGTTTGGTGACATTTTTCAACAACAATGTTCGGTACGTTTTGTACACAAAAATCGGGAGCCAAGCAGAATGTTTGGTATGGCGACATTACGCTGTTTTTACTTATTCCATGTTCACATTTCCTCTGCTGCCAAAATCAAACTGTGACATCCGTTCTTAGTGCACCCAGTAACTGATAAATTTAAAGGCTGTAATATTTCTTGTTTGTAGACACTTTTCTGGATCACAGTTGCGTGGACAGCATGCCTTGCGGGGAAGGGGAACGTTGCCGCCAGTTCCATAACAGCTACCAGTGTGTCTGCAAGAATGGCTTGGCAGGAAATAACTGCCAACTGGGTGAGTTTGATAGCCTGTTGATGGATGTGACTATGACCAAGTTATTATTTTCTCCGCGGACATTGGATTGACAGGTTTTCACCGCTTCTTGATTGCATGCAAGTGACCTTTCAACTTTGCAGAATAAATTTGCCGGGAAAAAAAATGATTATCGCAGCAATTGGACATTTGTAATTTCTTTGACTGTGTCTTTCCTTACAGCTAACCCATGCGGTGGGGCAGTTTGTTCTAACGGAGGATCGTGTCTCCTGTCTTCGAGTACAGACAATGCGTATTTCTGCCAGTGTCCTGAAAGATACTTTGGGACCAACTGCGAACTATTTGGTGCGTACACAAATGAGATGTCAACACATGGGCCTCACCCATGGTGCTACTTACAGAGTTGTTTGTGCTATTTTTTCATTTCTACCACAAACTATATGATTTTTAAAATTGCTATTTTTCTACACATGGCAAGTGAAGTACGGACTGTGTCGGCCATTGTGCACTGAGTGCTTTGCCCAAATTAATTCATAACAATATGCAAATATTTCTGTCTTTTTTTGCACAGACGATCCCTGCATTAGTAACCCTTGCTGGAATGGAGGGATTTGCATTAATGCTACAGCAGAGTTTGCTTGTATTTGTCCCCCTGATTTCATCGGATCATTCTGTGAATCGCAGAGTCGTAAGTAGTGCCCGGACCTTATGTGTCCTTAAGCAAGGCATTTTTTAACCCACCAAGGAGCAAATAGATACCTTTGAGGGCAGAGGTGATGTTTGAATTAGCCAGTTGCCCCTGCATGACAACATCAAGCTGTATACTCCCTGGGGAGCTGAGTTGTCTTGGGGATGTTTTCGTTGAATGAGCTTTTTTTTTTAAAACATTTATTATAATTGATGTCTAACTACATTGAGTTGTCAAAGTTGTGGCCTTCATGAAATGTACTTTTTTTTATTCGCCTGTTCCTTTTTTTCTTGAATTTTCTTTAGATCCTTATGACTTGGTCTTTGTGGCCAATCTGCAACCTCCAGGGATTTATGTCGCGCCCACAGACACCTTCAATTTTACTCTCATCCCGGGTTTAGACGGTAGCCATGACAACATAAGTCGACCCATCGCCATTGACTACGATCCAGAAGAACGCATGGTGTATTGGACCGATGTCACCTTGTCGACTTTAAATCGTGCCTTTTTAGACGGAAGTGGAGTGGAAGTTCTGTTTACGGATCTACAGAGTAAGCTGGTTTTATGACATTGTGTGTTTGCTCTTCTTCCAAAGGGCCACCCTATTGTCCTCTTTGTGCCTATCTGACTGACTGACTTACTTAGTGACTGACGGACTGACTGGCTCACTGACTCTAAGTGTAACTTGTGAGCTGGGCAGTGCTATCGTATAGGATTAACCCTATCCAGCCCATTATGTATATCAGTATACAAATATAACATGGTTTGAGGGCGGACAGAGAGTTGATATTAGCTCCCCGAGATACCGAGGGGAGCTGATATCGACTGTCCTACCGAAATAAACCATGTTATATTTGTTTTACTTTACCTCATACATATTTAGTTGCCAAGTTTTCCTGTTGCGGTATGCACCTCACGGGCAAAAAATCTTTGGAGAAACTTGTCCAGCTCACCAGAAGAATATTGTTGCTCAACCTCCAAAAATGTCAGTTTGTTTACAGTACATTAACTACGGTTGTAAATACAGTTGTTTGTGGACAACTGTTTTTAGTACAGGAGGCATCTTTATCGTCCACAATATTCTCAAGTTCGGCGTCATTGAGCTTGGGAAAACTCTAATTAACATTTACGTGTGCAACCATCTTTTCATGTGTAGCTAGGGCGATGTTAGCACGTGCGTACTTCCCCCGTGCAACAGTGCGACGATTGCTTCATAAAGCGCATGCGTAGTAGACTGTCGCACAGACTACGCATGCATATTTACCCTGTGCGTGAATACTCGCACACTTGGTAAACAGCAAAGATGGCATCTGGCACGTGATGGTGAATGGACCAGTGAGAATTCGGCTTTTGATCATGAATATGTATGAGATAAAGTAATGAAATGTAATTGTGTGTATTCTGGAACCAGCTTTAATGTGTGTGCTAGTCTTCTTTACTATCGATTTAGGGAGTTTTCTTGCCATCTCTTTTTAGCTCCAGATGGTTTGGCTCTTGACGTTGAGAATCGTGTGATGTATTGGACGGATACTGGCAGTGATCTGATTGAGAGAGCTACTTTGGATGGTCGGGAACGATCAGTGGTTCTCAACTTGACAAACTCTTCCCTCACAGCTGTAGAACCAAGAGGGATTGTAGTCGACCCTGCTAACAGGTACGTACATGAGGCTCACCATTGGACCAGCTTAGATTTGGCCATTGGAGCCAAATTATTTGGTTTATGTTGAGGACTTGGGAGGCGATGATTCCCTGACTCCCGTTTCATTCTTCTCTTCTTTTGCAGTCATTTGTACTGGACAGACTGGGGTACCGCACCAAAGATTGAACGATCTGCCACCGACGGCTCAGGTCGTCGCGTACTCATCGATACAAGCCTATGGTTGCCGAATGGTATATCCCTCGATCTGGAAGGTAAATCTTTGTGTATTTTTTCCCTTCACTTTGTGTATTTTTTTCCTTTTTCCAGATTGGCAAGTTTGTTCCTTTTAAAATAAAAAATTCCAACTTCAAATGTATGTTTAGTTCCTGCAACATTATTGACTGTGAGGATTAGGTTTAGGTTCCCCAGCAAAACAAGCAAAACTGCCACTGAAATCAATTTTAACCAAGATGTGCTATTCGCTCTTCTATTAACACAGGAATTCATTGCCTTTTCCCTCTCTCCCTAACATATTAGACAGTTTACACATAATTAGACATTAAAATGTCCTTGTTCTTTAGGGGGAAGGATGTACTGGTGTGATGCTGGTTTCGACCGCATTGAATACTCGGATCTGTTGGGCCAGGGTCGGACTGTTCTTGTCGACCTCACCAGTCTTGGCATTCATCCATTTGATCTCTTCGGCTACTATGACTTTATCTACTGGTCTGACTGGGTCTCGCTGAGCATTTTGCGTGTTGAGGCTTCGGGAAGGCATGTCGGGACTCACGGCTCGGAAAGCTTTGGACGGGCTGGAGGGATTCACATATTTAAAGGTAATTGAACCTTTTAATTACCGCATGTTTTTCGTAGTGCTACACTGTAATTCAATTCAATTCAATTCAATTCAATTCACTTCAGTTCAATTCAATTCAATTCAATATTTTAAAGTGAAATTCGTTTTCCCAGTGTGCACATAAAAACAGTATACATGCACGTATAAGACATGTCAGGATTTACATTATACAAAAATACAATTATGGAAAAAAAGAAGTGTGAAACACCAGTATAAAGTCCCTACTTTTGAAAAGATTTTTAAAACAAAAAGGTAAGAATCTATAAATAAGGGAATAAATGTGTGCTTGGTCGGTGTTAAACACTATGTTTAAGTCTGGTTGGAGTCTGGAATGCTGCTTGAAGCATGTTGGCATTTAATAATACTGACCCCTACACCTTGGCACCCCATCCTAAATCCTGATCCCCTTCCATCATGCCCATCCCCAACCCTCCCTTCCCGCCTTCGACAGCGAGCCATGGCAGCTTCGCCGCTCTAGTTTTGATTTTTTATACTTTCAGCCAATATTTGCCAACAAATGGTTTGCCAGCATGGGGGACACTGCCAACTGAATGCACCTCACTACACTTGCTACTGTGCTCAGGGTTATAGCGGTCGAAACTGCGAAAACGGTAATGGTTCATATCTCAGAAATCATTAAGTCGCAGACGTGTTATCCGCAAAATGTCTCCGATGGGTTCCTGGGAAATTGTTTAGAATCCTGAAATAAAAATTTGAGCTGATGTGCAAAATACTGACATTTTGAAAACCATTTCTGCACTGCTTCTAGTATTCATAGTGGATTTTTTTTGTATTGGAAAAGAGACATGGATCAAGTAATTATTAGATTGTATATTTTTTTTTATATATTAAGCAGGGTCTGACATTTTGATCCTTTCAAAATCTAAAACGGTATGTTCTTTTTGTTGTTTGTTTGGTTTTTCAGACAACCTTCCTCCTTTTTTCACCACCGGTTGCCCGAGCAACATACTTCGTCTTGCTGACAACAACCAGAGGTCTGTCCCCGTGTCGTGGCCCGACTTGAGAGCCTCCGATCCCAGTACACCATTGCTATGGAGCTCCACTCATCGACCCGGTGACATTTTCTCAGTTGGAGGGGTTACCATGGTAACATACACAGTGACCGACCAAGCCGGCAACGCTGCTAGTTGTAACTTTACTGTGACGGTGACTGGTACGATTTATTTTTAAAACTTTTTACAATTATCAATTATTCGGGTATCATTTCTTTTTTGAGCTAGCGGTGAAGCAGTACATTTTTTTCTTGTGATACTCTGTATTTAGGGGTTGGCCTTGATTGCCCATCCAGTGTCACAACTGTCACCAATCCTGGCATGTCTGTTGCCAATGTGTCGTGGGCACTTCCCAGCGTCACTTTCAACGGTCCCCAACAGCCAGTCAATTCATAAAACCGTGCTCTCGGGTGGTTATGGACACATCAATGTATAAGTAGGCAGTGCAGTTTTGGGTGCTTCACTATTTGCTAACTTGCATTTTTTTTAAATTCAAACTGCCTATTTAGCGGTGGATCTAGTGTGCCCAGCAAATTTCACAGTCGATGCGAAGCCAGGTTCCACCAGTACCGGTGTGAACTGGATGGAACCGGTTGTAACTGGATGGGACGGACCAACCAACTTCACCTCAAGCCTCAGTCCTGGCGTTGAACTCCAGATAGGTAGCCATGTTGTCAACTACCGACAGCGGTTTGAGTACGGCCTGAATTTGAATTGCTTGTTCTCGGTTCAGGTTATCGGTGAGTGAGATTTTTTTTGTTTTTATATAGGGTACTGTTTAATTTTTGTTTTATTATATTTTTTAAACATGGTACCTTGCCCATATAACATGCTTTCACAATCAAATCTTGCAGTTCCCCCTTCTTGTCACAACATGGGACGCCACGATCATTCAACTATTTCTTCAGTTTTGTCGACTCACATCAATCTGCGACTCGCTGTGTCTGCCATCTTCAAAGTGCGGTAACGGCGGAAACTTTTTCGCGTAGTTACCGATGTCGACCCACGAGCCGGAAATGGACATTTTTAGGGATAAATGTTGGGGCGCGCACTGTATTGTGAATCGAGTGTATTGTATTGGTTGAAGCAGAAACGTGTGTGCCTGCAATTTGCATGTGACCTCAATAATGACCTCTATTCTTGGGGTTGCGAGATAAGTCCACAGAAAGGAAATAGGAAAAGACTTGAAAAGATAATAAAACAGCAATATTTCCTTGCTCATTTATATTTACATATTTTCTTGTCATTTAAGGTTTTTGTCCAGCCAGCACCACAAATGATGCTCTTCATGGTCGATTGATGTGGCTTGCAACAAGAAGAGGCATAACAGCAGAGTCGTTCGAGAGATGCCCGCTCATGACATCAAAAGGTGAGACGACAATCAATTGTGAAGCTAAAAATGATAATATGATAACTTTAAAGGGAATACACAACATTTGCAAACATCGAAAAATAAAACTACCAAGTTTTTATGAAATACCTTACTAGGATGTTGGTAAATAACAGTCTAAAGCATCCTGTAAACTTATGGCACCTGGTGTGAAGTCATTTTCAAGAAAATGGTATTTTTGTAAAAATTTCCAGCGGTGGTCGGCCGACCACCGTTGGAAAAACCTAATATCACGCTTTTGATAATATGTTGGTTAATTTTGCACACAGCTGGGGATCCGTTAGCTGTTCGCAACTGCTCCGTTTTAGCTCCGCCGGACTATTTTCAATGGGGAAACCATGTACCTCAAAGTTGCGGAGAAGAAAGGAATGAAGTAACTCTGGAAGACGCCACTGATGTAAGCTTTGAATTCAGCCTTTTAGAATATAAATAGAATTGATTGGAGCTGGAATTGAACCGGTTACCTTTAAAATGTTCAATTGATCCACCATTACGGTGCTGTACCCTTGAGCTTATATGTGATGTGATCAAGCTACACGAGTCGTTTGTTGACCCTGGTCAAAACATTTTTTTATTACAGATTTGAAAAGAGCACAGTATCAGCATTACAGCTGTGAAAACCGCATGCTGATACCATTTTTAGTTCAAAAATTATGGAAGTCGGCCACCAAGAGATGTGATGAAGTGATGTGATGCAGTGGCCTTATTTTGGCCTGTATCTCCAAATAAAAATTCCCGACAAATGACTCAGATCATTTAGCTTGATGGCATCACATATGTTGAGAGTCTATATGTCCGCTGATCAGTCCTAGCACACCCAGGTATAAGGCTTCTGACTGGATAGAGTGCCATGAACAGAGATTGAACAACTTTATAACACTGTTTGATGACATGTAGGGCTAGATAGCTCCGTTATTGTAGGGTAGATCAGTGCGCTAGAGGTATGCAGCAGGTTCACATTCTGCCACAGTCACATTTCTTAGTTTAATAAGGGAATAAATGTGTGCTCCGGAGGTTTTTATCACTCGTTTAATACCGCTTAGAGTCTGGGTGCTGATAATTACCCGAGCCGGAGGTGAGGGTAATTATCAGCACCCAGACTCTAAGCGGTATTAAACGAGTGATAAATACCGACCGAGCACATATTTATTCCCATTCATAAATACCTTATCCGTAAAAAAATTTCAAATAATTCGTTCAAAAAATCCCGATTTTGTTCAACAAGTTCACTTCATGCTTTTTGAAACATCCCTCTAGCAAAATAATGGAGTGTTCAGCTGGCGAGTAAGATGTAAACAACCCTTTTACGGAGATTGACGCGCGCGTAACATGTTCTGCGCGATGTCACGCAGAACGCACCTGGGGCGTTGCGTTTTGAATTTAGAACTATAAAATTCTGACTCGCTTGTAGTGTTGCGCATGCCTACGTGAGGATTGTGAACGTTCAACCAATGAAACGGTAAGAGGCACTGGATTTTTAGGAGTCCACATTTTATTGTGACACTGGAAAAGTGTTTAAGACCAGCTAGCCATGTCTTTATCATCCGTTTAATACCGGCCACGTGACGGGCTCTCGACCAATAGGAATAGCTAAACTGTCTTAGGTATTTATGAATCTTTATTGATTACAACTGTGCCTGGTCAGTTTCCCTTATAAGTGATGATTCACAACACATTCGTAACGTAATCTTGACAGTTATAAAACAGTTTAAGATTCAGCACGTATTATAATTACCGAGAATGGTACCTTAGGCCAAAACAAAAGTCTCCGGTTTCTAGTATGGAGCTTGCCCAAAAAGTGGTGCGGCGACGCAGCTTTTTTTTTTTTTTAACCTGTTTTTTGCTTCAAATGTAGGCTGATGCCTGCAAATGGTGCCCGACTAAACTTAGTGCAAATATATGGGAGTCCAAAGAGGCCACATAAAGCTTATTCTCGATCATAACCCCACCTAAAAACATGTTAAAATTGTGCAGCAGCAGCATTCCAGTCAAACCAATGAGTTTGGCGGTTTTGAGACATCATCTTTTATTGAAAAAAAAACTTTTTCATTTTGCCGACGTGCATGGCTACGGCGACGCGTGTGCACACCAGAAACCAGAGACTTTTTTTTTGGCCTTAGGTAGACATTCCCATTGGATTGTGCGCAACAAAATTCAAATATTCATGACCCTAACCCCCATTTTACCTTATCCCACCCCCACAAATTTTGGAACCTTCATGTTTTGGACCACGCACGAGCAATCGATCTAGCCTTTTTGCAACCCTAAAATTTTGCCTCTAAATAGTTGTGGCATTAGGGAGACCTTGGAATGTCTCCTTAATCTACCTTTAATATTCTCCTGAAGGGTACATTTACAGAAAATCATTGTTTCAATCTGTATTTTGTTGTCATTCTATAAATGTTTAATTCTTATCTGAGTTGACTGAACAGTCCTATGGAGAAACTGAATAAATGTGTCTTCTGTATTTGGCAGATTGACGTCAGTCCAGGGAACGTGAATGAAGTGGTTGAGTTTCTGGCCAATCAGACGTCAGAGTCAACTGAAAGTGCAGAAGATGTGGAAGCGGTCTCCACCATTTTGATGAATATTGTCGGGGCAGGATCAGGAGATACGGAGGTAGCTGATCCCCCAAAAATGTCAGCAAAATAAAAACTTGCAATATGTACAAATTGAGAAATGAATGTTAAAGGGAATATACATCATTTGCTTTTGCTGTAATTTTCAGAAATGGATGGAATTGGGGGGGTTGGAAATATATAGCAAATATAGTTACACTGACTTTTTTGAGGTTTTGGGTTCGAAAATGCTATAAAAACCAAGAAAAACAATCATTTTCCTGTAGTCTGGTTCCCTGACTCCATTTAAGAAGAAACAGAGCAGTTTACATATATTGGGGAATTGTAAGGTCAGGGAACCAGTCTAGCTGGCTTGTACCCGTTCATAGGTGTGTAATCAATTGCAAAGAAGTGCGATGGTCAACTGGGGCCAGTATTTGAAAAAAAAACAGTTTTTTCCAACGCTGATCGGCCGATCAGCGTTGGAAATTGATACAAAAATACCACTTTTCTTGAAAATGACAGTATACCAGGTGCCATGATTTTACAGGATGCTTTACACTGTCATTCACTAACAGTCCAGCAAGGTATTTCAAATGATTTGGTAGTTTTACTTTTTGATCTTTGCAAATGTTGTATTTTCCCTTTAATAAATTTGAATCTTTACTGATTTCAATGTTGTGGCTTAATAAGATGGCAAACTTCTCAAATACTCCAATTGATTTCGTCTCAGCTTTTAAGGGTTTCTAGTGGGAACACAGGCATCTTAAGAAGTGAAATATTGACTTGCAAAGGGCACTCGTGCTCATCTGCGTGAGATGCATGATCACAAAACAGGCATAAGGTCAAGGGAGGTGGTGTATTGTTAGCATTACTCAAAAGTTCCATGGATGCTTTAGATAATAAGCGATTGTCTGATTGATGTAGCCGGGCACTAGTGTGGAAATGCTGAGTTAGTGGTTTATGCAAATTCAAGTACCAGCTTGTGTTATTGATGGACACCATGTGATCATGGCTCAGCCAATCAGGATAAAGAATCAGCTGTGGTTCTTTATAAAGAAATCGTTCACAAAACATTTGCAGAAGATATTCCAACGAGCCTAGCCTGTTACCTCAGTGATGGCACATGCATGTACTTCCTGCTTATACTTGAGCAAACGTCCAAAGTAAACTTCGAACCCTAGAAAATGTGCAAAGCGACGCACCAAACTTAATTCCAAAGTTATCAAAATAGGACTTCAAAAGAAGTTCAAATTGTCAGCCCAATAAGCTATTTGCCATGAGATGGTTGGCAGTGAACATGGTTAACTAAACTTCTGGAGGATTCTTGGTTATCGGCTTCTTGGTTGGTTCTTCTCCTAAATACTCCACGTGGGAGATTATACAGAAGGCCAGAAACACCGGGGCAATCCCCTTCTCTTAGCGATAAATGTTTACTGGGTTCTTTTACGTGCATTTATGCAACACACGGGACCTACGGCTTAACGTCCCATCCGAAGGACGAAGCAATAATGGTTAAGTGCCTTGCTTAAGAGCACAAGTGTCCGCCGGCGGGCTCGAACCCACGTCACTGTTGCCTCTGAAACACCAGAAGATAAGACCAGTGCTCTTAACCCCTAGGCCATGACACTCCATTCTAGGGCCAACCTAGTAGGTGTTTTATTGTAAACCTCGTGGAATTCAAGTATTTATAAATTTTTATGAAGGTAACCGAGTTGGTGATACAGACGGTAAGCAATGTCATCATGAGCACCAGCCAGACTCCTGACTCCCAGACTCCTGAGGTCAATGCTGGCAGCTCCTCAGCCATCGTTCAGTCTGTTGAGGCTCAAGTTGCCTTGACTCTCAGACAAGACGGTCCGGTCAGTATACAGCAGGACACCATCCACGTTGAGGCAGTCAGTCTGGACCCAATGCAGGTTACCAACGGACTCACCTTCGTGTCAGCTCCGAAGCAGCAGACCGGACAGTCTTCACCGCAGGAGGGCAGTCTTGTCGGCACTAAGGTCACGACCGTGGTGAATGCCAGTGAGGTGCCTCAAGATGTGATAGCTTCAATCCGGTTACCGGCTAACATTGTCGACTTGATACAGGCCGGCAATGGTAAGACTGATTTTCAGTAGAGACATGTTTTGATTCGTAGATCAAGGCATTGTTCAATTACCTTAAAAGAAAAATTGTAAAAAAGAAGGGCTGTAATGAGTTTTGCTCATTAAAAAATATTGGGTTTACTTTGTTTCCAACTTGATATATTTTTGTGTCATCTGCATCCCCTGCTAGGCTTGAATTGTGACTTGCTCCAATTTAACTTTGCTAGCTGATGCCTTTGACAAACTTAAAAGGTGTTAAGACAAGGCGAACCTGTCTTAAGTCTTTTTCTGACATCACTGATTTTTATAAATACCTTTTAGCAAATGGTTCCCAGCCGCTGCGGGCGAGTTTCATTGTCTACGCTGATGACACCTTGTTCAAGTCAGCTCTGATCAAAGGCTCCCCAGGGAAGAACGGCTCCAGCCTCCGGGTTGCTGGGTCCGTCGTCTCACTGACTGTGGAAGACGTTGAGTTGGTCAACCTCACCGAACCAGTGGTCATCCAATTCAAGGTACTTGTCTTCATTAAGATATCGTGGAGCTTCTGTACGGAAGCCAGTCCATCATAGGTTAGACCTAAGCACCCTAGACAACCAAATCCTAATTTGTAGCTCTGTAGGTTGTGTAGTCTTACTTTTTGGTTTATTAATATTGTTGAGTTTACAGTCCAGCGTTGTATCTCATGGTTGAACAGGCACCGGCCATTAATGAAACGGAGCAAAATAGAACCATCAAGTGTGTCTTCTGGGATTTCGATCTGAATGACAGAGTCGGCGATTGGTCAACAGCGGGTTGCTTGCTGGCAAGAGAGACAAACGATACAGTGTCCTGTAACTGCAGCCATGCAACCAACTTTGCCATTCTCGTGGTAAGTTTCCTAACTGAAGTTCGTTTCCTACGTTTTTCTTGGAGGTCCTTTGAAGTTCACCATAAAGTAAGTTGGGAAAGTAAAAATTGCATGAATTTAACACAGACCCCTCCCTGTTCCCTGAAAATCCACGATGTTTGCAATCCTTTGAAAAATAAGACCGCAATGTGCAGTTTCCTGCAGAGTGAAGTACTTTCAGAATTCAGTATGGTTCTTCCACCATAAATTTGGGGAGTTGGGGTTAAAGGGAAAGTACAACTTTTGCTTTTGCTGGAGTTTTCAGAAATAATTGGATTTGGAGGATAAGTATGTTAACGCAAATATTATTAAGCTGACTTGTTTCACTTTTTGGGCTGGTAGATGCTGGACAAACCAAGAAAACCAATCACGTACTTGCAGTCTGGTTCCTTGACCCCATTTTAGATGAAATGGAGCATTAGACTTTTGGGACGTGAGGTCAGAGAATCAGTCTAGCACGCTTGTACTCCTTCAAAGGAGTGTAATCAATTGCAAAGAAAATGCAGAATAACTAAATATATGAAAAATTAGGAGCAAATTTTCTGCAATGCTGGTTGGCCGACCAGCGTTGGAAAATACCATTTTTCTTGAAAATGGCAGTACACCAGGAGCCACAATTTTACAGGGTGCTTTAGACTGTCATTCCCTAACAATCCAGTAAGGTACTTCGTAATTATTTGATCATTTCGTTTTGTGATGTCTGCAAATGTTGTATCTTCCCTTTAGATCATGGGACAAATGTTTTCAGATAAAAATGAAAGAGATAGTCTGAATGTTTTAGTTCAGATAATTGTTTTTCTCTTTCAACTTTTAAGTGCTGAGGGGAAACAGTAAATGGTGTTAGGATTCAAGGTTTCTGTTTTTACTGTTCTTCTTTTATCTAGAATGTCCATGGACAGAAGGAAACAAGTAAAGTATTCCGGGATGTTTTGAATATCATAACCAACGTCGGTTGTGCCATCTCCATCATTGCACTGGTCATCACCTTGACTGTGTATCTTGCTGTCAAGTAAGATCTCTCTCAATCTATCTAAAGCCCTGTCGCACTCTTGCGAATACAGCTAACGTGTGCTCGACGTTTTTGGGCATTTGGGTGTTGTCATTCGTTTGTGACACGTTTGGCATTTAATCGCATTCGTTACCGGTTCGTAGGGGTTTGAAAAGGTGGTCTGGGGTCTAGGAAAAATTTCATGTTCAAAATTTTGAGGGGGGGGGGGGGGGACAACGTAGTGATCAATATGTTATGTATACACTCTTTAATCACTTTCAACCCTTGCATGAATTAGGAACTTTATAAAATTACAAGCAACTCATGTGCATAAAATGTGATATTTTGTAGCAAAAGTGCCTTTCACACTGAACCTTTCACAGGATTCACGTCCTTAGTTTTTCTTCCACGCAAGGCGTTCCTACAGTGCTTGTATGTTTTTCTGTAACCATAGGAAACTGCGAACTGGCAAATCTCGTCAGATCTTCATCCACTTGTTCTTCGCCTGGCTGATATTGTACATCGTGTTCCTTGCCGGCGTCGACAACGCAAAGGTAGGTGTGAATTGACACTAGAAGTTCAATAAGGGAATCAGTGTATGTTTGGTTGGTAATAAACACTCTATTTCAGACCGGTTGCAGTCTGGATGGGTGTTCATCTCGGGTTATCACCCATCCAGACTGCAACCAATCTTAAACAGAGTGTTTAATACCGATCAAACGCACATTTATTCCCATTCATCAATACCTTTTCGGTCAAAAAAAAAAACTTTTCGGTCCAAAAATCAAAACAAATAAAAAACTGGACGTTGCCAACCATTTTGTTCAACAATTTTACTTCATGTTTTATGAAACACCTTTGACTATAATATAGAATGTCCTCTTACCTTATAAGGAGATTGGCCTGTGCGTTGCGCATACTGCGCGATGTCTTGCAAAACGTAGCTGGGCTGATGTAGTGTGAATTTCAGACTATGAAATATGGATTCACTGGTAGTATTGCGCATGCATACGTTAGGAATACGAACGTTCAACCAATAAAACGTTAAAAGACACCGGATTTCATGGGAGTCCAAATTTCATGTGACACTGGAAAAGTGTTTAAGACCAGCCAGCCATGTCTTTATCATCCGTTTATGACCAGCCACGTGACGGGCTCTTGACCAATAGGAATGGGTAAACTGTCTAAGGTATTTATGAATAAACATTAGGTGAGGACAATACTTTGCCGATTGTAATTGTGTTCACTTTATTGTATTGAAAGATTGAATTAATAACTGAAATTAAAATAAATGGGGTGTAATGAAGTGCTGTTCCATATTGTGTAAAGATGGATTATTTTGCAATTTTGTGGTCGCTGGGGAAAAATACAAGTTTTTGAAATTTTATGTTTTAATTTTAGGGTACTGGAGGTGGTTGTGTGTTCGTTGCAGCTTTACTCCACTACTTTGTCTTATGCACTTTGATGTGGACGGCTGTTGAAGCCAGGAACATGTATGTCAGTGCGGTGAAGGTGTTCCCAGAAGACACGCCTCACTACATGCTCAAGGCTTGCCTCATCGCTTGGGGTAAGTTTCTTGTAATATCCTCTGCATAGTTATTATCATTTTAAGATACATAAATGACGCACCTTGTCAGATGTTAACGTTTACCCAATCAACTGTTTTCCAGGATCTCCACTGATTGTTCTGACGATCACCTTGGCTGCAGCAACTGATCACTACAGAAACGAGGATTAGTAAGTAAAACAGATCACGAAATAGAAATTGTCTGTCTGGTCTCAATGAAGAGGTGAAATTTCCTATTGTTTTTCATGTACTTTGTATTTCCTCTCAGCTGCTTCCTTGAGCCTGATCTTGTGCTGTTCCTCGGCCTCCTTGCTCCCATTGGTCTCATCCTCATCCACAACATCCTCACCTTCATCTTGGTCATGCGCAGCATCCTGAAGGTCAAGGAGGAATCTCGCTCCCAGCAGATCTCCAAACGCCTCCAGAATGCTGTGGGAATCTCCACCCTCATGGGGTTGACCTGGAGTTTTGGGTTCCTGGTTGTCATCGACGGATCGCAAGCCTTCCAGCTCATCTTCTGTCTGGCCAACTCCTTTCAGGTGGGATATCTTCCATACTACAGCATGAAACCTTATTGTCTCCGGAATTTGCTTTGAGAAACCCAACTATTTTATCCACCTGTGCAAGATCTAATGGCACAGTTTTTGGATTAGACAGAAAGGGCGTCTAAGTCAACTCCATGGCGAGAGCCTTCCTCACCCCAACAAATGTCTCTCAAACCTCTTGGTTGGTTTTGATGAATGAGTTTGAATTAATGTAAAGAAGCTTAAAAAAATTGACAGAATCCTTATTGAATTTAATGTCCATGGGGGCAAGGTGTGTTTTTGATCATGCTGGACCTCATTCTGAATGAGATAAAAACTGTTCAAGAATGTTTCATTAATTTCAGGGCCTGTATTAGTATTAATACCAAGAGATGTAGGGGACTTACACAAAGCAAGCACGTCGAGTGCAAGTCCCCTGAACAACAACAAAAATATCTAAACGCAATTAACAAAGTACATAATAACAACAAAAAGGACTCCGTATAACATAGACAATACGAATATGTAATTGACAGGGACGATGAGTTTGAATTAATGTAAAGAAGCTTAACAAATTTGACAGAATCCTTATTGAATTTAATGTCCATGGGGGCAAGGTGTGTTTTTGATCATGCTGGACCTCATTCTGAATGAGATAATAACTGTTCAAGAATGTTTCATTCATTTCAGGGCCTGATTGTCTTCATCATGTTTTGCGTGCGACGTGAAGAGGTCCGCACCGCCCTCGCACCGTACATGAAGCGCCTCTGCTGTGGTCGCACCTGTGACATACAGGTGCCTTGGAAAAAGGATAGGTCATACGACCTGCCCATATTGTCTGAATCCGTGCCGAGTTCACAATCGACAGCCCACACTGCTGAAGTTGACATGTCAGTGTCAGGACCGTATTAGTGAGAGGCAGGCTTCAATACTCGCTGTCTGAAGCATCAATCTTTAAAGTCTACTTATGGAATACTTATTACCTTATCATGCACAACATTACTGGACCGAGCTCTGTCTAATGTGGTTTTCTTAGTATAGGTATTTCTCTAGCACTTAACTGGTTCGTCACTCGTCACTCAGTTTCTGATGTGAGGCAGGTGGCTCTGGACAATGATGCACATACATTGGGGATAGCCTGACTGTATGATTATGGAGCTATAAAAAAGGCTCCATGGTACGATCAAGGACAAACCATGCACTTCCGCCGTATGTGCGATGCATACGTTAGGAATATGAACGTTCAACCAATAAAACGTTAAAAGACACCAGATTTCATGGGCGTCCAAATTTCATGCGACACTGGAAAAGTGTTTAAGACCAGCCAGCCATGTCTTTATCATCCGTTTATGACCAGCCACGTGACGGGCTCTTGACCAATAGGAATGGGTAAACTGTCTAAGGTATTTATGAATAAACATTAGGTGAGGACAATACTTTGCTGATTGTAATTGTGTTCACTTTATTGTATTGAAAGATTGAATTAATAACTGAAATTAAAATAAATGGGGTGTAATGAAGTGCTGTTCCATATTGTGTAAAGATGGATTATTTTGCAATTTTGTGGTCGCTGGGGAAAAATAGTTTTTGAAGTTGTATGTTTTAATTTTAGGGTACTGGAGGTGGTTGTGTGTTCGTTGCAGCTTTACTCCACTACTTTGTCTTATGCACTTTGATGTGGACGGCTGTTGAAGCCAGGAACATGTACGTCAGTGCAGTAAAGGTTTTCCCAGAAGACACGCCTCACTACATGCTCAAGGCTTGCCTAATCGCTTGGGGTGAGTTTCTTGTAATATCCTCTGCATAGTTATTATCATTTTAAGATGATAATACATGAATCATGCATAAATGACGTACCTTGTCAGATGTTAACGTTTACCCAATCAACTGTTTTCCAGGATCTCCACTGATTGTTCTGACGATCACCTTGGCTGCAGCAACTGATCACTACAGAAACGAGGATTAGTAAGTAAAACAGATCACGAAATAGAAATTGTCTGTCTGGTCTCAATGAAGAGGTGAAATTTCCTATTGTTTTTCATGTACTTTGTATCTCCTTTCAGCTGCTTCCTTGAGCCTGATCTTGTGCTGTTCCTCGGCCTCCTTGCTCCCATTGGTCTCATCCTCATCCACAACATCATCACCTTCATCTTGGTCATGCGCAGCATCCTGAAGGTCAAGGAGGCATCTCGCTCCCAGCAGATCTCCAAACGCCTCCAGAATGCCGTGGGAATCTCCACCCTCATGGGGTTGACCTGGAGTTTTGGGTTCCTGGTCGTCATCGACGGATCGCAAGCCTTCCAGCTCATCTTCTGTCTGGCCAACTCCTTTCAGGTGGGATATCTTCCATACTACAGCATGAAACCTTATTGTCTCCAGAATTTTCTTTGAGAAACCCAACTATTTTATCCACCTGTGCAAGATCTAGTGGCACAGTTTTTGGATTAGACAGAAAGGGCATCTAAGTCACCTCCATGGCGAGAGCCTTCCTCACCCCAACAAATGTCTCTCAAACCTCTGGGTTGGTTTTGATGAAAGATCTGGGCAGGGTTACGGCTAACAGTTGCATCGGCAAAATTGTCGTCATCTTTCTGAAGCATTGTGTGAAAGCTGGCGTCTTTAATACAATAAGAACGTTTGATACAAGGGCTTGCCTTGCATTGGTATAATTATGTTCTTGTTCAATTTGCCTTTTATTCACTTTACTTTATTCCACCTCATGGTACATGTAATGCAAAAATATACATAGAATTCTTCTAAATTAATAAGGTATGTTATAACGAATAAGAAAAAAAAAGCAATGTATTAGTATTAATACCAAGAGATGTAGGGGACTTACACAAAGCAAGCACGTCTTCATCTTCTGTCTGGCCAACTCCTTTCAGGTGGGATATCTTCCATACTACAGCATGAAACCGTATTGTCTCCAGAATTTGCTTTGAGAAACCCAACTATTTTATCCACCTGTGCAAGATCTAATGGCACAGTTTTTGGATTAGACAGAAAGGGCATATTAGTCACCTCCATGGCGAGAGCCTTCCTCACCCCAACAAATGTCTCTCAAACCTCTTGGTTGGTTTTGATGAATGAGTTTGAATTAATGTAAAGAAGCTTTAAAAATTTGACAGAAGCCTTATTGAATTTAATGTCCATGGGGGCAAGGTGTGTTTTTGATCGTGCTGGACCTCATTCTGAATGAGATAATAACTGTTCAAGAATGTTTCATTCATTTCAGGGCCTGATTGTCTTCATCATGTTTTGCGTGCGACGTGAAGAGGTCCGCACCGCCCTCGCACCGTACATGAAGCGCCTCTGCTGCGGTCGCACCTGTGACATACAGGTGCCTTGGAAAAAGGATAGGTCATACGACCTGCCCATATTGTCTGAATCCGTGCCGAGTTCACAATCGACAGCCCACACTGCTGAATTTGACATGTCAGTGTCAGGACCGTATTAGTGAGAGGCAGGCTTCAACACTCGCTGTCTGAAGCATCAATCTTTAAAGTCTACTTATAGAATACTTATTACCTTACCATGCACAACATTACTGGACCGAGCTCTGTCTAATGTGGTTTTCTTAGTATAGGTATTTCTCTAGCACTTAACTGGTTCGTCACTCGTCACTCAGTTTCTGATGTGAGGCAGGTGGCTCTGGACAATGATGCACATACATTGGGGATAGCCTGACTGTATGATTATGGAGCTATAAAAAAGGCTCCATGGTACGATCAAGGACAAACCATGCACTCCCGCCGTATGTGCGAACATATTTGGTCGTCAACTGATCGAGAAGCCTTTATCTCGGAAGGCTGCTCATGAATGCGTCGCGAAAGCCACATTAGACTGGGCTTGGTTCCGTAGTAAAATGGTAGGTGGCACTGACATTGACACCACGCGCACCCACATCGGGGTTTATGGGGTACCACTATTATCCACTTTGCTTCCCTACCATTGTTCGCCTGTGTTTCTATTTGAAATCGCTAACGCTATGGCTTTTCTGATGTGCGGTACCAAGATATCTAAAGACCAACTTGTAGGATACTACTGTCCCCCTTGTTACTCTCTGTTTTCAGTACCCCGTAATAAGTACCCATATGTATTAGTACATACTCGTTGGCACGTGCACTCGTTGGCACGTTGTGCCAGCTAAATTTATTTGAAATCCTCGAAAACTAACTTGTTACGCCTTTGTGTAAGGCTTCAGGCACCATTTGATTACACAGGCATGTCCTTTCCAGTGAGCTTCCCCAACTTTTCCTTGATTACCATGCAAGGAGTACTTGTCCTCAAAGTCCATAACCACCACTGGATATAGTGACAGGTGCACTCAATCTGTGACTGCCTCATGTACATGGCCATGCAGGCATGCATGATTTGCACGTAGTTGAGAGCTTTTGCCGATTGGCAATTCTCGGCAACTGTGCAGAATTGTGCAGGCAGTTTGCAGACAATGTGCAGACATACTTAAGCTTGACCTTGCTAGTAATCTCCAGGGGCCAATTTCATGGGACTGCTAAGTTCACACATTTGCTTAGCACAAAAAAAGTCTGGCTTGCAAAAACAGGTCGGCCAGCCAAAACTCCATGAGATGCATAGTGCTCGTGATTAGTATTCAGCCGTTGTAAATTTGCTATTGCATGAAAAACACGTGGAGTTTTGGCTGGTAAACTGCTTTTATAAGACAGGTTTTTTTTGTGCTTAGCAATTGTTTTTACTTAGCAGCACCGTGAAATTGGGCCCTGATTACTGTGGGAGGGGGGGGGGTGGTTTTATTTTAAAGACTTAAGTAATGTATACCATAAGAAACGAAATCATTCCATTTAAAAAAAAAAAACAGCGGTTGTATATAATTATTGGTTGCAGAAGGAGGAATAGTCGTACGACATTATTATCATCAATATCAGTTTTTTATATGTAAGCTAATTCTTTTTATGTAAGCTAATTAAGTGTGTCTAGTTATTGCTTCGTTTGGTTTCCGGTTTTTTTTTTTTAACTCCGCTCATAAGTGTTGATTTGAGTGATTCAAAATGCAGTGAAGAGTTAAACGAAAAAAACCCAGCCAACTGCTTAATATATGAATGCCATTTGACAGTGTTAATGGAAAATACAACATTTGCAAACATCGAAAAATAAAACTACCAAGTTTTTGCGAAATACCTTACTAGGATGTTTGTAAATGGCAGTCTTAAAGCATCCTGTAAAATTATGGCACCTGATGTAAAGTCGTTTTCAAGAAAATGGTATTTTTGTGTACATTTCCTACGGTGGTCGGCCGACCACCGTTGGAAAAACCATGGAAAAAGCTAACTATTTTGCAACTACTGCTCAAAATTTACCATTTTTCAGTCCAAATTGTGTTTGCTATTGGTTACATGTTCATGAATGGGTGCAGGATAGCTAGACTGGTTCCCTTACCTTACGATTTTCCGGCATTTATAAATTGATCCATTTCATTTTTAGTGCAGTCAGGGAACCAGACTACTTGAACGTTTTTTTTTTTTAAGGGAAGTAAAGTCCGAAATTAATATAAAATGGTCTGATTCCCATCTTGTGAATACGAAGTTACAACGATAATATTGGCATGGAGCCAGACTAAAATTTGTGTCACCGGAAAATGTTTTAAGTACAAAAACACAATAAATGCGCATGTTCAGTGCATATCCGGCAAACTAACGTTTACTAAAGGTTTGCCGTCTCCGGCACAATATCCACTGCCATGATAAAATTTAGGACTGGGTAACTCCAGCTAGGCCTACACCCCGTGACGATCCCGATATAGACGTTCACACTCCCCAGGCTTATTTTACCGATATATCGCCGTCTTTCGGTGACTTCTCTGCCGGTGTGGACGGTAATTCTGTCCCCCGTTAAAAGTGTCCGGGGGGACAGAATTACCTAGGTAAAAGTGTCCTTCCCGGCCCGTTAATTCTGTCCCCTCCAGGTTTTTTTGTGTTTAATAGGAAGAGGCGTAATCATACATGTCGCCACTACATTTTAAGTTAAATGGAATGGAGTTTGGCCGCCACCATGCATTTCAGTTTTGTGTTTAATAGGAAGAGGCGTAATCATACATGTCGCCACTACATTTTAAGTTAAATGGAATGGAGTTTGGCCGCCACCATGCATTTAAGTTTTGTGTTTAATAGGAAGAGGTGTAATCATACATGTCGCCACTACATTTTAAGTTAAGTGGAATGGAGTTTGGCCGCCACCATGCATTTAATGTGTTTAATAGGAAGAGGCGTAATCATACATGTCGCCACTACATTTTAAGTTAAATGGAATGGAGTTTGGCCGCCACCATGCATTTAAGTTTTTATCAGACTTGTGTTTTCTTAAAAAGAAGTGTGTTTTTTTGCTAGGAAAATAGCCAGGAAGAACCGGTTTTGTGCAAGCAAAATTCAGGGAACAATCTGTTGATACTAATAACTTGTTGGACAGTTCCAAAGTCATTCCAAGAAAGTTGCCGCCGTGAATTAGGGTTTAAAACAAGGGAGGAGGATGAGATTCGCTATCAGCATCAGCAGGGCCGTTCCTCATTCTTTACTTTTTATGGGATGTATGATAAAATTGGAGTACGAAGGGCTCTGCGAGCTGATGAATCTTTTTGAAAACATTGTATTTGGAACCAGCTAGGGAAGATTTCCGTTTATTTAAGACTTAGAAACACTGGTATGGATACCTGTGTAAGTATATGACTAAACTGCCTAGAGCGTATTTGTTAAGGTTTTTTTTTTCCTTTTTTGGAAATTCAATACGCATATAGGGAGTAAAATCAGTTCCACTGCTGGGTTGCGGTGATGGGTGGGTAACAACTTGTCAACACATACCTCGCCAGCGGGCCCATTAGATTGGTGATAACCGGAGAGCGGGAGTTTCAAAAAACTCATCCGGTGTTTAGGCGACGCAGGGACTGGTTTGTGTACATGTGGTTTTTGTTTCTATAGTTCACTTAATGATTTGATCCAGCCATACACAATAATTCAAATGTTAAGTAATATTATTATGTACTTGTATGCGTTGGGAAAATTAAAGATTTGATTGATTGATTGATTGATTTATACCGGTGATAATATGCCGTCCCACCTGTTTTTCTTTTGTGTGTGTCGGGGGGAAAAGTGCATATTTTCTGTGCCCTTTTTACGCACTTCATCAGTCACCCTTTGTTTAATTCTTGTATGTAACGTATTTATTGCTAATGATGGTAAAGAATATTTTACGCGTTAGCATTTCTTGTAATGATCAGACTATTTTAAGTGGATTCCTTATTTTTTTTTATTTCGAAATCCATGCCTAAAAGACCATTATGTTAGTTCTGTTCTTCAAGAAGTTCCAATAGGATTTGAGTTCTCCTCATCCAAGTTTTTTTTTTGGTTGGATGGTGGAGATGGGTTAATCCTTGATCGGACCAGGCCATCTTTTAGTTTTTGTCATTTGTATGCCAGGATGGGTTGGGTCGCAAAGAGTGCACTGAGAAAATCATTATCGCTGATCAGATTCCAGTGTTTCAGAAGGGCCTGCTAAAGAGCTGGGTGTTTAATTTGTGGGTGGTAGGGTAAAGCAAAGACTAGCGGGGTATTCTTTTCGGTTTTTGCACGCTTTTTAGAGTTCACGCGAGTTTCGCCTTTTTGGGGAAGAAGGGATAAATCTTCTTGGTTGTATCCGCGTTTCTGTAGTTTGTCTTTGAAGAATTCAACCTTCTCAAATTATTTTGAGTGTGTGCATATACGGTCATATCTCATTATTTCTCCCTTAATCAAACCGCCAAACTCGCGACTCAGGGTGGGCTGAATCTCGAGCAAGATACTGAAAGGTATCAGTTTTTTTGGTTGCTACTCGAGTATCCAGTTTCCCTTCTTTTTTGAACCGTTCGCCTTTGTAGATGACGAGGTCGAGGAAGGTGACTTGACTGTTTGAAATCTCTGACGTGAACTTGAGCGTGGGATGAATTTGGTTTAGAGTTTGGACGAGGTCACCGGCTTGGTCTTCATTACCGTTAAATATTATTAAGACGTCGTCCCTGTATCTCATGTAACTCACAATTGAAGGATTGTGTGGGAGAATAATTTCTTTTTCATATTTGAACAGGGTTATATCGCATATTTCTGGACAGCATTCGCTTCCCATAGCCACGCCAATTTTCTGTCTGAAGAACTTTCCATTGAATTCAAATATGTTTCGATGCATGATAAGTTCCAGGAGACAGCGAGCGTGTTCTCTTGTAGGTTTGGGTATTGCGTACAGACTGCTATCGGCAACTTCAAGTGCATCGCAAACTGATTCAATTGCCTCATCTTGTGGGCAATTCGTATACATGGACACAATATCCAATGTGATCAATAGGCTATCCTGCTTCAATGTCACGTTGTTTAGTTTTTCAAGCACATGCCCGGAATCGCGTGTATATGTGCTTTGTTGTTTGACAATCGGAAGCAAAAAATAGTCTATGTATTTTGAAATTGATTGAGTCAGACCTCCGCAACCACTAATAATAGGCCTCCCCACAAACCGCGTTTCTTTGGGTGCTTCTTTGTGAACTTTCGGTAAGAGGTAGAGGCAAGGAGTTTTGAAGTCGTGGTTGTCATGGTTGAGAAAGTCAAATGTTTTTTGGGATATTACTCCATCAATGTGGAGTTTGCGTATGGCTTGAGCGATCTGTTGTGCGGTTTCCCCAGTCAGATCCCTATCAATCTCTTCCAGTGGCGTAGCCAGGAATTTTTCAGGAGGGGGGGGGGGGGGGGGGGGCTGGAACATTTCATGGGGGGGGGGGCGTCATGCAGGGGCGTCAGTCGCTTCTCAAAAGTAGGGGGGGGGGGCGGACATACCTTGATCAGAACTGATGCGATCGCGAAGCCCTTACGGCGTGGGGTTCGGGGCCCGCTTAAGGGCCCCGAAAAAAAATGTGATTCTAGATGTTCTGTGGTGTGATCTGAAGCAATTTCTTACCACTTTCCTCCATGCTTTAACTAATATTTTCTTAGCAAAAGATAATTATTTGAACATCGTTTGCGAGGTTGAAGTCATTGAATCAGCTATCGGTATTCTGAGCTATAGGCGTGGGGTTCGGGGCCCGCTTAAGGGCCCCGAAAAAATCGGATTCTCGATGCTCTGTGGTGTGATCTGAGGCAATTTCTTACCACTTTAACCAATAATTATCTTAGCACAAAAGATAATAATTTAAACATAATTTACGAGGTTTTCTCAGCTAAGGGCATAAGAAATTTTTTTGAACATTGTTTTCGAGGTTGGAGTCATTGAATCAGCTACCAGAATTCTGGGCTTTAGGCGTGGGGTTCGGGGCCCGCTTAAGGGCCCCAAACAATTTTGGATTCTAAATGCTCTGTGGTGCTATCTGATGAGGCAATTTCTGACCACTTTAACCAATATTTTCTAAGCAAAAGATACATTGTACAATGTAGTACGTAATAGGGCCCTGTAAATGAGACAGAGTTGAAAAATGGGGGGGGGGGACATTTGATATTGTGTCCCCCACCCTTCAAAAAGTGGGGGGGGGGGGGGGACATGTCCCCTGTTCCCCCCCCCCCCCCAGGTTTGACGCCCATGGCGTCATGTAGATTAATGATATTTGTTTTAGAAACTCAAAATCTCAGTTGGGGGGGGGGGCGACTGGGGGGGGGGGGGGAGGAACAAGGTTTCATGGGGGGGGGCGGTCGCCCCCCCCCCCCCCCCCGGTGGCTACGCGGCCACTGATCTCTTCATAATGTGGGCCTGATAATTGTCGTAGCCCCTCTTGTATATAGTCTTGTCTCGTCTTTGCTTAAGGCCGATCAGGGCGATGCGTTCCGCTTTTGATATGTTAAATTTTACATTTTTAGAAGAAGAAAGTTGAAATAAGGTGGGGGATCGAGGGAAGCGATGAGTTGTTTTGGCTTTAATTCAATTACCATTGCGTGTAGATTGAGATTTCTGACATTATGTTTTAATACATGGATGGAGTGAGGAGCAGCTCGTCATCTTTATTTTTGTATTGTGGAAAGGGGCTAGTCCAGACTCGCATTATTTATTTTATGAGAGGAATAAGCAAAATGAGTGACAAATGAATGCTCACAAATAGATAAGTGGATTGTTCTATCGTACTATTTTAGACTCTTCAAACAAAAGAGAATAGGCTTTTTAATATTTTTGTAGAACGCATGGGGGAAGGAAGGAGAAGTGATAGTAAAAGAGTAGGAGAAGAAGGAGAAGAAAAGTAAAAGGGATAAAACATAGGAGTGTGTACGCAGAATGGGATGAGGAAGCCCGACTATTTTTGGAACATTTGCAAGTGTTCTTAACAAAAGAGGGCGCTATTGTCAAAATGGCGACGCCCATACGCAGTTTCATCATTGCCATTGCGGCTTTTCAATCAAATTAAATTGTGTATGAAATATGTGTACGAATTTCGCCACTTGCAGGGGAGAATGTTTTATGAATGACCGTGGACTTTATCGGTTATTAGATTTCAGCTCAATAATCGGAATTGGATGTGGAAAAAGTCCTTCAATGGCAACATTCCTTCCTCATGATCCTCCATGCTTCATGACATCAAATCATGTTCATCAGCCTCATCAGAGTGACATTGCAATGGCTGATTGCTAATTTGTTGATGACAGCAGTGGCCATCATTGATGGCACATGAATACAAAATGTCAGTCATGTTACAAATACAAGAACTTCTTTACCATACTTTACTATTGACAATTTGTTTTGGTTTGCTAATTGCAGTGATCATCCAATGCTTTCTGAATTGGAGGCGTAAAGGTATTTTGTACAAGAATGCAGAGAAAAGACAGGAAAATGCCAACTATGATGACTTCTCAAAATGTACGTCATCAAGCTGTGTTCGTTGTCAGAACTATGAAAGGCTAACACTGGACCTCATGGAACGCTTTGTAAAATACAAGGACGTGAAAAGTGATGAAGGTGAACAAGATTTGACACGACTTCAAATTTCAATTGAGAACAGCTTGAAGATGTTGAAAAATGGCGAGGACAAATCTCAGCTCGGAGATGAAACTTCCTTACCTTCACTGCAAAAGCCCAATGTGTTCTTTCTCCGCGGCTTATCTGCAAATCCATGGCACGATGGAGGATTTGACACTGAAACATCAGTCCTGGAAGCAGCACTGCCGACAATCAAACAGGAATACAGAGAACTGCTCACCGAGCAAAACATCTCCGAGAATTTCGAAGGATGGCTGGAAAACAATGTACCGAGCGGAATGTGGAACGTGTTCTATTTGTTCAACCAAGGCAGGAGAATGGAGGATAACTGTTCCAAGTGTCCAAAGACGGTTGCAATTCTTGAAGCTCTGAGCGTTTTCATGAAGGGGTGTGCCTTTGGTAATGCTATGTTTTCAGTGCTGGAAGCTGGTACACACATAACAGAGCATTATGGCCCTTGTAACTTGAGGATTCGATGTCATCTTGGTGAGCGACAGAACTTGAAGCTTCAAGAGATTGTGTTGATTTTTTTGGGGGGGGGGGGGGGGGTTGGGGGTTAGGGGTGGGGCTGGTGTAGTGATGTGGTCAAAACTTCAAGTCATTACTGCCGTCCAATAAGCACTGTTGACATCAGAATTGTCTGTAATTAATCGATATATCTGAAATACATCGAGAACATTCGATATGTTGATTATCCCATGTAAAAGTTAAAGACTATAGATGACACTTTCGTAAAAAAAAACCCACAATCTTACATGTAGGTCCCAATTTTCCATGGCTTTCTCTGGAGCATATTGCTCAAAATTTTAAAAACAAATCTTAACACTGACAGTTTGTCCAGAACAGGCGGTTTCTTTTTGTGGTTTTGCATTGGGAGAAACCGCAAATTCCAGCGAACGCAGAGCACGAAGCGTCGCCGCTTCGCATTTTGCCCGATATTTTTATTTTGAGTCAACAGCACAAGTTACCGCCGAATTTTATTTCATTATACCGCAAATGTAATAAACTTGTAGTAAAAGTACAAACGGGATATTTATTTTGATGATAATCTGACGCATTTTCGATATTTTTTGATATCATTTGTCAATATCAAAAATTTCGATATATTTCAATATGACTAAAAAATTCCTATCGATATCAAAATAATATCAAATAATCAAGTAATATCGATATATCGACGGTGCTTACAGTCCAACCAAAACACTGAAATATATTAACACAATATCACAGTTGTACAAACTACTTCTCTGCATGTATTTTGTTGTGGATATGGTTTTAAAGTGATTTATTTTCCTTTTTACCCACCCCTAGGTCTGCATGTTCCAGCAAACTGCAGCCTGACCGTCGCTCATCAGTCCAGGCAGTGGCAGGAAGGCAGGTGTCTACTCTTCGACGATTCCTTCCTGCATGAAGCAAGGCATGCTGGGAAGGATGACAAGGGGCCGAGGGTGGTTCTCATGATGGACTTCTGGCACCCCGACGTGACCGCCGCCGAGAAGAGGGCGCTGTGTCATTTGTTTCCTTCACAGTGAAGGACAGTCTAAGTTTATTGTTGGTGGTTAAAGTTTGAAGTATCTCACCCTATCTGTCTCAATTTATGGTACTTCGAAATTGATTCTTTTTCCTGTAAAGGAAATTGGAGACTCTAGTTATTTTAACCCTGTATTTACATTGTATTACTATTACATTGTGTTTATTCGCTCAAGAATCAATAAAAAAACTTACGAGTGCTTGGGCGGTTTTGGGCGGTACGGTGACTTAAGGACTTTTACTAAAGGGACTTTTACTGCAGGGTTACAAAAAATGTATTTTGTTGATGTATATTTCAGGTTTATCTAGTCAGTAAGCAGGTTGCAGCAGTTTAACATATTTAAAGGGAATGTACATCATTGGCTTTTGCTGTAATTTTCAGAAATGAACTATTTGAGGGGTTAGTATAATAGATCAAATATTGTTGATCAAATATTGTTTGAAGTTTTGTGATCAAAAATGCTGGAAAAACCAAGAAAAATAAAAATGTTCAAGTAGTCTGGTTCCTTGACTCCACTAAAGATAAAATGGATCAATTTATAGATGCCGAAAAATTGTAAGGTAAGGGAACCAGTCTAGCTGGCCTGCACCCGTTCATGAACATGTAACCAATAGCAAACAAAATTTGGACTGAAAAAGTGTAAAGTTGGAGCAGTAGTTGAAACATAGTTAGATTTTTCCAACGATGGTCGGCCGACCACCATTGGAAATGTCTACAAAAATACCATTTTCTTGAAAATGACTTCACACCAGGTGCCATAATTTTACAGGATGCTTTAGACTGTCATTTACCAACATCCTACATGTAGTAAGGTACATTGTATTTCGTAAAAACTTGGTAGTTTAATTTTTCGATGTTTGCAAATGTTGTATATTCCCTTTAATTCATTTTCATATGTGTAAAAAAAGGATATTTTTTAAGGTTTAAGACTTGATTTCCACATCTCATGTGAAATATAACTGAAAAGCAGTTATTGTATTCTACATGTTCTACGAGAAAAGAGAAAACGAGTTGGACTTTTAGAAAGCCATTTTCGATTATTTTATTTAGGCTGATATTTTTTTTATTTTTTTAAATTGGTGGTTTTTTGGGGTTTTTTTCTTGACAGTTTAAGAGAAAACGAGTTGGACTTTTAGAAAGCTATTTTCGATTATTTTATTTAGGCTGATATTTATTTTATTTTTTTAAATTGGTGTTTTTTTATCTTTTTATTTCTTGACAGTTTAAGAAAACAGTTGTGGAAAGCATCTCCAACGAATAAACAAGAATTAGAGTGCTCTGGGCAAGAAGGGGCTTCATTATTTTTTGAGGGACTTTTACAATGTACAGGGCGTATCCGGTAAAACAACGGTATCCCAAAAATAAATGGGTTGTAAAGGTTATAAAAGAGAGGTTTCTTTACTTTTTTTTTTTTTAAATCGTCATGATCAATGGTTCTCGGTCATCCATGACTGCTAAGATGCAAATGAGTCATCAACAGAAAGCTAACAAACCAATCTTTAATTTGGAATCAATGACAGTGTACAAGGTCATAACTTTCACTTATTAACTATTTTGTTGGATACCTTTTTGGATACGCCCTGTAGATGTACATGTATGTAATTTACGCACAATGAGCTAACACAATGTGCAGAAAACACTACCGGTATTTGGTGAATTTGTAGACTTTCTTCTGTTGAGATAGCATTTATTCTCTAAATCTTGCACAAATGAGCGGGCGGGTCTGATGGCTATACAATGCCAACCAATAAAGCTCAAAAAATTTAATTTAACGGCACAAGAAAAAAGAACACTTACAATGTACATGTTGTTAGGAAAACTGATACAAAACACTGGATTATACACTTTTAAAGAGACTGTAAAAAAATTATTACAGAATATTAAACTACGAAATGAGGATCAATGTGCAGGAGTATTTTCTTATAAAAATCTTCATTTTTACCGCATTTCATTTCCCCCCCCCCCCAATGTTAATTATTTAAATTAATTGTTTTTGTATGCATAATTTTGAACAATTTTGAAAGTTGATGTACAGTTGTACTTTCACATATTTGTATAATGTAAAACAGATAAAATATTTTTGTTTAAATAGACCATTCTTAAACAATTTTATAGAATTTTTTTTTTATGAAAGTAAAATATACAACCTGTCCATGCAAATTTTGTAAACCACTATTTACATACCAAAACCATCTACGTACTGATCATGTTTTTTTCTTGAATATTAAAACAACTATGTCTTATGTACATGTTTAAGTAAAGTCTATCAAGGGCCAAAATATGGCCTAGCAGGCCCAGTGTTTATCTCCTGTTTCAGTGACATGAAATGACTGAGAATATTTCTATCTCCCCCGCAACCCACCCCCCCCCCCCTTTCAATAAATCAGCTACACACAAAATATGATTTCGAAATGTTGTTTGTGTAAACATGGAAAATGTTAAACTAAAAGTACCAATACATTTCTTGATAGTATGAAATTTATACAAATACGCTTATAACACGGTGGAAAAGTACTGAATGACTGTTGACTTAATTTTTACTGTACAAGGTTAGTCCAATATGGAAGAATTTTCACTCAATATCGGCTGATTGATCTTGCAGCAGTTTGTGGCTCATTTCGCGTACATTTCACACATACTTGAATTTCACGTGGATCTCTACAGTATTCCATATCATGTGCAAGTAGAAACCACAAATGTGTAGTTTTATGTCCTTATCTGGTCATTTGAGAAAAGAGTGTCATTGCAAATGGGTCTCTTAATTGTGCACAACCCAAAATATACATTTGCAAAATACATACTTTGTGCTGTTTTATGTCCTAGTTGAGCATCTAAGAAAATTGTGTTCTATTTGGAAGACCTAAAATATGCATGATTGTGTTCGAGTTTTATGTGGTAAATTTCTTACTGGGGAAAATTGTGTCTTTTTTCTGGAAACGAATCTCTACGGATTATATTCAAAATTGCATACAACTTACAGCACTCAATTACAGGTCATTTAGGGTCCCAAGTGTGAGATTTGTTCAGTCCCTGTTACCTTGGTACTTGGTCATTTGCCATTCAAGCATCATTAAGAATGTCTTCAAACAATTTCTTGTTTGTTGGGTAAGTAGTTTGCTATCATGCTACATGTATAGTAAACAAATATTGAATGCTTCGAGTGGTGTAGTAAAACTAGCCTGCCGAGGTGATCAATGGACATTCTATTTTCCCGAGGCGAAGCCGAGGGAAAATAGAATGGTCCATGGATCACCAAGGGAGGCTAGTTTTACTACACCACGAGATAAAGCATTCAATATTTGTTTTATAACACTTCACCCACAGATTCTGCTTGGTTTTAATATTTTAAATTATTTAAATCTGAACACAGTTGAAATAAACCCCAATTTCAATACAAAATTGGAGGAAAATGTATTTCTCTCTTCCAAACTACCCCTTCACGAAATGTTTGGACCCAAGTCTGCGGCGCGCTCTCTTTTGAACAATACGCGCTACGCGCAATGCGCACACCAACATCCATTTGCACACAAATACCGTGCCGTGGATAGTACTTTGGTCAGTTGGTTGCTATGGGTATAGTACTTTTGGCCGTGCACAGAAAGATAGCAAAATTAGAAAGTAACATGTGACTCGCTCTCGGCCAATCAAGACACGGAATCTGTGGGTGAGGTGTTATAATATTCACTCTTGGATGATGACTGCATTAAGAAGTGCATCAGAATGATAAAATGTCAGATGTAACAGGGAAATGAAAAAAGTGGACCCCAAATTTATAAAATGACCCACACTTGTGTGTAGTTTTTTGTCCTAAATTGGCGATTCAAAAACAGTTTGCACTAATTAAAATACAACTGAAGTTCTGCGTAGTTTTGTGACCCAAATGGGCATTTAAAAAAATTGTGTACTACTAGGAACACCTGCTGCATCTGCACACGTGAAGTTTTATCACTCGAAAAGAAAAATGAGTATTATCAAGTCTACCAGTTACTACTGCCGGGGAATTGCACACTTGCAATGTACATGCAGTTTTATGTCCAAAAGACATTAAGGCCCGCCTAAACGTGTTTCGACCAATCACAGCACGTGTTCTCGCACAGTGGGCATGGTGGGCGGGGCAATGGGGCCCTGAAAAGAATACATGGGTTTTTATTCCACGGAGAGATCTTTCATTTCTGTGCTCAGTACTTTAGTCATCTGGATAGCCTGCCTGGCGCGGTCCGAGTTGATCAGGCTAAGAGCGACCTCAGCTGCTGCCCTCACATGAGAGATAATGTCCATTCTCCTGTAAGATACCAAAGGTGTGCGTTAGATAAACTTTGCAATACATACAATGCAGTAAAAGTATGGACGCAGTGCATTAACTCTAACCCCCTATGCCCTCTGGAAAGGATGCAACCTCAATCCTGCAAAATCCTCCCATTGCCACCAAGAAAAAATGGATTCAGCCTCAATCCTCCAAAATCATCAGTTATTTCTTGAATTTAGTCTGTGGAGGGTGACCACTGCCTCAATCCTCCAAAATCCTCTGCCAATTACTGCTATGGTTTGAGGCAGTGCGAATGGCGTTTAGAAGCAGTGCGGATGAAATACGAGAAAAACACAGGGCTGATTTATGCATGACTGAACATAACCAATAGAGGATATGGCCTACTGGCTTGACGTAATGCATCCTCCACAAAAAAGCGATACATCTTTGCCATTCATCCTCAATCCTCTATAATCATCCAAAATCGGCAGGAGGATTTTGGAGGATTGAGGGTTAGGGTTAACAATAGATGACTCCGCTTCAGTGACCACACAGTGAAACCCCACCCCCCCCCCCCCCCCCCCTGCCCCACCCCCCACGTTCAGAATTGGTCCGCTGCCTCTATGAGGGGCAACAATAGCAACAGACAAACGTGACATGTCTTGCAATTCCAATGGAACTGGGCTGACTCACCAGACATTGACAATGTGAGGAACTGCAGACTCAATCTGCATATGGCCCAGGGAAATACAGGCGGCCTCTCTCACCAATCGATCCTCGTCGGATAGCAGTTTGATCATCCGCTGGGAGACACGCCTACTCTTGATACCTGAAACAATCAAATCATCCAAAAATCAAAAGACTGATACATTAAAGATCATATACATGTACAAGTTTGGCTTTTGCTATAATTTTTAGAAATGAATGCATTTGGGGTTTAGTATTTTATAGTAAATATTGTTACTCTTGCCTGTTCCAAGTTTTGTGTTCATATATAAATTATAGCAGCTGGAAAAACCAAGGAGACAAATGTTCCTGTAGTCTTGTCCCCTGACCCTACTTCAGACGAAACGGAGCAATTTTATAGACATCGGGAAGTTGTCAGGTCAGGGAACCAGACTACCTGGCTTGCACCCGTTCATGGATGTATATTCCAATTGCAAACAAAATGTGGACTGAATTAATTTGGTAGGCTGGGGGTAGTATTTGAAAAAAAGTTGGTTTTTTTCCAACAATAGTTAGCCCACCATCATTTAAATTGATACAAAATTCCACGTTTTTGTTTAAAATGACAGCACACCATGGTGCCATGGTTTCACAGGATGCTTGAGACTATTACTCACAGTCAGATACGGTATTTCATAATAATTTGGTAGTTTTGTTTTTTGATATTCAGCAACATGCAACCCTTTTCCAAGTACCTAGGCCCTCAGTGCTCAGTGTAGCGAGATGCATCAGGACAAACACCCCCTGAAGCAGGATACAACTGTGGCATTATTCAATGGGACTACCTCTCATTTTAGAATTGGCCGAATCGGTTAGGATTAACTTGCATACAAAAAGTACTGCGTGTTTTAACCTGTTAACATGCATAGACTTATATTCATTCATCTTTTGCATACATCCCAAACTAAAGTTTGTCAAATCTGTATGTGTTTATGAACGGTTGGAATTCTGAAGTTATTATTATGCAAAATGGAGAGAACATTTCTGACTCATTTACCTGTTTTTCCGAGGGCAATTGCTGCAACAGCTCGGGTGTTTGCATCTTTATCGGCAGACAAGTCCAGCAGGGAAGTCAGCACAGCCTGGGTTTTAAACTGACCTAATGGCAAGAATGGATTGACATACAAAAAGTCCTTAAAAATATCAACGTCTGATATAAATTGCACTATCAAATGAATAGTAGGTGGGGTATTTTTGCTTGAGGAACAATTTTTTACGGTGAACTGATAAAAAATATTGCTCAAGAATTTGTATTAGAATCCAACAAGTAGGTTTACCAATTTTTGAATTATGTTCACTTTCTTTTTTGGTGGGGGGGGGGGGGGGTGGTAGAAATACATGTTGGAGTGGTCATTTTACACAAGCAAAGTTTGTAGGTCGAGGTTTCATTAGTTTTTGAAGTCTAAGATTTGGAGAAGACTTTTGATAATTTAACAACGGATTTATCGAAGTGTCTGAGCCAATGTTTCACTTTACTTACCTGTAACTGAATAAGAAAGTGTGCCTGGCCCGAAGGCACTCTATTTTGAAACCACCTTCAATGTTAATTTTCTTCAAAACGGTTGCATTTAAGGCGCGACAATTTCACAGGGTAAGTGATGCTAGTCCCATCTCCAGTTTGAGCAAGCTTTCTGTCGTTAAAGGATGTGTTCCACACGCTATTTTTGATTTTCACTTAAAACTAGATTCCTAGCAATACAAAAGTTTTCCCTTTTGAATTAGAAATCAACCAAAAAAAAACCACAGCCATGTTGAGTGATTGAATTATTACTTTATAATTACGAATTATTGGCTGCCAGACAATAATTCCGTTCTCGCGGCGTAGGCTGGTTCCTGCCCCACAATCAGTATTTATAATGTACAGACTGGGAGCCAGACTGTTGCAAAGCAGAACTGTTTGTTTCAAAAACAAAAGCCTGTTTTTCCCAGAAGGATGCAGATGTCCAAAAAAAAAAGGGGGGGGGGAAGCATTTTTGGTTGGAATAAAACATACAACTTGAAAATGTATTAACCCTAACTCCCTAGCATCTTTTACTAGGAACTGGACCAAGTCCATCAATATCCATCAATCACTGTGCGTCCAATACAAAACAGAACATGACATAATGGAATCCACCACTGACACACTGGTTGACATTCATGGCTTGCTACATATGGCTTTTATCACAATACCAGTACAGAAGCAAGGCAAAATCAATTGGATACCCCTAGCACTGCTTCAGGCCATTAGGCCCAAGTCCATCATACTCCATCTATATTTAGTCACACCAGACCTTCTGGACCAAGTCCCCCAAAATCCACCAAAATGGGGGGATGGATTTTGATGGAGTTGCGGTGGTTAGGGTTAATAGAAAAATGTTGAATATGTTGAGGAGCACATGGAACTTTTAATTTGTAGGTAGTTTTCTTGGTAAATGCAAACGATCCGACTATCTAATATTGAGAACTCGTTCACATTTTCCTAATACAGTTATCATAACCACAGTCCCCTTACCTAGCTTCTGAATCGCGTCCAGGCGTACCGTGCTCTCCATATTGAACACCCCCCTCATTGCTATGCAGCCCTTGGCGTAGTTGACCAGCCGATTATAGAAACGATCCGGGTCCCGTGGTTTGTTAGGCTTGTGACGGCAGAACATCTCGTACGTGTGCTTGGTCACCACCTTCCGTAACAAGAGCACGTCTCCGTACAGCAGGTTGGTCATCCATTGGACTTTATCCTCTGTGAATTGATCCATGATCTGGCTCTTGTATTGTTCGAGGAACTTGTCTCGGAACTCAAGCCAGGGGACTTCGGTGGCGTCGCCAAATTTGTCCTCCCAAAAATCTTTGCCTTCGCGGAGGGTCATTGCCGTGTTTGGCCTGTCTTCCCATGCCTGAAATGGAAAAACACCACATATTTACACCTGCCCCTCGATCACTGGATGGCAAACTCGACAAAGCCATCCCAGCAGTCAGAATCAATCCAGTGACTGTTTGTAACAGTAGAGTACATCATTTGCAGCTACCCAAACTGACAAAAATATTGTTGAAAAGCATACTTGGATTGAAGATAGTAATGGCATTAAACTCCCTGTGAAATTATTCTTACTGGCATGATGTCATTTTGAAGAAAACAATTAAAGAAGGTCATTTCCAAAGATGAGTCTAAAGACAATTTAAAAAAAAAATGTTCTTAGTAGTTTGTTTTTAATTGGGTGAAGTCTTGAATGAGTGCGCACCAGCGTTGACACTGTTGCTATAATTCGTCGGTTCAGTGCATGACATCGTGTAGCTGCAATCAGCTGAATGAAAACGTCTCCTGGACGCTGATTTCGGGCACAATTCAAAACATGACTCAGCAACTTTTGAATTGAAATAGAGATCCTAGAATATTGTTTTCTTGGAATATACAGCATTCACTGAGGTACAACTTCATCAGGTTAGTTGTGAAGCACCCTTCTTTAGATTTTGAGCACTTTTGTTGTTTCAAACATGGAGCTATGCTTCAAACGAATAAAATGCACAAATGACAAATGGTGTACTCTATGTACCTTTAACATGTTTAAGTACTCCCTGCTTACATGTACATAAAGCAGGATTGACTGGCTGTGACTGTTTGTATACCTTGATAAACCTCTGCCTTAATTGACTGTAGGTGTTTGATAAGCCAGCTGTACCAGTACATGTGCCTAGCAGTCACCTGCTTTTGTCTGTTGATGGAATTTGACTAGTCACAGTGCCTACAAGAAATATGATCTGATGGTTGTTGACAATAGCCTGTGTAATTTTGACTGTCTGTGACTGCTTAGACAGCAAGACGGCTTGAATTCCAATTCATAGTTTATTTGTAACTCATCAGGGCCATGTCACAATGGGTAGTTTACTAGCAAAGTGTTCCAGATATTCAATCTTCAAGAAGCAAGCAACAGGCAAAATGTGATTCCCAGTAAATATATGAGGAATTTCTATATCTATAATATATCTAAACTCTGTCATGTCTGTAGGGTAAACTGTGTCATACATGTCACATCAGTGTGTACATGTATGGCTTTAAGATAGAGGACAGACACACAAAGGGAGAACAAAAGATCCTTTCAGTCCTCGAGCGTTGGGTCTCTTGTTGAAAACGGTCCTCGATTGTACGGTTATGTGCTTAGTCCGTGGGAGAGTGTTATATTACAGGGACAAAGGGAAACACAAAGCATTGTCCTCGGGCGTATAGAAATTCATGACTGTGTGGTCACTAATGTGTGGCTCCAGAAAGCTCAACCCATCCAGACAGCCTAATGATAAAAGTTCCAACAAATAATACCGGAGTCTTATATAGCGCACGTATCTACCAACAATTAGGTACTCAAGGCGCTGGAAATTATGTCACTTATTAAAGAAATGTAAATAAAGTTTATGAGATATATGAGACCCATTATGTAGCACCTTTAAGGGTTTACAAGGTGCTGCGGCGCATTATTGCAGCCACTGCCAGAAACACCGGGGCAAATAGCTATAAGTGTTACTGGGTTCTTTAACGTGCACTACACAACACACGGGACCTACAGCTTTATGTCCCATCCGAAGGACGAAGCAATTATGGTAAAGTACCTTGCTGAAGAGCACAAGCACCATGTTCCCACTGTCAGGATATGAACCCATGTACCACGGCACACGAGTCGAACACCATAACCATTGGACACAGCATCCCACAAAAAGTTACAAGTATCCTAAAAGCTTGTTATCATTTTCAATCCAGAATTTTAAAGCACTTTAGTGCGATCGCTTACTGATGGAAAACTCACTGCTGTCACTAAACTTTGCTGAGAGAAGACAAGAAACAGGATTATTTTCTGGACAGGCCCGTACCTGAGCTGTTTCCTCTTCGTCACCCTGGCCCTCCTGGTTCTCTGCTGCCTCGTCCGTTATTATGGCAAGAGCTGTGCGGATGGAAGTCAGCAGGACCGGGTAATTTTCGGCTTTCTGCTGGTCGTTTTCAAAGAACATCCAGTTCAGCTTGGCAACCATTAGCTTCCTGTGAAGATTACACAATGGGCTAATGCGTTACTTGAATGGATGGAAGATCAATTCTTCCAGTATGACATTTTATTCTCTTGAAGAAACAGGGGTGCGATTTTTGACGCATTTGTTATCAAAACACCGCCAGACGGGATCGTTGGGGTGGGAACAGAGTTGGAATTTGAAAATAGATCAAGTTGTCTTTCTTCCTTTTTTCTTAGTGAAATCTCCCACTTGAAAAAAAATGTGGGAAGCTAGTGTGCATGCACTACATGTAGTTCTGCAGGCAACAGTGGTCTATCTTCGGACTCTTGCGCACTACGTACGACAAAATAGCTGCCATAAAGTTGCAAAACAACTCTAAAATTTCAGAGTTTGGTGTGGAGCTAAAATGCCAAGTATTGCATGCATGCTACATACATTAGGCGAAAACAGGTGTGCGTATGACATGACCGCTACAAGATTCCCAAGACATGTTTGAGATAGCGGTACGTTCGTGGGTGATACGTAAGGCTTTGTTAACGCCCTCTTTCGGCGGGGTGATCGCGTATCCAATATACAACAGCTTGACACAAGACTAGGCTCTTCAGTACTGAATTCTCCAAAATGAAGGGAATAAATGTGTGCCTGGGAGGTGTTCAACACTATGTTTAAGACTGGTTGGAGTCTGGATGCTGATAATTACCCTTGGCGATCAGCATTCCAGACTCCAACCAGTCTTAAAGCTATAGTCCATCATTTGCAGCCATCCGAAAAGTAACTGGCATAATTATTGTTGAAAAACATACTTGGTTGAAAGATAGTAAGGGAACTAAACTCCCTGTGAAATTATTCTTTCTGGCAAGCTGTCAGTTTGAAGTAATCAACGAAAGAAGGCCTTTCCAACGGTGCGTCGAAAATTTGAATTAGTATAGTTCGTTTTGATATTCGGCGAAGCGCGCGCAAGCATTGGCACGACGCACACAAGGTTGCTATAATTCGTCGGATCAGTGCGCGACATCGTGTACAGCTGCAATCGGCTCAGTGAGAATGCGTCTGGGATGCTGAATTCAGGCCCAATTTAAAACATGATTCAGCAACTTTTGATTTGAAGTTGATATCCTAGAATGCTGTTTTCTCGGAATATACAGCCGAAGCTGAGCTGAAACTTCATCAGGTTAGTTGTTCAGTATCCTTCATTAGATTTTGAACACTTTTGTTGCTTCAAACGAACAAAATGCATAAATTACAAATGATGGACTAGGCCCTATATCTTTAAACACAGTGTTTAATTTTCGGTCAAAAAATCAAAACTGTTCAGTCCAAAAGTCAAAACAAGTCAAAAATCGAAATTTTCCAACGATTTTTTTCAACAATTTTACTTTTTGTTTTTCGAAACACCCCTCTAGCTACAATGTATATGGAATGGCCAGCTCGCGAGTAAGACGTAAGCAATTCCTTTTATGTAGATTGGCACGCGCGTCGCACATACTGCGCAATGACGCGCAGATGCAGCTGTGGCAAGTGCGTTGTGAATTTAGGACTATGAAATACTGACTGACTGGTAGTGTTGCACATGCCTACATGAGGATTGTGAACGTTCAACCAATAAAACGGTAAAAGGCACTGGATTTCATAGGAGTCCAAATTTCATGTGACACTGGAAAAGTGTTTAAGACCAGCCAGCCATGTCTTTATCATCCGTTTAAGACCGGCCACGTGACGGGCTCTCGAAGAATGGGAATTGGTAAACTATCTTACATGTAGGTATTGATGAATAATGGTTAATGGCTAAACTTCTTTCACCAGGGGAAAAAACCTATAACTCTAGATTCAGACTTACATGGAAAATGACAGGGTGGGCTCCAAATCCACAAAACTCTGCCGGGTGACAGGGAAGATGGGCGTGTCTGAGATGTAAGCCAATGAGACTTCATCGTCACAGTGTTGGTCCTTGGTGGAGGTGGTGCTCATGATGATCACAACAGCCTACGGTCAGGGATGAAAAGATGCCTCAAGAAGAAAGAATTCTATGGAGTGCTAGTTTGCACAAGTAGGAAAATCATCCACATGTATGATAGTAGCATTTCTCGTGCAATGTGCGGTAACTTGGTATCTTAAATAATTCCATTTTTATTTTATCTTATTGTATTTTAAACATGTAACAAACCGAGAAGAAAACTTTTGCAATGTTGACAAACCTTTGAATCAATCAATCCTTGTCCGTGGGTTGTCTCCCCGTTCCATACTGACAACTTGTCCGATTGCAATTTTTCTGCGAGAAAAAAAATATAAAACCTCACGTTGGCATTCAAGAGGTTGTGGAATGCTCGAAGACATTTCCGTCATTTTTCAGGTATATGTAGCCTAAGGTGTGATAAAAAAAAAACGACTATTTTGTCTGTCATGAAATGAGTACAAAAGGTACTTTTGAGAGCTGTTTTTCAGGTCCTGTTTCGACCCGAACGTCCAATTTGTGTAAAAGTCGTCATTGGGGGCAGCAAACAAAACATAGTAAATCGTGACGTAATAAACAGGACTCATTTATACTACGCTGCATCGGGAGTCCTGTTTATTACGTCACGATTTACTATGTTTTGTTTGCTGCCCCCAATGACGACTTTTACACAAATTGCACGTTTGGGTCGAAACAGGACCTGAATAACAGCTCTCAAAAGTACCTTTTGTACTCATTTCATGACAGACACAACAGTCGTTTTTATTTCATCACACCTTAGGCTACATATGCCCGAAAAATGACGGAAATGTCTTCGAGCATTCCACAACCTCTTTAAATTTTGAACTTAATGTATAAGACAATGCCAGGCTCAGTTTTCAGATAACTTGACAACGTCCCCCCAAAAAGTGTCCGTCTAACTATTTTTGAAATAACTACAAAGCCATGAAGTCAATTTTGAAAATGTTTGGTTGTGCAAATACTCCTGATCCTTGGCCTCAACCCCAATGAATTTCATTTCATTTCAGTCGGGCATCACTGCACAATGGTCAATTGAACAAAACAACATTTTTGGACACTGCGACGAAGTTCCTTGCCTTGATCAATTTCAGTGCTGTGTTATGCAAGCTGTGTAAAATCCTGCATGTTGTGAAAAAAGGCTGATGTGGTTTGGGATTGGAATCATTTGCCATGGAGCATTAAACTGAGGTCTTGCCATGACGACTGATAGCCAGGCAAATGATTCCAATCCCAACCGCAGCCATTTTCACAACAGGAAGGATGTTACACAGCATATAACACAGCACTGAAATTCATTAAGACAAGGAACTTGGACACAGCAGGGTCCAAAAATGTTGTTGTGATCAATTGACAATTGTGTAGTGATGCATGACTGAAATTAAATGAAACTCATCGGGGTTAGGCCAAGGATAAGGACGATCTGCACAATCAAACAATTTCAAATTTTGACTTCATGGTTTATTGTTACATGTATTTCAAAACTAGTCAGACAGACACTTTTTTGGGACATACTATAGTACTATAGTAATAACTATCATTTTAGAAAAGAAATTTTGTGAGATCATTGCAGAAGTACAAGACTAGAGCAAAAGTACATAATAAGAAAAGCACACACCATAAACATAAAAGTTTATCAGTAAACTTTACTATGCAAGTATCAATAAAAACCACCAAGAGTAATTTATAAACCTCATTAGTATACAACCTCAGATTGGGAACTTAAGCGTGGATAACCATGCAAAATTACTACTGACGTTTTTTTTACTCACCATTCGGCTCATTAATACCCACAAGAAAAAGGATCAAATTGCTATAGTTGCAAGCATGTCTCCTGCGAAATTTGAGACCTTAAATCCAATTTCTAATTGAAAATGTTATAGGTGAGGAGTCTTTTTGTTATAAACGTAAACTGATATCAACAATGCATTGCGGTACACATCAGCCTGATGTATCACGTTTGGATTTCGATTTCTCTGCAAAATTAGAATTAAAAGCTGAATTTTCGATGATGCAATGCTCACAACAGCAACTCAGCAAGGCAGAAGTTTCGGGTAACGTTGAGAAACCTACTGTAACAAAACCACTTTCATTCTTTGTTGCTCATTTCAAATTTAAAAGAAAAAAAAATAACCTTTTTTACAAACATCCTAGTTATTGATGTAGACAAATTGGCAATCTTACTTGAAAGATAGTCTTTAAAATCTTCATCCTCATTGTTGTAGATGAAATACACATCGCTGCAGTACACCATGATGACGTCGTTCACACTTCGCCGATGAAAAAATTACTTGTTTCTTTTCTGCTACTACGTGTACTTGCTGCCAAATTCTTATTGTAGGCGCTTTTATCTGTTAAAATATATATTAAAACAAATAAAACAACCATTTTTCAAGCATTGCACTAAGTTAAATGATAAAGGGGAAAACTAGAAAACACTCAGAGAGCGCAAACCTCCGCCAAGGCTAAACAATTCCCTGCCATAAGTCACGTAAGTACATATACACCCAAAAGAAATACTCGCATAAATGGTGCTTAAGAATCCTCAAAAAGAATCCTGGATCCAGACCCAGATCCGGATCACTTCCAAAATTTAATCGATTTGTAGTTAGGCCGAGTAAAAAAAAAATAGTTTCTTGTCCGGGGTTTTTTAAAAGAGGGAGGAAGTGGGGCTTTTTATTTTTTATTTTTTTCAAGATGACCGCCTTTCAAAATGTCCTGCAACCGTTGGTGTTCCACTGTTCAAAGACACTTTTAAAGATGAAAGACAAGTTGAACAAGAGAACTGAACATATTTACAGTGTCATTTAGAGTTGTATTGGTATTGGTATTTATTTTCCGATGAATTTGTAGACTTTTTCGGTGTTTTTCTACTACATTTTTCAAAAATAAAAAATAATAAAAAAATCCAAAAAGGAAGCGAGCGGGGACGAGAAACTTGTTTTTTTTTTTACTTCGCCTTATACCACGTATACATGTACCAAGGACCACCCCAAGAAAATGTTCACGTAAGTCCGTCCATTAACTTTTTGAGTTATCTTGTTACCAGACAAACCAAGCAACCAACGCCAATGAAAAACATAATCTCCTTGGCAGAGGCAAAAATATGCAGAATAACCCAATGCAAACTTTCCTTGCATTTAACCTAGGGTCCTAAAATGACAATTAGTCACGACAAGGACTACTAACATGGGCGTCGCCAGGATTTTTTTCTAGAGGGGGACAAAATTTTTTTTTTGCCAAACAATGCTTGTATTTCTCAACACATTCTTGATTTTTCAGTTTAAGAGGGGGGCAGGGACATTTTGCCCCCCCCCCAACTCATTAAATTTACACCACTTTGTCTTCGCGCCTCTTTTTCTTTCTTTCTTTTTTTTTCTTCCTTTTTTTTTTTTTTTGCTTTTCCAGGGGGGGGGGGGCAAGTGCCCCCCCTTGCCCCCCCCCCCCCTCGCGACGCCCATGACTACTAAGGATGGGATGCCGTATTATCGGGATACTTATCACGTTTCTCGTTCGGAATAGAGATTGCCCACTAACCTTCCCGAATTGTCCTGTCTTTTGTGTTGTATAACTCTACCTTTTCAAATTGATATAGACAAATCCGACGGGGTTGTGGTTTATTCTGTCATTGTCTGTGTACGATGCCTGTGAAAATAGACACGCTCAGAGTGTGCGAACGGAGGTGGATTCCCTAATTATCACGGTATGCGGGAAGTGTTTTTTTTTTTTTCATACGTAATGTTTGACCAAAACATCCCCTGAATAAAGTCTGAAATTTTCCCTGTAACCATGGTAACGTTCAAGTCGTTTAAAGACTATGCCTGCCGGATGATTTCTTAAGACCCTGCCCCTCCCCTGAAAGGAGAACACAAATCACTGAGGCAAGTCTACTGATTGTGTAAGTGATTGGCGATTGGGGGTACCATTCACTTTACACGGGGTGCCGTTTTATTGTTTTAACGCACTGTCCTTATTTTGATCCCGTGAAAGTTTTTACAATTTCGCGTTGGAAATATCGTCCTTCTACTTCATTTTGTGTTTGCAGCTGAAGAATGGGAACCAGACAATGGAACTTTAATGGACAGAGCACCATTAAAGGGAATATACAACATTCATGACATTTGCAAACATCGAAAAATAAAACTGCCAAGTTTTTACGAAATACCTTACTGTACTAGGATGTTGGTAAATGACAGTCTAAAGCATCCTGTAAAATAATGGCACCTGGTGTGAAGTCATTTTCAAGAAAATGGTATTTTTGTATACATTTCCTAACGGTCCAAATTTTGTTTGCTATTAGTATTGGTGACATGTTCATGAACGGGTGCAGGCCAGCTAGACTGGTTCCCCTACCTTACAATTTTCCGGCACCTATAAATTGATCCATTTTATCTTTAGTGGAGTCAAGGAACCAGACTACTTAAAGGGAATATACAACATTTGCAAACATCGAAAAATAAAACTACCAAGTTTTTGCGAAATACCTTAATAGGATGTTGGTAAATGACAGTCTAAAGCATCCTGTAAAATTATGGCACCTGGTATACTGTCATTTTCAAGAAAAGTGGTATTTTTGTATCAATTTCCAACGCTGATCGGCCGATCAGCGTTGGAAACAACTGGCTTTTTTTTCAAATACTGGCCCCAATTGACCATTGCACTTGTTTGCAATCGATTACAAACCTATGAACGGGTACGAGCCAGCTAGACTGGTTCCCTGACCTTACAATTCCCCATTGTATGTAAACTGCTCTGTTTCTTCTTATATGGAGTCAGGGAACCAGACTACAGGAAAATGATCGTTTTTCTTGGTTTTTATAGCATTTTCGAACCCAAAACCTCCAAAAATTCAGTGTAACTATATTTGCTTTATATTTCCAACCCCCCAATTCCATCCATTTCTGAAAATTACAGCAAAAGCAAATGATGTATATTCCCTTTAAACATTTTTGTTTTTCTTGGTTTTTCCAGCATTTTCGAACACAAAACTTCAAACATGTCAGTGTAACAATATTTGATCTATTATAGGCCTACTAACCCCTCAAATAGTTCATTTCTGAAAATTACAGCAAAAGCCAATGATGTACATTCCCTTTAAAGATTTATGTTAAAATATAGACGGTAGGCCTACCGTACCTATTAGCAGACACGGTGAGGTGGAAATTTGCAAGTTTTGGAGAATGTTAATATTTGTTAAAAATTGTTAAAAGTTCCGAAAGACACAACATTGTTTAATCGTCCTTTTTAATACAACTCGGCAGAAAGTCCTTAATGCCTGGTGAACTGGATAAAAATCGCCACTTGAAGGAGTTTTGGCAACGCAAAAAGAGAGATTGTCCATGCCGAGATAATAGGGATGCTGCAATAATTACTAGGGAGTCCGACTATATACCAGGGTCCTTATTCACAAAGCACCCGTAAATGCTTGCGGGCGCGCAACTTCCCCGCAACCCTCACTTAAGCACTTGCGGGTTATTCACGAAGCCCCCTTAAATCTGCGTGTGCCCGTAAACCACCCGTAAATTTGCGGGACCTCCAGACGTCCCGCAAGCACACCACAACTTGCGTGGATCATCTCGATTGTCACAATGGCGGCACTCTTGGCATGTATTTTGGATCTACGAACTGATTTGACGTGCCGGTTCATCTTCCGTGACCGGTTGAACCAACTATAGGATGAGTTAAAAAGAAAGTGACCGAATTTGAAGAATGTGTTCAAAATATTTGGCACGTTCCATTTTCATGGGCGTCAATCGGTGGGGGACAAGTCCTCCCCCCACTTTTTTTTTTTTTAAGTGGCGGATATCATATCGTTGCCCCCCCCCCCGCCCCCCCCCCCACACTTTTTCTATCCCCGAATAAAAATTGTAGCCTACATAATGATTCTATAGTAGCTGATTCAATGACTCCAAACTCAAAAAAATGATGTTTAAAAGATGATCTTTTGCTCACAAAAGTGGTTTGAGTGCTCAGAAATTGCCTCGGATCGCACCACAGATTAAGCATCTAGAATCCAAAAAATTTCGGGGCCCACTCCATGCCGTAATAGGTATGTCCTCCACTTTTGGGAAGCGACTGCCGCCCTTTGTTTTTTTATGGGACGAAGTACATCTTATGGTATTTTAAGTGTGAACATTTCACCTAAATTGCACAGTCTAATCCGAAGTTATGTCTATTTCAATAAAACGATCACAAACTTGTTTACCACTCATCACGTGATGCAAACTGAACACCCATTGAGTACAATGAAACGTGGACTTTCCCACCTCCACTGAATGAACAAGAGCATGGGAAAGGATACAAATATCACCATCAATATTTGAAAAAAATAGAGCTAACTTGTTTCTTATATATTGAAAGCACACATTCTGACAGTGGTTTCTGTCTTGAGTTCAATTATTAAAGGGAACCTGCAAAAGGATTTGTATGACTTAAATAGATTTAAAACAGCTTTCTTGCCATGTTACTATGACTTTCAATCTTCTTTTGTAGAATTGTTATGCTATTGAAACTTTCCATATTCATGAGCCAAAGCGTGATGTCATTCAAAGCAGAACAGAAGTATCTCTACAGCTTTGAGTACAAATATAATTATATCACACTTGTTTCTATTTTCTTGCAGTAAGTTCCACTTTTTACTTGTTTATCATGTTAAACAGCTTGTTTGGACACTAGCAGTCGCCACTAGTTTTTTTCGAAGCTTTTTTTGTGGGTAACTTTGAAGGAGTTATGTTTGTACTGTTCATATGCACTTTTGACAAGGAGTTCCTTGTGCGTCAAAAGCAAAATAGCGCCCATTACATGCGATTGTTTTGATGAAAGGATTTGCTAACAATTGAAAAACTACCACTCTCTTGTCACTTCCAACGAAAACAAGTATTACGATCCTGTATATATTGTTGCGACACATAATAATGTGTAAGAGAACAAGATGGGCTGAATTTCCACTGCATGTTTCCTTTAAAGTCTTGTTGGCATTTTAAAGTTTGTCTGTAATATGATTCTCACTATTAACTCAGTAGCTTCCAATGACATTCAAGGACAGCTATAAAAATGGGCTACGTTTGTAACACATGCATAACTTCTGAAAGCATTGGTAAATTTTAATGATTCATTTTTTTCTTTAAATGAGTGGAAGAACATGCTCTTAAAGACATGCTTGATTGGTGTTGATTGTTTGCTAAGAAAACAAAGACAAGTTAATCTTTAATCGAATCTGCCTGTAATTTTTACAACGAGCAAGTTCTCTAAAATGGGATAAAATGTCTTGGCATGTTTTTTTTAATGTTCAACCAATTAGTTGCGGGTGCCCGCAACATGCGGGTCCACTAAGGGAACTCTAAGGGTGCTTCGTGAATACCACTTAACGCAAGTCTTACGTGCCCTTAACATCCACTTACGGGTCCCCGCAACGCAAACATTTACGGGTGCTTTGTGAATAAGGACCCAGAATAGTAAAATTTAAATTTTTAAATTAATAAAAAGTTAAATTTAGCAAAATAGCAATTAGGCTACTTAGCAGCATGACTGAGCAGGGAAAATGTTGACGTATTTATTTTACTGGGAAAACACTTACAACTTGGTCAGATATGGGAATACTTCCCTAAAATCATTGGAAACAACACAGGCCCTAAACATTTTGTACCCTCACAATCCCACCCCACGTCCCACCCCAACTAAATAACTCATTCTAGCCCCGCCCACTTGCCAGCTGTTCGCATGATCGCAAGCATCTCGCCGTGAAGCATAAAGATTGTCACATTGGCTTGCGGGATTACAGTAGGTTCTCGATGTCAAGGACAAAATTCATACTCACGTTGTCGAGTCCACAATCACACCTCCATGCTTTCCCGTGATGATGTCAGAAATGAACTGAAAGTGCAATATAAACCTAGGCTACCATGGAAAAACCCTCAGTTCGTTTTTGTACATGATTTGCGTACGTGACAATCCGTCAGTAGTAAGAATGGTATGGTACCTTGTGTACATTGACTACGACAAGTTAGCAATATACGAAGAAATGAAGGAAATCAGTGCGTGTAACCAGACTCTGCAAAAGCGTGATTGACAACTGCATTATTTCTATGCGGATATTGTGTATGCATGCGCCATATGTAGGCGTGGCTGAACGGATCACCGGATATCGGACTCGGAGCACTGAACATCACACTTCCATTATCACTGGTGTTAAAGTTTCGTGATTAAAAGTTAATCCCCTGTTGAAATTGAGGTAAGTGAACTTGTGCTTTGCTTTGTTCTCATTGTACATGGATACATGTGGCAATAGTGAGCGATGGATCTTGTTTGCGAAACTGTATTGGCGCAGGACAAAAGTTTGCGCAAATTTCGGCTAGTATTAGGGCTAGATTGCTAGTGTAATAAAATGTATACAGTTTTATGATCATATAATCCACAGAAATCATGATAAACACCAACATGCATGTGCAAAAATGAGTCACAATTTCCATCCCCACATTAAAAAAATAGTGATGAAGTGGACTGGAGGTCCATTCTCTCCAAATTTTCCTGGGAAAGAATGTAGTATCCATAGTCCATACGTCAACTTATTGGTTGTGTACAAGTCGGGAATAGTTTCAAAGTGTTTTCTGACAAAATTGGAAATGTTTTTCACTCCAGCCCCAGATTCATGTCTTTTCAACATTTTTGCAATGACTGACGTTCAATCAAGACTATGTCAAGTGGCGTCAGGATGCACAATTCTTGCCTTTTCATAAATTAGAATATCAAAGACTGTGTACACGAAGTATTTTAGTAGAGTTGACCTGCTTTTTTTTGCGGAAATAAATGTTGCAACCTGATGCCACTTTTTTTTTAAATATCATCTCAATAAAGGTCATTTGCAAAAATGATGATAGACATGCATCTGCGACTGAGAAAAATGTCCAATATTGTTTGGAAATTTATGCTCGATTTATAAAATCGTGCATACAAAGTTTTACATGAGAAATTGGGCTATGTAATATAAACATGATAAAAAGAGTTAAAATATGAAACGTGTCATTTTTAAGTAAATTTCATTTTTGTGGCTTTTATTTATAAATATGCAAAATATAGTGCACAGACAACACTGGCAAATGCTAATTTTTGAGCGTGCTGTATCATCAAGATTATTCTCTGAGTATAAAATGTTTAGGATGTTTTTATTCATCAGTTCATTGAACATTTAAGTAAGATGTAAACTTGTGTGAAATGTGAAACATTTGGGTAATTTTTTACATTTTTTTTAAATGATTTTTTGACTTGAAGATTGCAGTGGTTAAATTGATAAACTTTTAACAAAGTATCAAGCTTGTCAAAACTTATTCTTCCCCATTTTGTTAAATAAAAAAGCTGCTGAAAATGAATTGATTGGGAAGAGGTACACGTTCATAACACATTAACAAATAACATCACAAATTTATAGTTCTCAATTGGTTGGAGGGAAAGAATGTTGCAACCTGACGCCACTTTTTTCTTCATTTATGTATCATCTCAATCATGTCAATGAAGGTCAGTCATTCCAAATTGCTGAAAAGACATGAATCTGGAACTGAGAAACATTTCCAATTTTGTTAGGAAATACTTAAAAAAGTTTCTTGACTCTCCATGGACTTTGTACACAGCCACTGAAGTGGCGTCTGGATGTTAATTCTTTCCGGTTTGAGAGACATACTGTACATACAAGGAGACAAATACAATTTTATTTTTTTGGTGGTTATTCTTTATGTAAACAACTCAACAACATTTTAAGCTGAATCAAATTTCCTTCTGGCAATAAAATTAAAACGGTTGCGTCATTTCTGTCCTTTCTGTGACAATCAGGTTTTGGAAAAGTCTACTCCTCAATCAACCCTACCATGCCTACTGAGCAGAGAATTGAGAAAAAGTGGAAAATTTCTAAAAGATTGGAAAAAGATACATACAAAGAGATAAATGCATTTTTTTGTGGTTGTTCTTGCGTAAACAACTCAACAACATTTTAAGCTGAATCAAATTTCCTTCTGGCAATAAAATAAAAACGGTTGCATCATTTCTGTCCTTTCTGTGGCAACCAGGTTTTGGAAAAATCTACTCCTCGATCGACCCTACTGGGCAGAGATAGAAAAAAAGTGGAAAATTTCTAAAAGATTGGAAAAAAGTACATACAAAGAGACAAATGCATTTTTCTTGTGGTTATTCTTGTGTAAACAACAATATTTTAAGCTGAATCAAATTTCCTTCTGGCAATAAAATAAAAATGGTTGCGTCATTTCTGTCCTTTCTGTGGCAACCAGGTTTTGGAAAAATCTACTCATCAATCGACCCTACTGGTCAGAGATAGACAAAAGTGGAAAATTTCTTAAAGATTTGAAAAAGGTGAACTATGACTCATTCAAGAATGGCAATTTCCATATTGGCGTTGATTACAATCCCCAGGAACAGAAGGTTTTTTTTGGGGGGGGGGGGGTATTTTTGATTGATTTATTATTTATTTCCATATTTAATTAGTTTTTTATGTGTATTTGTTTTATTTTTTGTTTGTTTATTTATTTTGTTTTTGTTTTATTTACCTATTATTTATTATTTTGTTATTTTGTATTTGTATTTGTATTTTATTTTAATGTTATTATTTTTTTTGGGGGGGGGGGGTCTCCGTACTGCAGCATCATGCCATGCATGCAGCCCAAAATGATGTTTATCGTGTTTTCTGTTGTCAAAATGGGTTTAAAAAAATCAGTACTTACATGTAACTAGGAAGTACTCAGTATAAATTTGTGTAAATTTAAACAAAACTTTACAAGTGCATATATGTACAACTACATTGTACATTGTAATGCCTTAAGAAATCTTAACACATTTGAACCTATCCTTCACCCTTTAATGCATGCACTGCATACTGTATACTGGACTTTGATCGAACACCAGAAAGTTTGTGCAGTGGCCCTGAAATTCCAAAATCTTTATCAACTTCTTTCTTTCTTTTGCGATGAAGGTTGGTACGTGCACAAACTGACAAAACACTAAACCACAAATCCTGTGTGACGTGTCTGTATGAACTGGGTGTGTAAATTGCAAATATTGTACACAGATAAGTTAATTTTCACAAGGTCAGGACTGTGTGGTGGGTCTGGGTCAGCAAACAAGGGAAATACGTACCCACAATTTCAGCTGTGAATCTGTTCAGTCTATGTGCATGAAAGGAAAAGTACCGACTGTACGTAGTGTTTGCCTGACTCATTTAATCGCAGCTGAAGGAAATTTCCAGTTGAATTGTAATTCTGTAAGTAGGTGACGTTATGGTGTACCAGTACTATGAATGGTCTGATGAACATGAAGTGGTCATTAAATGTATGGTTTATCTTGGTAATCAGTTACATCTACCATTGTCTACATGCGGTATTTGCATGGCTAAAGTCATAACGGCTTTGCTCTTGGGTACATGTACAACACATACATGTACCAGCAATTGTTGTGGTACCATCGGCAATCAGCTTGCATTACAAGTTAAGATTAGATGTAGTCATGATAGTTTAAACAAACGTCTTAAATCAATTTTACATTCACACATTTCTATCTTATTTTTCTTTACATCTCCCGGTAGATGCAAAGGGAAGCAAACAGCGTGCTCTGTGTACCCACCTAAATCTATATTGATTACATTCATTTGGTTACCATGGGAACAGCTAGTAGCAAGCACGGCCACGGACATAAGAAGAACAAGAAACGGCCCAAGAGCGCGCCTGGGGATCTCGGCCCAAAGAGCAAAGATCCCGTTGAGAACTATCGGCCCTATTCCCACTCCGATCCGAAGACTGCAGTCGAGGCAGGAAATGGGAATAAGAAGGTTCAGGAGAGGTCACAGCCGCAGGGTACCAGTGAAGTTCCTGTGAAGGATCAAAGCACTGACACTGGCGTAGGGAACCGGGGAACTGAGGAGAAGGCAGATCCAGTGAAAGACAGTGGAGACATGGAGAAGGGATCATCAGAGACGGCCGGTAGGGGTCCAAGCCGGTCAATTAGCATGGAACCCAAGGACATCATGATCAGCTATAGTCATCAGGACAAAGATCAGATGAGACAAATTAGAGGTACGTGATGCAGAGGATTAGTTTGCTATACTAATGAGGGAATGATGAATGTACTGTATTGTTAGTACTGATTGAATGCACACTATAACGTGATTAATGTATAGAATGGACAGTTATTCATAGTAGGAATTTGCGTCGGGTGATCTAAAGTCAATATTGGGTTTTGCCCTTCACCGACGTATTTTCTTCATAAACACTGATGATTCATACTCATAGTGCTTTCAGTTTTGTTTTAATTTAATTTAATTTTAATTTTTGTTTAAGCTGACAGATGAAAAATACATTACTGCTGTATTCCAGGACAATTTGACATGGATGACTTCAATTGAAACTGAGTTTTTACAACTGAAATGGTTTCTAATAAAAATTAGTGGTCGAAGATGTGGCCTGGATTTTTTTTTTTCAGGAGGGAGTACATGTAGGCCGAAATTTCTGGTACCAGTATGGTTGTAGAAACCACTTGCTGTGTATACATATAGCAGAAGACGAAAGGTGTGGGGGGGGAGTTGATTTCATCTTACGCTTGGGAGCACTACCGGTAGCTGTCACTTTTAAAAAATGTGTGTATGCATGTACAAATGTACACGTCGATTGTCGTGTTTTAGGCCCATGTTTGGGGGGGGGGGGCTGGAAACGTTTTTCCTAATTTCCTTGCGATGACTGCATGTTCCAGTGTCTCATTGATGATTCATTCTACATGTAAATGTCAGAATTGTGAATTAGGGCATTATGGTCGTTATGCAACACACCGTTACATCTATGACATACAGTACCGGATGATCATGCATTAGCCTAATGAAGACGGATCTATAGATATTAATTTTTTAATGAGAGCAAGCCCGTGCAGAGCTTAATTTGCATTTGCAATGCAGTTTTCTAATTTGTGTTTGTGTAGCCTTCAGCTGGCTTAATTACTGCATGATGATCTGGGTACTTATAAGAATACCAGCTGCATACATGTAGGCCTACCGTACAGGCTATAATGACATTTGAATGCAGTCTGTAAATTTGCACTCATACATGTCATAGTTGGGTTTTAGCTCATTTGTCAGGCTTTCCCTTTTTGAAATTTGAACAAGTGAAGCAGCAGTATGAAAGCGGTATAGCAATTCACAAAGAGCAAAGATTCTTTAAAATGTTAAACTATGTATGTATGCAACTTGATTGTGTAATGTAACATATGGTAGCTAGTTACAAACATGTGTTATTCTTCTTAATGTTCATTCAGTGCTGAAAATAATACATGTAAATATATTCAAAAATATTTGATCATCCACCAGAAATCCAAATAGTATTTTTCCTATTAAATATTCAAAGAAAAAATCTTCTAGCTGTTATATTAATTGGAAAAGTTGCGTGGTTTGACCATTGTCAAATATGCTACATTTTGGTAGCCTAATTTACTGCACGCATGACTTGCGAGCTTCTGTGTGGAATATTAGCTCTAATTGCATCTTTTAAATGTTTCAAATATCAGCTTGTCAGCAACCTTGAAAAATATGTTGACGCATACATACATATTCTCAATACTGTATATCGTCAATTTTTAATCGACGGGCGCACTTAGTCCTGATTGACACCCATGCCCCATTTAATTTCTGACTGCCGCATTCATTTAAGGTTGGTACAGGCTGCATGTACAATTTAGCAGCCTGTTGCGAATATTCAAATATTTGATCGAATCCAAGTTTAAAAACAATGTAATTGAATACTAAATTATTTTAATGCACAGCACTAATGAAATGGTTATCTTTATGAACAGCTTTTCATTGGGATCATAAAATTGGCTTGAAAGCAGATGGCTTTTTGGGGCCAGCTTTTTAATATTTGTACAATTAGAGTTTGTTCTATAATTATCCCTCCCTCCCTCGTAAATTCAGCTATATACACAGAAATCAAAATCGATCAACTGACTGTTTTTAACAGTTAAGCATTCCCGTGTTAATTTGATATAACCATGCTTTGACTGGAGGCGATTCCGTATACCAGTTACCTCCTTTGTCTGTTGATGGAATTAGACTAGTCACAGTGCTTACACAAATTTATGTGAAATCTGATTGTTTTTTTTTACTGGTCTGAGCATAAATGCATGGCAGGGGAAGACATTTTTGACTGTCTGTCTCTGCTGAAACAATAGGAAGGTTTTAACACTGTTAACAGTAAGTTGTTTTCAATCATACACTAGCACTGTCTGTAGTGAAAGTTCCCAGATTACTGATTCAATACATTGATTTGGATTTGTGTAGATGGTTTGGAGAAGGCTGGCGTCACAGTCTGGGTGGATGAGGTCGGGCTGAAAGCCGGGGTGGAATTCTTCAACAAAATTGGACAGGCCATCGTCGATGCCAAGGTACGTTGACGTCGAAGTTTGGGGAAAAATAATAATATATAGATCCATCTTTCAAACAAATTGAGCAAGACAAAACTCCACAGCAAAATTAAATGTCGTTCGACAAAATACCCACTATAGAGAAAGCGTATCCAACGTGTAGCCTCTTCTCCGGCAGATACAATGTATATACTCCCAGAATATTTACTAGTGTCATCTTGGGTCTATTCTCATTTTCAGCGTCTGTAGTTGTCAAATTTGTCAAATTCTTCGATTACTGAAGCGAATCCCGTACTGCTTGAAGCCGCCATTTGTGCTGACAAAATAGTACCGAATACGTACGCGCAACTGCTATGTTCTGTTGACTGGTTAACAACTGTGAGTTTCTACACTTTTGATTGAGAGGGAACCAGCAAAAATTGTCTAAAGCTCTGAGGACAATATATAAACAGAATCTTTTTGTCATTCGGGTAATTTTACTGGAATAATTGTTGCAGTCATCTGGGTACTTTTTATGAAAGCATACGATACGCTGATTTATTTTTACCACTGGACATGCTGGAAGCCTGATATCAATAATAATTATTGATACCATTTGTTTATGACCCCCAGCTGTTTCTGTCCTTACTGAGCACCAGGTCTGTCGTCTCCAAGTACTGCAAAGATGAGCTGGCCTTAGCCTACGTCTCCAGCAAACCCATCTTCCCATGTGCCTTGGAAAGTAGAGAAGATATGATCCCACTCATGGACTTCGGAATGTAAGTACTCCCCGACCCCCTCCCCCAACCCAACAGGAATGCATGTCCTCTCTCGGCTCCATCCATCCGTGCCCGACCTCCACCAGCCCCCTCCCCCCTCCCAAGCTCTACCAACTTTCCTCTACCTTTAACCCTAACTCCCTAATGTCTTTTACTAAGTACTGGACCAACTCTGCCAAAATCCATCAATCACACTGCTTCCAATGCATGCTTTGCTTTAGGCCTTCTGGCCCAAGTCCATCATACTCCATCAATGTTTAGTCAAACCAGGCCTGCAGGACCAAGTCCCCCAAAATCCACCAAAATGGGGAATGGCTTTTGATGGAGTCGGGCGGTTGGGGTTAAAACAGGTTCATTCAATTGCAATATCAGCAATGTTGCAAACGTGGGATATAGTCGACAGGGATCACTCAGAGAAGATCGCAGTTAAGGAAACTGCCCACATTTCAGTGGATAGCTCAGTTGGTAGAGCGTCATTATGGTGTTCGAAGGTTCAAACTCCGCTCAAAACCCACTCTAATTAATGCCTACCGGTAACTTATGAAACAAGGAAGAACATGCATACCGGAAGTGTGCCAAACAAAGTGCAACATTCAGAAAACAAATAATTAAAACTGTTTACTGTTTTTTCTGCAATGAAATTACAATGTATATTTAATCAAAGCCCGACTATTTCTCAATCCACTCCTTTTTACCCCATTCCATTTGGGTCCCAAGATCCAGAAATACAATCAATTAAGTGAAAGGGTGTACATTTTACTGGGCCACTCTCACCTGTGATGTCACCAATTTCAATGCCTGATCATGCCTATTCAATGCTTAACCCAGATTCAGCATGTCCGGGTGAGAGTGGCCCAAGTAAAATTGACACCCTTTCACTTAATAGTTGTATTTCTGGATCTAGGGACCCAAATGGAATGGGGTAAAAAGTAGTGGACTGAGAAATAGTCAGGCTTTAATGTAATATATAATGTAACATTTAATTGAAGAAAAAAAACAGGAAACAGTTTTAATTATTTGTTTTGTGGATGTTGCTTGCTTTTGGCACACTCTGTGTAACGATGAGTGTAGTTTGATATATTGAAAGATTTACGGATTTTGAAAGAAACGAAGGGCTGAATCGTACACGCTCTCCCCTCCCAAAACACTATGCTTCCCCTCATAGAAAATCTCTGGCAAAATCCTATGTTTTTCCTATTGAAAATACATTTTTAAGCTATTTTCTCCTAGAAAATAGGAACAAAATATATTTTATTTCTATTACATCAAAATGAGTACATGTTGCCACTCTATTTTATTTCTATTTTTAAAACTGCTTGCTATTTTATGACTATTTTTGGAGACTTAGACATTTTTGTGTGGTCCACAGTCTATTTTTCGTCTATTTTCTGGACACTTACACATGTTTATGAGAACCATGGACTATTGTTTTGCTATTTTGTAGACATATGCTCAGTACGTACAACACAATCTGAAGGCCAAGCACTTAATTTGCATACCAGATAAACATCCTGTGTGTGTGTGTGGCAAGTTTGAATTTTGTCAGTTGCATTCTGAGAGCCGTCTGTGAAGCACAGCTGCAGTAGAGATGTGTGCAATGGGGGCAAGTATATCTGGGGTTAAAATGCATCCAAATCACTGTAATGGAGTGACAAGTGCACCACATGGTTGGTGGATTTTCCAGGACAATTATGAGTAACATTCTTGTACCTTTTCAAGCTGTATTTTGCTGCAAAAGCACGCGCACCCGTAGCATGTTGAACCAAACTGTTTTAATAACTTGATGGTGCATGATGTATGTGTGTATGTTAATTGTTTGGACACTGTGTTGTCACAGCATTATTACTGTTCATGGTAATAGACATACATGTATTTTTTTTCTCAATTATTCCATTCTTATGCAGTCATATTGCTTGCTCACTTCATGTACTGTATGTTTGAGGACTGCTAAAGATGCTTATTGTCCACAAGGACATGTGTACTATTAACATGTATGTCCACGTATTATAAAACAGTTGTTTGCATGGACAGACGCCATTTTGTATTTTTTAAAAATAGCATTTTTTTAAATAGCATGCTATTTTTTTAAAAATAGCAACCTATTTTACCTCTATTTTACCTCTATTTTTCTAAAAAGATATTTTTTCACTATTCTATTTTTTCGCTATTTTGGGGGGTGTCGAAATACAATGGAAAAAAATAGATTTTAAAAAAATGTATTTTCAATAGAAAATAAATATATTTTTTCTCTATTTTATTTCGACCTGGGTCTCTCTAAACCTTCCCCTTCCCCGGACTTTCCTCCCCAAGTACCTGTAATTTCACGCTTGGATTCTTTAAAAACTTTTTTTTTCCGGGGGGTGGTCTTTCAATTTGTACTGTAGGCGTCTTCAGCTTGCTCCGGTAGAATGGACGATGTTCAGCGACACGGCGGCCATCAACCAATCCATGATGGAGCTCGTCAAGAAAATCCAGAGCAAGTTGACTGAGCTGAATCAAGCTGAGAAAAGTAAGCCCCAAAAATATAAGACTGAACGCCTTGGGCTCAATGTTACGAAGCTGCTTACCAGAAAATGTTGCTTAACCCTAAAGGGGGGGGGGGAATCCACCCCCCCCTCAACATTTTCCGTGATAGCCTCTAAAAAAAATTTTTTCGCGACCCGAGCTGTTATGACTTTTTAGCCTCGAGCTTTGCGCATCTTTTGATACCAAAAACATTAAAATCGGACCACGGGTTGCTGCCTAGCGAAAAATTTTCCGGCGCTACGCGCCGTGAAAACTGAATTTTTTTTCGCATATACGTCGTGTACACAGACATGACAGAGCACAATTGCCATTTGTACATATGAATAATTAATTAGCCATAATTCCAAAACCCTTTGACCTATAGTCATGAAATTTCTTGGGTATGTTTAGGAAGAGTTGCTCTATGCATGTGCCGAGTTTCAAAATTTATCGTCACTCGATGGCCGAGATCTTGGGGGGGGGGGCAGAATCCGCCCCCCCCCCTTGAACTTACTGCGTCATATCTTTGGAATAAATTAAGCTATAGCAATACATTTGGTATCATTAGAAAGCCAATGATTTGCGCTTTAACATGTTTAACATGATGTAAATAACGTGAAAAGTCAAAAGTGGGGGTTATCCTTAGTCATGTTAGTATGCTATGGCAGGTCACATATTATTTGTGCTTTAGCCTCACCTGGAATGTCGCGGTCTGGCATGTCTGGAGCATTGAATTTGTGATCTGCGGGTAATTCTGCAGGTTGTGGGTTCCAGTCCAGCCTGGGGTTGTGGTGCATATGCCTTGGGCAAGGCACTTTGTCACTCATTGCTTCTCCCAAAGGGGTAGCTTTGAGGGCAGATAATGGTTATATTGTGGTTGATATTAGCTGCTTTGTGCCGAAATGGCAGCATCGAGATGTATACTCCCCAGGGAGCTGCGATTGCCTTTGGAATGTTTCATTGGCCCAGTGATCCGATGAGCAGGGTACTGGTAATAATGATAAAGTGCCTTAAGCACCAATACTGATGGATATGCGCGCTTTATAAATCCACATTAAACAAATGAATACTATGGACGGGCGACTGATTTTGCAAATCTCATGGCGACACGCCTTGTTGGGGCGACAAATTGGTGTCGCCCTTTTGTTAAAACGACCCTCAGGCTGTTAGGAGAAGGAATTTCATTGTCGCAAACTGTCTAGATCGTTTCCTCGTGGTCCAAAACATAAGTTTACCGAAATTTGTGGAGGCAGGATAAGTAAACTTGGGTTAGGTGACATGAGAAAGTCACCCTATTATAGCATTCATTATTACTGTAATTACGGTATTATTATTATCTATTTGGTCCTTGGGATGAAATTTGAACCATAGTAAAGAGGAATCTACATGTACACCCGAAGGAACTAAGCATAGTTTATGGGTTAGCATGGTTTTGCAAGAAATTTAGGGTTGTACACGCTGGTGCATGCCCTCAGTAAGAATCCTGTGCTGTAAAAGTCCAAACAGAATTTTTGTGCTAGTGTGTTGCCCAAAATTACACGTACATTTATTACACGTACATTTATGTGCATAATTTCATGGTTAGACAAGCCATGAAACATATGGCCCAAATAAATGTATTAAGGAGCTTCACTACTTTTAAATTTATTATTTAAATTTCTTCAAATTGAAATAAAAAAACAACATTCCATGTTAGAGTATTAGCACTATGGTATATTAAAATAATTAATTTAATTCAGGTATTTATTATATTCTTTAGTTCATGTGTTAAAGTTATTCTTTAAAGGTATCTACCGGTATACAACATTTTTTATTGCTATAATTTTCAGATATGGATGGATTTGGGGTTTAGTACATGTATTTTATAGCAAATATTGTTACATTGATCTGTTTTAAGTTTTGTGTTCAAAAATGCTGGAGAGAACCCCCCCCCTCCAAAAAAAAAATGCTGTTATTGTAGTCTCATGAGATTTTTACCCCTACATCAGGGAATTGTCAGGTCAGGGAACCAGACTAGCTGGCGTACACCCATTCACAGACATGACAGATGTCTAACCGATTGCAAACAAAATGTGGACTGCAACTAAATTTGGTAAATTGGGGGTAGTATTTGAAGAAAAAAAAATGTCAATTTGTTTCCAATGATGGTCTCCCAACCATCCTGGGAAATTTTCTTGAAAATGACAGCACACCATGTGCCATGATTTCACAGGATGCTTGAGACTATCATTCACTTACACTGTCATGCGAGGAGTTTCATAATAATCCGGCACTTACATTTTTCTCCTTTTTTTTGGTGTTTGCAAATGTTGTATATTACATTTAAATTGTGCGTTAATTTTATTCTCTGATATTTGTTCCAAAGCTGATAAACGAGGCAAGTTTCAACGGCAGCGTTCCCATCTCAATCTTCACTCCAAACCGGCCTTCGATGTCAAGAAAGAGGTGGACTTCTGGGATAAGAACTTCAAGGGCCAATCCTCCGTAGATTGGGAGAAGTATGCCAACATTTACTCAAGGGCTGTGACTATATGTGATGCAATCAATTCTAAATGAGTCGTTTGTCGGGAACATTCATTTGCAGATTCAGGCCAAAATAGGGCCACTTCATCACATCACTTCATCACTTCTTCTGGTGTTCCAACCTCCATAATTGTTTAACTAAAGATGGTATCAGCATTCGGTTTTCACAGCTGTAATGCTGAGATTGTGCTCTTTTCAAATCTGTACAAAAAAAGAAAAAGAAAATTGACCAGGGTCGACAAACGACTCGTTTAGCTTGATCGCATCACATATGCTTAATACCGGCCATGTTTGCATTGCACTTTCATAGTTAAACTCATCGAGACGATGGTTACTTTTCCATGTGAAGTCCAGTGCAGATAGCCTGGGAACCTTTCCTTTCGTTGCCTGAAAATTCTGAGTCCGATGCAGTGTTCTAGCCAGGCATTAAATATCGCTAGTACCCACTATGCTTTCGAAAACAAGCGCTTCGTTTAAATCCCGCAGCTATGCTATAAATGTTGCTTGCGGAAAAAACATCTGCTTCCGTTTTTTTTGTATAAGCGTGGCTACTTCAAACATTGCGCACTGGCCGTATGACACAGCAAGAGAAGCTTTGAAATAAACCACAATCCAATCGCACTGTACATTACTCGTGAGATGGCTAAAATAGTGTTTAGCTGTGGAGGTGCAATGTACATGTACATATAGGCCTATAGTTACTCCCTGTCCAAAGTTCAGTATTGTATTGATTAAATTACACTGAGTTCAAACTTCAATTCAATGAATAGTTAAATAAATATTACATGTTCTAGCGATTTGTTCTGCACTTAATATTGATAAACTAAAAATCTCAACTTTTGACAAAATATTGAGGAACTATTGGTTAAACATCAGAAAGCATCCTTGGAACAATTTGCAAAATATGTACATGTTCTAAACTTTAAATACGGAAGAAACTTTATTTAAGATTAGAGCAAGAGTATGTATTTGAAACAAATAAAAAAAAATTCTCCTGATAAGTTTTAAAACTTCTGCTCAAAAAATTCAGGGAAAGTGGCCATGAATTGCCTCAGATTGCACCACGAGCATCTGGAATCCAAAATGTTCTAAACAAGCGAACGCGTTGCTCAAAATTTCAACAGCCGAAATGCATCATGAAAAGACCTTTTGAATTGAATTTGTGTGTTCTGGGACCAGCTTTACTTGGCTCGTCATGTTTTGTTTTTGAGTGTCCTTGGTCATACGTTGCATTTTAGTCACAGTGAACAAAACTACTGAGGTGGAACCGTGCTAGCGCACATGTCGCATGTATTCTTCAAGTCAAAGGCGTGCATGCATTTTGGTAACCATACCTCAGTAATTAGACCTATTGTAATTATTAATAATTATTTCTGGTAATGAAACCAAGGGTTCCTCAAAAGCGCTCCTAGACACTGTAGCTCGCAAGCCTGAAGAAACCTGTGGACAGAAGATAATGAGAAGAAAGTCCAGTTTTAGATGCAGTAAGAAAACCCAAGAAGTATATTCTGGGCAAAACCCTGTTGCAGGTAACCGATTAGTTTGTAGTACTCAAGAACACTGTGATGTGATACAGGTATGCTTCAACTTCAGGATTCAATTCTTTGCACTTACTTCATTGGTTCAGTGTTTGTTTCACGCAGATTTGAAGCTGTCTTCTTGGAGGAGTACAGCAGTCAATTGGACGAGATGTTTAAGAACGTTGATCAACTCTGGCTCTTGTCTATTCTCAACAATGAAATGGATGAGGATTCTGATGGCATTGTCACAAAACAACACTACAACGGTAATTACCGGTACACATTTCAGTTTCATTTTTCATTTCAGTTTACTCCACTAAGTGTCTGACGGTCTCGAAGATGCCACTTCTACATGTAATCGCTTTTCATGCTCCAAAATGTCCAACTTCAAATCGCATGTGACCCCCTCTTCATTCCTCTACATCCCCAGCCCAGCCCACCACCACCTCCTCATCCCCTGCCCCCCCCCCCCCCCCCCCACACACCCCATCCCCATCCCCATCCTCAACACCAACCCCAAACCTTGATAAGAAAAACCTTGTTCAAAGTGAAGTTGGGGATGGTGCCAAATACCCTGCGAAACTATTTCACCGGAAATGGTACCGTTCAGAAGAAAACAATAATTTAAGGTGGTTTTTGAAAAGGGTGCCAGCGGGCACACATTTTTTTTCTTGTGTTAGCAGCAGAATCCGGTTACAAGACCCAAAGAATTGTGAACATATGTTTTCTCCGTTTTTCCAAAACTTCCACAGATTAGTTGTTATGCACCCTACTTTATATTTTGAACAAATTTGTTGCTTCAAACAAAAAATGAATAAAATGCAAATTATCTGATCTATCTTTAAAGTGATCTCTTGTCCTTTAAATTGATTCAGAATTTTGCACGGTCAACGGTGAGAGATGCGAGTTTTGGCAGCGGGTTCAGGAACACGCCTTGGAGAGCTACACCATGAGGGAAGTCTTCAGTATGAACTCAACAGTCCGCATTGATGCTATCCAAAATCTCAGTAAGTGTGCCGATGGCCAGATGCTATATGATCCATTCATAAATACCTAAGACAGTGTACCCATTGCTATTGGTCGAGAGCCCGTCACGTGGATGGTTTTAAACGGTTGATAAAACACATTTGGACTCGATGAAATCTGGTCCCTTTTACTCTTTTATTGGTTGAACCCTCACATGTAACCAGTCACTCTCCTAATTATCTTCACTTAGGCATGCGCAATAGTACCAATGAGTCTGTATTTCATAGTCCTAAATTCACACTGCACCGGCACTGCTGCGTTCTGCGCCACATCGCGCAGTACGCGCCACATCGCGCAGTACGCGCCATGCGCCACATCGCGCAGTACGATGTGCATTTCAGAGCTGCATTTCACAAAACATGAAGTAAAATTGGTGAACAAACTTGTTGGAAATTTATAATTTTTGACCTGTTTTGACTTTTTGACCGAGACATATTTATGAATGGGAATAAATATGTGCTTGGCCGGTATAAAACAAGTACGTTTAAAACCAGGTAGGGGTCTGGTCGCAGATAATGACCCTCATATTGCAGATCAGGCTAAACGTACTTGTTTAAAACTGGCCAAGCACATATTCATTCCCTTATTATAATGTGCACATGTGCATAGGCGCCTTTATCACCCATTCCCTGCAATACACTCTTTCATTACCATGAAAAAGGATGTCAGACAAGCAATATCTTAGAGTTGTTGCCATTGACATCCCCCGCCCAAAAATTATTGAGAGACATGTCCCCCACATAATCCCCCGCACGCCAAATTACAAGGCACATCACTCCAGAAAGTGAGTACCTGGATAATTTTCTCCAAACCTGGGTCGTAAAAAGGCTCGGTCGCCAAACCTGTCAAACATATATCAAGACTCACACATCTTGAATTTGTGGCATCTTTCATTCACCCTGGCAGGCAAATTCCACAGTAGCTCTGTCCTGGAGGCCCTTCTGGATCTCTGCAGTGACAAGGACGAGAACGTGCGCGCCGTAGCTGCTCTGTCGTTGGCCCGCGTCGCCGACCCCCAAAACAAGCACGCCGTGGGTCGCATGATGAACTTGCTGAAGGATAAAGACCGTCTGGTCAGGGAGAGCGGCTGCCTGGCGCTGGGACACATCAAGGCTGAAGAGGCAGCACCTCAACTGGTCAACCTTTGGTAAGAATGTGAATAATTCAATTTAACATTCCTATACTTATAACTATCACGAACTGTCGAAAAAACAAACTGTCGAAAAAACTAACCCCTACCTCTCTCAATAGCTTTTGTACAGGCTGGTCACCAACTACCAGCCTATGGACTAAACCGTATAACTGTCAAAGCCTGTTGAAGTGGTTGATAGATAGGGTCACCATGGTACAGCTTGAGCAGCAGCTATTTTAAAGGATGATGTCTTTGTTTGGCTGGAATGCATGAGTGAACCTTGTGTGACTTCATTGTTACTGAGCTAAATCCATCATTGCCAGGCACTCACCAGTGCTGACCCACCACATCTATCAATGTCAGTCAAGGCATGGTACCCTCAGTTAACATACCTACCACAGCCTGTCAATTATACCAATATGAGGCCAGTTTACAGCCCTGTTAAAACCTGTCACCTTATAGATTTTGACAGATTGGGTAACTCTGACCTGATCGTCACGGAGAGAGGGAGCGTATGGAGTGTCATGGCCTAGCGGTTAAGAGCACCAGACTCATGCTCTGGTGTTTCAGAGGCAACAGTGGCAGGAGTTCGAGCCCGGGCGGACACTTGTGCCCTTAAGCAAGGCACTTAACCATTATTGCTTCCTCCTTCGGATGGGACGTAAAGCCGTAGGTCCCGTGTGTTTAGTAATGTGTTTAGTATGTTTGTGTGCTTTCAACGACCCATTCTAAAATAAAAAAGCAGCATTTTATTGGCTAGGACAGGCACTAAACACCACTTTTTGTTAATTTACTTTTTTTTTCACATCACTAGGCGTAATGATGCCATCTCCAATGTCCGAGAAGCGGCACAGGTTGCTCTAGAGAAGATAGGAGGAGAGGAGGCCAAGAAAGCCATGCACATCACCAAAGTGCTGAGTGACGAAATCAAGAAGCTCTCAGAAGCACAGTAAAAACAACTTGCGTGTATGCAATTTTTCAATTTTTTGGGGGTAAAATAAGGCACTTAAAAATGAATATGTCAATTTTTCCTGGTAATGGAAATCAGTGGTCCCTGAAACACACTGCAACTTGAAAGGCTAAGAAATCGTTAGGGCTCCGTGCGCAAGTACCCCCTCAACGGTAAGAAAGGGAGAGTTGGGGGAGACCACTGTGAGAGACATTCTAACGCATTGCTGATGACGCCTGACGCTCAAGTGAAGACGCTATGGCTTTGTGCACATTTAGAATAAAATCAGTCGTGCGTACTTTGCGCTTTATACACGTGCAAAACAGTACACGCACACAGTGTGCCCCATCCACGGGGCTCTCAAAAGCGGTCAAAAAGCGCCCTCTCTAGTTTGCTCACAGAGCCTATATGAAATTATGGAGATGGTTTTGTTCGCTATTGCCTGAGCGCGTTAAGCTCTGAATTCGTCACTAAAGGTGAGTAGGCCATCAGCCTGGGGGTTTGGTCGGTATCAAATGAGGGGAATAATGGTCATTCTGATTTTTGGCAAGGTATGCACCCCTTTAGTTGGAAAATATGTGATAGCATTGCAGCGGTGGCAGTTTTGTGGGTGCTATCACTGTTTTAAAAAAATGGCAGCCAAAACATGCTTGTTACCACATACAATTAATCCGATTCAAGCATATTGGCGGCCATTTTGGAAAAAAAAAAATTAAAATTGTTAACACCCACAAAACTATCACCACTCACACTACATTATACAAAGCTATCACACATTTTCCACCTTGAATTCCAGATATGTATACCTTGACAAAAATCGCTATGAAATTGCTCTTTTCGATCATTTGATACCGGTGGCCCAATTTTTGGACCGAAGCTGATAGCCTAGAGTACATTGTGGAGAATACCACAGCGATCTTTGGAACGTCCCACTGACTAAAGGTGGACAGCTACCTCAGTAATCACACAAAGTTGGTAACTCGGATTGATCAAGAGTAGACCATGAAGAAAACCGTGAGTTTTACAGATGGGGAAAAAAATCTGTGAAGGATATTTCAGGGGGTGCCAGGGGATGAAAACAGGTCAGCGAGGTTGGAATTCGAACCTTCGCCATGTACATGGCAAGACCGACAATGTCATGGGTCGTTCCATAAATTTTTGGGAACAATTTTGTGTGTGTCCATGTTAGATCAGAAATAAGATTGTGTAACTTCAGGACACATTCTTTAAAGATATAGTCCATCATTTGTAATCTGTGCATTTTGTTCGTTTGAAGCAACAAAAGTGTTCAAAATCTAATGAAAGATACTGAACAACTAACCTGATGAAGTTTCAGCTAAGCTTCAGCTGTATATTCCGAGAAAAACAGCATTCTAGGATCTCAATTTCAAATCAAAAGTTACTGAATATTGTTTTGAATCGTTTTGAATTGCAGCTATACGCGACGTCGCGCACTGATCCGACGAATTATAGCAACCGCGTGTGCGTCGTGCCAATGCTTGCCCGCGCTTCGCCGAATAACAAAACGAACTACTAATTTAAATTTTCCTATGGTGCGTCTTAAGACGCACCGTTGAAAAGGCCTTCTTTCGTTGATTACTTCAAAATGACAGCTTCCCAGAAAGAATAATTTCACAGGGAGTTTAGTTCCCTTTAATACTATCTTTCAACCAAGTTTGTTTTTTAACAATAATTACGCCAGTTACTTTTCGGATGGCTGCAAATGATGGTCTATAGCTTTAATGCCTTCTACGGTATCTCCAAGAGTGATTATATGTCTTAGTACATTGTACATGCCAGACAAGTAAAAAATAGTTTAAAAGTAAATTGTAAGGATACTTGCATTGCACAATACACAGGTTAAGTGTAATAACAGGGACACAAAAATGGTCAAACTTGTGGAACCCAAATTTGTGGAGAGACCCTCATGAGACCTGAGAAATTATGTCTTCTAATCATGCTTGAAAGTTGTCAAATTATACTCCATAAAAGCAATGTCACGTTGCCAGGGATACTGTTTTGTAGTTTCCAATGTTTACACTCTGTACGATAAATTTTGAACTTTTTAAAAATATATTTCTACATTTACATTCATTGACATTTTACAGCCGTAAAATCTGTACTCTGTGTAAAGAATTTAATAATGGGTTTACAAATGACTATTTTTGTACAAATGAACTTACTGTTATTCCGAACTTTTTAGTACTACAACTTTCTTGTTTTGCTAGATTTGTTCTTATTTGATTAGACTCAAGAGATAAAGTGTGGTTTTTCGTGCTGTTTATGGGGAAAGAACAAAGTTGGTTGCATACAAAGTCTATGGAGAGCCAAGTGCATTTTGTAACAAAATTGGAAATGTTTCTCAGTCCCAAATGCATTGTCTTTTCAACGTTTTTGCAGTGACTGACCTTCATTGAGATCATGTATGATGCAAAATTCTTTCTGTTTATGGCACAAAAATGGCATGATTTTGTGCCCCTGATGTTGAGGTAGCGTCATGTTTTTTATCAAAAGATTACACGATAATGAGTGTAAATTAATATCTTTAAATGTTTTATAATTTGTTGGTGAAGCAAAACGTACTTGTACTTAGATCGTTTGTCAGTTTGAAATGACGTCTCTTTATTCGAGCATTAACAGTGCATTGTTTTAATTTTGCTGTCAGATCGTCCAGGGAACTGGAGCTCATTCTGAATAGTGTGCGCAATTTCTGAATTGGTGCGCGCCATTTAAAACCACTTTTTAAAAAACTTTATAAAGGCCTGCAAAAACAAGCAAGCACATTTAGTTGTTACAGGACATTACATTCTTTTAAATGTCGTGCAGAAAAGAAAATCGAAATGTTGAAAAAGCACAGGCCTGCCAACCTTAAACTAGTAAAAATGTGAATGTAATTGTATGTAGCATGATGTGGGTTGAATTTGGTTTGTCTCAGTGAAAACGCTTGAATCTTGTTTGTTATTGTTTATGCATTATGTAATCCAAACATAGACTTTTAAAGGTAATTTTTAAGATAGTTTTAGCATGTAGATTGATTAAACAATACAAACAAGTGCGTACTACAGCTTGGGCTGGAGTCCTTGTCCACAAGTGAAATATTAACTAATGTATTTGATGAAATTGTAGCCGACATTGCCATTATACTCATTGTTTTTTCAATGCAGAGTTTTTCAAATCATGATTAAAAAAAAAATTTAATCTTGGAATTATCAGAGCGAATAAGCCAAACATTTCAATTCTAAATGGACTGTTCTTCTAGTGGGCAAAATTGTTATTATTTGGGTTATAGTGGAAATTTGCTGAAGTATAAGCATAATTATGCAGTCTTCCTGATTTCAAATTTACCCTTACAGATTGTCCTTTATTTAAACTAAAGTGTACTTTAGAAGGACATTCGGGTTTCATTTTGTCTCACGATTTTCATCGAAGTGCTAGAATTACGCCGGGTGCATGCCTATGTTCCCCAAAACCTATGATTCCTAACCCTAACCCTAATCCTAATCCTAAGGATTTTGGGAACATCAGTATTGGGGAACAAATGTATTGGGGACCATCATGGGTAGACCCATTACACCCCTGTCCATACAGGGTGAGTATAAAAAAGCGGAACCCAAACCCCCAAAATTGTATTTCATATTTTAACAAAATATTTAGGCACCAAAAATAATAATGACTGGAAAGCCAATTTCATAAGCTACTTTTAGATGAAAAAAAAATACTGAAAATGCTCAACCGTTCAAAGAATATCACCATTTTTTTAACCCTGAAACCTCGCTGTTTCGTCCAAAAAAATGCGATTTCCAGATTCGTCCGCGTCACAGTATTGTCTTCAAAATCACAAGCGAGGAAATCATCAGTGCACTTCGCGCATCGTAGTGTTCCATTGCTATGATCGTAGTGGTGTATTGCACTGATGAGTTTGACTGCATTTGCACTCAAAGTTCACTCAGTCCAGGAAGAATTTCTCCATTCTGCCTTTTGCTTGCTGTGTAAATTTTATATACAAAAGAATTGTTTATAATCTGCGTAATTGCTATTTTGAATGAGTTGTAATATTGGTCAATAAAGTTGACTCATCGGTACTTTTCACAATAACGCTGTCTGGAAGTTTATTTGTGTGGCTTTGGTAGGCCTACTCTCAGTTCTTGTCAACAAAATCTTCCCTTCGACATTTAAAAATCAGATGCATTGCACTCAAACAATACATCTCAACAGCCGGCCCCCATCACCCACACCGAATTATGTAGTGTTTAGAGGCGCCCGTGCTGTGAAATACGCAATCGCTAATACAAAAAAAACTCTTCATAACTGTTGTGTTATAATTAGTACAGTATACTTTGAGATATGTATAAGTTATGTCTCAGTCACTGGACTGACCCATAGACCTAATTAAGTGTGGTAAAACGGAACCCGGCCGATTGCTACCCGAGATATCACTAAATGAGCCCGGTGTCACGGTCTTACTTCTCCGGCGTGCTAGATTATCCGGGTGAATGCGGCGGATAATTGAGCACGTTACAGTGCACGGTACATGAGTATGATACATGCTCATGTGTCCGCTGTGCTTACTTTTCCTCGGGCTGTTCTGAAGTCTACCAAGTCCATATGTAACACAGTGAGGGACACCCAAGAATGTGTTATGGGTGCATACCTGCAAATAAACTCCCATAGACACTAGTGCTAAATGCCCATACTTCAAAATTCTTTTAAAAATACTCAAAACTCTCACAGGTATTCAAGCTGCACAGAAAAATGATGATCAATGTGTCATCTTTCATTTTCTTTTCAATTTATGGTGGGTTGACCATTGACTTTTCGAGATATTTTCACGCAAAGAAGACGACCCCTATTTTCCCCAAAGCGGAAAAGTAGCCATCTTGAAAAACGATCCCTCCACAACATGGCAAAATAGCGCCACTTTCGAGCCCAATAGCATCCAAAATGCTCAGAATTGGAAGCCCCAAGTCCGGGCCAGAGGTTCACTACCATATCTCTTCAATTCCCCAATTTTACGGCGCTCAGAACTCTCTAATATAGAATATTTTGAGGGTATAACTTTTATTCATGAGCTTGGCGGATCGATTTACCGGTATGCACCCTTATGTAACACTTCCTGTGGGTCGATCAAGCTATTGAGCTTATACTAGAGAGGAGTATGGTCATTCCATTCCATGGTCTTGCAAGCACTCTGATTTGTGTTCCCAGCGTGGGTGTGTGTGTGTGTGTTCATGGAGGAATAATTAAGAACGAGCTCCTTGGTCTGTGCAAGATCTGTGTTCCTTGCTCGTTCGTGGTTGTCTTTATTTTTGATACCATTCTTCAAGTTTTTTGGTTATTTATGTATCGGGATGAGTTGCGCGCGCCACGAACATTCTGGATTCGACTGGTACCTTGTAACGTATACACACAAATATCCTAAGACCTCACGTGCACCAGTACAACCCCAAAGAACTCAGCACACAAATAAAGTTGGCGGAAATGTACACTACTGCGCAATTTGCGCATGCGTGTTGAGGCGAAATTTCCCTCTGTGGAGAAGCTAGCATGCCGGAGAGAAGTGAGACCGTGACACCGGACCGTGACGGTCCGTTTTCAGTCCCATCACTAGCACTTCGCATTGGGCCAGATTTCGCTCTTTCATTGGAATAATCCTATACGAGGCACTGCCCGGGCCCATCTCACAATTTTAGTAAGAGGCAGACGGAGCAAGCTGCAAGGAATGAAAAGGTATTGTTGATGTACCCTAACGTGGCGCGGCCCCTAACGTGGCGCGCGGATTTTTCGCCGGTAGCGCCTAGCTAGAGCAAAATTTTAAACTGAAATTTCACAGAAAGTGAAATTTCATCAAGTTCTAAACGGTCCTGTTCATAAATCGCGAGTTTATTTACCCGTAACAAAGTTAGAAGGAAAAGCTATTTTTGGCGTGATTTTCCGATTTTATTTTTAAGTGCAAAGTGAACCCTTTGAAAATGCCCTGAAAAATAAGCAAATAATTTTCTGACAAACATTTGGCTGGGTATTAAGTAAGGATATTAATTATTTATCAGAATTTATCCAGTTTACAGGAATTCGTAAGTGTTAATTTGGTATTTTCCAAGATTTATTCAAGTGCGCCACGTTAGGGAACACTCCGCCAATTTGTGCCCAATTTCCGGACACCACCGTTTTTGAATTTCGGATTAAATTTTATGAAACTGAAATTGTTCACAGAGGTAAAATAGCAAGCATTGATAAGGTAAAAGTACTAGTATTTCATTGCATGAATTTGAGGTTTGTCAACAAAGAGGTTTGGCAACACTACACGAGGAAAGTCGGGTAAGCTTCGAAGTGCGCCACGTACGTTATGGTACACGACTATACAATCGGCCGAGGCCGCGTATAGGCCTACCGTACCGCTGGGACCACGGCGGATCCAACCTCGTCCCCAGTGCTTACTTTATTTCCAACCGCGTTTCCAATAGAGAGCAGGTAGTGGTGGGCGCGTACTGTTCGACACCCTGGGGACGAGGTTGCGGCGGATCATAAAATCTTTCCAAATTTCTGCTTTAAACCATAGAGTATACAAGGAACAGATTTTTCTATGTTTAAAACGAAGCCTTTTTATTTTCCATTTTTACTGGTTTCATTTCAATCAGTTGCTAATCTAAGTTTTGCAACAGATCTTTAAATTTGTACCCACTTCAGTACCACGTGTACTTTCATCATCGCCAAATCTTTGTTGTCACATGACGAACACTACCACGTGACCACGTGTTTGCCCATTTCCTGTGTTGTCTTGTGCCCGGTTCAATTTGCACACATTCGTACATTATGTCGGGACGGGGATCCGTCTGGCCCAATATTATTGAACAACGTCATGCCCTTCCACGATCGACTGGGGAAGAAATAGCGAAAACAATCTCTTTGTGCGAATCCAAGTGAAAGGACTTGAAGTTGAAGTAAGTGTCGTAAACATGTATTTCAAGAAATCAATGTAAATTTGTAATTTCATGGACTAAATGATTTTAAATCAAAATGGTAATTTATTTATTTGGAAAAACAGCGGCAACCTTAGCTGGAGTTACCCAGCCCTGAGTTTTATCATTGGGTTGTCTATTAGGGCTGGAGCGCATTTTTCTCGTAACTTGTAGTATTTGCAAAAAAAATTTGGAAAATGTTCAATTTTGTCCCCGTTACACACTAATTGCAACTGCAACTCACCCCAAACTTGCCTGGAATAACCATTACACAGGTCCTTGAAGTAAAAAACGATCCACGATGAAGATTCAGCCTACAATTGCAGTGAAAACAGGAGGAATAACCGCTAACCTGACAACCTTTCAGGCATGGCCAGGACTGCTATTGGTTTGTGCACAAAAAAAATTGTGTACAATGAATGGCGGTCGATTAACAGGCACAGAGAGCGATTGCTGTCAACTACTCGTTTTGCCGGCTGCGCTGGCGTTGGCGCGTGACGTCACGCGGAAGCATTTGGTTGCGGTTCCAGTACCAAAGCTGTGATGCGAGTGGTAAACCTTATACTAGTGCATGAAACAGTCGTCGGGTGTTACGCTTCCGCGTGACGTCACGCGCCAACGCCAGCGCAGCCGGCAAAAACGAGTAGTTGACAGCGATCGCTCTCTGTGCCTGTTAATCGACCGCCATTCATTGTACACAATTTTTTTTGTGCACAAACCAATAGCAGTCCTGGCCATGCCTGAAAGGTTGTCAGGTTAGCGGTTATTCCTCCTGTTTTCACTGCAATTGTAGGCTGAATCTTCATCGTGGATCGTTTTTTACTTCAAGGACCTGTGTAATGGTTATTCCAGGCAAGTTTGGGGTGAGTTGCAGTTGCAATTAGTGTGTAACGGGGACAAAATTGAACATTTTCCAAATTTTTTTTGCAAATACTACAAGTTACGAGAAAAATGCGCTCCAGCCCTAATACTAAAGTAATAGACAACCCAATGATAAAACTCAGGGCTGGGTAACTCCAGCTATTGCAACCTGACGGCGACGCCACTTCACTTCCGCGACTAGACTAGCCCCACTTGTGTGGCCGTCGGTATGCTGCGCTGAACTTAGGTTCAGCGCAGCATACCGACGGCCACAGTACAAAGTCTATGGAGAGTAAGCTTGAGTAACTCTAGCCCCATAAATGTGGCCAATTTACTGGACTACCTCCGTAAATATAGGCCACACTTGGAACATGTACAAAAACATGTAGAACTTTGTCAAATTTTGATTTTCACATTTTGATTTCATGTTGAAATTTTGATACACAAACGTGTGCAAACGAAATATGGAAATTTCACGAAAAAATGACATCCGAAAAAGGCAGCACTTTCTGATTTAGTCCCATAAATGTGATATAAATACTGGACTATCCCTCTGTATTTAATGTCACACATCCCACATGTGGACTAAGCACGGAGGGTCCCGTTGCTAGGGGAGCCGAAAATTAAATTAAAAATCGAAATTATTTTGTAACAACAGGGTGCGCTTCACTGCAGAGGGCTTCAAAGATTTTGGAATGACAGGCAACAGCCGCGGTGCACTTTGCCAAAGTTGACGCATGCTCAGTAGATGATTAAAGCTCTTGTTTGGTTCCCTGACCCCATTGGCCTCTTGACTATTATTAGGGTGGCCGGGAAACAGTCTGGTAAATATCAGCGACGCGATGCTTGCTCAAAACCGTCTGCATTCTTTGACGAATTACCATGATTTTTGGATAACTAGACCTCTGAAATGAAATACAATCATCTTCAAAGTCTGAAGGGTTTGAAGTGTTGGAGACTCAAAGAGTTAATGTAACTGTTTTGAATGATCAGTGATTAATCTTTCATCAGGTTATTACATTTCATAACAAAATAACCACATTTTATTCAAAGCAGAATGGCTGAAGATTCACTGGAAGAGAAGAGGCCGCTGATCAACCGTAGACGGGCCAGCTCCAGCAGCGAGGCCAGAGGGCTATCATCGCCACAGGGTCACACCTACGGCTTGTCCAAATGGAGACGACGCGGGGCCTGCGCCTCGATCCTCCTGGCCGTTATGTTTGAACGGCTGACGTTTTACGGCTTCTCCGCCAACCTGGTCATGTTCCTGAACGAAAGCCCCTTTCTTTGGATATCTTATGATGCCGCAAACGCCGCCCTGATTTTCACAGGTCTGACGTACGTTTCCTCTGTTTTTGGCGGGCTACTGGCCGATACCCTCCTAGGACGATTCAAAACTATTGTCGTCAGTTTCATCCTCTATGGCCTGGGCAGCGTCTTACTTGTGTTGATCGGCTACAGCTCCACCTCGAAATCATTTCGGCACTCTTTTTGCGGGAATGACACCAGTGGATGGGTGCCAGCTCCTGCAAGCAACAATTCAAGTGTAGGGCCAACAGAGCCCCCCAAGAGTAGTTTTATGTACTGCGGTTGGGCCGTGTATGTTAGTCTTGTAGTGATTGCTCTTGGTAGTGGCTCTTTGCGATCCAACTTATCTCCTTTTGGAGGTGATCAGGTGAGAATAAGTCATATCAAGAGGGCAGATTTTGTTTTAATACGCAGGACAAATATAAATCCAAAAGGCTGTCCCAAATATTCCAAATACTCGAACATTCGATCATCAACTGAATATTCAAATAGCTTTTTGCTGGTTCAAATATTCAATAAGATAAAAAGCTACACATGTACATGTACACACACGACTGTGCTGTTATTTTAATCTTAAAGTTGTGGCACTTTGTTGTCAGATGCCACTTGTTGTGGACAGTAAATGTTTTTGTAGACGGTGGTTCATTGTCTCACAGGTAGCAGGTTAAAAGCCATCGACATTTATAAAACACTTCATGCAAAAAAACTCATGCTCCCCATAACATTGATCGCCGCCTGCAAAGTTTAACCGGCGCACTTTGCGTCTAAATTTTGACAGCTGGCATGTGTAAACTTGACTGCCCAGTTTCAAACGTTTGAATGTTCAGTCATAAGCAGTTTTGAACAATCCAATACAAAATTATTCAAAAATGTACAGCCCGAGTTTTGTAATGTCATATGCCATGTACATGTGTACAGGTAGATGTTCTGTTTCTTTTTATAGTAAAGAAAGAAATCGTAAATTTGTTTCCTTCCACTTCTTCTGTTTTGTAATTGTTTCCAGGTGCGATACGAAGGCCCCAAAATCATTAGAACCTTCTTCAATTGGTTTTACTGGGCCATCAATGTAGGCTCGCTGATCGCGTTGCTAGGAGTCACCGCCTTGCAGCAGAATGTAGACTTCTTCAAAGGCTTACTGGTGCCTGCTGCATCGCTCTGCGTTGCGGCCGGAGTCTTCGTCATCGGTCGGACCTGGTACCTTTCCAAGAAACCGATGGGCAGCGTGCTGACAAATACGTCCAAGATCATCATTGAAGCTTTCAAACAGCGGAAAGCTAGGAAGATGATGGTCCAAAGACAAGACAGGTATTGTTATGGGGTTTTTTTTTGGGGGGGGGAGGGGGTGCATTATATACTTTTAACAAAAGCTAGCAACCAGCAGTCAGATCATAATGTGAAGCAAGCACTGTGACTAGTCAAACTGGGTCAACAGACAGAACAGGCAAGTTGTGGTCACAGCTGTTTTATCACTCACCCGGAGTCAAAGCATAGCTGTATCAAGTTACTTTAACAGTCCCAGCCAGTCAATCCTGCCTTATGTAGGCTTGGATTTCTTAATGGTTGAAAACAGTCTACTTGGCACAGAACATGTGATGCAATCAAGCTACATGATTCGTTTGTCGACCCTGGTCGAAAAAAACCTTTTATTACAGATTTGAAAAGAGCACCATCTAAGCATTACTGCTGTGAAAACTGCATGCTGACACCATCTTTTGTTCAAAAATTATGGAAGTTGGAACACCAAGAGATGTGATAATGTGATGTGATGAAGTGGCCCCTATTTTGGCCTGTATCTCCAAATGAAAATTCCCAACAAATAACTCATTAAGCTTGATTGCATCACATATATGTTTGCATAGGAGGGTTAATGATGAAAATTACGATGAAAATTGTACTGAGTTTATATAACTTATTCCAGAGAACAAATACAAAAATGATAACTAAGATGTCACTTCCCACTGTCGCTTTTGAGAGATACGATTCCCAAACAAAACTCCAAAATGCCAAATAAACACCTAATTACTAAACACCAGTAACTGAGTAAGGCCTTTTGCTGATGTGTCTAAAGGCACGAACACCACAATCCTTGAGTTTGTGGACTTTACTTTCAGTCATTTTCAGAGCTGTGCTAACAGTTGACTGAATTTTTCTTCCTTACAGTACTGAGTTATTCCACAGTCAACGCCCTCCGAGCTTCTTAGACATGGCCAAGGTTCGATACGGAGGCAGTTTCCATGAGTCTATGGTCGATGATGTCAAATCACTCAAGAAGATCATTCTGGTGTTTCTGGGCCTGACGCCGTACTGGGTGGTTTATTTTCAGGTAAGTGTATTCCAATGTTCCAAAATGAAGAATCATACGCTGTGGGTTTATGTACATTCCAAATAAAATTACTCATAAGATGGAATTTGTGTCGGTTGATGTAAATTTAATATTAGGTTTTACTCTTCACCGACGTATAAACACTGTATACTCAGTGTGTAACCTCCAGGCGCGGTTCTACGGGGGGGCTAGGGGGGGCTGTAGCCCCCCAAAAATTTTGTCTAGCCCCCCCAAAATAAATTCCGTAAAAAAAAAAAAATTGCATTATCAAAAAGAAGGATTGTGATGTACATGCGAACGGTGTCCCCCTAAATAAATAGTCGTGACAAGGGTGCATTAGTTAAGATAGTGTGAATGATTTTAGGATTTTATTGGCGCTCCCCATTGAAAATATGGCATGAGCCCCCCCCCCCCCCCCCCCAACCTATTGATTTTCGGAGGCCTAAGTGTCTGGAAAAAATAACCATGTTTCAGCACGCCTCCCTGAAAAAAATTCTGGATCCACCGTGCTAGCCCCCCCCCCAAAATATTGGTTCTAGAACCGCGCCTGGTAACCTCCCGAGTGAAAGTTGGAAAAAATCACTTGGGTGGGACTCAAACCCACGACCTCTTGCTTTCAGTTATATCAGTTGGCTGGTTCATAAGTGCCCTCTCGGAGCTCATTACTGAACAAAAGTATTTCAGATCAGACTTCTGTCCTCAGCTCCCTTAATAATATGGAGTCTTAAGCGGTGAAATTACGCACGGAAACTACATGATAGATGTTATATTTTCTTTCAGATGCAGACAACGTTTTTGCTCCAGGGACTCCACTTGCGTTTCAAAATCAACTGCACAGTGGAAAGTTGCAATGACACTACAGATGACTTCCAGGTAGGTAACGGGGGTAACAGTCCTAAAGCTTCAATTTTGGGACGCTTTTAAACAGCTACGAAGCATACAGATTTGCTTAGGAGAGAAAGCTGTTGGTAAGACTGAACCTCTTCTGCAGCCAATTTCACGAAACTGGACGCAATGGCGTAACTCCAGAGATATTCACATGGTGCTAACGCAAACTTATCTTGTCTTAGTATCTTTCCACCATGCAAACCTTCAAATCTCATCCATATATATACGTCATATTTGATTGCGTATGTTGCGCAGCATTTCACATTGGCAGCATTTCAGTTATGACAATTTCACCAAAAATCACCCTTGCAGACCAGTGTTCTAGCCAGGGTGAAATTATAGCGTAGGGGTAATTTTGTTTCGGCGACTAATGCGAGCGCGGAGCGCGAAGCCCTTACGGCGTGGGGTCCGGGGCCCGCTTAAGGGCCCCGGAAAATTTTGGACTCTAGATGCTCTGTGGTGCAATCTGAGGCGATTCCCTGCCACTTTCCCCTGATTTTTTTAGCAGAAGTGTTTAAAATTATAAGAAATTTTGTTTTATTTGTTTCAATGATTAATACTCTTGCTCCTGTAAAGTTTCTTCTGTTTTCAAATTTTAGATTACGTTTACAATGTATAAGTTGTTCCAAGATCGATGCTTTCTGATATTTAACCATTTTTAGTAGTTCCTCAATGTTTTATAAAAAATTGGGATTTACTTTGTCAATATTAAGTTGTCATATTAACTTAGTAGTTCCTCAATGTTTTATAAAAAATTGGGATTTACTTTGTCAATATTAAGTGTGAGAACAAATCGCATGAACATCTCATATTTCAAGAAGCCTTGTGTTGTGTAGCGCTGCCGTAGTAGCAGTAGTTCCGATTTTAAATTTGTAAATAAAACCATCCGATCGGCAGGGAGAGAAATTGTAAAACCATGGAGGTCTCAGACATAAGGCGATTGCAATTTCAATATGCTACAACACAATGTGAAGGAGAAATCTCATTTTTGTTATGTTAAAAAATATAATTGTAGATAATGACGATGAGAAATAATCACCGGGAATTGCTTCCTATCCCGGCCGCGGCCGGCCCCGGCCGGCCCCGGCCGGCCCCGGCCGGCCCCGGCGTGCGGGCGCGGCGCGGGCCAGCCCACACCGGCTACGCCGGCGAACTACGCGACCAAATTTCCCTCAGCATTTGAGAAAGCTACGCATTCGTGGAGCGCTAAAAAACTTGTTTTGTCGCCATACTTGCTGATTGGTTTTGTCCTAAGAACAAACAGATCCGTTTTTACTACCAAACTTATTGAACTGTTATTATCAGCAACGAGTAGTGTAGTCAAAAATCCAAATTTTCGACAGCGACATTCTTCGAGAAGAATTCTTCACGTGCGGCCATCTTTGGGGACGGATCCATTGATATCGTAGGGGTGCTTAACCTTTCTTTGGACATCGTTTCTCGAATAAATCCTTTACGAAAATTATGTTCCGACGTTGAAGGACTTATTTTCAAACAGTAATATGTTTCGGACTTGATAAAAAGTTGTATTTATAATTTTAAAACAGTTAAAATGTTTGTAAATATTGACCTTAGGAAAGCACACCCGATAGCGCAAAATGGTGTGGTCCACGTACGTCCGTACGGAGCGCTGTATCTACGCAGCACAAAACAGCACGTGCTTATTGCTATCATAGCGAATGCGTGTGGCGCAGCATCACGGTAGGGGTATCGTACGGGGTACGTGCGGTGGGATCGTTGTTTATTTTTCGCTGCGGCGTACGGCCAGTGCGCAATGCTCAAAGTCGCTGCGCTTGTATACGAACAAACGACAGATATTTTTTTTTCGCAACCAAGATTTATAGCGTAGCGGTAGCGTAGCGGTAGCGTAGCAGCGCGATTTAAGCGTAGCGCTTATTTCCGAAAGCGTAGCGGGTGCTAGCGCTATTTGATGCCTGGCTAGAACACTGTTGCAGACTTCAAGCCTGCCTTGGGTTGACTTTGCGACGACACAGATCAGTCGGCGACTGACTTTTCAGGATCAAGCTGTGCCTGAGCTACGACCATCGGGAACATACAGTATCAGTCCCCGAGTTTTTGAGTGTAACTGCAACAATATCAAGACGATCGGCATCAGTTGGCGCTCAAAGAATCAACAGTTGCAAGAGAAGAAATATCTCAACTTCTGCACCACGACGGAACGTGTTCCTGACAGGCAGGAATCAATCGCAGTCGACCTGTGTGAAGTTACGACATTGTGCACACATCCGGATCATCTTATTTCATTGCGTAGCCAAGCAGCGTGCGGCAAAAAAGGCTTATTGAAGAGATATGGCGATTGGTTGATTGCTATAAACATGTACACCACCATTTTGAAGACGTCACATGATCACGTCTATGCAAAGGAATCATCGTCGTGTCATGGGTGACATGAGCATGGTTGCCATTACTAAGTGTAGAGATGCCGCTTGCTTGTTCCACAACAATCACACGACTTCTCAGTTTTGTAACCTGAGCATGACCTTTCTGCTTGATGCCGACAGTTCCGTTGCGGTGTAAGCAAATCACAGGTTGACCTGAGGCCGGCTTAATGGTGGCGTGACTTGCTGGATTCATGAAATTCACAGCTTTGTTTTTGAAGTAAACAAAATTCTGTTTTGAAATGGCAGTCACTGAATGGACTTTGCTTTGCTTTTTTTTTTTTTAGATTCCACCGGCATGGCTTTCTGCCTTCGATGTCGTCGCAGTTCTCCTGTTCCTCCCGTTATTCGATGGAGTCCTCTACCCCAAGCTAGACCGACACGGGATCAACTTCACCCTCCTCAGGCGTATGATCGCCGGGATGGTTTTCAGCATGTTGGCCATGATCGCCGCGGGGGTTCTGGAAGACTACCGACTGGCTTGGATCAGGAGTCACAACGAGACGATTAACCAGAGCATCAGATCGGGGGACACCTGGACGGTGTACCACGCGGCAGATATCTGGGTCTTTTGGCAGATCCCCCAGTACTCGCTCATCGGGATCAGTGAAGTCTTTGCAAGTGTTGCTGGTAAGTCTTTCTGCTATATTAGTCCAGAAGTAAGATTTGGCGAAGTGTGATGTGTCACGTGTTATTCAGCCAGCTCGGAAATCTTACTCGGATGGATAATATTTCTCAAGTTCAATCAGCGTTGTCCAGGAGGTGGACATGTGCAAGGCGCAAGGTTTTGGTGTTGAAAACGATAAGTACTCAAACATACACAGGCCCCTCCTCATCCTAGCCTGTGAGCCCCAACTGGATCCACCACTGTAAACAAACACAGTTTTGCCCCACCTTGAGTAATCATTTTTGTATTTTTAAAAATTTCTATCAGGTCTAGAATTTGCCTACTCCATGGCACCCCGCTCCATGCAAGGTCTCATCATGGGCATCTTTTACTTCTCCTCTGGCATCGCGGCATTGGTCGGTAGCGCCATCTTGAAAGTCACTTCCTTGCCCGCAATTAACTGGTTCGAGAAAAAGGACGCGGGTAACATCAATAACGGTCATCTGGATCGGTACTTCTACTTGCTGGCAGCTTTCCAACTTGTCGGACTGATCATTTTTGCTGCTGTTGCTCTGTACCATGAGAGGCAGGAGGCCAAGCAACGGGCCGGGTCGACAGCCATCAACAAAAATCACCACGAGGACAGGGCTGTGTCTCAGACTTAACACAAGAGGGCGCCCTCTGATAATGAGATGTCGTGTTTGTCAGCCAGGAACGTTGGCAAGGGATAGAACACTTCTTTGAACAGGTGTGTGGCGTTTTCTTCAAGCAGTTGATTTTCATGGAATGTAAGTCACGATTTGTGGAGGATTTCCAAACAAGTTTGCCGCGCACTTGTGCAATGTACTGATGATCGATTTCACAAACTTGTTCCACTTGCCCAGTTTTACATATTTTTACAAGGGCTATTTTGTACATGGTTTCATAATGATCAGAAAACAGTCAGTAAATTACACGAGCTCCATCAGAAATGTTTCTGCCGAACTGGACCGATTATGATTTGCATAGTGTGAATTTGTTTCATAATAGGGCTGTCCCGAATATACCACATATTCAAATATTTGATGATCGGTGGAATATTCCAATAGCTTTTTGCCAATTGGAATATTCAAAAACAAAAAAAACTACGCATGTACACTCACGACTGCAATGGTATTTTATCGCGAAGATCAGCACTTCATTGTCTGGTGCCTCTTTTTTTGTCTACGGTAACTTTTTCGTCGATGGCGGTTCATTGTTCGCACCCTTTAAAGGGGCACTAGGTCCTGAAATCCCCGAAAATGTTATGTTTTGGATTGTTTACTTAGCCTATTTCAAACATCTGCAAAACACTTTAGCAGCCCATATCGATCGCTTCATGCAAATTTTAACTGGCGCGCTCTGCGTGCTACTTTTGACCGGCGCGACACGCAGTTGCAGGTGGCAGTTTTGAATATCCAAATATTTGGTCAAAAGCAGTTCATTCGACAATGGACTGCCCTATTTCATAATGGATCATTCCATTCAGCCCCGCCCGTGGTCTTTCGACCAATCAGAGCCTTGGCTGAGGTCCAACATGCATGCACAAAAGTCCAACATTCGTGCACAAGCTTCTGAAATGCATGATTCTTCGTAAGACATGCGCAGGCATATTTTAGTCGTGCAAGTCATAAAACAAAATGTCAATGTAGGCAGTTGCGCACGTCTTTGTGGAATCAGCTTCAGACTTGTCTAATACAGGAGGATACCGCGTATTACTGCTAGGGGGCGCTCTTCGTGGTTCACATGCCTTGTTACTGAAATTGTGGTTCCTGTTTAGAGTGTATGCACAACATATAATGACGGCAGAGTATCAATGTGAAATAACATTACCTATGGAATACAAATGTTTCCGCATATATGCATTAAATTGTGCATCGAACACTAAATATATGTACACGTATTTAACATTTTAAAAACTTTTGAATTTAATAACTGTATAACATTATGTGACTAATTTAAACAAAGTTAGCATTTCCTGAAATATTTTGTTTTTAATTTTATGTTCATAATGATTGATTTAATAAGGGAATTTTTATGTTAATTTTGTTCATTACTTTGGGTCGTTTGTGAGGGTTATTAATGTGACTAGTGGCTACTAACTGAAAAAAAAAATGGTTGGGGCAGCACACGTACTACTAAAAACTTATAAAAAGACACAACTTTCAGTAAGACTGAAACTTTTGCTCCTAAATTGATATTTTTTTCCAAATTGGGAGTGAGTGATTTTTGCAGTGTTGTATTCGAGTCCCTGCAAGTCCATCACAAGTCCATCACAAGCCCATCACAAGCCCATCACAAGTCCATCACAAGCCCATCACAAGCCCATCACAAGTCCATCACAAGTCCACAAGTCCATCACAAGCCCATCACAAGTCCATCACACGTCCATCACAAGTCCATCACAAGTCCATCACAAGTTCATCACACGTCCATCACAAGTCCATCCCAAGTCCATAACAAATCCATCACAAGTCCATCACAAGCCCATCACAAGTCCATCACAAGTCCATCACAAGTCCATCACAAGTCCATCATAAGTCCATCACAAGTCCAGCACAAGTCCAGCACAAGTCCATCACAAGTCCATCACAAGTCCATCTCAAGCCCAGCACAAGTCCAGCACAAGTCCAGCACAAGTCATTTTTATCAATTTTGTCAAGTTATTTTAATACCTTTTACTGAAGGTACTTTTCAGTATTATTGTGTTTGTATTTTTATACAGTTGCCACCAGTAAAATGTATATTTGATACTGCTTGGGTCTTTGAATCCTAAGCTTTCCCGATTTGACAAGTTTACTGAAATATAAAGTAGGAATGCCGCGTAAAAATTTGAAATTGAGGACTGAGTATTTGGGCTTTCGATTATAGTCGGGGAAACTGAGTGTTTTAAGAACATAAAGTAGGGATCGCTGGGTTGTTGAGGTCTAAGATTTGGTAGGTTTGATTCCTACTATCAAAACTTGTATTTCAGCCTGCATAGGGACACAGACAGACTCGACTAGAGCACTAGTATGTAGTTACTAGACATGTATAAGTCTTGCTGGCGCGTCTGAATAAACTCCAGAGAAATGGGAGATACACTCAGCTACATACATTTTTATGTCAGCATGTTCCCTCATACTTGTTATTAGACAAGTCTACTTTAGAATTGGGATTCGGATGCGGCAAACCTATTATTAACAAAAGAAACAGCCGAATGCTTTTTGCAATGTGTTCTGTTTGTACTCGTTTTTTAAAGCCTGGATTATAGCCATGGCCCCTAACAGTAGGGGGCACAGATGCTGCATTTGGGACGTAATTTTCCTGACGGACATTTCCGGGGAAAAAAACTCGCTTTGCTGAGGAGAAGTCTTTGTGCAGTATGAGTAAACACAATGTATTTTGTATTTGTTAAATTTACTGTGGCAATCTCATTACAATATATTGTATTGCGTTGTATATTAATTGGGGAGATGATTTAAATCTTAGCTGATTCTATGCAATAATTCGAATCTCTCCTAAATTAGGAAAGTCTGGATAGTGGATAACTTATTTTACTTTGAAGTTTTATACGTTGCTATCATATGTATAACTCTGGTGTTTAAATTGTATTTCTTTGTTCAGAAGTTCTTACAAATTTTCGACGTCTGTAATATTTAAATTTTACAAAAAAAGTCTGTTAACTTTTGAAAAAAAACCATTAGGTTTTACTTTGAGATGCTTTTGCGCACAAGCAGATTCGTACAGCGAGTATAGACTGGTTCTCAGTCCCCACATTATCAATCATATATAAGGGGCGAGAACCAACCTACGCTTCGAGAACTGAATTATTGTCGACCTCAAGTATTTCCAAATTTTGTAAAGAAATCATTCCATAACAAACCGTGGGCCGATTTTTTTTTTTTTGGTCGATGTCTCATTCAGAAATGCATGAGTAACTTTGTAATACTTGCAAAAGGGCGACTAAACCATGGAGGTAGACTTGGATCTAATTCTACCTCCATGGACTAAACAGCAAGTGTACATCTTTAAAGTTGTTGTCATTTTAGCCGCTCTTTAAAACCAATTCCTGCAAAATTATACATCTGTAAAACATTATCTGACATACTAACATCGAATTCAATAAACTCATTGTAGGAATATGATTTTGTACTACTATTTTGGGGTTGTTAACTGTTTGACTTTCAGTTTTTGACCCTCCGGTTTCCCGCCCCTTCCATGCAGATATATCCCTCGATGGCCCGTTTTATTAAACATGTCCTCTTTTCGGATTTAAACCGCGCCTCAGTTGAACGTATGGTACGAGCCCCACCCACCTTTTGATTTTCGGCGGCCAAGTGTCCGGAGAAAAAAAAAGCCTGTCTACATTTTGGAATGTTTTGCTTACACCCCCCCCCCTTGCAAACATTCAAGGATGCGCCCCTGACATGATATTCAAGGCAAGAATTTGATCAACTTCGGGTCAATTTAATTACATTTTGACATTGAAGGCAGGCACTGCGTACACCACCATCATCCCCTCCAACAACATTGATACGAGTGGTCAGAAATTGCCTCAGATGGCATCACAGAGCATCCGGAAACCATAACTTTTTTCGGGGACCTTAAGCGGGCCCCAAGCCCTCGTATTTTTTTCACCCACTTTGCCCCCTACCAACCCCCCCCCCCCAAACAATTGTGTTCTGGATCCGCCCTTCGGTCAGTCGGTCAGTCAGTCAAGTCAGTCAGTCGGGGAGTCAGTCGGGGAGGGAGTCAGTCAGTCACTCATGTCACGTCAGTCAAGTCAGTCAGACTCATTCTGGGAGTCAGTCAATCAGTCGGGGAGTCAACCAATCGGTCGGGGAGTCAGTCGGTCAGTCAGTCGGGGAGTCTGTCACTCAGTCCATGGAGCTATGAACACAATGGTCAGTCAGGGGAGTCGGGGAGTCAGTGAGTCAGTCAGTCTGTTGCACAATGAAGACTGAAGAGGTGCCTTCTCTTCTACCAGCAAAGGTGAGCCTCAGTGTAACTTTGCAAGTCTAATTCACAATTGATAGGCTGCATCCGAATCAGCTGTCTAGAGCTGGATCTAGGTCTGCACCCATTGAAAATAGACGCGCTGGCAATATAGACGTAGCCGTATAGCTCTGGAAGATCGTTTCGGACACTGACACGAGTGAGTCAGTGAAGTTTAAAAGAGGATTAAAGGGGTGGCCTCGTTGGGTCCTGTAATTATGACCCACCCTCAAGCCAGGCCCACTGGCTAATTGTGTTAACACCATGACAAATCTCACTTCGCAAGAGTCCGGCAGTCTCCTGATGACGAGCAGAGATGCAGAGATGAACTCACTATTAAAGAGATGTCATTCACATGGTGTTACCGCAAACCTCTCATTCGTTGATCATCCACCATGCAAATCCGTAAGTCTTTAATCTCACCTCAAGATTTGTTTTGTAATTCACGGACGAAAGTTGACTGCTTGTCATGAAGAGGTGTCCAAATTTTTTAGGGACGTGGCGTGTCGCCGGTAATCCCCAACCGATGACAAACGACATATTTTGGGAACATTGACCGGAAACCGAGAATAAACAGTATATCCAAGCAGGGTTGCCATGACACTCTTGTCACTCACAGTCTGAGCAGCACTCAATTACAAAAGATACGACAGTTGTTTTTCAATGGGGAGGAACCGGTTTGGAAAAGAACAATCGTGTATGATTAATGAATATCCATAAAAAAAAAAAAATCGAAACCTTGGCTGTGGAATTAGCAACTGAGCATGTTAATACGATCTGTGCTGACAAGGAAAGCTTCAGTCTAAGCATGGGGCTAAGCCTGGAAGGAAGCTCATAACAAAGGAAACTGCCAATTAAAACAATATCCTTTGCACACACGATCTCCGTTTGCGGTATTTTATCAGACCAAGGCCATAGCAGTGACTGTCCTTTCCTCGGAAACATAAAATAACAAACTTGCTCGTTCTACGGCTTGATGTTCCAAGTGGGTGATATAGGTCTGGTGGATGGTCAGACAGGCGTTTCAACTGTTGACTTTCTCATTCTCGCCTGCAATCAAACATCATTTAATCAAATGATACTCCACGGTCGCTTAGATATGACGTCAACTATTTACCGAAGCACCTACTATCTATGCTGAACACGTAATCACACTTACCCTGCCTTTATACTGTGGGGCAGTTCTCTTTAGCTAAACAAGCCATCCGCTTATAACTTGACAACTGTTTATCGCCTATTGTTGAGCCGACTAACAGCACACCGTTATATACGGAGTTCCCCCTTGCAGCGATCCTACGGCTGTATTTTGTTGGCTTCTTTGTCGCTTCATCGATCGACAAAGGAGGGAGGTCTTCTTTGATGGTGCAGTGAATAAGCATCTTGACAAGCTAAGCTCTATGAAGTATTTAGTTCCATCGTGATCGATCTCCCGTCTTGAATTGACCAGAAACCGGACTATTATAGAGTCGGTAACTGACAGCAGCCTACCTAGCAACAGGGGATAAAACACGCTGCTTCTGATTGTATTTGAAAAAAAAATCCCCCTCCCCCCGCTGCTGAAGTGTATGATTTGGATGCGTCTTAGAAACCTCTGTGTAGCTTTACAAAGATGTGCATATTAAAAAATGGGCGGGATGGAGAGTTTGTGTCGTCCAAGTCTGAACAGTTGAATCAATGAAGCAAACTTGAAGAGAAATTTTGGGCCCATTTTCAGACCGACAATGATGTCTGTGCCAGGAGAAGTATCGCCTAGACCAGTCGGTAGTCCGTTTGGTGTTGAACTGCCATCAATCAAGGGCCGAGGAATTAGAGAAAAACCAGCAGTAGCGGCAGCCAACACCGGGGACTGGCAGAACAGACATGTTGGATACCAAGGCCGGGCGACACAAGACATGCCAACAAACTCCTCTGGTAGCGCGGGTGGTAATAATAGGCCCATGCCTGATGTTGAAAAGTTGGAAAACCAAAGCCAGGATAAGCCAACGGCTTCCAGTGCAGGGAAGCGGTTCAGAAACGGCAAAGTGCATCCTGTGGACACGGTGTCTGTGGCGGAGTCCCGGGTGACCGGACTGAGTGACGATGAGGATTCCAACGGGGTAAGCACCGTCGACCTGGCCGCCTCGACCCGGCGCAGCTCTACCCTCTGGACGTCCCTCCGAGCCGCGGTCAATTTCAACTCGACCTTCCTGGCCAGGAAGAGGGCCAAGAACTCCACGCAGAGGGTGGATTCCTTCCTGGAGAAGTTCACCATCAGGGGGAGAGAGACGACTGGGTATGACGACCCAGAGAGCGATGCGAAACACGGCGAGAAACACGAAGTGGACGCTGAACCCAGAACCTTCACCATAGACCCTGATGGTAATTTCATGTTTTACTGGCTCCTTGTGATCACCATAGCCTTTGAGTACAATGTTTGGTTCCTTATCGCTCGCGAGGCGTGGCCAGGCTTGCAGGACGCGGGAGGAGTGGCCTGGTTCGTCTTGGACTACTTCTTCGATTTCATCTATCTCTTGGATATATGCGTCCAGTTCCGGACCGGCTATCTCGAGCACGGTATCCTGGTGAAAGACGGTAAGTTTCTCGCCAAGCACTACATGAGATCGTGGAGCTTCGCGTTGGATCTCCTGGCGCTGACACCACTGGATTTCCTGTACATCATCAACGCGACTAGGCTGCATCCCATAGTTCGATTCCCTCGGCTCCTCAAGGCCTACCGATTGATTGCCTGGTATTACATGGCCGAGGCCAAAGCCACCTTACCCGCTGTCTTCCGCATCGTCAACATCTGCCATGTGCTGCTTGTCCTGGTCCACTGGTTTGCCGCGTTCTACTTCTTGTTCTGTGAGAGGATCGGATTCGGCAGCGGGGATTGGGTGTACCCATTTCCGGAGGGCGAGTTCAATTCCACGACTAGGATGTATCTCATGTCCTTCTACTGGTCCACACTGACGCTGACCTTGCTTGGCGATATACCCGTACCGTCCTCGGAATGGGAGTGAGTTTGCACATTCATTATAAAATCGATCTCTTTAAATAATGACAATTTTTAATTTACGTCTGGGAAAAACCCTCTTTTGAGAATATTTTCTTCTTTTTGTGATCAAAAATTACGAAAGTGCTTTTTTTATGCTATGGTCAATCTGTGCCTTTCAAATCGCAAAATTGCATTTATCAGTAAAAATTCGGAAATCATTTATATCATGCATGCATGAATGTCGCACACGCATGAGCATATAATGACAGGTGTTTTTGGTGGCTAGAATGTTATTCCTCAGTGGCAAAAGTATCTGTTTACGGGCTTCATTTAGTTATGACGTGCAATATTGGAAAATATACAAAATATACCCTATACCTGGCATGGGGATCGTCAGGATTTTTTTCTAGAGGGGGAAAAGCAAATTATTTCCAAACCTCTTTGTACTTTCTCTAGCATATTCTCAATTTATCATTTTTTTTCCGAGGGTTGGCGGGGGACATTTGCCCATCTCACCCAATCCCCATTTACACCCCTGCAGATGTTGTTAAATTTGCATTAAATTAACAGCAATGACTTTGCATCTTGTCTACTTCTCCCGGCCTCCTTTTGTTCATTTTCTTTTTGGAGGGGGGGGGGGGCAAGTGCGCCCATTGGCCCATCCTGGCGACTCCCATGCTATAATACCAGGTTCTGCAATTTGGTATCACTTTTACATCCTCTTTTTTTTCAATGTTTGCATTGGGAATCATTCTCCCATTAGTTCTACTCTGGCGTAATAGGATTTGGATAAATGGTTTTGATCAGTGTCAGAAGCAGCCAAAAGTTTCGATAGAGGACATAATCTAGAGATAAAGCGACTTAAATTATTTACAAAACCACCAGGTGATAATCCTAACACCATTGTCCAAAAGTTTACCAAGTCAATATAAAACCGAAACTGAACCGAAATTTTGAAATTGTGCAAACATGTACCTTTGTCTCACATTTTCAATAAAGGTGCACTAACTTTTTTCAACAATTATTTTCTTATAAGTTGTTTAAGAGTGTCATATCATATTTGTCCGCATTATCCATCAGCTTAAACCTTTTTGTTTGTGATTGATATAGGTACGTCTTCCAAATTATCAGTTACCTGATTGGAGTGGTTGTGTTTGCCACAATTGTTGGTAAGTTGTAAACTGGAAACGAAGTAAAATCCTTGTAAATATATTTGTTACCCACCCTGAGACCAAAGTCAATCCGAGCACGGCATCAATTTTATCACGATGGCCCCTTTCAATGGCAAAAGCATTGTGGTAGCTATTGTTTATATAATCCGTCACTTGTGGCAGCGGTTGCTTTGTACGATAACGCGATAATGATTTTTCCATTGCAGGGGGCCCCAATTTAACGGCGCTGCTAATCACATAAATTTGCTTAGCACAAACAACTTGAAAGTCTGGCTTATAAAAGCAGGTTACCAGCCAAAACTCCATGTGATTTTCACAGCATCTAAAGTGGGACAACCAACAGTTGAATATTAATCGCGATCAATATACATCACATGGAGTTACTGGTGTAACATCACATCAACAATGTTGTTGATATTTTACATGATTATTTTAATACCTTTTGAGGGGCGGGTCAAGGTTTTCTAATTAGGGAGGTTGCAAGTTCACCAAAGCTTTGCAAAGATGTGATAATTATTTCAAAGTGAAACTGCCAATTAAAAGAAACTTATTTTAAGTGATGACAGTCATGTTTATTTGTCTGTAAATTCATGGTATTTTGGGTTTGCTTGTTTGTTTGTTTTTGTTTGTATTCCCACCGTTTTACCGGTTTTAGATATAATCTCCCTTTTTCTTGATTGTTTTCTTACTTTGTTTTGTGGCTTTTTGTTTTGTACATTATGTTACAAGTTTTTCTCGTCTGTTCTCTCCAGGACAAGTTGGCATCGTCATAGAAAATCGCAATTCATTGAGATTGGAATTTGAACGCCACGTGGTAAGTTGAGAACTTACTGATAGTTTGGAATTAATAGCATTTTGTAATCTCTCAAAGTTGATTAGCACTGATTTTTGTTGATTTTTCTCTTCTTTTTTTGGTTTTTAGGATAACGCCAAGAAGTACATGAGGACGTACAAAGTTGCTAAAGATGTTCAAAACCGGGTTTTACTTTGGTATTTCCACTCGTGGAAAAGGTAACTAAGCTGCATGTTTTCCCAAATAAGAACAGTTCCTGATGCTGTCAGATACAAACTTCAGATGTAATGTTTCGTCGTCATTTTTGTCAGAATTAAGTTTCAGAATATCGGCTTTTTTATGGTTTCTTAATAAAAGGTCAAGAACGGATGTCGACAGTCTTGGGCCTTTACCAACAAAACTAAGAACAGAACTGGCAATCCATGTCCATCTGAAGACGCTTAAAAAGGTAAGATTGAAAGATTTAAAAGTTCTTAGTGAAAAGTCTTGCCCGTTTTTTTTCCCGCTTGAATCTTTCAACCAATAATTCGTCTTATCACGGACGGTCTGTTGTACAGTTCAAGATTTTGTTGTATGGAAAATTTGATTATGCCATTGGGCGATAGTATAGTGATATTTTTCTTTTTAACATGCATAAACTCGCAAAGTCTCTCAAAATCTCGTGATTTCTCCCTCCACGGTTTGTCCATCAGGTCAACATCTTCAGGGAGTGCCCTCCAGAGTTTCTTCACGACCTCGTTCTCAAGATGCACACGTGTATCCACACGCCTGGGGATCTGGTTTGTCGCCGCGGGGAGGTCGCCCGGGAAATGTTCATCATCACAGATGGACTTCTCGAAGTTGTTCGGTAGGCATGAAGAAAGGCCCCGTAACTTCCTTGACGTAAAATGACCAGCAAAGTTTATCAATGTAATAGTCAAGTCCATCACAAACACCACTTCTCACAAGTCCATCACAAGTTCTCAGACAGGACAGCTATAAGTCGGTCACAAATCACCATTAAGTTATCACAAGTCAATCACAAATCACCATACGTTATCACAAGTCAATCACAAATCACCATAAGTTATCACAAGTCAATCACAAATCACCATAAGTTATTACAAGTCAATAACAAATCACCATAAAGTTACCACAAGTCAATCACAAATCACCATAAGTTATCACAAGTCAATCACAAATCACCATAAGTTATTACAAGTCAATAACAAATCACCATAAAGTTACCACAAGTCAATTACAAATCACCATGAAGTTATGACAAGTCAATCACAAGTCATCCAGTTTCAAGTCAAATCACAAGCTATTCAAATAAACTGTGACAAAAACATTCCTTTGTTGTTCATCCCCTGTTATTTGTGACTGGACTTTCATTTACTTTTGATTGGACTTGGTTCAGGATTTGACTACCACAATGATACATAAAGGCCCTGTCACACTGTTTGCGATCTTATATGCGCTCTCACTGCCTCCTTGAAAAATAGCTGGGGCGCAAAAACAACTACTAGATCGCAGCGACAACTACATAGGTCGCCAGATGGGCGCCAGAGGGTCTTAATGGTCTCCGATGAGCGCAAAGGTCTTTGAACATGCTCAAAACAATCACAACACCTCTGCGCCCTGGCCAGGACGCCGTAATGACGCATTTCGGGCGCTGTGCGAGCGTGAATCGTGCGACATTGAAGTGGCATTGAGGCAGCCTATAGGCGCAAGGCAGTCGATGTAGTCTCCATGAGAAAGTAACTCGACTGCGATGAACTTGTAGAATAATTTTGAAACTGGACTGTGTATATATTGACCATTTTGTCGTGGTATTTATACAGCGCAAGTGACGTCACATGAGCGTATTTTGGTCGGATAGAGAGCGCGACGCGAGCTACTAGGACGTATCAACAGCGAGCAGAGCGTAGTGTGAGCGCAGTGTCAGCGCAGCGGCAGCGACTAGATAGAGTCATTGAGCTTGACAGGGGCGCATAGAGAGCGAGTTGAGCGCATCGTAAGCGCGGGAAGAGCACAGTATGAGCGTAGCTTGAGCTTCTTTGAGACAGAAAGTTGTCATTTTCTTGCGTCCTCGCTGCGATTGTTAAATTTATGACATATTTTTGGTCGCCGTAAGGTCTCCTATGAGATCGCATATAATGTGACAGGCCCTTAATAGGAGACATGTACAGTACAGATTATGTTACTGATGCCAAAAGTCTTTAATTCACTTGGCCCACATAGCTCCATCTCACCATTTTGACCGTGAGACGCACATTGCCGATTGTGTGCTCAATGATATCACCACGCGATGATGATGTAATCAGCAACGTTTTCAAGCCCTTGCTAGTCCCTTTTTTTCTTAATACAGGAAGTCATTGTTATGTACATTGAATCATCACCCAGTTCAGAAACGTGCAAGCGTTATGCCTATAAATGTTTAATTTTGAAAATGAAATAGGAAATAGGGGATGTTATTGTTTGTCTTGAATGGTAAATTGTTTTTCTTTCGCTGTTTCTGGGGAATCTACGGGGGATGTACCCTTTCAATTGTTCAATTGTGCCCTGAAAGGGGGGAATTGCCTCATATCACCCAGAAAACATAAAACCGAACCGCATGGTAAAAATGGAATGCCGCCCTCCCATAACGCTATAAGACACCCTTCCCAACCCACGCACCCACCCCATGAAAACTGGCTATGAAAAGCTGCAATCTATGAACACCGATTATCCACTTCTGTTCTGTATCTATATATTCATCAAAACAAAAATGACTCGGTCTTCTTTCTTTTAGATCCGATGGAGAGATTCTTACAACACTTCAACCTGGAGACTTCTTCGGCGAAATCGGCATTTTGAATCTAGAGGGCACAGCAAACAGGTGAGGGGAATATTCGGTGTTATGTTTCTGAATTTTCAGCATTTTGTTTTAAACTGAAGTTGACTAAAAAGCTACGCGTTCAACCAGCATTGCCTCCATGGTTTATTATAAGAAATGGAGCCAATAATTTACATGCCTGACTCCACCTGAAAAGTTGAAAGTGGCGTACGGGGGGTGGGGGGGGGGGGGAGGTCCGTGCCCCCGGGTGCCCCTAGATACAATCTTGAATTGCACTAAAACAAGCACCAGTTGCCTTCAGTGCTGCAGTTGATTATTGGTGCACACCCAGGTTCCCCCCCCCCCCGAAGTGTAACGCTATAGTTACGCCGCTGCTTACAATGCCGAGAGTTGTCTATTCTTACACGGTTACTTTCTCTCTGTATCCCCAGACGGACGGCTGACGTGAGATCGGTGGGCTACTCGGAACTCTTCACCCTCTCCAAGGGTGATGTACTTGATACACTGAGAGACTTCCCACAAGCGCAGGTCGGTAAACAGATACACTCCTTGAATAAAATGTCTCCTAAGATGAAACTGAATAGGCCATGCATTAGGTTTTATTCACGGTAACAGTATGCATGCTCTGCAATCAAGAACATGGATGGGAAATTTCGAAATCGCGTCGTCTTCGCAAGGCTGTGTTGGGCTCTATATAATGACAAGGAGGTATGTTGAGACGACATCAAATATTTAGGCACACGTGGTATTGCCCACGTGTAGTGGGCGGAGCTGAAGTGATCAGTCAATATTCCATTTTAACTTATCATCCCATGACATACTGAACTGCATGTTTGACAAAAAATCCTGAAAATGGAAGTTTCCGATTTGGTGTCACTTTAAAGTCGACACATTTTATGCAGTCCTTTCTCTCTAAATTCCAAAGAGTGAAAATTCACTCAATTCGAGTGGAGATTCACTCCCACAGTCGGAAACTAGGGACTAGACGTTTTAGAGTGAAATTCCTTCAATCGTAAAGATCGATTTTTCACTCGAGCTTCGACTGAAGTGGTTCTATTTTCAGACTATTCCAATCTAAAATGAGAGTGACATTCACTCTAAAACGTCTTGTCCCTAATTTCACTCTTTGGAATTTAGAGAGTTGATGATGTTCTACACTCTGTCCCAACTTAGGAGAAGCTCGAGGAAGAGGCTAGGAGACGGCTGAGCACGAACCGTAAGTCGCCCCCATCCAGGACCCGTGGCAGACGGAGAGGGGACTCCAGCTGTACCGAAGCATCGGACGTGGAACGACTGGTAACCAAAGCTACCGAAGGAGGGCGGGAAAAGATTACTCCAGTTAAATCAAGGTATATTGGTTTCTTTACAGACGTTGGAGACAATCACAAATCAATAAACTTGCTAGGAACACGTTGATATGGGTGATGTAGAGCTATTTTAGTCCGATGTAGTGTGAAATCTGGACTATATGAAATACTGACTTGTGTTGCGTAAGTGAAGATAATTAGAACAGGGACGGATCACGTGTGAGAGTTGGAGTCAATAGATTTCGCAGGAGTCCAAATTTCATATGACACCGGTTTTTTTTGTCGTATAGATACATGCACATTCCACAGTTTAATTTGTATTATTTATTGGAGACGCACAGAATATCCCCTCCCATGCCATTCATTATAATATTTCTGAATAAAAATTATTTTGTAGTGAAATAGTTCGTCACAAGTCATTTGAAAGTCAAAATTCCTATCAGATCCCGAAAAACAGGGCAGAGATAAACGACAAATGCCTCATAATTGATCATTTTCATAGCTGCGGCCGGGACGTCCAACATCCCCCGCCCCCAAAATACAATGTATTTATTCCCTGCAGTTTCATAACTTTAAGTTTTTTAAAGAGGTTATTTTGTTCATTGTAATTGACCCATAGACAGCAACTTGTCTCATCGCCCGATGCCAGTCCCTCCTTATCGCGTGTGGGCGCCCCCAACGGCGGTAATTTGTACCGCCCTCTGCCGTCACCACGAGCAGTTTGGCCGAGACCCAAGCCCGAGGTCTCGCTGAAACCATCGCGGCGAAAGCGAGGCTCCCGGGGCAGTGCGAGCTCCAGGGACAAAGATGACGAGGCATGGCTGGCAGACGTGGTTGCGACGGTGCAAGAAAAACTCCAAGAAAGATTGGTAATGGTGTCACTGCCCAACTGTAGCGAAGGCCCCAACTATAGTTGGGACAGTCCAAACCAGTTCTAATTATAGTTAGGACTGTCCCAACAATAGCTCGGAATGTAGTTGGGACAGACCCAACTATAGTTGGGACGATGCTATAGTTGGGGCAGAACAATGCACTTGTGAATCTGAAGGGGGATTTGAGGTCCTGACCATCTATATGTTCCCCCTGTCCCGTACTGCAGAAATGTGTCCTTCGCCATTTTTAGCGGAACGGTTTTCGAGAAAATCTAGTTCGTTTGTTGTTTTTTATAGTTTTAATTTTCATAAAGGCATCCCGAACACATTTTTCATCTCTTGGCAAAAGCCGGTTTGAACTTTGATTTTAAAACCTTCGTCAATAGTGAAAAGGGGGGGGGGGGGAGCCAAAAGCAAAATAAACAACATGTGAAAAAGACGTAATGTCCCACTTCAGATGCTGTCATTGGCAAACACAACTTGTTCGGGAGCCGAGGACAGACGAATCTCCTAGCTACTAAAATCATTTTAAAGAGAGAGAGAGTAGACGTCTTAACTATACCTTAAAATTGAATGATAATAAAGTACAAAAGGGAAGGGTGGGCAATTTTGCAGAATAAACTATTAGTTGAACCAGTTTCGCATTACACTCAATACATATGAACGATTACATTAATGAACTAAAATGGACATCAAGTATTATTCTATATTCAAACCAACAGTTCAGTTGAATTCTTATTGTCATCATTACTTAATCAACAGGATCATTTTAACAAGGAGAACCGACAACAAGCCTTCCGCATCCGGAAACTTGAAGACGAACTGAAGACGAAAGAGGAAGAAAAGAGCAAGAAAGACGAGGAAATCGAGAAACTCAAGGAGAGAATTCTGCTACTGGAGGTAAAATACAACTAAATGTTTGATATACTGCAGCATGCATGGTGCATATGAAAGCTTAAAGGCAATAGGAACATTGATAATCCTCGGAAATGATCCTAGCGATTTAATGAGAAAAATCTTGCTCAAAGTGAAGGAAGAACTGGTACCGAATGCCCTGTGAAATTATTCCGCTTGAAATTTTGTCGTTCGGAAGAAAGCAATAATTGAACGCGGTTTTAAAAAAAGGGTGCCCTCAGGCATACTTTTTTAATTTGACTGTATATGTTTGTTAAAAACGAGGAGTATCCTTCCATGCACTGGAACCTCGAGGACACAGACACAAATCGGATGAATGGGAATCATGTCCCGAATGCTAATTAAAGGATTGTACCCTGGAGGGTGCGATTAAAAACATGAAACAGTATCTTTTGAATCTGAAATGCTAGCAACGGGATCCAGTTACGAGACCAAAAAGCGGGTGCGTACTACGGTTCGCCTTTTCCCCCCTCAAAATGTATAGTATCCATTGAGCTGAAACTTCAACAGGTTAGATTTTTTAGGCACCGTGCTTAAAATGCTGGACAATTTAGTTGATTGAAACGGAAAAAAAGATGGTACACAAATTATGATCCATAGTTCCCACGGTTGGTCTACATATCAACTACCTACACTTTTGTGCACATTCTCTCCAAAATCTGGTCAACTATACCCGGTTTGAAATTGAAGTAATTTTACACTGATGCTTGATGGGGAAAATACGAACCCATTTGCCCAGTTTTGTTTTTTAAGGTAACAAATTACCCGACGTATCAATGAAAGATATTTCCAGTGAATGATTGTTTTCATTTTATCTTCCATTTCCGCTCTATTTTTTTTTAGGACCTCTTGAAAACAGCTGACGTTACAGTGTCCTGACGTGGAAAGACGCCTGCACTGATAGAGCTAAGAGACTGACACAAATCTGTGAGATCGGACCATAGATGAAAACATTATTCTTCCCTCGAATGTTTACTAAAAGTAAACAAGAGTTCTTTTACTTTTGTGGAGCGAAAAAGTAAGATGTGAAATGGATTCCCAATGGCCCAAGGCTGTGCATTATATCCGCTTTTGTTCCGTTTATAAGTTTGTCAAACAGATCCGACTCTGCTAATTTCAGTGATGCTAAGTGGAGACATGTTTTGTGGTCTTGCTACAAACGAAGACAAACATCGAACACTCATTGTTTTGAATTACTTTTAGGAAGATTTTGTGTCTACATGCTGTAAGGTAATCTGCAGCATGTCGTATTTTTTCTATTATAGTATCCTTATTGTGCAATCCGGAATCTCTATTTATAGTTATACATGTATATATGCTTTATTACGTAAGAATATATTCTATAATTTGATGCTGTGAACAATCACCGGTTTAGTTTAGATTTTTTTATATTTATATTTCGATACTTTTCAAGATTATTAAAGTCATTTTGCAAGCTCTTATTTCATTTGAAGTGCAAGTATTACAGAGGCCTACTTAGTTTAAGTTTGTACCATTCACCATTCTGTGAGGGCGCTAATTCCGTTCCCGAAATTGTGTGCAGGAAATGCAGAATCATATTAATGATCGAAGGAACATTGGCGGGGGGGGGGGGGGGGGGGGTGGTGGCGATGCAAATTCCCAGTGCCCCCCAGGTTCCCCCACCAAATAAATCCGAAATTAGCCGCTTGCAAAAGGAAGTATCTTTTTTAAAGATTTTTTTAGTTATTAAAACGAAGAGGAATCTAGATGACTATTTTTGACTTCCCTTAACCTTAGGGCTGTTTGAAATGTGAATAAAGTGATAAGAAAAATGAGCGCCCTCTAGCGCAAAAAGAGGTCCAGCTCCCTCCCCCCCCCCTCCTCCGCTTTTTGAATTTTCAGTACTTGCGGTGGCCTGGAAATTTGGGGGAAATGCTGTTGGGTCCCGCCCTTGGTGCACCCCCCATAACATGCTGGTGGCCCCCCCCCCCCCCCCCCCCCCCCTGAAAAAAATCCTGGCTACGCCACTGTAGCAATGGGACGACGACAACCGATCCTCATTCTTTGCTGGCATCATCGTGCGTCCGTCGGCAAATGTGCCGCGACGAATAGCGCCTATAGTCCGATAATGCAAATATCGGACCCCGTAGCATCTGGACTGTGTGGTCGCCCGTGATTTTTCCCCCTCCCGGACATAAAACATCAGCACGCTACAGAACTGCTCGTCATCATCAGGCCCTATCAGACAATCAGAAATTAAGATTCGCCGTTCGGTGAGGATGGTGATGCCAACATCTACCAACCCAACCAGCAAGCAGATTGCGATCAGTTTGTAGGTTCGTCGCCGACTCTGGATTCTGTGAAGTTTCAGTAATTATGCCACAGGGACAAGTATCTCTCATACATGACGCCAGTAAAATAAATGCTGGACTGATCTTGCCGCGTTACAGGGGTTAATATTTTACCCTAAGACTTAGTGTCCAAGATGCAAATGAAAATGAGAATTGTATAAATAGGCTACTGCCAATTGTGCAAGGTACAGCTTGTGAGATTTCCTCCTATTTTGGAACACGAATCACGACAACTGAGTTTGTGATGACACTGCAGTGTAATGTTGTAGCCATTTCACCATCTATTTTGTCGTAAAAAATGCAGTTTTTCCTATAGTGATGATTAATTGGATTTCACTGATGTTCAAACTATATATTACCGCTCGATAGTCCGAGGGTTCGATAGTCCGAAGGTTCATTAGTCTGAAAGTTCAGTAGTCCGAAGGTTCCTTCCGACGGTTCGATAGCCCGAAATGTTCATTAGTCCGAAAATATAATAAGCTTAAATAATCCAAAGGTTCGACAGTCCGAATAGACTATAAGGTTCTATAGTCCGAATCAACAATACGGTTCCACAATCCGAATTGACAATTTTGAACCTTATTGTCATTCCAGACTATTGAATTGTGTTCATTTCGGGCTTTTCACCCTTATGACGAGTTTACCGTATTCTAAATTCGGACTGTTCAACCTTCGGACACATGAATCTTCGGACTATGGAACCCTCGGACTGATGAACCTTCGCATGTTCGGATTAACGAACCTTATTTCATTTTCGGAACAATGGACCCCTGGGTATAGTACATTTTGTGATTGGACTATCGAACCTTCGGATTAATAAACATTCGTACTCGAACCCTCGGACTATCGAGCGGACCCATTAACACTGTGGTATACACCGTACCAGTAAATAAGCAATACGTAACCCATTTGACTACAAGTCTGTTATGTATCTAAAATAAACTCGGAATAATTGTCAACAAAACCACTGCAAGCCCTGTTAATATTGTTATTGATGGGATTGAAGGCATTATCAACGGGTACGGGACAAGACCAATTATCGTAAAATAAACGTCAAATTTGCTCGACGTGGTTCTGAGTACTAGCCCGTACTAAAGTTAAAAAATCGAGTGCTAGTCCGGTACGTGCCATACTGCCCTGCAACATTTAGATGCTTTATATAAAAGCTCTTTGGATTGCATTTATTTATAAGTTTGTTAGTTTTATCGATAATCGGCGATTAACGATACTCGCTGAATAAATCTGGAAAATTGCGGTAATTTGAGCTGTTATTTACTCGCGTTAACTACGATCGTGAGAAAAAAATATCCATCATACTAACATACCATTCAATAATAATAATATAAACAATCCATTTTAATAAGCATAAATTGATATAATTTAAAGCAAAAAATTTATGAAGTAGTTATCGTTTCATAAAGGCCTACGTGTGAGATAACATAGGGCAAGCGAAGCTTACAGTCATCAGAGCCCATAGATAACAGCGATGGTGAATTGTGTATTAATTCAAACAATTTTATTTGAAGCGTAGATTTTTTAGTACATCTCTCAAATAAGAATAACGAGCATCATAATGGATGATAATTTAACATTTATATTTTAATGATGAGTTTTGTGTCGAAACGGGGAGATATCACATCGATATATTAATATAAAGGACATATATATAAGACAAGTTCGTTTTGAACTTACAGCAGGACTGTTCTTATCAGAACAAAAAAAACTACTTAGCAAAGTTGATAATTAGCAGGACAAGTTCTTTCAGAACTAACATCTTCTAAGCATTAGTTATTACCACATGGTGTTACCGCAAACCGAAACGATACCGATACCCCACCATGCAAAGCCTCAAATCTTATAAAGGACATATTGGCTTGGTATTATACATGATATACAATTTGTTAAAAGTCACGACCACAAACAGGACCAGTCCTTTGAGAGACACTTTAGCGTCGTAAGTTATACCTTTGGGGGACATGTCGAATTAGGGAGACATTTCATTGTGCCCTACAATGCCTCAGCCCCTATTTATAGTCGCAAAAAGGTTAGATTGATTGCTCGTGGTCTAATTAGTAAAACAGAATAAACACCAACATTTGTGGTGGTAGATACGGCTAGGCCAAAACCAAAAGTCTCCGGTTTCTGGTATGGAGCTTGCCCCGAAAGTGGTGCGACGACGCGGTTTTTTCTTTTTTTTTTGGTTACTTTTTCTGCTTCAAATGTAGTGATGACTGCAAATGGTGCCCGACTAAATTTGTATCGGAGCAAAATGTACTGGAGCCCAGAGAGGCCACATAAAGCTTATACTCGATCGTAACCCCATCTAGATACACGTTAAAATTGTGGAGCAGCAGGATTCCAGTCCAACCAGTGAGTTTGGCGGTTTTGAGACATCATCTTACATAAAAAAAAAAAAAAAATTCTAATTTTGCTGATGCGCATGGCTACGGCGACGCGCGCGCAGACCAGAAACCGGAGACATTTTTTTGGCCTTACATTGGGGTTCATGTTCATTAAAGTTGGAAAAAATGTGTGCACATGTTAATGGGAATACTAGTGACCCATTTTCGGTATTAATAATAAAAATAACGACTATTATTTCATAGTGACGTGATTGATAGCTACACGCCTTACTAGTCTTAGATTGAAAGTTTGTCTCTCATAGATGTTATTTCATATTAAATATAATCATGAACAGACCTACCACAATATATATCACAAAAACGATATATGTAATCGCCTAGGACGGTTTATAGGTTAAACTACACAAATAGTTACCTTTCCCATTTAAAAAAAACAATATTTTGGTGTTTTTGTGTAATTAAAATATTATTATAATTCATTTGCAATTTTACGAGTAGGTCACGCATATAGGCAAGGTTCTTCTTGTGTTTAAAGTCATGTTTGGGAAAAGAGCGCCCACGTGACGTGAATTGGAAGTTCTCGTCTTGAACTGTATACGACAGGAACATGTTCCCTGCAAGCCAACAGCAATAACTCATCACTCACGTCATACGCCAGCGAAGGATTATGTCTTGTTCCATAGGCAAATGTAGTTATCAATCTAGTGTTAGTCGATTTTCTAAACCAGTCGTCTTTGAGAAAAAAAATAAACACTTGAAAAGCCATAGACTGAAACTCTCGCTTAAATAAAAAAAAAACCCCAAAACAAAGCAAAAACCAATGACAAAGATATTGATGACATCTAATTACTCACTGGCTTCTTTAGGGTTTAGGGTTAGAAGATTTGATAGTTAAGAGGGTAAGGGCTAGGGTAGAGGGTTAAGAGTGTTAGTGTTAGGGTTAGAGTTAAGGTTAGAGTAAGATGTTTTATTGATGACGGCGGGTCAACACGTCCGCGTCTATCCTATCTACCTACCGTGCATTGACCATAAAACGTCTGAAATTATGACAAAATTATGGCCTCATAAGACCCCTTGCGTGATACCAGAGTTGTAAAGACTCGCCCCAATGACTCGAGTCGCACATTTTGGCGACTCGACTCGAGTCCCAACGGGTAACTGACTCGACTCGACTCGAGTCACTCGACTCGACTCGACCTTCTTGACCTAATGACCCAACTCGACTTGGGTCACTTCCTTAAAGTAACCCCACTTGACTCCAGTAACAGAATATCATTACAAATCTGCGCGATACACCCCGGAGGTCAGTTTTTGTTATTTAAATTCAGCGACAATGAACACAATGTGTCTTCTCATGCGTGAGGAACAAAGACCTGCTCACATTTGTGACGTCAGAGGCAAGGGGTCTTTTGCAAATAGAAAATTAGACCGAACAAACATAAGACCGTTTTGCGTCAACGCTGTTCAGCCTTTACCAGCGGAAATCCCCATTTGATGCCCTCTCGCTGGCATGGTTTGGCTGTCCAGGGTCCGACTATAACAGTGTGTGTGTTGGCTAGGAGCAATCCGGATGTGGAAGCAGATTTCCTGATTGTTTTCATGCCCCATTGATTGCTATCAAAGCCCGCGGCCATGCAATATTTATTGGGATTAAACTCACTCGCTTTCTCCACAGATCCAGTCTGCACGACAGCGCATTTATACAATCAATAAATTATATTAAGTCTGCCATACTTAAAACAAAATGATACCTTATGTTTATTATTTTTCAGAGCGTTGACTCTTATGATAAAGGCCGCTGCACGCGATACCTCAAAATTACACACTTAAATAAAAGACTTATTAGGATAATTTCGATAATTCTATAATTCAGTTTAGGTCTTTTCTTTCATTGTTAAACGTGAAAATAAACCT